CTTTACTGTGATCATCAAATGATCAACTTTCTACTATGTGTTTGATGTTGCTCAAAATAAGGTCAAGTGACATACAAACATGCCTTAATTTCATGCCAGTAGTGGAATATTAAAGAAGAGGCATTCTTTGACTTCGAATTTCAAGCATTCCCACTGACTCAATGCATTTCCAAGTTTAGGGATTTACTACTGATTTTGAAAGCCGCGTGTCTGTATAAAACAGCCTGTATTCACAGCGCACATAAAAAGCACAACAGAGGGAAGATTGTTTTCGCTGTTCTTTCTTTGAAAAGCTTTCATAGTTGATGTCATGCTTCGTTGGATGGTTTTCAAAAAATACCCGAGTAATCTAAATTCGAGGGAAGGCCGTGGGCATTACAGAAATAGCGTGGTTTTGTTGTTGTTCTATCATGACTGTTGATCAACATTGAGTTAGCGTTGTCGTATAAATAGAGCACCAGATGCGGACGTACAAAGCTTTGGGAATTGCGTCTCTTTAGATTGGCTGAGGCATAGAGCGAGGCATACGGATTGAAAAGAAGCTCTTCTTATTTCTGAAGCTGTCAGAGTTCAAAGTTCATAGTTTCATGCAATATCCGATGGTGGATAAGCACCAGGACGCTTTGGTTCCGAAGAAGTTGAATACGTGCACTTTGGAAGATCTGGATTTGACGTATCAGAAATTGAAGTATATTGGGCACGAGGAGGTTCAGAAACGCTTAAATGCATTACAGGAACTACAAAAGTCAGTTGAGATCGAAAAATTCAAAATGACGAGAGAAGTAAAGTCTTTAAACGCGGAGAATACCAATAAATGGTTTGGCTGCAAGCGAGAGCCAGGACGACAGGAGCTTTTGACTTTACCGAAAATATATCCAGATGTATACCCCTTTGACAGTTATAAAGGCAGTCGGGCTATTTTCGGTAGCGTACAGGGAGAAAAATCACAAGAAACTGATAGTAAGATTGAAAATCCTCGACTGAAGAAAAGGACCAAAAAAGCGAAATCAAAGTCAAGCGGGCTGTGTGTCAATTGTCAGTTGGAGGCAATGAGAGAAACAACATGGCTGCCGCAGTTGGACGATTCAAAACTTGTCGAGAGACGGCCAAAGAAAGATAGCAAAGAAGAAAAATTTGTTTTGCCAGATATCAGAATAAACAAGAACCAATCATATTAATGCCATTACCGTGTCTTTCGTGACAAAAAAGCGAACTAAATCGGAATTTATTCGATAAGATCATTTTTAAGATAAAGCTTGAGAAGATTGTGACTGCAAATTCTTTACCTGTAGCCATTTTAGCCTCAAACAGTAAAGCCTTACTAAATTTCTCTTTTCCTCATTATTTCGACTTCGCTAGAAATCAAGACGGCTGATGGCCTTTCAGAATTGAATTCGCAGTGCTTGGGCAGCTTCGTGGTTCAACAACTAAACCTTCGGTCACCTGGTCTGTATCTTTTTTCTATAACCAGGAAGAGTTTCTTAGGAAGATGGGATGTAAGTTTGCCTACCTTAATTGGATAACATCCTCTAGAGATCTTTGCTTGTTGATTTGGCTACTTGGAAATGTTGTTTAAAAATTAGATGTAGAAGGCTTCAGTTTGTGAATAGGTAGCTACTCGATAGATAGCAGTAAGCTACATGCATGCTTTACATTTTCGTCTTTTATGTGAATAATTCTTTACGTTTTTTAAAGAGAGATTAAGTAAGAAAAAGCGTACGTAGTAATCATATTAAAAACCATAGATAAGTAGCATCTGCATACAAATTCTGCTAAGGCCAAATAAGGCATTTGAACCATTTAGTTTTGGGCTGTCGGTGCGCCAATCGCGAAGACGGCCATAAATAAAACCCCAACCGTTTTTGAGGGGGAATTTCCACCTTCCGCCGACTAGCAGCACCTTGTTCATGCAAAAAGTCGCAAGCCATACGGCCATTAACTAATGCACGAAAATAAGTAGAAAGTCAACATGCATGTAAATAAAAACCCCTGAAAATTCCTAGACAAAGGTTGGGTGGGCAGGGTCGCAAAGGAAAAACCTTTCCTCTCCAAAGTCCAACTTCAAGTTGTCGTGCAACGTGTGAGAATGAAACTGTGCTAAGACAAAGTTTATATACCCAAAGCCAATGCACACTTGCACGCTGGTTGCTTGAGCCGTATAAAAAACACAATGTAAAGCTTACTCGAGCACTGCTACAATAAACATAAACTCCACAATTGTGCAATCTGTGCCCAAAAACAAAAGCCCAAGGGGCACCTAAAAGGCGTACCCTGTCACATATTAAACGTGATTAGATTTCATTTAATCAAGCTTAAAATGATTTCTTGATTTTTATTTTCTAATTTAATTAGACATTGATTATTTCTTTCAATCTTTTGGTATTCTAAAAACAATTTCAGAAGAAAACCTCTTTTTTCAAAAGACATAAAGTTTTGTTTCTGCATCGTTTACATATCTACAAAGAAGCTCAGTATTCCACCAGATCTTTACGTGCAGCCACATATGCTAGGACATTATGAATGCGTGTATGCGCGTATGTATTAGTATATATATTTATATATAATGTAGGTTAGGTTTTATTGAGAATATTCTGAGGCATATTATTGGCAAATAATTCTGTTCGATTGTATAGATGAATGCCTTCCTTAGGTGTCAAGCTCAATCTGCTCTGATTCTTTGGTCTATAAAAACAAACAAGACAGCTTTAAGCGAAATTTCATTTCTATGAAACAGTCTTTGTTTGTTACTACAAAACTTTCGAAAGTATTTTTTAGGATACAGAGCTTTGCTTATGGAGCAGTGTTCTTGTGCTCCCTCTCGATATGACCTCATCTCTTGATTCCTACGTCGTGTAAAACGGAGAGCTGGCATGTCTCCCTACTCTTAGTGAAGTTTGGTCTTATCAGAGACAAGTACTACAGATCTGGATCTATAAGAGTCAGAGTCCCAAAATGACAGAAAATTAGAAGCAAAACAACTAAACAGCTTAATTCTGAAAAATATAAGATTGTGTTACAGTATGAACGGCTTTCAATTTTCTTTGGAGGGAGTCAAATATACTAGTGGCATTGTTAAAAGTCCGCTTTCTTTCTGAGATATTTTCAACGGTCAGCTGCCTTAGATCTTAGTGCTCTTCTTGTATCCTTCCCTCACATCCATCTACAAATAATCAGGCCACGTTTTCTAGTCCAAAGCCTTGAAAATTTGTTCAAGGTTATTGAAATCTCTTTCTAACTTTCTATTGAAATCAAATTATTAACTTAAAATTGATTTCTTACTCGGAGAAAAAAATCAACAAATGATGGGTATTTGAAATATAAGTTAATTGAGATTTTCTGGATGAAATATAAATATTCAGGTTTTTTAGTCTTGAAATGTGAAATATCTTAAGTTCCCAGTATGAATTATGAAATAACAAAATAACTGAATGCCTCTTTAAACGTTGTGTGAGAACTATCTACTTGATAACAGCATTGACTCAAGTGACTATTGATCTGTAGAGCTGTCAAAATTATTTATTACACCTGGGTTTTTCTTTTTAATTTTTCAACCATTTTAGGGGTTTAAAAGGCATCTCATACTTCACGTTTAGGAAAAACACCAAATGCATCAAATCTACGGCAAATAATTTAGGCTCATATTATCTCAACGAAATTCAGTAGATGTGAACATCAACTAACACCATCATCATAAAAATATTTTTATCTACATCGATTGTTCCACATAAACATTCTATTAATTCTTGCTAAGACCACTTAACCTTAGTTTTGTTAACCATTCAAGTTACAGGATTGATTTGCTGCTAATATAATAAAAAGATATTGTTCATTCTTCAAATGTTTTTTATTTGGGGCTAACTTTTCCCCGCAAAGTTATTCTCATCTTAAAAATGAGGTTTCTGACCATATCTTTGAATTTAGTATGGCACCAATAAACAATGCTCAAGTGATTATAAGTTATGTTATATGGCGCAAACTGAAATAAGAAATAACTATATAAGATCAAACTTTAAGGAAATATTATGAAAAGCCACGAACACTCAACCGTAAAGAGAATTTTGCCCACTCGAACTGTTTTTCAAACTCAACGAAGGTTAAATCATAAAAATAAGCTCTAGTCATTTTAAGCCTTAAAAACATCCTGGTAATTGAACGGAAGTCGCGTTTCTGGAAGCATGAAAAATGAACGGTGAGCAAAATTTCGACTTTCAAATTTTTCAAATCTGCTGATACCATCAAAAAGAGCTTGTAACGTGAACGTTACTTTCGTTCTTCTGCCAGAACGTTTCCAAGGTTTAGAACAATCAGTGGCCTTCTCTCTTACGATTTAAATTTTAAAAATTCCGGCTTAGACAGGGAATTTTGTAGAAAAAACTAACAAACAACTAAATCGACTATGGAGATTTCAAATCCAAGATGGGCCAAAAAAAATTACACCGGAAGCTACTTGTTTTTGATGACGTCCTCGATAATTTATTCAAATTCTTTCAAATTCAGCCAAAGACTTGATCTCAACTTTTCTTACATTTCTCAACTAAATAAACTATGCAGATTAAGAATCCAAGAATGAATACAAAATTTTTAGAACAGAATTCAAATTTTTCGTACTGCTACTTTGATTAATTCGCTTGATTAATTCAATTCGTTAAATCGACTTCTTTAATTTATGAGTTTCTTTACATCATAAGACCCTACCCTAGGAAATTAATTTGATCACCCCTATCCCCTATTTTTGCGGCCCTGGGTATGTTTGGGCTATCGAAATTTGTGAAAAGCACGGAAAATTTGCTCGCTTTGACTATAAATTATAGTTTTATCAATGCGCACTTTTACTGTTTATCACTGCACAAAACTATCTTATCACTGCAAAATTGGAGGCCGAGCCTCCCCCTCCCATGCCCCCATAATTTCCGCCACTGAGAAGACAACAATAAGATGTTTGGCGCATTTTGCGCTCCTTCAGTAATGATTCTATCCTCGTTTTCGCGGGAAAGTTTGAACATCAACAACAACATATAATTGTTGTACGTGGAAAAGTTACTTCCGTAGAGAAACAAAAGTCAAATAAAGACAAATAAAGGTTCCACTAACTGCATGTTTGCTGCAAGATGTGGCAAAAGGTTGTAGCATCCTCAAAAAAGTATGAAGGAGCACAAATGAAATTTACTTATGGAACAGCAGGCTTTCGTCAGAGGTAACTTGAAGTGTTTCTGTACAATATGTTTTCGAAGACAAAATGTTAAATACGTAAACAAAATATAGTAAAACAGCATTTTCGGTACTCGCATTTACATGATAAATGCTGCTCAATTCAATAAATTTTTGAGGAAATCCAATGCAATACATCTCAGTAGCAATTAGAAATAAAAGAAAGATAAACAAAACAAATTTGAATGTATTCACATCAGCCGTCTGGTATGCCCATTTTATACCAAACTATCTACAAACTCAAATTTCCTTTACACTTTAATTTAATCTTTGAACTCTTTCATCCTGGCAAATGATTTAGACCCTGCACTGTACAAAGTTGGGATTCATTGCTTTTATAAGGCGCCATGGGGCAGGGGGACTGGGGGTGGAGCTTTAGCTTTTTGCAAAGCATGCAACATATTAAGAAATGAACTACCAGTAAGGCCACTTTTTATTCGGTTTACCTCCCCCCTCCCTTCACTTTTTAAACCCAACATTTCCCAACACTGTTACCTGCTGTTCATTGGAAAATGTCTCTGTAGTATTTTAGACACAATTTTAGATGTATTTGCACATGCTGAATGATATGCATGTTTTTGCAGTATTCAAACTTTCTCTAAACTGTATTTTAATCTTTAGTTTCTTTTACCAGGGCAAGTGATCTAGATTCTGTGCTGTTCAAAGTTGGGATTCTTTCAGTTCTAAGATCAAAAGCAAAATGTGGCAGTGAGTCCTGGAGATCTTTTTGAATTATTTTGTCAGTTTGAACTCTAATCTATTAATAATGAATTGATTTCATCTCATTTCATTGTTTGCTTTGCTTTCTCTTTTGCAGAGGCAATAGGTGTGATGATCACAGCATCCCACAATCCTGTTCAGGCATGTTGTTTGATTTACCTTAAATCTGATTAGGAGTTTCAACAAGTGCAATTGAAAAGCTTTTTAGATAAATAACATGTTTTTGTATTGAACTTTAAATAGTTTGAGCATAAAGTTCATTTAACCCTTCAAGTTATTGGGAATTAAATCAAGCCCTAGTTTTGAATTATTTTTGTTTATTCTCTCCTAAACTTTATCAACAATGATCCTGTTTAATTGGCTGCTAGACAGTCTAAATAAATGTCAGTTTTGCCCCATAGGATAATGGTGTTAAGCTGATTGACCCAATGGGAGAAATGTTGGAGGCATCTTGGGAAAAATATGCAACTGCTTTGGCAAATGCTAGGTTTGTCTGTTTCAATACATTCTCAAGTTTTAAGACAAAATTTGTTTCCTTATGAGGTGGCACGTCTTCAGATGAATAAGACCTGACCATTTATTCGCTTCCCAATGCTGTTGGACAGCTTCTGATTCTGATGGCTTGAACTTTTAAAATATGAATTTGTTAAATGTTTTTATCTTAATTGTTATGTTTAGAAACATATAAGAAATTAAATCCTAATCTCATGCTTGAATGTTGTGCTTTGCAAATATATCATACTTTGCTATCTTTTGGTTCTCAAGCTGGTGGCAAAAATCTATTTTACTAGCGCATAGATTCAATCTAATCAGCATTGCTCAACAAAATATTTTCAAAGGTATACGGATATTACCTGTCTTGGCAGGCTCATTTTAACATAGCATTCTCCCATTGCCCAGACCATACTAAAAGGTTGCTAATACAGTAGGCTCTGGCTCTAGTCACACCAAATGTTGCCTGAAAAACTTTAACTGTGTGTGACTGTTCTGTAAGCAGCAATTAAATATTTGAGTCTAAATTCTTTGTGACTGTAACAGGTAGCATGACTTTAAGCATAGAGAATGTATTATAAATTGATGCCCCTAATTTTGTTCATACATTTATCTATTTTTATTCAGTGATGATGAGCTTGGTGATGTTTTGCAACACATAGTGTCTATCAACAATATAGATATGAACTCACCAGCCACTGTTATTGTTGCTAGAGATACAAGGTCAGTATATTTGTCCAGCAAAATTATTTTTGAAACGTATTCAAAAGTATAAAATCTTGATTTTGGTGGTATCATAGTTTGAGGAACATTAAGAATCAAACAGTCATTTTCGAATCAGATTATTTTCTTGATGTTCGAACAATGAGAAATCTCTGTTTCATTCTGTCTAGCATGTTTTATTTTATGTTAAGGGTTAATATTTTTTAGTTATTTAATAGCATAAAGTAATATCATGGCTCTTTTTGAGCAATCATGAGAAAAAAATGAAAATTTTCTGCCTTAGGCCTAGTGGAAATACATTACTTCTTGCTTTCAAAGAAGGTGTAGAGGCCATGGGACACACATGCAGAGACTTTGGTAATTACCATGTTATCCTTCAGAAATATGCTTCTGTAGTTTGCAATAAAATATATGTATCCCAATTTAAAGAGCTTGCAAAGCACTTTTACATCCTTTGCAGCATAAAATACATTTTTATCCCTTTCTCAGTTATGGTCGATAGTGTTGCACCTGTATTGTCATGCTAGTTTTAAATGCACCAAGTTAGGAATATTCTCTTTACCCTGGTGTATTTTTCTAAAGATTGTCAATCATGACAAAGGAAAACCTCAAAAAATTAGAGATTAATGTTAGATTATACCATGCCTTTTTGTAAAGGAATTTTAACAAAAGGGACCAACTGCCCATATAGATGAGCTTACAAGGGCAATCAACTGCCAAACAATATTTGTTAAAGGAGTTCCTTCACATGTGCAGTCTTTCAGGGCCTGAAGGGATAGTTAGTGTACCAACTTCCAACAACTGCCTAACCTTTAGTTTTCTGAATGGGTAATTACCCCCAATTTTTAAACAAACAATATTTTTTGACATGATTTATTTTCATTATCAATTTGATCTTCCACTCAGGAATACTGTGATTGATGGGAACTAGCTTTTCCATAAATGATCTTTATGCCTCTTGTGGGCAAGATTTTTTACAAGGGTGGTAAAAAGCCTGCTCCAATAATTTGGCGCTATTTAAATTCATACCCATACATTTTCTAGGTCTTCTAACTACACCACAGTTACATTACATAGTCAGGTGTCTAAACACGAACAATGAATATGGTGAGCCTTCTGAAGATGGCTATTACAAAAAGCTTTCTTCTGCCTTCAAGAGCCTTGTCTCATTGGTAATAAAGTTACAACTTTTATGATTTGTTAGTTGTTTCTTATATAATGCCCATAAATGCCATAATTTGCCAATAACCCATTGTGGTTCATCTTAGTCTTAATCTGAATCATCAGCGCTAATTGATGTGAATTTTATTTGGTAACAATAGAGATCTTTTATTTAGAGGTAGCATTTCCCCGTCATGATATACGTCACAGAATTTATTGTTCACAATTATTGACTGTGAAAGAGAGTATTTGTAGGATCCCAAACTGCAGTCTTAATGAGGTTATTCCAAAAAGATTAATTTCTGATATTATTTTATTATACTTAAACTATAATTCGGATTTTTGAATACAGTCAAACTCAGAGCACGAATCTATTGTCAAATATTCATTATCCCAAATTGTGTCTTAGTTTTACCTAGAATCTATAATGGATTGATCTTTAATTGCAAAAATTATGATCGCTTTTTAACTGCAATTGTTTAACTTCAATTTTCATCAAGTATATCAAACACGTTGTTTTATTTAATGACAATTCTCGTTGTTTCAAGAGAGTATGACTCTGTTTTGGTTTTCTCTCAGGCAGAAAAGTCGACATTTTCTTCAATCAAATTGGACGGCGCCAATGGCATTGGGGCTTTAAAGATGAACAAAATGGCTCCTTATCTTGAGGGTTTCGGTAGTTTATTGGGTATTTTTAATGATGGCTCAAACGGTGTTTTAAACCAAGGAGTAAGTATATACACTTTTTCCATAAATGGCACTGTATGCTGTTGTAAAATACTGAATAGGTTATCCATAAACAGGCAAGGGCGTTTCTTCATGTTCTTGTTTAAGTATCTGCAGCAATAACAAGAAGACTGAAATCGTTTACTAGGACTGTTTATTAGAACATTTCAATTGCAAGTAACGGTAGCTGATGTGGTTTATCAAAATCTCATTTTCGTATAAAGCATAGCATAACAACTTTGAAAACCCCAATATGGGACGTGATAGTAGATATTTTTTTTTACCTATAGCTATATGCACCACACAATTAGCAAGTTTCTAATACTGCATAGTGTCCAAATATTAAGCAGGATTTATTTCCCACATGTAGATCTTGTAGATTCAAGTAAGCCAGTATGACAACGGATAGAAAGATCTTCTGTTTTGGTTTGGTTCATCAAATATATCAGAGCTTTACGACAATAAACTCTTTTGATTAGTTAATATTTTACAGTGCTTGATTTTCTTTTCGGTGCGTTTAGTTTTATCTTGTTGAATTTATTCATTCCATTGTATCGTAAGCTTTTAGCTGTAAAATCCTTTTAGTGGCTGAAGGGCCACGTGAGCTTATTTTGTAGACGGAAGGTTTAATTAATGATGAAAATGAAATCAAACAAAGGAGATTCTGCATGTCCTTTCTTTTTACGTTCTAATCTATATTTTTGTCTTCTTCAGTGTGGTGCAGATTATGTCAAAGTTCAACAGGCAGCCCCAGTAGGTAAAGTCTTATTACCCTTACTCGTATAAACACAAGGCACCAAGTATATATAAATATACTACAAGCTTTGGGCGGTTGATGTGCCTTTCAATCTTTTCTCTTTGCAGCAGTTGAAAATTATATTCACTATCAACTTTTTTAGGAAAGAAAGTAGAGAAAATTAGCACAAAAAATTACCGAGAATATTAATATCTGCCCGAGACACCTCAGTTTTTGTTCTTGCGGGTTGTGGTGTTCCCAGCTGAGACAACGCTGCCTTATACCTTACCGAAACGTGGTCCTGGCCTGTTTGTTCTGCATCGCAAATCTTCTTGAATAGTGATCATAACTATGGCCAAAATCTACATACTTTTGCGCATAGAATTATTTTTGTGGGAAGATATTTCAAAACTGCTTAAATACGCGTCTTCCGCCCAGTGGCATTAAAATTATCAGCTGACTTTCCTGGCTGAACTTCGAAAAAGTCAGCTGATAATTATCATATCACTGGGCGGATGATGACGTGTATTTAAGGAGTTTTAAAATATCATACTACTAATTTTTCCCTTAATGGATCTACTTTCTCTAATTTCTTATTCAATTCATTTTAGATTTTGTTTATGAAGTAGGAGACAGATGTGCTTCGTTTGACGGCGATGCTGATAGGATTGTTTATTTTTTCAAAGACGCCGGTATCTTCAAATTTCTGTTTGCTTTTTCTTTTCCTCCGATATTATTTATGAATAGAACTATTTTCACTGGATGGCAATCTTTCCTGTAGTGCTATTCTATAGCATCTGATTTCGCTTTTGCAAAATTCTCAAACATATTTTACTATAAAAGGTTCCTAAGCTTGAATTGCTATGCTTCCCGTCGGTAAAATATTTCACTGTTTTTTATCAAATTCAGTATCCCTGCCTTAATTGAACTTCTATGTATGTAATGTTTGCTATAAAAATTCGTGTGAAAAGCGTAGGAACACTATTACACAATAGAAAATACATTTAACATCATAGCTGCAAGTTTTCCTAGATTCTTTTGGAAACACAATAGTCTGAGAATTCATTGTTCGTAATTTCCTATTAGTTGATATTTCCTGTTGCTAAGAACTGTCTTCACCCTTAGGAGTCACTTAAGCCTATTAGGCTTTGTAATGTCAATTTGTGTACACCATGCTTTCACGGATTTATTCTGATGATGTCTTCAATTGTTCTAGAAAATGTTTTTCACTTGTTGGATGGTGACAGAATCGCTACTTTGGTGAGTCGAGGCTATTCGCATCTGGCCTGGACGTGCCACAAACCCAATGTTTCCTTCTCATAGATTTGGTGCGCCAATGTTATGGAATTGTGCTTTTACAGTGGCAGTTAAGATCATTCAGAAACGAAGGCTTATGACAGTCGACATCTGACAAACCAATGCGTTCATTTTATTAGAATTTTCTAGTAATGTTAAGAATTAAAGGAACAAAGTTTACAGGAATCTCCATATTGGGCAATCGAGCGTTGTAAATTAAAGAGACTTAATCCAATTTTACTTGCTAAGAATTTTAGTACCAGTTTGCTACCCAAAACACATATCCTCCTTTTCCGTGTTTACATGTTTATTTTTCGGTTGAATTTTCACCTAGAATTTTTTCTGTGCGAGATTCTCCAGTACTTATTCTTAGCATCGAAAGGGATCAAAGGGGTTATGATATCAAAAAATGGTAGCAGAGAGGGAATTCACGTTCAAGTGTTACTTGATAGGAAATTGAAGACTGAGCAGTTCTGTTACAACATAACTTTATTATCAACTATAGAAAAGTCTAGGTATGAAAGTATGGTATGAAATATATTATTAGTAGAGTATTTCATGATGCTATACACCCTTTCTCTGCTCGACGTTTTTTAAAAACTGCCAAAATCGTTTATCCAACTAAGCGCTACTTCTGCCTCAATAGATTCCATTTCCATTCTTAGATTGCTGCCTATCTAAAAGAAAAATTAGATTTAGCTCAAATCGAGCTTTCAAATGGTTTAGGTAAGTTTTGGAAATTATTCAAGAGATTTGTTGAAATGGCTTTTTCTTTGTATTCAGCTCCTAAATAAATGAAACACCACCAAATAATCGACACTTTTTTGATCAGAGATTAAAGGCTGATTTGACACTGATTTCACCGGAAAGAAATTATATTTTGCGAAAACATTTAGTCCGTTGTTCAGAAGTGTTCAGCCATAATTTATATCCAAGGCTAGGATTTACGTGTGGGGCATTTGTGAAAATAGACAAAGCATAACATTGATGATTGTACCGTTGAAAAATGTTAGCTTTAGAGAAAAAATTGGAAAAGGCCCGTTTCTATAACAAATTAAGATATCCAACTAAAACAGAATCGTGATATTGAATTAAGTCATTTTTCTAGCTTATCATAGTTAACATGAAAATATTTCCTAATAACTGCTTGTTTGTTTAAAGGCGTTGTACAAACTGCATATGCAAATGGCAGCTCTACTCAATACTTGCAAACACAAATGGTAGGTTTCATTTCTAATTATTTCTTTTGATTTTTTTATCTGTTAAAGTTATTAAATTAGTTTTTTATAATAAATTCATTTATTATTTATCCTAGGTTTATCTCATTGCTTATTTTCTTCTATCAAGTCAAATTTTTAATTGACTATTGAACTATTTAAGATGATGCACCAATACATTGATTTAGGAATTTTCTTAAATGGTGCACTGAATGTTCATATCAATGTTACTATGGCTTTATGTTTGTAGAAAGTTCCTGTGGCTTGCACTAAAACAGGCGTCAAGCATTTGCACCATAAAGCTCAGGACTTTGACATTGGTGTTTATTTTGAAGCCAATGGGCATGGCACGGTACGGTCTCAAGACGGATCTCCTTTTTTTTTATTTATTACAACACTGATTTAGATTCGTCTATTATTAAGTGTATTTTTTAAAATGCTTCTGTAATTAAGCATGGTTTGCAGAACGATAAATTTGAATATAATTTTCTTCATTTCAATGTTACTATGATATGCATCTAAAACGTTTGTTATCTCTGCAACCCCAAAGCTTTATAGCCACTAGTACCTACAGTTTTTGAACCGAAGTTATTGTCCTAATGAAATGTTTTTGATACAGATATACATAAAGTCAAAGGCTATTCTAAATTCAAAAATTTTAAAACTGAACTGTTAAAAACTTTTGTGACACGTTATTCAACGGTAATAGAATATTATTACTCTTTCCACCTGCCTATTTCATACTCCCAAACGCCAAAATCGTTTTGCTAACCCATTACATTTTTAACCCCTGTGAATTTCAAAAGTGAATAAAACGAAAGAGTAAACTTGTTTTCATTGAATTTATATTAAAGTCAGCAGGCTATTTTGCCTAATTTTTTATTTCAATTTCTTGCAATTTTTTTCAAGGTTCTCATTAGTGAGGAAGCTGAACTAAAAATTCGCAGTGCTGCCAAAGAACGAAGGTGAGATTAACCTCGTTTTCATGCCTTAGTGTCCAGTTCTTTGAATATAGTCTCGTATAACCTTTTTGTCATGTTTATCTTTTCCTTCCTATAGAAACTATAGCAAAGCTCTTTTTTATGAAATGATTTATAGCTTCAAAAGGCTAATATGTTAAGGCATTGGTTCGGTTAATGTTGAATGAAACTCGTGTTCCGTTTTAGATCGTTTGAATTTCTTTCCAGTCATGAAAAGCAAATCTTTGGATAACCTTACTACCATGTAACTTAAGACCATCAACTGCTACTAGAGAACTAGATGGCCGTATCCCACTAGCAAGTACTTAATTTACCCGGCTTATAGCCAGCAAAATTCTTATTTGTCGTTGTTCCATAGTCAATACATTGTCAAAGTGCCACTTATTTATTTTGTAGCAACGATGTGGAGCAGAAGGCTGCCCAGTGTCTATCTCATTTTATTGACCTCACAAATCAGGTTCACTTTTTTGCCTTTTTGTTTCACGACCGTGTTAAATTTTAGCAGAATGCAGCTTTTGTTAACACAGAATATTTCAAAGTGGAATTCAAACTGAGATACGGTTCTCGATGTCCTCTCCCTATGTGTTGTGCTGAATCGTACATGACGCTTTCAAGATACATGTTTGTGGAAAGGATCTTATTCATTGGATTTCAATATGGATTAAGCGCCACTTTCACTTTGTAACACATAAAATTATCTCTATTTAACTGATCACAATCGAGCATGTTTCTCAGCTATATTAGCAAGGGTCACGCCTGAAAAGTCTAACGTGTAGCATGTTATATAGGCAGTTGAATAAGACAAATATTTTTATTATTTTTCCGAGCAACGCATTTAGCACTGTGCTTCCAATGATCGACGTTGCAATTCTTTCTCATTTTTGATATCACGCCAAATATCACGACTTTGTGGCGTCAGTAGATGGTATTTTTTCATATATTCGGTCTACTAAGATTTGTCGCAATATTTTTAATGGATACTTTGGTAAATAATTGATTTGTATCTATACAATGTGCCATCTTTTTGCAGGCAATAGGAGATGCAATTTCAGACATGCTCATAGTTGAGTGTATTTTAAACGAAAAGAAGGTATTACTCCCACTATCACGTGTTGTGACGCATTGAATGAATATCATTCCACTAATACTGCAAGGACAGCGAAAGTCCAGAAAAGTGTCCACCTTTCCTCTAGCTAGACAATGCTTTTATGCTCTTAAACCTTCCTCAGAAAACAGTGAAAACTGGGCGGAGTTTGAACGTGTCAAATTTTCTGGGCCAAGCCTCTTTCCATTCCAGATCTTTTCTGGGCCAAGTACTCATGTTTCCAAGATCTTTTACAGCTAGGAACTTTGTAGTTTCTTTGGAACTGTTGATTATTATTAATTCTTCAATAAACTATGAAAGTTAAAGCACAATATCATGATTAGATAACTGTAATTGATATGGTTTATTTTTTCAATTCAGCGTTACTTTTTGGCCGGTTGTCCCTTTTAGTGCAAATTCTTTGTTTATAGTGGACTTGTGCTGATTGGAGCAAATGCTACAGTGACTTGCCAAATAAGCAGAGTAAAGTTCAAGTAAGTAGCAATGTTATTCTTTTTTCTCTACGACTCTTTATTTATGAATACTAAATTTTTCAACATTCCAATGTTTTTGAATTTTTCATGCTTTGATAATTTTCTCTTCTTAGTAACTTTGAATTTTTGAGTAATGTTATCATTTACTTTACTATTATTAACTTTATCATTAACTTTATTCTATCCAGAGAGAATAGAATAACGGTATAATTGAATTAAAATAATGACAATTTGAACACCATCACCAATGGTTATTTAGCTTGTATTAACTGTGTGAATAGTTTCCTTTTTGATAGGTTTTCATAAAGATTGACACTTATGTTAACTACTCCTGGCAACAGGCATCTCTAAGATGGTCCTAAAATATGCTCCATCATTTTCCTGACGTGTATAGGTTTTTATGTAGCCTTTGTATGTTTCATAAACCTTTCTCTCATTTTTCAAGACGCTTTAAAGACCATTTAACCGTTTTTGCTAGGTTAAAGACAGAACCGTCATACAAACGACCGATGCGGAAAGAAAAGTTTCATCTCCAGAAAGCTTGCAAGAAAATATAGATCAATTAGTTGCTCGTGTTTCGAATGGTAGATCATTTGTCAGGTACGCAGTTGAAGATTTTGCATATGATGTAGAACTTTTTGTCATTTCATGCAAATGAAATATTGCCGTTAAATGTTACCAGGCGTCATTCTCAAACTCCAGAGTTGTTGATTTGTGCTAATGTGATATGTGATTTTTACCAATATATGTATGTCACTTGCTAAAGAAGCAGTGCAGCTATCTTTTGAAAATTGCAGGGGCATCGTGTAACTTTCCAACTCATATTTATAATTTTAAATTTTCGCTCTATCTTTGCTTTTTTCACGTACCTGATTAAGTATTCGAACCAATGAAAGAATTTATTTGTTTCTCATCTTTCTTGAGTAACACAGAAAGAGTCGAAAATTATCTCAAATACAGTAGAATAAAACAAGCACTTTTTCGCCAGTGCATGTGTGATTTAAGTGACATGATTAGCCGTTCAATATAGCTATAAAGTTGTGTTTTAATTGTCTACAGACCGTCTGGTACCGAAGATGTGGTTAGGATTTATGCAGAGGCTGCAACAAAGGTTGGTATAGTTCAATTTACCGGTCAGTTTTAAATGGTTGTACCATTGTTTCAAAGTTCTAGTCGCCATGCACATTTCGTTTCTTTGTTGGAGATAAGACTGCAATCGACTTTTAAGAAGAATATTAAGCATGGCAGCTATTTCTTCAACTTATGAAATTCAGAGTGCAATATTGTTTCGAAAAATTGAGTTTGTCGTTTTTGAAGAAAACCATGAATGATGTTGTAATGATCAAACAATTACGCTGTAACTATTAATGCGTTTTACAGTATCGAGCCGCTAAGTCTAAGAACAGGAAGTAACTGAAGTCGTGTACCTTCTTTAGATACTGGTTTTTAAGGTCTGTCTAAGCTGCGGCAAGTAATCTGGCAGCCAATTGATAGTCTTTGCTTAAAAGATAGCTACATTTTACCCCTTTTAAGTAACTCCTTGTTATGTTGTTCCCAACTTTAATGTTTTTATCGCTCAAAGCTCATCATAGACTTCAGACTCAAACCTACACATCGAGAATTTCCTTCTATTTAAAGTGACACAGATTTACCCCGTCAGAAATTTTATCATTCCATGTATGGTCGATAGCGCTTGTCCGGGACTTTATCACTGATCGTGAAAATGATTTGTCCTGAATTTTCTAACTCGTGCACATACCAGTCTGATGATACTACAAAACGTCATTTTTAGGGGCACGTTTTCTTTATAAATCACTTAGCTTTAGCAAATGTTTTTTTAAGGTTTTCTTAATTTAAACAGCTTAAAACTGCCAATGTTCCCCAACTAAATAGCAGATTCTTACCTTGACTGATGTCTTTACCTAGGTATCTCTTGTTTTAGGAAGAGGTTGATTTTCTCAGCACTGCAGTTTGTCGACTTGTATACGACGAATGTGGTGGTGTTGGTACACGACCATGAATATCACCTTGGCCTAAGGCCTATCATAAGGCCAGAAGTAACTGTTCGAAGTGGACGCCAATATTTCCCCTATAATGTGATCAAATAATGAACAAAAACTTTAATGGAAATCATGTATTTTATAGTAGTGATTTTGTTTCAGTATGGGAAATTGTTGTCACCGTTTTTGTTCCTCCCTTCATAGTGTACTGACTACAGATTTCTGAACCTTCAGTACTGATTTCTGTACTCATGAGTGCCCAACCTTGATTCCTGACTAGCTGACTACAGAGATATTCGGGTTTATTATTATGGGACTGAATTTATAAATGAATCATTACGAATTAGAATTATTTGTACAAAGTGCTCCGTTAAGCCAATATTAGATAATGTCTTTTTAATTAATACCTATGTGGAAATATGGGTAATTTTTTTTATCTTGAAACGCAAAGAATTAGTTTGTACAGCCGCCATTTTTCATTTTGGCGGGAAAGAGAATGATGTCGTCAGCTTCATTGAAAAATGCGCTGAGAAGCAAAATAAAAAACGCCTCTTGATGCTTTAAGAAAATATTGCAAAATATCGAAAAAAAGGTAACAATTCTATAATTTTTTCTACTTTTTTACTCTCTATCTGATTACACTGGATGTGGGCCAGGTAAATGCTAGTTTTTTATCGCCAAGTTTTTTCCTGAATTCGTGAAGTTGCCGGCGGCCTTATCACTATTCAAGGTATAAAAAGCAGATGATTAGGCTTGTTTTCCATCAAATAATTTTATGCAAAATTTACCCTAACTTGTGAAGTAAGGCAAGTTTATTTTTATCAGTGAAAATGGATTCATGCTACATGGACACGACCTCAGAAAACAAGCAAATTCACGAACTTGATTCTTTGTCAAGAAAACTTCAGGAAATCAGTGAGAGTTTTCACGATATGCAAGGTAATGCCAATTTACTGTCTCTTTTGAAATGGTTTGCTAAAACGAATCAAAGGGAAAATCCTAGGATTAGGTAATGAGTAATGAAAAAGCATTTTCATAGATTCTAAATTACAAATTAGGAAGCCTTGTTCTTTTTTGCTGAATGCATAGGCCTTAGCAACAAATTTGATCAATTTCACGTTATTTTAGTGAAAGCTGCGATCTTGAATGTTGAAATCGGAATGCTGTTTGATCCTGCGACAGCCAGAATCATTTCACAAAGCGAAGAAACATGCCTAAAGTGTTCGAAAAGGATAATGGGCGTCGTTGAGAAACCAAATGAACCTACTGAAGATGACGTAAATATGGAGGGCTGATATGAATATGGATAGCTGTCTATTGTTTGTTTTTGGTTGAGTTTGGGTTTATTGTCCATTGGAAAGTCTGTTTCAAAGAATGCTGCATGTTTTTCAGTGTAGAATCTACCAATATCCAGAGAATTTTGTGTTAAGGAACAGAGAAAGGAGCTTAGATTTTAAAAATTAATCAGCCTGCTATGTTAAACGCAAGGAAGGGGGACTTGGCACAAAAGACAAGAAAAGGTCGGTTTGAAAATTTCGTATGTCACCAAGGAATATCCAGGGTTGTAGTGCCAAGGGGGCTCTTGGGGGGGCTAAGCCCCCCTTGTTAATGCCAAAACTTTGCAAGCTTCTACTTTTGCTATTGTTTTTCGCAACATTTTATGCAAGAGCCCCCGTTGTTATTTTGATAGCACTACACCACTGGGAATATCATATCATTTTTAACATGACCCAAAAGCTAATGGTTTTTTGTATTTGTACCAAAACATTATAGAAAATATTTTACCCAAAAATGTCAATTTGGCAAAAGCTTGACCTAAATATATTGAGCTGTCATTTTCCCTTGAATAGATCTCCTGGAAACTGTTGTTGGCGTTTTGGATTTTTGGTTATAAATTGATTCGAGTTAAGCAAGAGAACTATTTGCTCGTTAAGAAGGCATCTTTTATTATTCAGAACAATGGAAATCAGTCCAATTGTAAGTTGAGCCGTAGAATTTGTCTAAAGACCCCGTTTATACTGTCCCGTGCAAGTTTAGAATCGCGAGAAAACTGTCGCGGTTCGCCCTTCCGAACCGAGACGTTTTTGCTCTGCTACCCGGAACAGTTTTGCTCCTGCTTTGAAAGCGAACGAATTTTGTACCGTCACGGTTCTGTTTTTGACCAGAAAATTTTCGAATTTTGATGCTTCCAGTTCCTTGAAAAATGCGCTCTTTTAAGTAAATTTTACTAAAGCAATCCTCTTAATCCTATCGAAAATTCTTTTATTTTTGCAAATAAATTGAACAGCAGATAAAAACAACTGGTACAATTTCGCCGTGGTCTTGAAAATTCCATGTTGTCAGTTACTTCTAAAACTGGGTAGCAAGTAGCACTGGTTGCCAATTTAGATCCCTCTTTCCATCCTAGCATGCCTTTTTAGGGGAAATGGACGCAAGGCACAATTTTACCTAAAGAGGGCCTGGATTTTTAGATTCTGTGCCAACAAGAAATTTTCGATCTTCAAATCATTAATTTGTTTATCTTCATTCATATCAAGGAATATATATTTAGCTAAAGGAGCAACTGCCTTTGCTTGATCCTTCATTGATTTTAAGACATGAAGGTCGCTGAAATACCTAAAGCGTTTCTTCCACTGGGCGGATTTTACCTGAAATTTCCTATCGAGATACTATTGGGGGAGAGTGTGACACCCCCCCCCCCCCACCCCACACCCTCCCGGTCGCGACGCCCCTGAGTGCAAACACGTATCGAGACGATTCTGTCACGGATTCACAATAAGGTCTTTGTTGTCATAGCGCCGACTACGTGGGCTCGGGAGCTCGCGGCGCTATGCATACCCCCCCCCCCCTGGGAATTTCGTTTGAAATCGCGCCAACTGGGCTGAAAATTCAGCGCAGACAGCTGAAGGAAGGTATATGTATATTTAAGTCTCCAAATATGAAATATTCTATTGTTAAGAATAATTTGAATCAAATAAATCCCTTGTGAAAAATTTAGTCAATTCTTGTCTCCTACGTCATCTTTTGATATTTCAAAGCGACATCGTTTATCTAATAGCGACAAGGGAATTTCTCTACCTTTTTAACTTTTTTAATTTTTCTTCTAATTCAAATTTGAGCCCCCCCCCACCCCCTGAACAAATAAAAAGTCGGCGCCTATGTTTGTATGGCTGTTTTCAGGTAGTCGAGGCTTTGATTTGGACGATTTTTTAGACGAGGAATTGTCAAGATGGCTGTTTGAAAATTCAAACTACGTTTTCAAATTCCTTATCGCCATGTTAAATCAAGTGACGGCGATCACTGGGCTGATTATCATCTATTCAGCAGCCATTTACGATGGCTACCACCGTTCTTCGACAAACGAGATTTAACTTTTAAGGATAAGGAAAATCTGAAGAAAATACGACGACTGCGAAGCTTACGGATAGTTTTTGTCTCCGTATTATTTTTATTGCCTCCCAGTCAAGCCCTTGATTGCCTCGGTTGACGAAATAAAGCCTCCTTTAAACAATGTTTCTACCATTGAATTTAGGTCGTAAATGAAAGGTATAAACGGAAAAATTTGGAACCACAACAGTCTAAACATTGCGAACCGTAACGGTACAAAATTGTCAGGACAGTGTAAACGGGGTCTAAGTTCTGCTATTTCGTTTTTCTTTCATCATATTAAGTTGGAAATAGTGTATAGTTGTAAATTTAAATGCTATTTGAGGAGTCCTACTGTAATATCACCCAAAGCACTAATGAGTGTTTGTTCTAGGTGACACAATTTCATAAAAGGTTTAGTTATAAAATTCATTTGTTATGAATTTTGATAAATAGAATTTGCTTTCGTGGACAAAATGAGATTTTCTTCTGAAAAAGTGACCTTTGATGGTTTGTTAGATACACAATTTAGTTGTCTAATTTCAATCTTCAAATTTTCAGTAAAATAGAACAGAGCAGCTATTAGAAAAGTTACTGTACTAGTCCAGAGGTTAAAGAAAATTGAAAGATATATAAAAAAACGCTTATACCGAAGGTTTTTGGTAAAATAACGTTTTTTTTTTTTTTTAAACCAAGGTTCTTCAATAGTGAAAGTATAAATTAGCAACAACAACGAATTACAACATAACGACTTCATTTAACGACAATTCGACTGGACTGGACTTGCACTCAACGAACATACGCTTTTAACAACATGAGTGACGCACACAAAACCCTAATGACACAAATTAACGGCAAATGAACTAATAACAACTAAAAAGAGATGGCACGATGACAAACATTCTCATTAACAATAACGAACCACAAACACGATGCACGACAGACAAAACAAGTTGTATAACATTACTCCCCCCTTTGAAAGACAAGCCTCCTGGCTTGATCTCTCGAAGGGGAAGAAACATAAAAGTATTATAAGGCAGCACGAAGAATCAAATAAAATAACTTTACTGAAATGAGTAAATCAAGTACCATCTAAGAAATAATGTCCCTGTCCAAGTTTATTCCGTCCATACGGTTCTCTATCCGAGGCTATAACAACATTATGTACACGTAAAGGTCCTTCTCTTCTTTTAGTGTCAATCAAATTTTTTTCATATGTTGTGGCTAATAAACCCTCGTCAACTTCCATTGGTTTTGAAGAAGGCAGTCGCGTCACCATTGGTCGTGATAGTTTATGTGACTCCAATTCATTGACAATCTCCTCCAATTTCTTAACTCGAGTTTGAAGATCTTGAAAGTGTGGCTCATTTCTTTTGATGTTGCCAATAAAGGTAACCCGAGGTCGCTCTTCAGCTACCGAGGCAACAATCACAGGTTCATTTTGATCACACTTCTCCTGGGATGCTAAAGAAAATTTCCTGTCCCTACAATATTTGGCAACGTGACCAACGCGCAAACAACAATAGCAAATGGGCTGGCCATCTTCAGCACGATAGACATTAGTTCGATTCACGAAGAAATTTCTCCCATTCTCCTCTGCCAACCTCACCCTTTCGGCCATGTGAGATACAACGGTCTTTATAATATCCAACAGAATTTCTCTGAATTGTTCTGTTGAAATCATTTCCATTTTTTTTTTTTGCGAATTCGTCACGTCGTGGTCACCAATGTAAAATAACGTTTTTTTTTTTTTTTAAACCAAGGTTCTTCAATAGTGAAAGTATAAATTAGCAACAACCAACGAATTACAACATAACGACTTCATTTAACGACAACTTCGACTGGACTGGACTTGCACTCAACGAACATACGCTTTTAACAACATGAGTGACGCACACAAAACCCTAATGACACAAATTAACGGCAAATGAACTAATAACAACTAAAAAGAGATGGCACGATGACAAACATTCTCATTAACAATAACGAACCACAAACACGATGCACGACAGACAAAACAAGTTGTATAACAGTTTAAAGGCCAAAACTACTGTTTAAATTTTGATCACCCCTTCTTCATAAAAGTCCTGATGCTAGGTATTTTTTGACGAAGGGGTGGTAAAACTTCTTAAATTGTTCATTTCTCGCAATTTGATTGGTTCAAATCGATTGAGACTCCTGCTTTGACGATTCCTTTCGCAGCCAATCAAGATTTGATATCTTTGCTTTTTTCCCCTCCAATTTTCCTACCTTGGCTACCCTAATGTTTGTTATGTAATAGCTTCTAAAAGTTATGATTCTTATTTTATTGCCTTCTTCGTAGTTCCTATAGACGTCGTGGGCTCCAATGCCACTTGAAAAATATGTGGGCCAAGGGAAAATTTCACAATCATAACAGCTCTATTGTTTTGCATAAAAGCGCGTCTTCATCGAAGGTGAGGCCCTGAAAGTAGGACCCAAAGGGGGGGGGGGCAAAATCAGTGGTGCAGTCGTAAATTCTTCGGCAATAAAACGCAAAAGGCAAAAAACAACAGCAGCGTTTCATTAGCGCTTTTCAGAAAGTTTTTGTTAATTTTAAGGCGTCTCTGCATTGAACATTTAACTGTTTGCGTTATACTTCATGCATCTCATCATAGTTATGTATGCGATGTTTTGCAGGTCATCTTTTCGTCCCTTTTCAAGTCTTTCGCATCCTCTTTATTCAAATTGGTATCTTCTCTGTCCCATTTTTGTGTCCATTTGGCAACATGGCTTGCCTATTTATCACTCATATTTTTCTAAGTTTTCTACAACGTAAAGCCGTTTCGTTTCTGATCTTAAGAGAGTGCATTTTCCAGGGAACTAGAAGCATCACAATTCGAAAATTTCTTGCCCCTTCGGCGGCAACCATGGTGCCGCCTCAGGTAGTAACTATATATTTTGCCCGTCCCGATATAGAGATTTGACAAGACTAATAGGAAAGTCGGTTATTATCATACAGAGTTAGATTGACAAAACGTATTGCAGAGGTTTGTGACACCAGCTAAAAAGTTTCAGGCAATAATTTTTTAATCAGGTAAATTTGCATTCCACCCACTGATCTACCCCCCCCCCCCCAAACGAGGCTTGCCTCGCGACGGCCCTGCCTGCTATATGGGGCAAATCAAATTTTTTTTCTGTCGGCAATTTGACACATCCAGCGTCGGCAGTTACGGAGAATATAAACTTCGGCACCTTCAAGGTTTGTCTCTAGCGCCACCCCTTTCCACTACACCAGTGGGCACAATGGGAGCGAAAAGGGAGCGAATCGCCAGAAGCTGCACCAACGACACAACAGCTGAGAAACAACAACAGCAACAGCAACATCAACATGTTTCGCGTGCGCAGTGGTTTTGCCCCTCCCCTTTTCATTCCATCCCAATCAGATACCAAGAAAGGATGGGTTTTTTCTGGATGCTCCTAGTAGGTGTTTTGAGCATCTTGCTCATCGTGGAGATATTAAAGTGGCTTCGCAACTTTTTTACTGCAAGTCAGAGGTCGAGGGGCCCAGACATTCCAAGCCCGCCTGCCTACCCAATCCTTCGTCATATGCCATATTTTCTAGACAACATTGATGATGACAAAAAACTTTTAGCATGGGCAGAAAGCTTCAAAGAAGAGGGGATGTTCGTCATTGATACGTTGTTAGGTATGAAACTTTCGAAAGAAGCCATTGACGGGCACATGTTGCTCAGAAAATCAAAGTATTGCCAAGTAGAGATCGATTATTAGGAAATGTTTTTCAAGTTTATGAAAGTGAAGAGTGAAGTTTGTTTTATTGTCTTCACCCTTTGATTTATTCAAACCTAACCCTTTTGCTCTCCTGACCCATCGGCCTAAATAGTGATTGGTGGCTTGGATATTTGCAATGAGAAGACAGCATTAGTTTATCTGAGTATAATGACGTTTCTCTGAAATTGGCATCAATTGTTGGAAAGTGATGTTGTCTGTTAGGCTGAATGGGTAAATAATATTGTACAAATTTCTTATCATTATTAATGTCAAACGAAAAAATAAAAGTGTTCTAGCAAATTTCCCAATTTTGAATCGAATAAGAAAGGCATTTATTTTTGAGAGGCGTTTATTCAGGGTCTTGCAGTTGAGTCGTTTTTCTGAATGACACAATTTCTAGTTGTGCATTGTAAATAAGCGCTAGAGGGGTTTGTTCAAGTAAATAATATGAAAATTAAAAAACTTATGAACATTTTAATTTGTGTGTTTTTGTAGTAGTTTCACACCTCTGGTAACTTAGAATCTAAATTTGATATAAACTTGTTTGTAGGGCCTAAAAGAATCTGTATTTTCAAAGAAGATTTTATCAAGCAGGTTCTTGTAAGAAACTGCACAAAATATGGTAGATCCAAGCTGCTTGCTGGTGTTTTTCCACAAGTCAAGAAAGGAATTCTTTTGGTGAATGGCAAAGAACATGCTTGGCAAAGAAAGATGTTGAACCCATCATTCTCATTTTCATCTCTTTTGCCATTTGTGGATGTTTTTGATGCCAATGCAGACAGTTTAGTACAGGTATGTAGTATAGACGCAAAAAAAGGATTGCATAAAATTCATCTTTTAACCTTGTAGATTCATAACTTGCCTTTTGAAATATAATGGATAACTAAATTGTTAGGTTTTTATTTCTACTCTAGTACTGGAAGGAGAAAGCCAAAAGCACACTCTCTGGAGTTGTAGAGGCAGATATACATAGGGATTTCACCAAACTGACTTTAGACGTTATTGGGGAGACAGCATTTGGCTATAATTTCAATACACTTACTACTGGGGAAAACAAGGTCAGCCAATCTGTGGAGCTTATCTTGGCAGGAAGATCAAGTGTGATGGCCAGACTCATAAGAAGAATCATACCGTTCTATGACTTGATTCCTTTCCCAGAAAACACCAAAATGAAAAAGGCTGCTGAAATTGTTAATGGTGTTGTTGCAGAGGTTAGATACTAATGCTTGCATTTAATGTCTCACTGATTTTATGAAATATTTTGTCATGTGAGATAAAGCACTTTTGTGCTTTTCTTCTTTCAGAGTTTTAATTTTAAAAGCCCAAGAAAGGTTTGAGTAATAAAAATGTGTATTCATTTCAAACAATGAATTGGCAAAGAAGGAGGGATTTCATTAAATTTAATATCTTGTAAGCTAATTTTTAACTGATAAGCAAAGATACCACAGAAACATATGAGTTTGATTTGCTCAAGTGCACCTCTGTAGCCTCTTATGCAATAATGAAAATATAAAAATAGTATGGGATTGCAGTAAGAATGTTCTTCTGGATTTCAATTTCTTCAAATTGAGAGGTTATTCAGCAGCAGCCAAAAATATTATGATGAGGATAAATTTTCTTTCTCTATTTCAGGCTGGTCAGAATGCAGGGATAATTTGATAAACCCATTGGTGTTGAGGCAATACCTCAGCCCATTGGGTCTTATTCAAGGGTGGGGGGTTAATTCACAAAATTACTTTAGGGTTGGGGAGTATTAGAGGGGGCTTATTCGAAAATTTGGTTTATTTGCAGACTTTTGGTAATTATGAGTGAGTAAGTTTGTCTAATCATAGATTATGATAATTTTGGCAGGAATGGCACCCAAAAATTATTTTTTCCACAGCATAACTTCCTTGCAAACTTTGTCTTTTTTTGAAATCCAAACTAAGAGTACTATATGACTTTGCTTTTAGGTTATCAAGAATAAGCGAGAGAAGTTGAGAAATGGAGGGGATCCCAACGGTGAGATTTCTAAAGATTTGCTTGGTAAAATGATTCTATTACAAGATAAAGAGACAGGCAAGACACTATCAGATGAAGTGATTGAAGCTCAAGTTCACACCTTCATGGTTGCTGGACATGAAACAACAAGTGTCGGACTCACATGGATTTTCTATCTTTTGGCAAAGCATCCTGCTGTGCAAGAAAAGGTACATGCATCAGAAGCCCAATAGTTTGAGTTTTTGAAATTTTATCCAATTTACAAGGATGAAGTATGATTTATCCTCTTTTTGCACTAAAACAGTATATGAACAGGGCATGCACTGATCCTAAACTGGAGGGGTTAGCAATATAAAGAAAATTTCCTCTCACCTCCAAGGCAGCTGCCATAAAAATTTCATGGGTATCAAGTGTTAGGTTGCTGAACAGGAGATTTTTCAATTAAATAGAATAAAAACAACATTGATGTTGAAAATAGAAGGAACCACCTTCCCTGTTCAGTAACTGTTAACTTTGTGATTCATAAACAGTTTTCCTACTTGGTTAAGTTTTTGCTAGCTTGCAGTGTATTGGATATGAGCATTAAAAAACCACTCGATTGTTCCTACCTGATGCAGCACCCCTTCCTGCAGAAGGTGGATAAATTTTCGAATTTTCATGCTTCCAATTTGCTGAAAAATGCAGTCATGGAAGCAATTTTTGCTACCTTACAATACAACCTTACTCTTAGAACTAATATCCGCAGGCAAGTCTCTATTTGAGAGTTTTAATCCATTTCTGGTAATCATTCTCGTTCTCACTGAGCAAAGATATTAAAATCAAAATTAATGAAAAACAATCAAATATACCATTCAACTATCATAAATATTTTTAATTTATGCAACCACCAAGTTTACCTAGTTAGCACCAAAAATGCCAAATTTGCAGATTAATAACTCTTGTGGGTTTTTACAAAGCCATTACTGCCCCTGCTTACCTCCTCTAGCCACAATTGTGGCAAACATTTTGCTTCTTGGCTTATGCTGTTTTACTTGTGGACTTTAGTTCAATATATTTGTTGTTATCAACAGGTTTATCTATATAAATCATTTGAGCTTATGTTCATCTGTCATTTAGCGAAAAAGTGGGGAATTTCATGCTCCCCTACCCCTTGAAATGGGAGCCCTGGTGTAGGTGTGGTATAACCTTTGAGGCATTTGACCATTTGTTGAACTTTCAGCGCCATCCATTCTTCTTTGCCAGACTATAAATTTTGATTTGTTTCAGGCCAGAGGAGAAGCAAAAGCTGTTCTTGGCAGTTCAACATCTGTTAGAAGTGAAGACCTTGATAAACTTTCCTACATAACTGCAGTTATAAATGAATCCCTCCGAATGTACCCTCCATTTGCTGTTTTTATGAGAGAGGCATTGCAAGATGATGTAATTGGTGGCTACAAAATCCAAAAAGGTTCATATATTCTCATCCCTATCTGTGTTCTCCATCATATGGAGGAGAATTGGCCAAACCACAATGATTTTAGGCCGGAAAGATTCCTTGATGCAGGTATTGGTCATTTTATGTTTTAAAATTATCGCTGGGAAAACAACGTTATTCGAAAGCTCTGTACTTTAAGAAACACAAATTCAGAATTTAAACTAACCCTTAGAGGCAGAAAATCTGAGGCAGATGAACCTGCAGTTCTTGTTAGTTTTAACTGCCTAGAAAAAGCTGCAACCTGTTCATCTGCCAATGTACATTTTCCAACCTGTATATTACTGCCAACAATCTTTTGGTGGTACAAAACTTGAAAATGGCTTTGAGAAAAGCAAACATTTAGTAAACTAAAGCTTTTCGTCTGACACTCTTCAGAGTTTAAAACGTCAGAACACAGACCGAAAACTCTACGCTAGGAAATATATATACCCAGTTGTGTATAGAAATGGGCCAATCAGAAACACGAGCACATGGCTGTTAGGTGCCCCGCAATATTACTGCCCCGCAAACCTTGACCTGCAAAACCATTCTAAAATTTCAAATGTCATTCTCCAAGTTTTGATTTGTAAAACTTTTTTTCAGGAGAAAAACAGTCTGAAATTGGTAATTACACATTCATGCCGTTCTCAAATGGTCCTCGCAACTGCATCGGGTGGAAGTTTGCAGTTATGGAAATGAAAGTTGTTGTTGCAAAACTACTGACCACATTCAAGTTTGAGCTTGACCCAAGACAGAAAGCAATTTCTACCAAACTTCGACTATCATTAAAGCCCTTTCCAAAACCAATTTTAAGAATTTCAGCCATCGAAGGGTAAGATTCTTTTCAAGGCATGCAACAACTGATTTTCCTTTTGTCAAGAATATCAAGAAAACTTAGCATACAAGACATCGCAAATCTTTTTCACAATTACAAACAAGGCGAAATCAAGAATATCTTAAGTAATATTAATGAAATGATATGACTATCAAACTTAGTTGCTCACTCACAATAACAGCAGTATGATCGTTACAGAGCATGTCCCATTTCCCCCTGACCCCATTTCTTCCCGTATAAATTGAATTCATGTAGAACGTTTGTTCGACGATAAAAGCTTGTATTTGCGTCTTACCCAATAGAGTTCTAGAGTGTGACGTCACCAAAATCATATTTTAAGAATTTTTGAATTTTAACTACATAACATTAGAGATCTCCATGAAATACTCCCATTTAGATATGCAAAATTTGCCAAATATGTCTAAAATCGGTTCAGATATGGCCAAAGAAAGACTTTTAAGTTTCCCAATGAACCACTGTTATTTTGGTTCTGTTCATAGAGTTATGAACAGAGACCAAAATACAGAAGTTTGATGGGGAAAGAGCCAATACACATTTGGTCATATCTCTGCCAATTCATAAGACAATTGACTAATTTTCCATATTTAGAGGTATTTCATGATGCTCTTTCATGTTATTGAATCCAAGTACAAAATTTCTAAAAAAAAAGATTTGTGTGACGTCATCACTTTAGAACTCTTTGGCAGCGCAGTATAACATTCAAAATCCAATCTACCCAGCGAAGGAAACAAACAACATTATCTGTTTAGTAAAAGATGGGTGCCTCTACAATCCAAATTGTTTTGTAGAAAGAACGCCTAAAGTACAGTATTTAAAGCATAATAACTCTAAACATTAAACTCTAGAAATACCAACCAGTCTTATAGAACGCTTTCAACTTTTCGAGAAGAAAATGATAGAAACTTTTTTTCTTCTAGAAACCAATCTTCATTCAGGCAACGTCTTGCAAAAATATAGCCGGAATTGAAAATATATGCTATGATATATGCTAAAATAACAATAAAACTTTGCTTTCTGTTCTCAGCCAAATGATGGTTGAAGAAAATCGATTTTTAATTATTGCAGGAGCACTTAAAGATTTGTGCCAAATTAATTGTTTGTTTTAAGTGTATATTCATGACAACTTTACTCTTACATTGATAACTCATCATTGGAAGTGGTATTCGAAACAGAAACTCTATCAGCGAAAGAATGAAACAGTACCCCTAGGCTCTGTACGATTTTGTAATGGAATCGCCAACGAAATCAGTATTATATTTTTTGTAATGGAATCAGTATTATATTTTTCTCTAACGACAATATTTATTAAAATACATTTCAAATTTGAACATTGATGGTATATAACGGTAAAATGCATTGACGGCACATTGCAACACATATCAAACTTTTTATGCATGCAGACATACATATATTCATTCATACTTACTATGTTTTTCTGTCATATGAAAGAAATTTCTCAGCAAAATCTTAGTTTTTTTTCCTTCTCTACAAAATGCAACACACAGCATTTCTTCTTTCGAATCTTTGACTTGTGAAACGACACTAATGCATGTTGCGACAGAGTGTTCTCCTAGGTGTGTGATTACACATCCTATGAAATAGATTGATTTTAATTTGTCTATAAAAATATAATTAGCCTACTCGTGAAGTATGCAAATTTATGCTATCAAGTCTAGAAATTTTCTTTGTTGCCGCAGTTTTATGGATGATGGGATTGTTTAAAGGCGATATCTTGACACAATCAATAAATGCACACCTGAGTACGATCGAAGAACCTATGAACCTATACAAGAGACCTTGCAAAATTGGTCACTGCTATGCTCACTCATTATCTCTCTGTATTCTTTTAAGGTTCCTAATAAACTTATAATCCCTTACAATTCTCCTTTTTTCGAGCTTTGAGTTAAAATTTTGTGTTTTATAGAAAAAATTTTTTCGAAACTTGAAACACTAAATGAATTAGGGTCCTAATAAGATCTTCGGGTGAGAAAAATGTCGGAAATTTGACGCCAATCTTGCTATCATGCCGTTTATAGTCTTTGTAGTCTCCATTTAGGCCTATGTAAATTTTTTCGGATAAAATAAGGGATATGAATGATTGCATATAAAAATTAATAAGCGGGGGGTCCAAATAAGCTCCAGTGGGGTCAGAAAAAAATCGAAAAATTAATAAGCGTCCCCCCTTCTATAAAGGACCTTAGAGTACGTCTCTGGTCTCACGACATACAACGCCATACTTCTTTGTCCATGGAAAGGACTTTCAAAAAGGGACAATCTTTTGATTAAGGATACCATTGGCGATATACCTCCAAATCCTCCTATTTTATTTCCTTTTTGGTGCATCCCTCAACATATGATGCAAGAGAGGATGGTGTCCCAGTGGGTTCATCACCCTCGTAGGAAATTTGAGGAATATCCTCGTCGTCTGGAGCGACGGAAGAAGATGAAGGACCCGCATCTGTACTCAAAAAATCTGGGCCCACATTGAAACCCGTTATCTATGGATTCGGCTGAGAAGAAACTCTCATTGCCTGGAGATGGGGCATGTAAAGGAGGAGAAATCCCATCAATTTGCTACTGGAGCGCTATTGATGTTGGCCGTTTTGGCCAGGAGACTGCCGCAAAGGTCGGAATTGAAACTGACGTGACAGGGTGAGCTGTCATTAAAGCAGATTGACCTGCATTCAACTTAGACGGAGCTACGCATGAAGTAGATTGAACTGTGGATGTAGACTGAGCTGTTGGATCACAGTCAAGGCCGATTTCCATTTGACATTTTTTGTGCGCGCGGGCGTAGCGCCCAATTCTGAGCATGCGTAGTTAAAGTCAAGTGGTCTCGATTTTGCGTCCGCTGTGAGCGCCAGAAAGTTGATAGGGTCTCAACTTTTTTGTGCGCTCGGTCACTTGACAGCAGCACTTAGCTACGCATGCTCAGATTTGGAGCGCACAAAAAATGTCAAATGGAAATCGGCCTTTAGACATCCTCGGACGTTTTTCACCACAGAGGTAAGTCCGAAAAAGTTCACCAAAGTCATTTAAAGCGTCTTTAACGCTCTTTACCTGTCCCTGGAGGTCTTCAAATTCCAACCGAAAAAATTCCTCTAGTCCTCTTCCTGTCCTCACTGATATCCAAGGCATCTTTAGAAAGGGGCATTTCCCCCAAATCCGGAAATTAGCCAGAGTAACACCTATTCATAAGGCGGGCACAAAAACAGATGTAAACAGTTACTGACCTATCTCAGTGTTATCAGTTGTGTCTAGAATTCTAGAAAAGATTATACACGACCAACTAATGGAGTTTCTAAAGAGACAAAATTTTCGAGAAAAAGGATCCATCGCTCGTTTTAAAAGAGGTATTAGAGAGTATCTTTCGAACCTTCCACAGGACCCAAACACAACCCCTTGGTAGAGCAGCAATATGCAAATCGTTCTTTTTTTAATAGTTCTTTTTTTGTAAATAGTTCTTTTTTGCTAAGGAATCTCGTGTAAATAAATATTGATTGATTCATGAGGCTTGGCAGAGTTGAGAAGTTCATCTTCACTCAATAAAAGTTCTTCTTCTTCTTGACAAATTGCGGATTGAAAGATGCGCTCAAAAAACTGAGGAGGTTCTAGCAGGGGCGGATGCAGAAAGAAATCTGACATTCGCAAAGTTTCGACCACGCCTATATGACCACGCCCAAAAAAAATCAGTCACATTTTACTATAGTCTCAGAATCGAAGTTTTCCACTTAAAGTTGTATTTTTCCTTATATTAAGTTTTAGGATTAGGAAACAGAAAATGTTGAGGCTCAAAGGTTGAGAAATTTAAGGATAAATATTAAGAATAACAGCCAGGTCTGGATTTCATTGACAATTTGGCATTTTACTTATTGAGTGAACAAGAAAAGAGATCTCTGGAAAAATTTTGAGAAACACTCATCAAGTTTTTGTTGTGTTGGCATGTTTTGTTTCCTACATGGCTTTTTTGATGGAAAAACAGCAGCAAAGATTTGAAATGTCCTCTTAATAATGATTTAATGGCAAGTCTAGGCACAGAACCAAAAATTGTCAAGAACAAAGAGGATGAGCTAAAATAAGGGTATATTAGATGTGTGTATCACCCCTTCTCAGGGAGAAAAACTCATGAAAAACATTTTATGTCACTCACTTAAAAACAGCCATTTAAAGAAAGGAATCTTAGTTCTATTTATACAATGATATTATTTAACAATCAAATACTGTGTTTAGTGTAGAAATTTTCAATGCAATATCCACCCAAATGTTTGACTTCAACACCAAGTACCTTAGGGGCTCAGAGCTTTTCTGTTATTTATTTTGTGCATTCACCTTTCTATCTAAACTGCTGTGTGATGTGCCTTAAACATGGCCAAAAATACCAGTTAGGTCAATACACATCATACAATTTTAGTATTTTCAGGTGTTGGTAAAACAGCAAATGTAACAGAATTTAAAACAATTCATTGTCTTTCCATAACAAGAACATCATAAATATATATTATATACAAATTTTAAATGTACATCAAACAAAGTCAGTAATGGCAAAGAAATAAGGCAAACATGGTAACTTTTACTTTATGGATTTATATGAGATATTTACTTGGCAGAACCAACTTGCTGTGAATTTCTTATTAATAATGTAGTAATTCCCCCATTAGGATCATTCCATTGATTGCACTTATTTACTACCCATATTTACATTTATTTACACACACAATTACATAGAAAAGAAAACTGTCAGTCACTTGCAAATTCATAAACAAAAATTAATGAATCTTAAGGGTATTTCAGAACCAAAAGTTTCAAATGGTATACTCTTATAGTGTGGAAACCACAAATAATTTTACTAGTTTTAGAGGTTAAACTCGTGAAAAGGGTTACCATATTTATGGCATGACCAGACAAATAAAATCAAAATACTATTACAATTTCTCATTTACAAATATGGCAGTCTAGATTTTTCCAAAACCGACAGCATAAAATTAACAAGAAAAGAATACGCCGTAGAAAATGCAATATCTTATTCAAAAACAAATCCCCAGCACAGTCAAACTATTTACAGGTTTGTGATAATAACAACATCTATCAATAAAAAATATCTAGAACTCTAAAATTCAGCATATTCAAATTCATCAAGATATTTATAGAACAGCATCATTCGTCAGAATGCTACATCATCATTATCAAGATATACCTGACTTGAACCCTAAAAGTTCTGATTGAAAGCCTGCATAAAAATGGCTATTTACCTTAAAATGCAACACGTATTTTTCAAAATATTATTTGAGTCTGAATCTCTGTCTAAATAACGTCCTCCATCATGAAAATGAAAACATAGGCAAAATTTTGGTTCAACAATTTTAGGTCCAACTGAACTGTCCTCGCATATTGCCTTCTATCAAATTCCATCCATCAACCAAAATCTTCGACAAACTTTGAACATCTTCATAAGAAATTCGCTGATTCAAATTAAAAATCATCTTATATTTGACTCCTTTCACTCCCTCTGAAGTACAATTGCTCCTCTTCTGCAAGCAAATATCTCCACAGCTTTCCAACAACAATCATGGCGGTTGATGTGGAAGCGAGGTTTCAATCTCCTCTCTTTCCAAGGTTCTCTCCCTCAACTGGCTACCGAACATAGTTCGCATCTACCTTCGCCACATTCGCAAAAAAATTTCCAATATACATTTCCTATTGGTTTTCAGATGGCTAAATAACATAGCTGGACTGACATTCGCACAAATTTTTGGCATACATTTTTCAGTACTACTTCATTTGCGCACGCATGCCTAATATATTATAATTCCATTCGACATTCGCATCAAACCTTATTGGTGCTCTGTGAATTTATGCGTAAAAGGGGGAGCCCTCTTTCGAATATATCATCTCTAAATCACGAAAACGAGGGAATAAAACCTAAAAAGTAAACAACAAGGTGACATCATAGCAACTAGGGCAGGAAACAAAACTTTTATTTCTTGTATTCTGTGGACCTTTTTTTTATTATCTGGCCATTTCTAGTACAATATTCACAATGCTAAAATGTATTAACAGACAATTACAAAAAGACATGTGGAAATCTGACATTCGCCAGTGCGAATGTTGCGAATGTCTGGATCCGCCCCTGGGTTCTAGGATGGGGAGGGTTTTAATTCTTTGAATAGCGGATTGGATCATGTGACCGGAAGAAACTCGATGCGGAGAAGAGTGCAAGCAATTTTGTTATCAGGACATCAGGAGACCTGTGCGGACCTTTGGTACATAGTCGAAATTACTACTCGCGGGCTAGAGACACCAAGAAAGAAATGGGTATTGTGTCAGTGATTGTCGTGTGTGCTCTAATTATATCACTCATTATGGCAACATTAAAGAAACTGCACAACTTCTTTTTTGGTAGCCGTTTAAGCTCAAATATCCCGAGTCCGCCAGCCTATCCATTCCTCCGCCATGTACCATATTTTCTGCACGCTACCGATTATGACAAAAAAATGCAGAAATGGGAAGAAACCTACAAAAAGGATGGACTTTTCATGTTTGATGTCCTAGTAGGTAGGAAATTTCCTTTCTCTTTGTTATATTTTCATTATCGTTTAAATATTTGTTAATTTCTCAGGGGCAAAGCAAAGTTTGCATGTCAGGGCTCACGCCAAGAATTTGAAAGTGGGGGCAGGGGGGCTAGGCTGACGAAAATGGGGTGGCCGAGGCTTCTTCCACCTCTTATTGCAGCTTCGAAACTTTTTGCTTTACAAAAAAGTGAGGGGCCCTGGCCCACCTGCACCCAGTGGCAGTTAGCAAATCCAACCCACAATAGGGAATCCACCAGAATTGAAAGTAATACAGTTTTTGCTGTGATCTCAGGTGTGCACGAACAAAAATTAAAGTGTCAATTGTGCATTGGTTAGCAAGTGTGCACTTCAAGTGTGTGCATCCATGGCTGGCAGCATAAAAAAATATGACATTCTATGGATAAATGAAAAATGGGTCTGGAATATTTACCAGGCTCGTCAAAACTGGGCGGCTGGGTGGGCTGGAGCCCCCCGCCCCAATATTTGTCAAACTTTAGTATGTTTCTTTAATAACAGTGTACTGAATGAATGAAAAGGAATACAATGGGCAGCCTCTCCCCCAATATGAATTTCGTTCTGACGGCACTGTTCATGACATTGATGGGAACCAAGGATCCTATCTAGGCACAATAGCCTGCAAGCAGATTCTAATGCTAAGGCTAAGGCACAACAGGAAAATATTCTATCATAATTATGCCCCAAAGTTCTGTTTGGTTTGATTATGACATGAAGATAGGATAAACTTTAGAGCCTAAGAAGTTGAGCACAGTTTGAGTCACAAACTTATGGATAGCCCTGGTTGTATTCCACAGCGTGATTTCATGTCCAGCAAAGCACAGCTCATCTTTAGACTTTATAAATAAGTTAACTCTCAGGCAATCCTTAGAGTAAATAAACCTATATTTTTCAGAAACTTTTTCACCTGATTTTACTATTCCATGAAAGTGGGCACAATTTCAAAAAGGGGACACCAAACTTGCTTCATCTCAGTGAGTATGGCCCCAGAACCGCTACTAAAATGCATCCTCAGCTCATGTTTTTGTGTCCCTTCGGTGTGATATCCTCAACACCAAAGACTTGTACTTTTTACTTTTGTTAGGTGCATGTTTTCAAAAGGAGCAAGTTTAGCACACACAAAAGGTCAATATTTCATCTGATGTTCTTAGGTTCCTGTACATGGATATCAAAATTTGGCTAAAATAATTTGCTATAGTTCTTGAGCTGTCTTACTCTATAACAGGTACAGCAACAGGGACCCAAGTATTTTACTGACGGGCTTGAATTTTAGTTTGAAAGAGTTCATGAAATTTTGTATGCTTCTTTTAGGTCCAAAGAGGGTTTGTATTTTGAGAGAGGATTTTATCAAGCAGGTTCTTGTAACAAAATGTACAAAGTATGGTAGACCAAAGATGCTACAAAGTGTGTTTCCAAAGATGGGAGTTTTTATGGTTAATGGTAAAGAACATGCATGGCAAAGAAAAATGTTGAACCCTTCATTCTCCTTTTCATCTTTACTGTCATTTGTGGAAATCTTTGATGCCAACACAAACAATTTGATAAAGGTATGTGTTATCAACATTAGGGAAAGCTATTGAGAAAATTGTAAAGCTCTGCATTATCAACTGACTTTAACAGCCTATATTTTATTGTTCATCTTACTTTTTAGAAAAAGTGCTGATCTTTTATTTATTTCTTCTAGTATTGGAAAGACAAAGCTGAAAGCTCTTTGTCTGGAGTAGCTGAGGCAGACATTCATAGGGATTTAAGCAAATTAGCTTTGGATGCTATAGGGGAGACAGCTTTTGGATATAATTTAAAAACACTTACTACTGGAGAAAACAAAGTCAGTCAGGCTGTAGAGCTCATTTTGTCAGGGAAAATGGGCGTGGTTGCAAGAGTATTGAGAAAATACATACCATTCTATGACATGATTCCTTTCCAAGAAAATGTCCAATTGAAGAAAGCTGCAGAAGTAATGAATAATTTTGTAAATGAGGTGAGCAAACCTTTTGCTTATCTGTAGCCATTAATTATTAGCAAATCAATCTGTTTTTCTCAAAGTTTTTATCAGAATTGTAAGATTTTTCATTTTGTAAAGTTGCCAGTTATGTAGGGATATGTGTCCAAACTAAAGCAGGGATGGGCATCCTGGAGTCTGTTAGCTAATTCTGGAAATAAGGAATTGGTTCACAGATACAAATCCCATTCTAGACTGTACTACCCACCTGGATACAGAACATCATAAAGTCTAGCCTCAGGTAAAAAGGCTGGTCATCACAGGGTTCAATCATGATGTATTGTTGATTGTTTTATGTGTGTTGGTAAGGTCAAGTTGATCATATTCATCAGGGTTATCATTAATTCACACAAATTGCAGGTCCATAATTATATTTTATTAAGAATTTGTGTTATAGACGAACATTCATTGCTACAACTGAAGAAAATTATTCTGTCTGTGACTCTTTCATTATTTGATATTTTAAGCTCTGAAGAGTGTGAAACAAAAGGCTCAATAGTTTTAAAATGATTACTTTTTTCAAACCATTTTTTAAATTTTTTTCCAATAAAAAATTTTTTGTTCATCATACTCCTGATTTGTGGTTAATGGGTCTGGAACAACAAGATAATCAACATCAAAAATGTATTTTGGAGGTATATTGTGCTATCTGGGTACCAAAGAAATTTGTTTTAGTGTACTTAATTAATGATATTGTACATTAATTGACAGTTTGCTGACAAAAGCAACATTTGGTTTTCAGATTATCAAGAAAAAGCGAGAAGCATTGAAAAGTGGTGAAGATCCGAATGGTGTGGTATCAAAAGATTTGCTTGGTAAAATGATTTTATTACAAGATGAAGAGACAGGCAAAAGATTATCAGATGAAATGATTGAAGCTCAAGTTCACACCTTCATGGTTGCTGGACATGAAACGACAAGTGTTTGCCTCACATGGACATTGTATCTTCTGGCAAAACATCCTGATGTTCAAGAGAAGGTGCACACAAACTATAATTATTTGTTTCGTGTTTGCTCAGTTCTCATTTTGTCTTCCTAATCATAATCATAGTTAATATAATTTATAATCAAATGGTGAAAGCAGAAGGTCTGCAAGACAAAGGCCTTGTGTAAGTTGAGAAATAACACTGGATAAGAATATGTTTTCTATCTGCTTAGGACCCTCAATACTTTTTTCTAAAGCTGGAAGAGCTGAGCAGGCTCTTTTGGTACCCTACCCACAGTTACCTTGATTCATTTTTTACCCTTAAAGGAGGAAGGTGAGTTAGGTATTCTTTAGAAGTTTGGTACAGATCTGGAAGTATATTTTCATGTTTGTTTAACACATGCAGTTGATCAATCACAAATGAAATACATTTACGTGTCTAAACTAATAGGTCTGGCCATCATGAGCATTGATTAACTTATTAGATAATTACTTGAACACAACATAGAAACCATTCCTTTTATTGCAGGCCAGGAAAGAAGCTACATCTATTCTTGCTGGTACTGATGTGTTTCAAGGGGAACACCTTGAGGGCCTTAAATATGTAACAGCTGTCATAAAGGAATCCCTTCGCATCTATTCCCCTGCAGCAGTCAATATGAGGGAAGCATTGCAGGATGATCAACTTGGGGAATACAGTATCCCAAAGGGAACATATATCCTGATTCCTGTTTGTGCTATTCATCATATAGAGGAGTTTTGGCCAAATCCTGACAAGTTTATGCCTGAAAGATTCCTTTCTGAAGGTATTTTTTACTCCATTATCCCGAAGTCTCCATGAAATAGCTCTTCTTAGTATTTACCCTCATTCCTTTGAATTTAAAGAGCAGCTTAACAGTGAGGAGAGAATTATAAGGATCCTTTTATGTAGAGTAAATTTCAATAAAAACCTTTTGTTTTGATGTAACAATTATTGGTTAATGTGAAATTTACTTCATTGGTTCCCATGTTCCCATTCTAAACAAAAGATTTGTTTTCATGAAATTCTCTTACTTTGGATTGGCAATCGATGCATCTTTATATTGCAAAATTATTCACCTTTACATTGCATTTTATTCTTTTTTGCATCCCAACTTTATTTTTATTTGATATCACAATTTATGTTCTCTTGCATAACCAACGAATTTTTCATGGCATTTTAATATGATATCTTCCATTATGCATATGCCATTAGTTGCATATGCAATTAGTTGGTCGCGATCCAAGAGAGACTGATTCTGTTCACTGCTTCAACAGGCACAAAGCAACCTGAAATTGGTAATTACAAATTCATGCCGTTCTCAAATGGTCCACGCAATTGTATTGGTTGGCGGTTTTCAATGATGGAAATGAAAGTTGTCATTGCAAAGCTACTGACCACATTCAAGTTTGAACTGGACCCGAGACAAGAAGAGATGCGTACCAAAATGAAGCTCACATTAAAGCCCCATCCAAAGCCAATTTTAAGAGTTTCGCCCATTGATTAGTAATTCTGAGGTGAAATTTTGTTTTTCTATAATGAACTGTCGTCACTGTTGGTAGCCCGCTCGAATTTATAGTCCAGTTGTCATTTATGTTGTCAGTTAAGACACGCGACATTTACACATCAATGTGGATTCACATAGAAGAAATATAAATTTATATAACCGTAGTTTTAGAACAGTTTTTGTTTTAAACCTGTTTAAAACAGGATTGATAGTGAGACTGAATTTTACACCAATCACATAGAAATAGAATTGTTTATAACTGTAGTTTTAGAACAGTTTTTTGTTGTAAACGTGTTTAAAACAGGATTGATAGTGAGACTGAATTTGACACCAATGTGGATTCACATAGAAACAGAATTGTATATAACGGTAGTTTTAGAACAGTTTTTTGTTGTAAACCTGTTTAAAACAGGATTGATAGTGAGACTGAATTTTACACCAATGTGGATTCACATAGAAATAGAATTGTATATAACCGTAGTTTTAGAACAGTTTTTGTTGTAAACCTGTTTAAAACAGGATTGATAGTGAGACTGAATTTTACACCAATGTGGATTCACATAGAAACAGAATTGTATATAACCGTAGTTTTAGAACAGTTTTTGTTGTAAACCTGTTTAAAACAGGATTGATAGTGAGACTGAATTTTACACCAATGTGGATTCACATAGAAACAGAATTGTATATAACCGTAGTTTTAGAACAGTTTTTTGTTGTAAACCTGTTTAAAACAGGATCGATAGTGAGACTGAATTTTTCATTTTTATTAATATTATGTGCTGTGGCGCATACTTAAGGTTTCAAGTTATTGTATGTTTACTTGTTTATAAAAAATGTCAAGCATTGGAATCATTTGTCTTTGTTTCCCATTTGTCGTTGATCAACAATTCGATCTCTCGCATTAGTAACAGCATTATCGATACGATTACCATCCCTTTGCTTGCTACAGTGAAATTTTTTTATTGAGTGTGACCAAGAGAAAGTTTTTTATTGGGTGTGGCAACCCTCCATCCTGGAGTCAGGGAAGAGGGTTGCCTTGCTCATTTGAAGATTTTGGCTCGCCTGTCTCCCAAACAGTTATATATGAAAGTAGAACCGCATACCTGTATTGCAGATTTTCTAGTTCTTTGTTGTAGGTGCCCTTTTTTAAATTGTCTAAAGGAGTGTAAGAGAACATCTCCGCATGAAAGCAGACCTACCAAGTCACACGCATTTTGCGTGAGACAAATGCATTTTGGTCCTTTCTCACGCTCACATGCATCGAAGCAGGATTCTCACGCATTTTGCAACAAACTTCTTGGTTTATTTAAAATTTATTAAATTTTTATTCCAAATCCTAGCAAAATCGCTCGTTTTTAACAAGGCATGTTGGCAAGATAACAGCGACTAGATAATAAGATGACTAGATAACAGCGAATCTGCACAGGTTAAGTGATGTTACATTTATTGGCAAGCCTACACGAATAACAGGTTAGCTCTATTGCGACTATTTGGGATATCAGTTACAATACGACGCTCTGCTTGCTCGTACGTACATTCCTTCCTCTGCATTCCTGGTCTACAGTGCTGTGTGCTTTTGCAATCATTGCACAGCGCAAGTGCACCAGATTAATTTATTTCATGATTATGTACTGTTATAAATTCTTTTTCAATAAAAACAGAATAAAATGGCGAAAAAAGCCCCCTCGATCCCCCTGCCGCTTCTGCGGTCCCTGCTAAAAAGGTGTTTGCGAAGAACTAGAGGGCGTTGCAAAGGAAAAGTTTCTGTGGCTACGCCCTGTGACCCTGCTTTGCTTTATAGCTAAACTTCATGCATATGGTTTTGAAGAAAATGCCCTGGTTCTGTTCTATTCCTATCTTAAAAAACGGAAGCAGAGTGTCCGAATAAATAACGTCTACAGTTTTTTTCCAAGAAATTGTATCAGGAGTCCCACAGGGATCCGTTTTAGGTCCCATTCTGCTCAATTTCTACATAAATGACCTTTTCTCTTTTATAAAGCAAGCAACCATGTACAATTATGCTGATGACAACACGCTTGCTTTCCTTTCCAAATCCTTGCCAGATCTCGTCAGGGTTTTTGAAAATGAAGCCAACAGCGCTTTGTCATGGCTCGAACGAAATGAGATGATTGCGAACCCGAACAAATTCCATGCACTTTTTGTTAAAAAGGACCAGACAAATACTTCTGGCATAAATCTTAATTTTCAAGGACATTCTATCAAATCTGAAGAGACTGTCAAACTCCTAGGTGTAACACTAGATTACAAACTGAACTTTGACCCACATATATCAAACCTTTGTAAAAAAGCTGCGGCACAACTGAACGTTCTTAAGCGACTGAAGTCATTTTTTGGTTTCGCTGAAAAAGAAGTTCTGGTTCAAAGTTTCGTATACTCGAATTTTAACTATTGTCCTTTAGTTTGGTATTTTTCATCTTCAAAATCACTTCAGAAAATTGAAAGGATACAGGAACGCGCGCTAAGATTTTTGTACAATGATCATAAAAGTTCTTATGATGATCTTCTTACTAGGTCAAAAAAGTGTACAATGCAAGTTGCTCGTCAGAGAACCCTCTGTATCGAAATATTCAAGACAATTTGAATATTTGAAATTTGAATCCACCTTTTATGCATAGCATTTGTAGTTCAAGAACATTAAAACATCCTTCTCGGAATCCTAAAAACTTAAATCATTTTCGACCAAACCAAGTAACTTTCGGTTCCAAGAGCCTTAAAGCCATAGGACCTCAGGTCTGGAACTGTCTGCCAAATGAACTAAAATCAGCTGACAATCTTAACAGCTTCAAACGTGTGATAACACGGTGGGATGGTCCTAGCTGTAAATGCAATGTTTGCAAATATAATGATTTCGATATCCTGTAATAATTGTCCATTCATATCCAAGTTGCTTCAAATATTTAGCTTATGTATGTACGTATTTATTTCCTTAGTTATTTCCTCTTCATTTGTTATACAGTAGATTCGATTTAGATTAGGTGTATGTGTATATATCCATATATATATATATGTATAGCTAGAAAAAATATCGAATTAAAATAAGGTTACAAACAAACAAACAAATAAGAATCAAAATGGCAGGAAACTCGAGAAAATATTACAATCTTTTAATTTAAAAAACATCATAAAAGAAACAACACAAATCAGCACAACAGAAACTCTGATAGACCTAGTTATTTTGAGCAATCACATTGACAGAAATGTGAAAATCTCATCATGTAGAGCATATGAACCAGCTATATCAGACCACAAGCTCATTTTCTGCACACTTAACATCAAAAGCAGTTATGAAAAACCAATTTATAAATGTGTAAAAGATAGAATGGTCTTCAACCAATAAAAGTTTCAAAAACTCTTTGATTAAACACAATGGTGGGCTGTAACTACTTTTGAAGATGTATCTGATGCCGCACATTCTTGGGAATGCATGTATGAAGACACATTAAAAGATCTTATTAAGAAGAGGATTACAAAAGTTAGAGCAAAAAGCCTTCCTTGGATCACAAGAGACATAAAGAAGACAATGAACTAGCGATACAAAGCACTTCTGAGATGGCAGAGAGAATTAGAAAACCTGTCTTTGAAAGAAGACTATCAGGAAGTGAAAAAAAAAGTAAATGTAACATTAAGGAAGACTGAAGCCACACACTGGAAAGTTGGATTTGAAAAGAGGCTTCAGGCTCAAAAGAATTCTGGCAGTTAGTTAGTAAGATCAGGGGAAAGTCAAGTAATCCAAACATTTCTGGCTTGAAGGATGAGAATGGAAATATGAAAGTTTTAGATCAAAAAAAGGCTTACTTGCTAAATAAATTTTTCGCAAATATAGAAAAGAATCTAGCAAAGAATGTTAGCACTACAGTAAAGGAAAATGATGCAAGCTTCATAAAAATAGATGAAAAGAATGTTAAACCATCATATTGCTATCTTCAAGCCATTCAAAGGCATGGAGGTTGATAAAGTATCCCCAGAGAGTTAAAAATGGGAGGCGAGTCAGTGGTACCAGGCCTGCAGATTGTATTCAATAAAATCATGGAAGGCAAAACAGTACCTGACAATTGGAAGAAGGCTAGACTGAAAAGTGCCTTCTTCCAATTTGGTGCTAAAAAGAGACAGAAAATTAGCGACCCCCGTTCTATGTTGACCATACCTAAAAGTAGACAACAACCTAAATTGGAACCTTCACAAAGATGGGATATCAAGGTCATTCAAGGCAAAGGTTAGTAAGTTAAGAGGGATGTATTACTCATCTGCAACGGTCAGAGAAGAAATTTACTTTAAGACAATCATTTCGTCGATTGGCATGGCATGGAATGGCAGTCTGGAGAACGTGTTCGCCAGCACTGATGACTGAAATTGAAAAGACCCACGTCCGAGCTAATAAACTGATTCACAACTTGCCTAGTAATATAAGCATTGAAAACGTTGGATTACGTTTACAAAAGAAAGATCTTAACTTTTGTGCACAAATCCTACCATAGAAACGACGGACAGGCTAAGTCATATGTGGCCATGAACGTAAACAGATATGCAAAAAGGGACATGCTATTAATACCAACGGCATGCTCTGAGAAAGGCAGGACATCATTTAGTTATAGGGGACCGTTATTATGGAACAACCCAAAACCAAAAATTCGTGCAATAACAAACTTAAGTTCGTTTAAGAGAAAACTTAGAGACAATAAGACATTTTAGAAATGTCAAAAAATGTCTGATGTTTTTCACCACAGAGGTAAGGCCGAAAAAGTTCTCCAAAGTTATTTAAAGCGTCTGTAACGTTCTTTACCTGTCCTTGGAGGTCTTCAAATTCCAACCAAGAAATTTCTCTAGTCCTCTTCCTGCCCTCACTGATATACAATCACTGATATACAATGCATCTTTAGAAAGGGTCATTTTCCCCCAAATCTGGAAATTAGCCAGAGTAACACCTATTCATATAGAGGGCACAAAAATAGATTTAAACAATTACTGGCCTATCTTAGTGTTATCAGTTGTGTCTAGAATTCTAGAAAAGATTATACACGACCAACTAATGGAGTTTCTAAAGAGACAAAATTGGCTTTAGATATTCAGGAACAAAGCAATACGACGACGAGAATCCAATGTAACGAGATAAATTAAATTTGAATTTAATTTATTTTGAAAATTTTATCTCGTCACATTGAATTCTCGTCGTCGTATTGCTTTGTTCCTGAATATCTTTCGTATTATTACTCATTGGAAGATTCACAGAATGCGGCGAACAGCCTACTCTGTGGCTCTTCCTCCCTACACAAAATAGGCTTTGTTTGCTTGAACCAGTTTGGGTTCCAAAAACTGCACTGTACAATGACATGTCTATTGAATGTTATAGACCCCTGGTTCAAGAACACTGATGAGGGGAAGACAAACGTAAGTATATCTCTTGATCTCAAAAAGGCATTCGATACCGTTGATCATAAAATCCTATTGTCGAAGTTACAAGAGTAAGGTGCTGACGGCACTTACCACAGCTGGTTCACTTCTTATCTGACCAATAGGGAGCATTTCTGTTATTTTGACGGATCCATTTCCAGCAAAAGCAGCATTGAGTGCGGTATTCCGCAGGGCTCGTGTTTGGGACCCTTACTCTTTATACTAAACATTAATGATTTTGAGAATTGTCTAAAAAGCACGATCCCAAATATATATGCTGATGATACATGTGTGAATATCGCGTCAGAAAATCTGAATGAACTCCTAACAGATTTGAAAAACGAGCTGGAAAATATATCGAATTGGATAAGGATTAACAAACTTAGCTTGAACACCAGCAAAAGTGAGTATATGGTTATAGGCCATCGGCGACAACTAAACAAAGTAGGTAATGATTTGCCAGACCTTGTCCTCGAAAATGAAGTTATAAAAAGGGTTGACAAAACAAAATACTTGGGGATCAACATCGACGAAAGCCTTAATTGGAGAGAGCAGTACAGAACTATTAAAAACAAGCTGAAAGGGGGCTTGAGCTCCTTAAGAAAGTTGAACAACATCCTTCCGCAAAGGAAACTTGATCAAGTTCACAAAGCTCTCTTAAAAAGCCATCTTCGCTATGGCAACATTGTTTGGAGTGCCCTCTCCAACACCAAACTATCCCAACTGCAACGTTTACAGACAAGGGCAAAAAGGCTGATAGCGAATGCCAAGTATAAGGACGGATGAACTTGCAAATGACTCACTGTAAAGCCCTTGATCTCATTTGACCAAGGAGTCATGACATATAGAATCTTGCATGACCTCTTTCCCGAAAATCTTCGCCATAAAATCACTGAAAAATCCATGGTTTCAGAGAATAGAAACAGAACCCGTGGAGACCTGCAAATTCCCAAAGTTAGGTTAGAGTATGCAAAGCGAGGTTTCTATTTCTCTGGTGTCAAAAACTGGAATGATATCCCTAACAACATTCGAGAAAAAGAATCCATCGCTCGTTTTAAAACAGGTATTAAAGAGTATCTTTCGAACCTTCCACAGGACCCAAACACAACCCCTTGGTAGAGCAGCAATATGCAAATAGTTCTTTTTTTGCTGAAAGGAATCTCGTGTAAATAAATATTGATTGATTGATCAGGCTTGACAGAGTTGAGAAGTTCATCTTCATTCAATAAAAGTTCTTCTTCTTCTTGACAAATTGCGGATTGAAAGATGCGCTCGAAAAACTGAGGAGGTTCTAGGATGTGGAGGGTTTCAATTCTTTGAATAGCGGATTGGATCGTGTGACCGGAAGAAGTCTCACATCAGAACGTAATAAACTGTGCCGAAGGCGCTTCTATAGCATTAATCTGTGCAAGCACCGTGACCTCGATATGGGGAAGAGTGCAAGCAATTTTGTTATCATGAGACCTGTGCGGACCTTTGGTACATAATCGAAATTACTACTCGCGGGCTAAATACATCAAGAAAAAAATGGGTATTGTGTCCGTGATTGTCGTGTGTGTTCTAATTATATCACTCATTATGGCAACATTAAAGAAACTGTACAACTTCTTTTTTGGTAGCCGTTTAAGCTCAAATATCCCGAGTCCGCCGGCCTATCCATTCCTCCGCCATGTACCATATTTTCTGCACGCTACAGATTATGACAAAAAAATGCAAAAATGGGAAGAAACCTACAAAAAGGATGGACTTTTCATGTTCGATGTCTTACTAGGTAAGAAATTTCCTTTCTCTTTGTTATATTTTCATTATCATTTAAATATTTGTTTATTTCTCATTGGCAAAGCAAAGTTTGCATGTCAGGGCTCACGCCAAGAATTTGAAAGTGGGGGCAGGGGGGCTAGGCTGACGAAAATGGGGTGGCCGAGGCTTCTTCCACCTCTTATTGCAGCTTCGAAACTTTTTGCTTTACAAAAAAGTGAGGGGCCCTGGCCCACCTGTACCCAGTGGCATCGGCTGTTTAAGAGGAGCTTCATCAGTTGGCAAATCCAACCCACAATAGGGCATCCACCAGTATTGAAAGTAATACAGTTTTTGCTGTGATCTCAGGTGTGCATGAACAAAAATCAAAGTGTCAATTGTGCATTGGTTAGCAAGTGTGCACTTCAAGTGTGTGCATCCATGGCTGGCAGCACCAAAAAATATGACATTCTATGGATAAATAAAAATGCATTCTCAGCTCATGTCCTTGTGTCCCTTCAGTGTGATATCCTCAACACAAAAGACCTGTACTTTTTACTTTTGTTAGGTGCATGTTTTCAAAAGGAGCAAGTTTAGCACACACAAAAGGTCAATATTTCATCTGATGTTCTTAGGTTCTGTACATGCATATTAACATTTGGCTAAAATCTTTTTACAATAGTTCTTGAGCTGCCTTACTCTATAACAGGTACAGCAACAGGGACCCAAGTATTTTACTGACAGGCTTGAATTTTAGTTTGAAAGAGTTCATGAAATTTTGTATGCCTCTTTTAGGTCCAGAGAGGGTTTGTATTTTGAGAGAGGATTTTATCAAGCAGGTTCTTGTAACAAAATGTACAAAGTATGGTAGACCAAAGGTGCTACAAAGTGTGTTTCCAAAGATGGAAAAAGGTGTTTTTATGGTTAATGGTAAAGAACATGCATGGCAAAGGAAAATGTTGAACCCTTCGTTCTCCTTTTCATCTTTACTGTCATTTGTGGAAATCTTTGATGCCAACACAAACAATTTGATAAAGGTATGTGTTATCAACATTAGGGAAAGCTATTGAGAAAATTGTAAAGCTCTGCATTATCAACTGACTTTAACAGCCTATATTTTATTGTTCATCTTACTTTTTAGAAAAAGTGCTTATCTTTTATTTATTTCTTCTAGTATTGGAAAGACAAAGCTGAAAGCTCTTTTTCTGGAGTAGCTGAGGCAGACATTCATAGGGATTTAAGCAAATTAGCTTTGGATACTATAGGGGAGACAGCTTTTGGATATAATTTCAATACACTCATTTCTGGAGAAAATAAAGTCAGTCAGGCTGTAGAGCTCATTTTGTCAGGAAAAATGAGTGTGGTTTCAAGAGTATTGAGAAAATACATACCATTCTATGACATGATTCCTTTCCAAGAAAATGTCCAATTGAAGGAAGCTGCAGAAGTTATGAATGATTTTGTAAATGAGGTGAGCAAACCTTTTGCTTATCTGTAGCCATTAAAGAAATAGCAAATCAATATGTTTTCTCAAAGTTTTGATCAGAATTGTAAGATTTTTCATTTTGTAAAGTTGCCATTTATGTGCAGATGTGTGTCCAAAATAAAGCAGGGATGGGCATCCTGGAGTCTGCTGGCTAATTCTGGAAATAAGGAATTGGTTCACAGATACAAATCCCATTCTAGACCATACTACCCACCAGGATACAGAACATCATAAAGTCTAGCCTCATGTAAAAAGGCTGGGCATCACAGGGTTCAATCATGATGTATTGTTGATTGTATTATGTGTGGTGGTTATCATTTATCATTATGGGTTATCATTAATTCACACAAATTGCAGGTCCATAATTACATTTTAATAACAAATTGTGTTATAGACGAACATTCATTGCTACAGCTGAAGAAAATTATTTTGACTGTGACTCTTTCATTACTTGACATCTTAAGCTCTGAAGAGTGGGAAACAAAAGGCTCAATAGTTTGAAAATGATTCCTTTTTCAAAGCCATTTTAAGTTCTGTGCCAATAAAAAGTTTTTTGACCATCATACTCCTGATTTGTGGTTAATTGGTCTGGAACAACAAGATAATCAGCATCTAAAATGTATTTTAGAGGTATTTTGAACTTGCTGGGTACCAAAGAAATTTGTTTTAGTGTACTTAATTAATGATATTGTACATTAATTGACAGTTTGCTGACAACATTTGGTTTTCAGATTATCAAGAAAAAGCGAGAAGCATTGAAAAGTGGTGTAGATCCGAATGGTGTGGTATCAAAAGATTTGCTTGGTAAAATGATTCTATTACAAGATGAAGAGACAGGCAAAAGATTATCAGATGAAGTGATTGAAGCTCAAGTTCATACCTTCATGGTTGCTGGACATGAAACGACAAGTGTTTGCCTCACATGGACATTGTATCTTCTGGCAAAACATCCTGATGTTCAAGAGAAGGTGCACACATGTTTGTTTAACACATGCAGTTGATCAGTCACAAATGAAATACATTTATGTGTCTAAACTAATAGATCTGGCCATCATGAATGTTGATTAACTTATTAGATAACTACTTGAACACAACATAGAAACCATTCCTTTTATTGCAGGCCAGAAAAGAAGCTACATCTATTCTTGCTGGTACTGATGTGTTCCAAGGGGAACACCTTGAGGGCCTTAAATATGTAACAGCTGTCATAAAGGAATCCCTTCGCATCTATCCCCCTGCAGCAATCAATATGAGGGAAGCATTGCAGGATGATCAACTTGGGGAATACAGTATCCCAAAGGGAACATATATCCTGATTCCTGTTTGTGCTATTCATCATATAGAGGAGTTTTGGCCAAATCATGAGAAGTTTATGCCTGAAAGATTTCTTGCTGAAGGTATTTTTTCATCATTATCCAGAAGTCTCCATGAAATAGCTTTTCTTAGTGTTTGCATTCATTCCTCTGAATTTAAAGAGCAGCTTAAAGGCAATCTGTCACGATGTTGATTGATTATTAGAACAAAGGGATTATTATTTATTGTTTCCAGTCCCCCTTTAATTTATGGCATTGTAAAAAATATTGTGGAGCGCTGGAATTGTGTTCCAGCTATTGTTCTCGTTAACCAATCCACAACGAGACAGATTGCCTTTAACAGTGAGCAGAGAATTTTAAGGATCCTTATATGTAGAGTAAAGTTCTATAAGAACGTTTCATTTTGATGTAACGATTATGGGTTATTGTGAAATTTACTTCATTGGTTCCCATGTTCCCATTGTAAACAAAAGGTTTGTTTTCATGAAATTCTCTTACTTTGGATTGACAATCGATTTATCTTTATATTGCAAAATTAATCTCCTTTACATTGCATTTTATTCTCCTTTGCATCCGAACTTTATTTTTATTTGATTTCACAATTTATGTTCTTCTTGCATCACCAACTAATTTTTCTTGGCATTGTAATTTAATTTATTCGATTGTTTTTTAAGTCGCATATTACTTATTTTTACATCGGCATTTGATATCTTCTTTGCATTGCCAATTGAATTTGTGATTTCTTTGCATCACAAATTGAGCATCTAGCTAATAATAAGGTCCTTTTTGTTGGTTGGTGAAGTATGTAAAATTTCGATGCATATGCCATTAGTTGGTCGCGATCCAAGAGAGACTTATTCTGTTCACTTCTTCAACAGGCACAAAGCAACCTGAAATGGGTAATTACAAATTCATACCGTTCTCAAATGGTCCTCGCAATTGTATTGGTTGGCGGTTTTCAATGATGGAAATGAAAGTTGCCATTGCAAAGCTACTGACTACATTCAAGTTTGAACTGGACCCGAGACAAGAAGAGATGCATACCAACATGGAGCTCACATTAAAGCCCCATCCAAAGCCGATTTTAAGAGTTTCGCCCATTGATGAGTAATTCCGAGGTGACATTTTATTTTTCTATAATGAACTGTCGTCACTGTTGCTAGCCCGCTCGGATGTTTAGTTCAGTTGTCATTTGTATTATCGATTATGCACGCGAAATTTACACATCAACGTGGATTCAAATAAACATAGAATTATATTTACACAGTATCACTTTTAGAACAATTTTTGACAGTAAACCTTTTTCCAGACAGGAATGGTAGTAAGCCGGAACTTTTTTAACATTTAGTTTGTAAGTTCCACGTTTTTAATGTGCTTGCGCATAATGTAGTATTCAAGTTATTGTATATTTACTTGTTTATAAAAAAATGATGAAGCCAAATTTAAACATCTTTGGTGAAAAGTTATGCTTTTTAAGAGAAGGTGAGGCTTTTTAATTTTTACTGGAAGCAAGCAAGCCTTTGAATCATTTGTCTGACTCTTGTCTTTGTTCCTCATTTGTCAATGTTCAGCAGTTCTATTTTTCTAATTATCAACAGCATTCCTCATTATTGTCCTTATTAGCCAGGCCTTTGCTTGTTACAGTGAATATTATATACTGTTTTAAGGAAACAGAATCCCATACCTATTTTATTGACAATCTAGCCCTTTGTTGTAGAGTCAATTTATAAAGTGTCCTAGGGAGCGAAATAAGGCTATCTCCGAATATAATTTAATAGGAGTGTGAATGGTCACAAGAAGAGTTCAAATGAAAGTCAAGCTAATGAATCTGTTCGGAAATGTTCGGTGGTTTTCTTTAAAGCTAACAGCGTAAGAAATTGTGGCTCAAAGGTAAAAAAACAAAAAAGTAGACTTCTGGAAAAAGACAATGGCATCTTCACGCAAGACTTTGAAGCTTCTTTTTCGGGAGTTAAGTGTGCGATAAGACCCAGTTATGGTCTACCCACCTATTTACCCACCTACCATAGTCATTAAATTTTCCGACGATAACTTTTCCATCACTTTTTCCGACGATAACTTTTCCATCACTTTTTTCGAACTTTTACTCGCGCTTGTGCAAACGTATGCAACAACACAATAACGCTAGACATTTGTAGAGCGTTGTTCAACTAAGTAAAGCGGTGTTCAGTGAGAGGTCACCGAGCGTACTACACATTTAGACTCAATTTCTAAAGTGCAAAGATCTCAAGCGAGGTCACGTGATATTGGCGTTTAAAATATGCCAACTTGACAGTGTTAAAAGGGGTGTTTTAACATACTGAACAACGCTTGACAACATAAAGATCAATAGAAATGTTAGGCGATTCACTGAAGATTTTATTCTTCTTTTTGAGTTTCCCTCAACCTCTCTGAGCCTCGCCAAACATCACTGAATGTCGCTTGTTAAGATTTCCAAACGTACTTTACATTCACGCTCTACAAATGGAGGGAAATTGCTTTTGACATTGATGGATAGCGTGACGTTTTCTAAGCTGCATTGCGTATCAATATCAGAGTCACTTTCCATGACCAACCATGCAGATTAAGTTTTTCAGTTAAAAAGATACTGACATTCCTTGCCGCAGATTAAAAAGGATTTGTATCTTGTCGTGTATTGCTGCGTACATTTCTTTGTCACCTAAGATTTGGATAGTCATTGTGTGAATGTCAGGTAGAATTTAGGAGATATTTTCTGTGATATATTTATTCAGAAATCTTGTTAGCCTCGTTGTTAATTCGACTGTTAGAAAGTTGTTATGCAAATTGCATTAAACGTTTTTGAAGTCATTCTCCTACTGATCTAAGAAATAAGTCACCAAGCCGCCTCTCGTGGAAATCTGTTGATTATCTAATAACGATGTTCAATGGCCTTATTGTTCCATCAAATGAAAAGAAACTGTTAAGCAGTAGCAGAGCAGCTCAGGCTGATTAGCGTGAACAATTCGAATATGATGATTGTGTAGGTCTCAAGGTTTTTGTTTCTGTCACTAACCACTGTGACATGATCCGACATGTTATGGCTGTTCCTATTTAGGTAGCCCATGTGCCTTTCAATCTAAAATTCAAAGAGAACAAGGTACATACCATTCAGAAGCAAAATAAACAATAGTTGCATCTTCTGTATGCAATAAAGAAATGGCTACTTTTTCCGTTATCGTTGCTGGTGCTCTGGTGGTATCACTCTTTGTTGCAATATTCAAGAAACTTTACCACTCGTTTTTTGGCTGTCTTCAAAGTAAAGATATTCCCAGCCCGGCTGCCTACCCAATCCTTCGTCATATGCCGTACTTCCTTGACAGCGTTGATGATGATAAAAAACTATGTGCATGGGCAGAAGCGTTTAAAAAAGAAGGGATATTCAAGTTTGATCCATTGCTAGGTATGTTATATGGAAATTTTGAATCTTAATGTCGTGATGGAAATCAATAGGTCATCATTTGCTATCAACATTGCAACTTATATAAGTGTAATAACTATTTTACTATGACCGACCATTTTTAATGACCAAAATCTCAACTGCATTCTTTGATCTGGGTCTATGGTAAATTAGGTATGAATAAATACCCCTTACCCAAGACTCGGTCAACGAAAAAACAGGATAATGTGGAAGAATGATACAAAGACTTCTCATTTTTCCTATCACCAATAGGTGAGTCGTATTGGTGTTCCGGAGTAACTGCTTGAATCTATAATATAAAGCATTTTTGGCTAACTACGAAACGCTACATTACCCATTGAAGAACACAAGATAAAATTATCCAAGTCTCTTCCTTCACCCTAAAATGATGTTTACACCCTTCACCCGGTGATTATAATGCTTGGAACCTGAAAAACATTTTTTCCAACATGACATGCACTGCTATGAACATTTTTTAAGGATTTTTGAGTGGTAGATGATTTTGCCCACGCTCACCACCACAAATTGTATGGGGTAAAAATCCTGGCTTGTTTCAAGGGCTAGGTGGGTTGTTTCGCACATATATCTTGAAGACAACTATTTGATTAAGATTTGTTTACTTACACTGTTTATGCACTTACCAGTGGAGCTATTTCACCAAAACATCATGATAATAGAAAAGATAATTTTTTGGTACCGCAAAATTTGAAGATGGCGAATGTTTCCGGTGTAGTATGCTAATCAATCCCCCATGCAAAAGTGTCCCCTCTGAGGCAGTATGCGTTTCAGTAACCATAGAACGGGCAGCGTTTCAGTATTCAATATGAAGCGGAAGAAGCGTCATATTACACCGGCACATTGCCTGCACATTTGCATTATGTTAGCTCTTTGCATGGGCCTCACAGTGGCTTAGACATTCGGGGTAAAAGTAGCATTTTGCTTGTCAGCGGTGGGGAAGTCGTAGGGCTTGGTGGGGGTAATTCCTCCACCACTGCGTGGATGTTAAAAATGCCCTGCCACTTTCATTAAAAGTTAAACCAAAATCTTAAACTTTGTTTCTTTGATACGGATTCAGGTTGGGACAATTTACACGATAAAAAGAAACTTGGTTTGGGTTCATCCTTGACTAGGTTCAACCTGGGTAGGCTTCAGCCTGGGTTGGGTTCAACCGAGGTTAAAACTGTCGTGTAAAGAGAACTCTGAAGGTGAAAGAGGGATGGTTTTTAAAAGATTATTCAAGTTCTTTATTAATTACTTTTACTTGATCTTATCTTTTTTATTGACAAGGCCCCTTTTTTCAGCTCGAGATTTTTTTCTTAGGTTCAGAGATTATCTGCGTTTTCAGGGAGGAATTTCTAAAAAAGATTCTGGTGAAAAACTGTACAAAATATGGTAGACCAACGAATCTTTCTAAAGTCTTCCCAAAGATTGCAAAAGGGGTTTTTATTGTTAATGGTAAAGAACATGCTTGGCAAAGAAAAATGTTGAATCCTGCCTTCTCATTTTCGTCATTAATGGCATTTGTGGAGGTATTTGATGCCAACACAAACAATTTGATAAAGGTATGTATAACATTTTTTTAAGGTGGCGGTGTAGCCTCAGTGTAGTCTCAAGTTTAGTTAAGATTTATTTAGTAGGCATCAGAAGGTTTTCTCCTTAGAACTGATGTGCAATATAATTCATAAGTTATATATAATTATACCAATAATCCAGAAAATTGTTCAAGCTTTCAATGGGTAATTTCTCAATGCTTTGAAAACTTTCCTCAGCGAGCAAAGAAAACAAGACGAGGCAGGTCATGGTAATATTTCACCCACCTTAATCAGCATGACGTCACTTTCTTCTCCCATGCTAGAATATAACAAAGAAATTACGAAGATTTTGCTCAATTGTTACAAATTTCAAGAAGGTTTTTAAAAAGGATTTATAAACATCAATTCACACGTTAAAAAATTGTATAGGGGAAGCCAGATACGATGTAAGGTCCTACAACGGTATCAAGCTCTGCAAATATTCAGCATGTTTTAGTATGAAGGAATGATGGCTCTCTTTCAAGGTCTACAGAGTGACGTTACAATTTTGTCTTAACTTAACTTAAAAAGAATTAAAATCTGTCATATAACAATCTAAAAAGGAAAAGCACTTGGAACAATACTGCTTGGTGTTTCGCAAAAAAAACAATAAAGTAAAGTTTCCACATTATTACAACTCAATGCTTAATACTCTTCGAGTACTCACTTTTTCCAAGTCTCTTTGCCAACCAGACTCACGAACTATCCTACAAATCTACCTTCCTCTCTAGATCGTGTGAACTTTGGAATGCTCTACCCTCTTCCTGCTATCCAGACTCTTAAAACCTGTCTATTTTCGAAACAAAAATAAAAAAATTTGATCTTTCCTCTGTCTCTTCCAAATCTCTCCTCCCTTTCCCTAGCTAGGGCTTAGCTATAGGCTGTTGAGCCTTTGCCTTACATTACCAACAAAAAAAGAAAAGATCGTTTGAGAAGTCCATTCACGCCGTTTGCCCGTATTATAAAGCTGTGCATTGATCTGCTCTTCATCTTATAATTGCTTCCACTAGAATCATTTTAAGTTTCTTCTTTTGCTAACAAAAATCAAGTTATCATTGTTGTGTCTATGAAAAATAAAGAAAACCAAGGCACCTTTGTGACACGCCACCAAAAAAATCTTTCTTCTTTGCCTACCTGGGTCGAATAAACATGCATTTTGAGTTTCATGTTGTACCATTCCTGTTGATTATCCAGAATAGTCTTAACTAAGTTTGATTTGCTACTGCCATAGATTGTTCAGCTATCAATTTCTGATTCATCTTATCTTTCGTAGTGCTGGAAAGATAAAGCTGAAAGCTCCTTGTCGGGGGTTGCAGAGGTAGACATTCACAAGGATTTCAGTAAACTGACTTTAGATGTTATTGGGGAAACTGCATTTGGTTATAATTTCAATACACTTACTACTGGGGAAAACAAAATCAGTCAATCTGTTGAGCTCATTTTATCAGGAAAAATTGGTGTTGTTGCAAGAGTTTTGAGACGATACATACCATTCTATGACATGATTCCATTTCCAGGAAATATCAAATTGAAGAATGCAGCCAAAGTTGCTAATTCAGTTGTCACTGAGGTATTGTTTTGTTACTGATTTCCCCTCTAGCATAATCTACATTAAGATTCTATTCAACATTTCAATATGTTTCCAAAAATTGAGTTTGTTGTATATGTATATGTTGTAAGAAGCGACCACCTTATTTTAAAAAATTGGATTTTAATTCTTTTCTTCTAGTGAAAATCAGACGATACAGGGAAATGATTTTTCTCAAGTCATGATTACCCTATTGTTTTAATATTTGAAATAAAAGAAAGATAAAAAAGATGGAAGAGGGATTTTGCGATGTTGGCAACAACAGAAGATATAAGATATATTCAGTCAATGGCTTTGAAAAAAGCAAACATTTAGTAAACTAAAGCAAAGCCATTTACAAGTTTTGTACCACCAAAAGATTGTTTACATATATTTAGTCTCGATACATCGTTGTTTTTTATGTGACTGTAAATATTCGGACTGGTGAATATATCTGAGATCTTCTTTGACTTTTAGATTATCAAGAAAAAGCGGGAAATGTTAAGCGGTGGCGTAGATCCTAATGGTGATTTGTCAAAAGATTTGCTTGGCAAAATGATATTGCTGCAGGATGAGGAAACAGGCCAGCAGTTATCTGATGAAGTGATTGAATCACAAGTTTTTACCTTCATGGTTGCTGGACATGAAACAACAAGTGTTGCCCTAACGTGGACATTCTATCTTTTGGCAAAGCATCCTGACGTTCAAGAGAAGGTATATGCAGACTGCAATCGTTTGTTTGGTTCTTGATCCCATGATGCAATTTTTCATTTCTGTAGTATGGATTGGGCTAGTGATCCATAAGGCATAGGCTCCTTGCATGATGGTACCTCTCATTTGAATGTGTCCTTCATCATCAAAGCAATATTTATTTCTCACTCTAAATCACGTTTGGTATTATTTCCTCTATTGAAGAACTGAAATGTCATTGCTGTCTGTTTTAGTTTCATTTGTGTTTCTTGGACTGGTTTTGACTGTTGATTTTAGTGATTGTTGTTCAAAACCATAACTTCACAACATTGGCTTTCTTTCCAGGCAAGAGAAGAGGCAAAGACTGTTCTTTGTAGTTCAAATGTAGTTCGAAGTGAGCATCTTGAAGATCTTCGCTACATAACTGCGGTTTTAAATGAATCTCTCCGGATGTATCCCCCTGGTGCAGTCTTTCGGAGAGAGGTTTTGCAAGACGATGAAATCGGGGGCTACAAAATCCCCAAAGGTGCAAATATAATCGTCCCAGTGTGTGTTATGCACCATATGGAGGAGAACTGGCATTACCATAACCAGTTTTCACCAGAAAGATTTCTCATCGAAGGTAAGTAGACAATCGGGGACTTTTCATAACTTCTTGAGAGATTCAAGATGATTTTATGGTCAAGACCAAGGTCAATATGTAAGGCTACATGAAATTTTTTGTCTTGAGCATTTCTATAAGGTACTAAAGTCTGACATCAACAAAATCTATTTTTTAGAATTTTGGACTTTTATCAAGTAAGATAAAAAGAACGGCCACTCTATAAGTCCACAATCGATTAAAGTAATTAAAAGAGCCGAGTTTTGTGATGTCATCATTTTGATACTCTTTTCATCCTCAAAATTTTTGCTACTTCTCTCTTCATAGGCTTGGCTTTGTTCATTCCATATTCGTTATGAATTCTGTATTCCATTCATATGTATTTGAAAAAAGAAACTATTTTTTTGATTGCATTGTCTGGGGCATGCAAGAAAAGTTGTCATTTCTACGTTTAAGTTTTAATTGCAATTATCTATCAACTTTTTTTGCAAAACCTTCATAAATACAGGAGGTTGTTAGATGCTACACCGAGTTTCAAGCATAATGAGATCATCAGGCACCTCAGCAGCTCTGCATATACGGCAACGAGCACTTTATGACAGACCGGTAAACAGTTATTTCCATTTCTTTATTCAAATATGCATATAAATACTTGTATATAGATACTTGTATATAGATGCTGTTTCTATAAATACTTGTATATAGATGTTAAGAATACTAATCAAAATTTTTAACTCAGGAGAAAAGCAGCCCGAAGTTGGTAATTACAAGTTCATGCCATTTTCCAATGGGCCTCGTAACTGTATTGGACGGAAGTTTGCAGTGATGGAAATGAAAGTTATCATTGCAAAACTACTGACCACATTCAAGTTTAATTTGGGCCCAAGACAAGAACCGATGCATACCAAACTGCAACTCACAATGAAGCCCAATCCGAAGCCAGTTTTAAGAATTTCTCCCCTCGAAGACTGAAATTTCTGTGATTAAAGGCACAGACTTTTGGTATAATGTTATTCTATGTCCCATTTACGCAGGTTTTCCCAATCATTTGACTGTAGCTCAGTTAGTCTATATTATTATATATAATCTTATATAGTATTTCTATATAATTCTCTATTAAATGTCTATATAGTTCATACTTGCAGTAATGTTCAGGAACAGAATTTTCTTTTTCCGCGTCTCCCTCAGAAAAACTAAGCCATAACCCGCAAAATTTCAGGGTTTTAGGCTACGTTCTCTAGAATGACCAAGCAATTCAATTTTCTACTGGATAATGATACAGAATAACATATGAACTTCTTTGCATGGCTCCCTCAGAAAAACTGGGCTGTAACGATGATCGTTGGCTGCTGGTTCGTTACCATAGGTCGCTCGTTAAAAGCATAGACTTTCATGGTCATTTCTGTTATTAAAAGTAATACACTATGACTCTGTTTTGAATTTTAGGAAGGAAATGAACATGTGTCACTCCTCTCAAGGAAGGAGCTCATTTTGTCCTCCCCTCAGACCGATACGTCATCACTTATAGTAGCCTTTTATCCAGACCCATACAGTTTTTGACAGCATAGTTTTTCAGATGATCTTCACTTGGTCTATAATTTCTTCAGATCATTTTACATCAAGGTAGATGCCTGGGTGGTCCCCTAGCTTGCTGCTGGGAAAACTGTTTTAAATTTTTTCAGCCAACAAGAGGTCTGTGGAAATTTCTTGTGATTAAAGTATAACAGAGTGTGAGAGGATGCGCAAACAATGTCAAAAATAACTAATAACAGTAAATTCAGCAAAGTTGAAATGCAAATAAATCGTACAAATTCTTGTAAAGCAACAAATGTCATAAACTCTTTGTTAACGGCTATGGTAATCTGCAAGAGCAATGACGATTAATTATCAAATCCAATACAATTTTTGCAAAGATTTATTTTTATTTATTTACCTTACGACCAGTGTGCGACTATGCTATCAAATGATATGCAGCCAATTGAAGCAAAAACGTCACCTAATGTTTGCCATTTGCAACTGACATTAAATCTTTAGCCTTAGTCTCAAAGTAAAATCTCCGCTTGGCTTCAGCCAACCCTTTCTAAAATACTCCTTTACAAACCAACCGATGGTGCATTCAATAAAGGCCAATTTCCTATACAAATCAAAAGAACATAGCAAAGAACCCTAGTGTAACAATTTTCCAACTCACTTTCAAGTTATTTTTCTTGAGAGGTTGTAAATCTGCCCAGTGCTTGCCACGTGAAATAAAACTTTGCAAATGAAGGGTCTGATTATCGGAGCTGTCTAGTTTCCATACTGCTCGACCTGATGACGAAATTAGTTTACCCTAAACCTAACCCTAAACCTAACCCTAAACCTAACCCTAAACCTAAACCTAACCCTAACCCTAACCCTAAACCTAACCCTAACCCTAACCCTAACCCTAACCCTAACCCTTTACTTGAAATAATTAATCATACTAATTTATGACTATTAATCATGCTTCTTTATGACTATCAGGTCGAGCAGTATGGAAACTAGACAATTCCTTGATTATCAGGCTACCTCACACGGGGCACCATTGTAATGCATATACGGCAGCTCAGCAAACATGCAGACTTCGTTAAAATATTGGGCGATATTTACGGAATAAAACAATGTACTTTGGCGTCAAAGAACTTTTTTGATTGGAGTAAAGCATATCTTTCAAACTAAAGGACATCATTCCTTTTTTCAAGCTACCTACATATTCGAACAGTGAGACGCTTGTACCCAAAGTTAGGTGGTAACATAGATGTTGACCATAGTCTATTCACAATACTTCGACTTGGTTTCGTCTGTTTTGACTTACTGTGATAGGTTTCACAAAAAATGATGGGGTAGAAATAAAAGAATATGACAAAATTTCCAATAACGGAACATAGATAATAGCCATTTAACACTTGTTGCTTGTTTATGAAATTAGCCCATTATATATGATAATTATATTAATCCCCATTCCGCTTACCAAAATATGCAGGTGTTTTCTTTATGGAGCAACTTATTTTAAAACGAACCAAAAACTTAATATTGAAAATTAGGATCAGGTCATAGCAGTGTTTGTAATGCCTATGATATTTTCAAGAAATTGGAAAGATTGCATTCCATTAGCAGTCTACTTTGCTGGTGTGTATGGCATTGTATGGCATTAACCTTCGTACTGTGTTTATACTGCTGCATAGCAAGTACTTTTTTATGTGCATATTCTAAAACTTTTGCATATATATGGAATTGTTATTTCTCGAATGAAGACAAGTTGAATTTTGTTATACCATGCTATTGCTTAAAAACATCTTGATCAGATTTTTGGCTGAAGTGATTTGTTGAAATTCTTTAGGAAATGGAATGTTCCTTTTGTAGTTGTTTGGAAAGTTTGAAATTGATGGAACCTTGAAAGAATGTTACAATAGCAACACGGTGTTTATTGTGGGGAAAGAAAATTTCATTTTGCTTCGTGCAGAAGTAATAGATGTTTTAGGTGTATCTCTAAATGATGATTCATTTGCCAAATGGATTTTCCGCTTGTGGCCCTTATCTTTTAAGTATTTCGATTTCAAATGTCATACAATGTATAATTTACAATGATTTATAATGTATACGCATGATTAAGTTGAATAGAAATCACATCTGAAAGCACCATTGTGAGCACTGAAGGGACCTTCTGTGATTAAAAAGCGATTTGCTAATCGCTTTGTATTTCGCAACACGTTATGACAAAATCTTACCTTTTGATTCAGTCAAGGTTCCCTGTTTGTTTGATACCTGGCGTTTGAATTTACATTCTACTCTCTTAAACGAGGACGTTGTAGTTGTAAAAACAGCCGGAAACTAATTAACCTAGAACTTATTTGAACTCGTTGTTATATACAGGCCCGTCGCTAGCAATCGTGCCCAAGTGAGGTTTCCTAGTCCCATTTGCAAACAAAGTGGGTAAGCCATCCATTGGAAATTTACCAACTAAGCGCTCCTATATGGCAAAAAACTCCTCGTTTTTGCAATGGAAATTTCCAAGAGGGGTGTCACCCCATGCGCCCCCCCTATAGTGCCGGGCCTGGTAATATATTTAGTATCAAATGTAATTTAAAACCACAGGAACAGTTAACTCGAGGACAAAACCCTAAACTAAGAGTGTTCTGAATTTAGTTTCACGTTGACGCTTTGTTGTAAACTATCGATTCTTCAAATGTCCAGATTTTTGTCTCGCTTTCATGTGGTTATTTTGAGTTTATGATCTTAATAGCGTTCTTGTAATTCTGATCCATACTGCGTGGCGAAGAATTTGAACTAGGGTTCAAAATAAGTAATTATGAGAGTGTAAGATTACCCAAGCATTGAACTGAAGAGATCTAAGCGAAACAGGCCACAATGACATGCGCAAGCCAACCGCATGTATCAGAAGAGGCAAGTCGGTTGGAGACGGGCAGATTCCATTCGATCTGGATCTTGAAACGAAATGGCATTGTTAGTCTTAATTGCTGGTTCGCTGGCTTTCACTTTCATTGTGGTGATGCTGAAGAAGCTTTTTGATTTCCTTTTTAGATCGCATAACAGCTACGATATTCCTAGCCCGCCGGCCTACCCAATTCTGAAGCATTTGCCGTATTTTTTGGACACATTTAATGAAGACAAATTCCTATTGAAATGGAGCGAAAATTTTAGAAATGATGGAATTTTCAAGTTCAACCCATTGCTAGGTAGGTTTTGTTCTTGCGAAGTTCATTTTCATGGCAATAGCACAATGTCAGTTTTTACTAACTTACGAGTAGTTATGCAGATCTGGACTTTATATCTGCCTAGGTTATTATCACGATAACTAACAAATATTTGTACATTTAAAAGCCTTTACTTTGTTATGAGAATCACTCAAATTGCTAAGGAAGCAAGATTGCTGGTTTGTGGTTCCTTGCTTCAAATCCATGGTCTCAAGTTTCGGTTCATGCTTTTTTTTGAATTTTTAAACTCTATTGAATACCCTAGGTCACATGGCTTAAATAGTTCCAAGCATATCACCTTGCAACTCAGGAGGTATTTGTTCGTAATCTAGGCTTTGATGTGGTAATTTTTCCCACAATTCACATCATAAGATGGCGGGAAAATTACTATAGGTTTTAAACGACTGTATGGGTATTGGTATTTTAGTTCTAAGCAGCATTCATTTGTTACAATTTATAGATATTGTAGGTATGACTAGTTACATTTCAGTATCAATTCCCTGTTTACCTTGTAATCAAACAGACGATTAGCGGGAACTGTCTTGGGAGATGGGAGGTAACCAATGCGGCCGGTTTCAAATCAAGTAGCCTTGGCACGACTTCGCTTGATTCAAACCGCAAATTAGCAAATCGGCGAATGCACTATCCTGGCGCGTAATTTGAAATGCGTTCTCTCTGCTGCATAGCTTGAGCGAATCATGTGGCTAAGAGCATTACCATAAATACTAAGTTTTGTCCCCTCTAAAATGAATATCTTCTTAAATAAGCCCGCTCTCTCCATTACACGCCCCCTCCCCAATGAGATGCATGTTACCATAAGAGATGGTTACTAATCCAGCTAATCCTAATGATACGATAAATTCTACATTCTTATCTTTCAAAAAGCATTTGAATTTCAATCGTAATTTGAAGTAACTATAATAAAAATCATTTGATATGTGTTCTATTGATGCGACCTCTTTTAAACACGAAGTATATTCTTCAGGTGCAGAGAACATATGTGTTTTGAGGGATGAGTTTCTCAAACAGGTTCTTGTCAAAAATTGTACAAAATACGGTAGGCCCGAATTAATTACTTGGGCCTTTCCAAAGATGAAGAGAGGGCTGTTTATGACAAATGGTAAAGAACATGCTTGGCAAAGAAAAATGTTGAATCCAGCATTCTCATTTTCGTCCTTAATGTCATTTGTTGAAGTGTTTGGTGCCAATGCAGACAACTTAATCAAGGTAGATAATCAGCTTTATTTGAACAGCGTCATTTAAACCCTCTTGTGCAGCCGGCATGCTGTCCGCTAACAGTTTTTTACGCGAGGAAAATATACTTAAATTGGTATTTTCATGCAGTACGATTTGAGGCCGGTTGCGAAAATATAGTCGCAAAGCATGCCGGTTGCACAAGAGCCTTTAAATCTGCCTTCAGTTCGTTTGAAAGTTTTTCTGTTTCTACCAGTGCTGAATGTAGAAGTCTTAATTGTTCAAAATTTACACGTTGTCAAGAAGATCGAATACCAAAGAAAACGAAAGTTCATGTTTTCTAGAAAACTCCAAATAGGATACCGGCCGAGGAGAGTCTTTCCCGGAGTATTTATTTCAAGAAAATATTTTTGAATATATTCTATAACGTCTTGGTGTTTTATAAAGACCAATTTTTCTCTAAGGTTTTGGGCAGTGATAACCCTATCCCGGGCCATCTAAAGTCCATCCGTTGAAGCATTACATTGGTCATGATGAAATAATCCTTGAAAAATTAATATAAGCTGTCTATCGTTAATACACATTTAATCCAGGAGTTGAGCCTTTAGGTACGCCAGGAAGTATAAAAAAACACACCTGTCAAAGTATCTGCAAGTACTGCTATTGTGTCTTCCTATGAAGTTGGCTACTTTGAGAAAAATGATAATGCAGACATTGATATTCAGTTGCTTGTCGTCTCCAATAATTCAGATACTAGATTTGCGTCTCTTTAAAAAGATTGGTTCCGAATGCCGCGTCTTCTAATACTGTCATTTGATGATAACGTATCGGTTGCGAAACGCTTATAACTGGGACCCTTGAAGTGTAGCTCAAAAGTTTGTCGATCTTCCCAAACACCATAAGATAGATTGGTCGACTTTATACAATAGCTTGTTTGCTCAATTCGTTTATTTCACATGCTTTGAAAAATTAAAATGACTTGGGTTATCCAATATGTTTTTCGGAGAAGAGGGAACTGTCATTTTATGAGTCGGGAATCGAAAATAAGCACATTTTTGTGATCGGGATTCGATAGTCGATAACAACGGAATTCGGGAATTGATGGTCGGGAATCGGGCTAAAAAGGTAGCGGGAATTCGGGAATCAGGGGAGCTAATAATTACCCTTGAGTTATTGATCCATTTTATTTGGCATCATCACTTTGCTCGTTTTAAATAATGTAATATTGAAATAAACATTTCTAAGAACATTCCACGAAGTGATAAATTTTTTCTAATTTATCTTATCCTTCGTAGTGCTGGAAAAATAAAGCTGAAGGATCTCTATCGGGGGTTGCAGAGGTAGACATTCACAAGGATTTCAGTAAACTGACTTTAGATGTTATTGGGGAAACTGCATTTGGTTATAATTTCAATACACTTACTACTGGAGAAAACGAAGTGAGCAATTCTGTTGAGCTCATCTTGTCAGGAAAAATTAGCGTGATGGCAATATTTTTGAGGAAATACCTACCGTTCTATGATTTGATTCCATTTCCAGAAAATGTCAAATTGAAACAGGCTGCTGACATAACAACTAATGTAGTTACCGAGGTAAGAATTACGATATTTTACCAGTTTGATTTGTATGCAAAAATTTGTATGCCAATTCTAGTCAAGTGGCCTGAGATAAAACAGGATGATTAGCTAGGGTTTATGTACTTCTGTTGTATAAAGCTGTCAGTACCATTGACGAAGGAGCAAGGGGCACTAGGGGTATGCATCCACAATTTTTGGGAAGATGCCTCTTTTTATAACTTTTGGGAAGTGACCCTTTTCTCTCATACATTGTGCCCCTTTCTACCTGTGCCCCTCAAACTTTGAAACGTTACCGATGTCCCTGACTAAGACTCTGTTTAAAACCTGGGAACTTTATTTTATTTGTAATTCCTTTTCTAGAGACTTTTTTTATGAGCCCGGTCGAGAAGATTCAGTTAGAATGGCCCTTCAAACAAAACTTTTTCACTGCAGCAGCAAATTCCGGTCAAATCTAAAGAAATATCTAAATATTCAAACAAAGTAACTCGCGACCTAACTGTCCAAACAACATGATTTTCTAAGTATAAACTAACTTAAAGATGAAGATTTCAATTCTGAAGTCCATTTTTTATAATGTTCTATAGATAGCGAGATACAAAATCAATAACGTCAACCCGGAACGGAGAATAGTGCTGCCGCTTAAAGTCTACACGACCGGTTACTGTCGCATAAAGTTTAGACCCCAAAATGCATTCAGACCGGAATATCTAAACTCAACTGTGAAATTTTAGCTCCAATTGCAGTCAAACTTTGCTGATAGTAACCTTTCAAGCAAAATTCAGTTCGACTTTTACCATCAATTATTTATTTGCATCGAAGTTATTCCAAGAAGCTTACCTTGTGACAATCCCTAACAGTGTGACCAGATCTCAATTATGGAATTATGCCAAATTTGTCATGAAATAATGCTAGATTTGCAAAAATTATGCTAAATTTCAAATCAAGGCACCCCTGCTTGTAAAAGAGGCTAGAGGATGCCCAGAATATCAAAAGTGACCAACGTTTCCATTTGGCCTTTTTGACCCCCAATCTAAAACACAGTGTACTCAAAATTGCCATATTTTCTACACAAAAAGACAATTTAGATCAATGGTTTTGACATTCAAATTTCTCAACCCCTTGGCCGTCATAAATTGATTTGGCCGAAGAAGCAAAAGTTGGCAGAATTCTGGCAGCATGTTGCAGAAAATCACAAACAATGCAAAGGAAAATATGATTTTACATAGATGATATTCAAATTTGTTTTAGAATGATTTCAAAATTGCAATTAAGAAACATGAAACAACGTAAAAGATAACAGACAATGTAAGATAAATGTAAATGAAAGCTTTGTAACCTACAAAGCAAATTTTGATTACACTATCACTCCCCGCAATTGTCAAGAATTTAGCTTTTTGTGTACTGAATTTCGCTGGCTGAATTTGGCTGCCAACCATAAAATATTTGGCTGCCAACCGTTCCGAACAACTGGCTAAACATTGAAAGTGGAAAGTCACACATTCTTGTGTAAAGTGTTTCCATTTGGTGTCTAGACAACAGATCAATGGAAACAGCGATTTTTTAAAAACTATCAAAATTACGCCAGAGTTATGCTAGATTCCAAATTATGCTAGATTTTATGCTAAATGACGATTTTTGGTCAATACTATGCTGAAAGCATTATATTATGCGACATGGAAGTCGATCTTTCAAACTGGGATCATTCAAAGTAAGGTGCTTGACATGGAAGGGCATTGTCCCTGCAATCTACTTAAACTCGTTGTGTAAGGGAAAACGAAGCTTCGATTTGCTGTTCTTTCTTGGCTAGACGCACCTTTCAAGTGGACTGTGAAGCAAAGCTAGCCTTTATTGATCCAAAAAAAAGTTCTTGTCGCACTTCTTTTCTTTTTCCTTCCTCTGTAATGATTTGTCAAAACTTGTGAACTTTTACATTGATACTAATCCGAAAGGATCAATGCTCAATTAGGCTTCCCGTTTACACGGTATATGCTGGGTCCGACCAGGGGCGTTACGTCACATGACAGGTTTCTTAACCAAGGTATAGCCAAGCAAGTGCGAGATGGTTGACTATCAAGCGAGCTTTTAGATTTGACTTTCAGATTATCAAGAAAAAACGAGAAATGTTAAGAAGTGGTGTGGATCCCAATGGTGACGTCTCTAAAGATTTACTTGGTAAAATGGTGTTGTTACAAGACGAGGAGACAGGCAAGACACTATCAGATGAAGTGATTGAAGCTCAAGTTCACACTTTCATGGTTGCTGGACATGAAACAACAAGTGTTGGACTCACATGGACATTTTATCTTCTGGCAAAACATCCTGATGTTCAAGAGAAGGTATTTGAAAAGAATTTAAACGAAATCAAATTCTCTTTCCGTTGGGCTTTGTTCTCCACAGAAAAAGTCATAAATTTCATAGATTAGCATTAATTATCATTATCATGAATTTCTCAACTACTACTATTTCCAACAACACTCGTTATTGTTGAATGAGTACAACACTCATAATATATGTTTACGTCTCAAGGCCTAAAGAATTCTTATGTCTGCTGTTTTTTAATTGTTTGGCGTGCATAAAAGGCTTCAGAACATCAACAATATCTTGCAAAAATCTCACGGAAATATCTGCTGTAATTGTTTAATGACAATAGATTTTCAACAAGTTTTTCAAAATTTATTGCATCAATTTTCTTCGAAATTTCGAAGTTGTCCCAATACTTTTTGAACGTAAATGTAATTTTTCATTCTGTAAATATTTGTGATTTTTGTAAAATTCAAGACCAAACAATCGATTAATCTTCAAGACAATTAATCTTATTCCAGACAATTAATCTTCAACTAAGACATTTTGAAATTAAATGTGTGCATTTTTCAGGCAAGAGAGGAGGCAAAATCTGTCCTCGCTAGTTCAAATGAGGTCCAAAGCGAGCATCTTGAAAAACTTCGTTACATCACTGCTGTTATAAATGAATCTCTCAGAATGTATCCACCCGCTGCATTCTTCAGAAGGGAAGTCCTGCAAGACGACCAGATGGGGGTTTACCAAATTCCAAAAGGTGCAGTTATTGTTATCCCTGTGCAGGCTCTGCATCACACTGAGGAGAACTGGTCTAAACATGACCAATTTTTGCCTGAGAGATTTCTTGCTGAAGGTCAGTAGCAGTGTGTTCCTTTATTAAATTCTATGAAAAGTTCCTAATTTTATATCCTTTACAGGTTTTTGAGAAGAATTGCTTCTCAGATAACTTTTGAAAAGAACTGTTGCAAGGGTTTTTTGGCTTGAATGTTGAAAGATTTACAACAAATTTCTAAACAGCCTTGATCAATTTGACCGATTCCCTCCTTTTAAAGATAAGTTGAAACAATTCTATTTTGAGAAACAAAAATGAATTTATGATTTCAAAGTTAACTTTTTACCCAACAAATATAATTAGTTTTTGAAACATTTTATTGCAACATTTAAGTTATTGTAGCTTCAGATACAGGGCTCTTTTTTATAACAGCATTAGGTGTTTTGAAGAGGTTACCCAAGGTATAAAAATTATCTATTTATTTGCTATTTAAGAAAATTATGTTAATTTGAAGAATTTTTAGTTAATAAGGTCATGAAGGGCAAGAACTTTAAAGTAAAAACACCAAAATTTTTACTTCATTGACCCAAAACAAAGTAACGAATTAGTCCTGAACGAATTAGTTCTTAAATGATAACATTTCTGGCGTTTTACCATGCATGTAGCATAGGGACAACTAATAAAACGATTAAAATGTTCACCAAATGGTGACATTGAAAAGGAAAACGTCTCCCCTGGTACTTCAGACTACTAAATCTTTGTCAGAAGGCTTGCTTGTGACAGAACATGATTCTCCAGAAAAAATAACATTTTTGTCAAATGTTTTGGGTTCAATAACCACTGACAATTTCAAAGAGGAATTAAGCTGGTACCATGAATTAGTAAAAGTCAGACTGATTCAGAAGAACACAGAAAAATAATATAAAAATAATTCCTTAAGTTGTCTTCAACATTATTCCTTTTCTCAGGGGAGAAACAACCAGAAATTGGTAATTACAAATTCATGCCATTTTCCAATGGACCTCGCAACTGCATTGGTCGGAGGTTTTCAATGATGGAGATGAAGGTTGTATTAGCAAAGTTGTTGACAACATTCAAGTTTGAGCTGGATCCAGGGCAAGAAGAAATTGGTACCAAACTGGTGCTTACGTTGAAGCCTGATCCTCAACCTATTTTAAGAATTTCCCTCATTGACTAAAAAGAGATTTTGTATAAACAACTAAGACTACCTCTTGTTAATGACATTCTGCTATGTATTCTTATGTTTTAGCATTAATTACCTATAATGGAAAGACCTTTAACATCTACTTTATACATTAATGTCACATATTGATGACGCAAAGAAAATACATTTATAGTGACTTATATTGACTTAATGATTAAACCTTGAATGTTTTTCATTAAGATGCTTGAACTGAAAATTAATTGGAAATAAATCTTATCTGCCATTCTGTGACTCGCAGACTTAAGAACACACAAGGTAAATGTAAATAAAAGAAGAAGACAAAACTAAAAGCCAAGAAAATGTGGATATCACTATAATCTCCACAAAAGGTATATATAAAACAAAAATGCTGTAAATGTATCAATGAATTTTGTGCTCTTCTAAACTTCAATTTATAAACAATATTAACAGTCAAGGAAGTTGGCAGCCATTAGAAGCTCAAGAGCAATCGGTGCTTCAATTGGGAATTCAGGTATTTCTGTACTACTGTTTGTGTAACGTACTTTATATGTGAAGTACGTGCAGACCTTTTCCAATATGTGTGACCTACAATGAAACAAAAGCAATGCAAGATTAGAAAAACAAACCTCAAAAAAACCTGGAAGGGAGAGGAATAACATAGGAACAGAGAGGGACATCCCACAAACAGGTAAGACTGACTTGAAAACATTTGAAAAATGAACTTGATATCAATGAACAGACCAAAGCTTGATGGTAACATCCTAACAAAGGAACGGTCACAAATTGTTGGACGCTATTGTGACAATTGTAACAACAAAGGGAAATTGATTGGAGACAATCTATTTTCTAGACCCAGGCACAGCAAATAAATACCAGGTACAACCAAATAAAACAAATAATTATAAACTGATGGTGCTGGCTGCCATTTTCAAGAACTTACTAGTGAAGTACATAACAGCTAAGGTAGAGGGAAGAAAATTCAGGAAAGCTAAGCTTCACCTGACAATGATGATGTTGAGATCAAAGCTGAGTTTCAGGTTTTTGGATGGAAATTGAGAATTATGAGATTTGAGGAAAGCACACTGAATTTCCTAAGTTATCTTGCAGATTTAAGTTCTCTCTAAATATGAAATATTTACTGAAATATCTGCTGTTTGTGGCAAATGTTCCACTTACATGAAACTCCTTCACAATTTCCATCTCTGCAGGTCATTGCAGGGGCAAAGACAAATACTTTTTTCAGAGGGGTACAGAAATGATTTTTGCCAACGAAAAGAGCATAGGAACTTTAACGGTGTGGACATAAGATGAAAAAGTTCATATGTTGATTTTATGCGTTTCTACCTAAATTGATTTTATTCTGATTTTATCTGATTTTATTCTTTCGTTAGTGCCATACTTTGAAAGTTCAACTACTACAGAAATATTATTATGTTACAATTGTTGCAAAAAATTTACAGGGTAAGAGAAAAATTATTCTTTTGCAAAGCAAAAATTCTTTATGTGTTGACGGACAAAGTGCCCTCTGTATCCCAATTTTGCAATGTCCCTTGACCATTTCATTCCAGATCATCCCTAGTAGTTCTTACTTTTAGTAACTAAAGTACAACAGATTATAAATAACAATCAATGTAAGTAAATTGTACCAGAAAATTTTTTTTAAAATAATTAACATTTCTTTAATATTATATCTTTACGTTTCCAGCATAGCCCGTTATCAAGTAAGATTGAAAAGCGATGATAGAACTAAAAAACGTTAAAGGAATATGGAATTCGACAAATGGAATAGGAAGACGGATATAAGAGCATGGAAAAGAAATATATGGAAAGAGCTAATAAAAATAAATATATATATACATATACGCAAATACAAAATTTATGTATATGTATATATATGCACCCTAATATTAAAAAATTTTTCCTGGTACAATTAACTTACATTGATCGTTATTTAAATTCATAATATTGTACCGCATGCATTTTAGTATACAACAGATTATGCATGCATAATGCAAAGTCACATCAATTTTCAAACCTTTCTAATCAAATCTATTTCATCTAGTAAGCCAAAAAGACCATCAAAGAACACATAAAGGTTTTTTCCAAACTATCAGGCAACTTTTTCTCAATAGAATAAGTTTGATCAGAAAAAATCTACAGTGTGCTAACATACAAAAAATTTTAGGCATTAATATCAAGCAAAATACTTACGGAATTTCTCGAAACCGTACTTCATTAGTTTCATTTTCAGAAAATTGACCTAAAGATAAAAATGAAAATGACCTGAATTTGTTACTCATAACCCTACTTTGAAATTTGAATAAATACATATTTTCTTTTATATCAATTTTTTTTTATTTAACATATAAGATAATTTCCTCAGTTTAAACTAGAAAAACAGATTAAATAGCTTGATCAATCATGACAATGAATGATAAAAAGAAACAAATTCAAATGTTGATTCTAGCTTGGTGAATACACTCTTTTTTTTATAAAAACAATTTTATAAGAACACGAGCCTCAAAACTGGTCAAAAGTTAAGAACAAATTAAGAACAAGCTGAGGCTGAGCTTCTGCAAAATGCATTTCGAGCAACATTTTTTCTCAAAATTGAGGATTTTTAGCTATGTATGGGTGTTTTCTCGGTGAATATTCAAATTTGTCAGCAAATTAAGGCTGTCTGATTCACTTTGTTGGCAAATAAGGCCTGAACACCACCTTAGAGCGAAAAAGCTAGCGCTCGCACTGCTGACACCCTATTAGATTAAAAACAAATTAAGAACAATCTAGCCTCAGATTTTTGAAACAATTTAGAATAGTCAGCCTTAACTTAAATTTACTGGTTCTTATAAAAAAGAGTGTATTTCAGTTTCTAAAATTTTATATACATAGAGAAGTTTGTATTTTACCTGGTCCACTAAGCATTGCTTTGATTGTTCCAGATGTCAAAGCATGGTCTCTTTTAATAACAAATTCATGCCCGTCACTGGATATTAGCTTAACATACATTGCCTCTGGACCTTCGCAACCTCCATATGAGGGCTCTACATCAATTGGTGGCTTTGAATCTGTCATGGTTTCTGGTAATCAAAACACATAGAAGGCTTAAGTTATAATGTAATCTATTTCAATCATAAAGAAGCTCCAAAACCAAGATAATCTGTATTATTTAATATCACCAAACTCAAAGGAACAAAGGGACATTTGATAGATAAATCCTAATCTAAAATAGTAAATTTCAAATCAGATTAATAAGGGGGTAATTTACTCAATCAATTTATAGTTTGAATTACTTCAAATTCATGAAAAAGGTGCCAAGAGTGTGCAAAAAAATAACTGTGAGCTCAGCATTTATGTTTTACATAAACATTCTTATCTTTCACTTTAAGATCAAGGCTCGCATCTACATCTACATCGATACTGAGCAGAGCCGAGTATCGGTATATTGCTCAGAGTGCAAGAAATAATAGATTAATGGATATAAAGTGCTAAAAGATTCCACTGATCAATGATTAGATTGAACATTTACATGTCAAATGAGAAGCTGTAATTTTGTTTGTCGGCAAGACCGAATCAAAAAGGGTCTAAAAATTAAAGGGAACATTGAGAGGGTATTGTGGTAATGGATTGGTCAGTGGCATCTATGAATTAATGCAGGTGAAAATTAATGATAAAAGTTACATGTTAGAATAGAAAAGAAATTAAATCTAAAATACAGTTTAAGGCAATCCTTGCGTTTCTGTTTTGGAATAATAAATTTTGCAAAGATGCCTAGGAAAGTACCTTGTCTAATGAATTAATTGCCACTTAACATTTATGTTAATATTTGTTTTTATCATTTACTAAATTGGAGACCCTATCGAATATCATTCATAAGTCATAAGTAGGATCCTAAGTATTTCAAGGAAGTAGTCAAGTACTAGAGCATAAAACGCCAGCTATCCATGCATTATCAGTTGCAGAAATCATTTAATTGCCATAAGATTCCTTTCAAATACTGCTGACTGTTCGAAAGCTTACCTGAAACTAAATTTTTGAACCTCGGCAACTCGGTCTTCTTGTGTTTATTGCAGTTTCTTTTTGTGTAACTATGCTTCAGGATGAGGTCATGGAACTGGAAACGAGATTCAACATGGCCGAATTTTTATTTATTTCGAAAAATGCGGGAAATACAAAGTGGGAGTGCTTACTGTAAAATGCAAAACTAGTCGAAGAGGTTTAGAAAACTAGCTTACAATTTTTGTATCAGGGGTTTATAGAAAGTAAGGACAAACCTCCAAACCCGGGAAGTTTAAAGATTTGTCAAAAGGTAAGAATGTCAATTAATTGTATTATGGTTCATTTTTCGGTCAAAACTAAAAGCATTTTACATCGACTCGTACGTCTAAAATGTCATACATTTCAGGGCTGTCGGAAGGGCTGGGGCCCCCCCCCCCCCCAAGCTACACTATATTTACCTTATAACAGTGTACTGATTGAGAGACAATAAATACCATAATGGGCAGCCCCCAATATGAATTTTATTCCGACGGCTCTGCATTCTATTATTTTATTTTTTATTTATATTAGATGCTTTCATGAAACTGACATGTTATGCAAATATTACGAAATTGACATAGTATTTTCAGGGATTTTTAGAAATGTGTTTCTACCATGTTTCTACTACTATTCTATAAGTGTGGTTTTTACCCCTTGATAAGTGCCCCTTAGCTTGAAGTGTAGTGCCATCATAATAACAAAAGGGGGCTCTTGTGGGAAAGGTTGCAGAAACTGAAGCAAAAGTAGAAATTGGCTACTTTCAGGCATTAACAAGGGGGGGTCAGGGGGCTACCCTGACACCCCTGCTCCTAGCAAAGTTATTTTCAAGAGACTCTGCAAACAGGAAGCCAGCATGTCACACTTTATGCGGCTACTCTCTATTCTGTGATGTTGCTGTAAACATCACACTTGAATATTTTGACACAAAGAATATTTTGCAAAAAACCAGGGTTCTAGATTTAAAGAGCCTATGACAGGGTTTCTTACTTATCAGATACGAAGGGTCCCTACTTGCTGAAGAAAATAATCTTACAGAATTATTATTATTCCAACTTTCCAAAATATAATTTGAAGTAGAATTAGCCAGAAGGGCAAGTTGTGGTCAAAATTTTCATTTAGAGAGGCACAACCCCCCATGTCCTCTGCAGCTTTGTTGCAGATAAAAGTAAGCAGATTAATGTTATTCTATACCTTAGAATTACTGTTTAGCTTTAGGTCATGGCAGACCAGGTTCCTATATTTTATTTGCACACAATGAAGTTCAATATTTCTATTTAATTTGTTAGTATCAAACAGTAGGTTTCTGGGCTTGGTGCCCTTCAGTCTGAGAATAGTTTTAAGTTTTGCTCACGGCTGTCGCTAGGAGTACTTTGTTGACAAATTTTCATACTTGTTGGCAAAAAAAGGATGACTCACAAAATTTAACAGCGAATGGGATCTAAGTTCCCATGTTAAGCACAATAGCTAGGGAAGGCCCTGGTTTTGCTGATGATGTAAATTGAGTTGAAATTGTAGAAATATTATCTAAGCAACCAAGTGATGGAGATGATTTTGCACATGTGAAGATACACATTCCTTCATAAGCCAATACTTACAGGTCTTCTTTGGCATCTAGCAACTAAGAAAAATTTAAAAAAAAACCAATTCAATTTCTGATTTTTCTGAGAGAATGTCAAAATCTACCACTTTGATCAGATAATGCTGTCAAGGGCAGTAACTCTATGGTTCCCTCCAATGATACCCTATTCTGTTATTTTTTTAATTGGTTTTTATCAGCTTCTTCTTTCATTTTGTTGTTAAAACTCCATCCCAGTTTGCCCTAGACCATGCTTTGTTTTCATTATCTTAGCACTGTCTCTAATTATAAAAGGTTTTAAAGTTACATGCACTCTTGGACATAGTGCTCTTGGGTGTCAAATATATGAGGGGGGCCTTGATATATAGGAACATTTAGAAAACATTATAAATGTTGAAGAACAGTTAGATCTACCTGTAGAATAAAGGAGTATTGCAGATTGCTAAACAAGGTATTGAATAATTGGCCGGAAATCTGGCTATATAGTTTTGATTAAAGCACAAAAGACATCCTCATTCGACCACGGTATCAAACTGGGACTTTAAATATGACAACTACTTAATGTATACACTGAGACTAGCTGTCTCTCATTTTCTAAATGTAAGTAATTAATTTTTTTAATCTTTTTAAGTAATTATAAAAGCTCCCTTTATATTTTAGCCTTCTATACAATGGGTCTTAAATCTTTCACATGAAGTCTGTATAATTTGGTAAAACGTTGGTAAAGCATCAAATCTTCCAATCTTCCAATCTTATATGGAAGGGCCTCTTTCACTCCGAGATCAGGAGAAATTAATCTTTCAACACCAACAATAAGAAATCTGTATTATGTCTTGCATGAAAGGGTATAGAAAGGAATGTATCACTTAATAAACGACAAAAGATTCAGACCCCCCTAAAAATATTTGTGCCTGTGAGCACAGACTGTTTTGAAACAGGTGCCTGCAAGATTTTTTCATATGTAATGCGTAGGATATAAAATTGTTTAAAATAAAAGACATAAAGAATGTAAAAAAATTGATCATATAGGCAAACTATATTCTGTCTGGAGTTCTATTTGGGAAAACCAGTAATTTGTTTGCTCTGGGAACAATGATAGTAATACGACATCAGGTTTCATTTCTGTTTCATGAGTCACTTTTATTGTTCAAAGACCAGTAACTTTTTAGAGAACTAGTTTAACAGAAAATTACTTTAGAACGACGATGGATTTATCAACAAAAACAGCAATATAGAGTTTTAATAAACTTTAGCTTACGACAGCAAGGGAAATCTTGCCATTATTTTTCTATCCGTTCCAAAACATTTGAAGCGACAGGGTCCTTAATTTTATTCGAGCAACGAACGAAATGGTAATTGGTTTTATTGCTTGATATTGTTTGATACTATAGTTAACGATGCTTTTTTAATATTTGAACAATACAGAAATCACAACTTCTATCTCTTGTATGCTCCACCTAGATTGGTAGTTTGTCCTGAATTTGTGTACACGGAAGGCTTCACTCAATGACCGATTCAACCAATACCTTGCCGCAGCAACGCAAACAGAATAAATAATCACAATAAGATATTTAAATATCTTTTTCTTGCTGTTAGGAAAATCTATCACTCTTTCTTTGCTGCATGAATCACTTTCACAAAGCGGTAAAGCCTTAAGTTTTACTTTTGCAGACGTCTCAAAATTATCTGAACTTGAACCGAAATTCATTTCTAGATACATTTGAGATAATCAACGCAATTTGTTTGAACTGCAACATGGGAAGCACCGCTTTTCTTTATTTTTGGTGCACCTGATTGTATTCATCTTTTTTCCCCGAGTATCTTAATAATTAATAATCCTTAAACCATTTGAAACTTTGAGAAAACCGCTTTTTCAGACCTAATTTGGTCAGCATTTACCTGCGAGCGAAAAGGGTGTCAGTTAAATGGTAGGAGATCAGAGGTTGGTTAATAAATAGGAATTTGGAGACAATTACAAAATCTATATAGAAGGGTATTTAACAAGGAGTTATCAAGTAACTTAATGAAAAAGTAAAGTAAATCCTTCACCTCAACACGAAAGCCTACACCCTGCAGAAATCATTTGTGCACTCAGTTTGACCACAGGACGCCAACAAACGAAGAAAACATCTAAAATGCTATTGTTTTTCTGCTGCTTTTGGTCTGCTTAAGGTCTTCAGAGAAAATCCGATACAAAATATTTTGTTTTTTGAATTCCACGCATTTTATCATCGTTACACTTTTAGCTTCTAATGGCACGAACGGGCAGGGCTCAACTCGCGACACTGTACATTGTTACTCTACAAACTGAGCTACCCAGTCACGAAAAAAAACAGTTCAAATTTTGCTCAAAGAAATCAAGATTATCATCTTCTTTAGAATCACAAAAACGATAGGACTTTGAGCAACTGTGAAGATACCAAAGATTACATGCGGTTTGGATAGTCACGAAATTTTCTGAAAAAGTGTATAATATACAAGTAATGCACAGGTTTATTTTACAATTTATCAAACGATAAACCACTTGTCAACTACAGATATATCGTAACTTCGATAGTCTAGGTTTGGTCAACATCCAACGTCAAATCTACTTTTGTCATCGTTGTTCTCGTCGAATTGCAGCCACGGAGACCAGCAATAAAAACAGAGGGCTTTGGAACATTCGTTGAACCATCTCTCTTTGTCTGTGTTTCCGCGTTCCTGGAGAACAATAGAGATTTACGTAACTGGCCATTGAATAGTTTTTAATTCTCATAAAAGTATTACCAGTATTACAAGGCATGCTATGAATGTTGGGCGTTTGTAAATCAGTTTCGTGGGAGTATGATTTGTGAGAATCGAAAAGTATCAGTTGCACGAGAGTAAAGTTTTCCTGGCATTTCGAAAATAAATGCCACGCCCCCACTTTTAAAATGCTTCTTAGGTCTATGCATTATATACATAACATACAAAATTTGCTGTTTACAGTCTGTCATAAAGTGCTCTATACCGTATAGGCAGAGCTGTACTTCGAGTTTCAGAAATTGCGATCATAAGCCAGCCGTTTTGTTAGTGTGTTAGAACGATATTGCAAATGGACAGTGGATTTCCAAATAAGTTGCATGATGAGCGTGAACTTCGAACCGTTCTGTTCTTTACTCCTTAAAGCGTCAAACTTAACATATATGTAGCATAGCTGTACATGTAGTATTAAATGCTATCTTCCAATTTTCTCATGTTTTTCTGAAATTGTGCAGCACATGTTTATTTGGTTTAAGCATATTTGCTCAGTCCTTCTGTATCTTTGTTCAAGGTTTTCGGATACGATGAAATTAGGACGACGAAGTTAGGATGGCTAACAAGAAAATTAACTTACTTCGGTAGGTATACTTGTGTATCGTTGTCTCTTTTGTAGTTGCTCAACTCTGTCTGCATGGAATGTGTTATCTTCGTTCGTAGATTAGCCTTTGATGAAATAAATAAACATTTACAATCATGTTTCACATATAGGGACAGATTTAACACGCACAAGAATAATGGTAATGCAGCTTGTATGTTATAAATTAGAAAAATATCAAAACGATATGGAAAATAGCAATGCAGTTTCAGAATCAATAAAAGAAAAAGACAAATCTAATGCGGATAGGCAAATTCAGACCAAAACCTTACTAGCTATCATTTTAAGAAAAAAATATTATAGCAAATTTCTTGGGTAGCCAATCTCTTGAATAGCCAATTTTTTTGAACAGCTAATTTCTTGATTAACAAAGCTCTTTGATATTAACGTTTACTCGTACGCTTATAATACCATTCATTCCGGGAAATATTGCAGGTTGTATTCGTAAACTGTATCTGAGATATATATTACCAATTTGATAGCTTTTCGACGCAATTCCCACTCATTCCATTCATATGTCTTGACAATATTTGATTCCATAAAATGAGTATCCGTCTGAGTTCCACAATCAGCTTTCTTAACAGGAACTTCAATCATGCCTCCAGGCCCTTTTCCCTAATGAAAATTCAACTATGCAACTTAAACTGCATTTTACTAAGATAAAGTTGAATAGCAACCCATTTCGTAATTACTTTTCAAAAGCTGTGTTTATATTACCAAGGCAATTAAGTCAAATGTTCCATCACTGCAACAAAACAGTTGATTTAGGAATGAATGATAATAGCAAGGATGTTGTAAACATATTTAACACACTAAATTGTAAACCCTGGATATGATCTGTAAATCTTAAAAAACGCAAGTACGGTAAGACACATGTCAACGTCATGAGCCACCAACATAAAAAGATATGACAACATTTAACATAACCCTCTACCATAGGCTTCCCAAATGCTACCGTCAAAACCTTCTACTAGATCAACAATCAAGAGCCCTAATCAATAACCACGGACCTTTATTTTAACCCAGGATCTTCTAAACAACAATCGAGCTCTCCAAATACCCCCACCTCGTAGGCCTTTTAAACTTAATAAGTTTTAGCCTTGTTAATCATAGCTCAATGATGTTAACACAACTAATAAGGGTTTAATTTTTTACATCTATTCATTGCAATAACCTATTGGGGCAATACTCTATGGCAATCAGCTTAATTATTTTTACTTCTACATGTTTCTGAGAAAAAAACACACCAAGTTAATGAAATTTCGAAGAAAAACTATCAAGTGGAAAGTACCTACCTTAGCATAGGGAGTGATTGCAGCAAACTGTTTATGCAGTTCCAGCAGCTGTATAAGTTCAGGCGACTTTTTGGCTCGTTCTGCAACTTTATCAATGAATTCCTCTGGATTGCTAGCAAAGTCGTAGGCAGCATCCGCTGAGGAGAATGCGTAGTAGCAATCGTTGAAAGAAAGCACGCCGATATCAGGGTTGGCTGGTACCAAAAGACGATCTTCCTCAACGATAGTCCAGCCGCAAAATCCCTTTGAAAAAGAAAATATAATTATAACTACGAGTTAAGGATTATAAAAAAACAAATCTTTTAAAGCTCAATACCTTTGATAAATTTGAATTCTGTTTTAAATTTTTTAATTCGGTCTTACAAATATACCGTAAATCCTCGAATAAGCCCCCGGGGGCTTATTTGCAAAAATGAATTTTTGGCTGAAGCTTATTCGGGGGTGGGGGCTTATTCGAGGGGGGGGGGGGGCTTATTTCAAAGTTAAGTATTTTCCTCAAAGGTCGACATAAAAACGACATAATTTTCTCAATGAAATAAATCGGAAAATTACAAAAAGGGGGAAGATCTAACAAATATAATAATTTGTTATCATCACAAAAGTTGGTTTTCTCGAATAAGATATTATTCTGCAATTATGCTTCCCATGGGGGCTTATTCGAGGGAGGGGGGCTTATTTGCAAAAATTATTTTTAGGTAGAGGCTTATTCGAGGGGGAGCTTATTCGAGCGTGGGGCTTATTCGAAGGTTTACGGTAATAATCTTTTTGACAGATAATGATTTGAAAAATATTGTAAAGCGATATAAACAGACTCTAAGCCTTATTGCGAAAGTTTAATGCAGCCCTTGGTTCCCCTTTTCTTCTTGGTGCTTTTTTTAGTTTTTTTGACGTGCGAGATCAAATATCAGCTAAATTAAACGGAACTATCCTTACTGCTAGAATGCTTGAAGTGGGTCTATTTCAGTCTAAGGAGTCAATTTACAAGTAGCTTGGTCTAAATCAATCAAATTGAGAACAACTGAAGACATGTTCGGAAGATCATGCATGCAATGGCGTCTATGTGTACACGATACGTATCTTATATAAAACAATTATATGTTAAACTTAAAGTGAATTCAAATATTGCTTGGCTGCCCCAGCTGAAAAGGACATGATGTCATCAAATATCAACCATTACCACAACAATGAAATAACGCTATATAATCAAGGAAGGAACACTTATCAACTAAGCAACAACTCCACCGAACACACTGCCACTAAAGGTACAAGTTGTCCCAAAGCCCAGAGGATCTTTAAAGAAAACTCTTATCAATTAATCTTCCTTACCCTGTACTGTATTGGTAGTTTTTGGAAGTTCTTCGTCGTTTCAGGGTACAAAACATCAATTGCTTTGTTAGTTATTCTAGCTGGAATTATTCGATGCTCTTCGGAGCTGGTCTACAATAAAAAGTAACAAAGTGGTGTTGAAAAATCCAAGGGAGATGTCTTGGTAGATGATTTACCAAATTATAATACTACTTCGGTTATATTTTGCGAATACTGTGATTATTTTCACGATTCTTTTACCAATGCATTGTAATTTTGTTGGGAATTATGTGGGAAACTTCTGGTTAAAGCAATTATGTGCAAAACAAAATACTGAGTCCCTTAGATTTTGGAAGAGTCTTTAGTACATTCTATTCGAATTTTTTATAAAGTGAAAGATGAAATAATGAAATAGGACTACACCATTTTTGTACTTCATCTCCTAAATGAATATGTCATTTATATACTTAATGGCATAATTGAAATAACTATTTTTCAATCCGAACTTTCATGAAACTGAAAATATTGGAAGGATATTGTACAGGGTAAAATCTTTGAATTTTCTGAATCTTTGTTTGGCTGCAAACGTTTGTTTTTTAACAAATAATTAATTTTCTCACTTCATTTAGACGCTCATCGTCCGTCTTCACCGTAACGTTTGTCAACAACACGTCGAAGCGCTCATCAACAATATCATGACGAGTCTGGAAGGAAACAGATACTGTTATTCAGAGACAGTATTTAAAAAGAATAGTATGTATTTATGCTTATATTCGTCATATTTAAATTGCATTGAAAACAGCGAATAAATATGATATTTATTTTCATTTTATCTTACGAAAATAAATTGAATTTTGGCCAAATATTTTCTCTTATCGGCTGGAAAATTAATATCATTTAAAACTCGGCATGGTGTCATTTACTTGCGTGAGTAACTTTTTAATACTTGCATGTGATTTCAGTGAATTTGAAATACCATTCCACAATTTGCATATAGCGAGTAACTTTTCGATTGAAAAACTTCGATAAACACTTTGTGAGGTTTAGAAAGTTCTGAAAGACGCATTAGAGGAGCTTGAGATTGTTTTTTTCGAAATCAAACAAAGTGAAGTAATAAATTGAAAAATTGGCCCTATTTTGCCTGGTTTATCGAGGATCTAAGTGTTGGCATTATCTTCAAAAGATAACAGATTGCAAAATGGTATATTGACTTGAAATTGTGATATGCCGGCCAATGACTGTATCATCAAATTTTCATAAAATGGCAAGTGACTGGGTACTGACTTTGCTGAACTGCTCAAGACTCGCAAATATGTTGCTGAGGACGCTGAGAAGGACCATTTCATCTTGAAATCCAGTCCAAATGTGAGCAAGGTTAATAAACTGGGGCTGTAAAAACATAAAATATAAAAGTTTCTAATTTGTTACTTTTTCAATTGTATAAGCATCTACGAACATAATATTTTCAAGCTTCTAAAAGTCTGGATGATTGGTCCAGAAGATTGCACTCGACTGTCAAAAAATCTCTCACGAGTCCTTTATTAAACGATATGTTCTTATAAAAAAATCTAATGATGTAGGGTTGGCTCAAAGTCGAACCATGGTTGAGTGGCAATAAAACGATAAATATTCAGGAGAAAGGAGAAAGTTGTGCTGCAGGTTCAAAAATTGAAAAAATCTTGTCTTGGTTTTCTACAGCTGTAGGCCGCTAAAATGCAAATAGGCTTTCAAGATTATAGACTATTCAAAAATAGACTTCTTTCATATTACTGTTATAGGAACGAAGCATATCTTGAAGAAGATAACAATAGGCACAATTCAAATGACTTTGAAACTTACATAAACTTGTGACGTTGGTACAGCAGTCTTTGATGCAACAGTTTCTTTTAGGGAATCCATGCGTGAAAGATATTGTGATTCCAAAGAATCAATCATCGATTTGCAATTTTTTATATCATTCTACAAAAAAGAGTGGCATAAGCGTTGTTTGATGTTTGTAGTAGCGTTTATAATATTTTTGTCCTTGGGTTAATCCAGCTCATAATCATGGATATACTTTTTATTTCCTATGTAAAAGGAATCAGAAAAATTGATAAATGTACTATTTAGGCTGCTGGTGACTGGTACAAGCCGAAGGACATTTCCAGGCAAGTAAGTCAAGCCAAAGGGTTAAAGTAGACACTGTTAACACCAAGTACAGATTTGGCTCTCCCCATGTGGACAGTTCACCAATATTTCAGAAAACACCTTGACACTTTTCACGTTATTTTTTGAACATGTTAGAGAATTTGAAGGTATTTACCAGCAACAAACTGAGAAATGCTTCATGCTGTCTGCCATTAATCTGCATATCGCGAATAGTAAACCAATCTGCATTCAGATTTAAATTTCTCAATGCATCCGATTGCTCTAAAATTGCTAAAAAATAAACATTTTGTTCCAACATAAATAATTATACTTTTGTAAGCAATTGAAGCAATAGTGTTTATATCTATTTTAGCAAGTTGTAATGAAGGACAAATTGACAAATATCTTCATACATAACAAAACTTTCAATAAACTCTGACACATCCAAACAATGGACAAACAATTTGGTCCCTCAGTTTCTCTTTTTAAAGTCTGGTACACATAAACTGCAGAAAAGAGTCAGTTCTTTAAAACTTATAGTTAACTTAAGTCCCAAACTGACCTCCACTTTGTATAAACTGGTCCTCAGATTATAGCCGCACCCTAGCGTGCAAACTCATGCATTTTAATAAGTCCCCATGTGAGTTCATTTGAGACAGTTTATATTTGAGATAAGTATAGCATTTTTCCAATATTGTTTTGTTGAGAATCGATTTGAAACATGATTGTTTCCATTAAAATGGTTAGCTGGAAAAAATAAAAAGCTTTGAAGCTTTGCATTGTGATGTTCACATTATGTCATAACCCCTAACATCACCATTTAATAAGCCCCCAGGGTCCAGTTCAATGATTGACAGTTTATCATTTTATTACAGGAGGAAAGATTTCCATAGAACATGAAATGTGAATTGACACATGCTGCCATTGGTGCTTACCTGTATAATCATAGACAGTTGATGACACATTATCATACTCTGTTTGAATATTTTCAATTGTTGATGGAACAGCTTCTCGGAGGATTGTTGGCACTGATATGAAATATCAACAAGTTAAAGAGGTGAGTAATAAAATTGGAAAAAAATTGATTCATATTAAGTTTGTTAACAGCAAATGATCCTTTGATGGAATTTGATCTCTTATTTCTGATTGATGATTTAGTTTTAAATCAGGTTTCGTAATTAATTTGCCGATTGTCAATTTTCAAATATTTAGGCTAAAGAATAGTTTTACAAATAATTTGGCTTAGGCTAAAGGATATCTTTAAGAAAATATTCTTTTTTATTAACAAATCCATTGATTTTCCAAAAATTTATTACCAAATCTTGATGAAAACTCTTCCCTCTTACCCCCATCAACTTACACAAGATGATATTTAGATACTTACAATCATCAATTCCCTCTCCTCCTTTTCCACATTCCTTGTTAAAGAGGCGAATACCAGAAGTAATCAGTGCCAGCTCAACAATTTGTCTTTCCTTGTCTTTCTTCACAAGTGACATGAATGTCCCTAGCTCAGTTTGTGGGAATACACTTTGCAGAGCAGCTATGACAGAATTTTTATATTTATTTTTATTGTTTCAGAATAATTATATACACATCAAATTGACCGCTTTTTCCTAAAGTCTTGCTTTGTCATACAAAGGAAGACTTAAGTATAAGGACAATCAGGATACACTCAGGATATGTTTGCTACAGGCACATGGACCTTCGTTGAATCAAATGGAGGGGATAGAAGTGGTGCAAAGAAAAAGTATTGCCAAAATCGACATTATGCTGCAACTTGACTAAAAGATTATCAAAACTTCTTTATTCATAATCCATGATCTTTAATTGACATATGAGCATACACAGATCTCTGTCAAATTCTGCATTATCTTAGCAAAAAAATGTCACCTGTTGCTTCTCTAACTGCAGCAATATCAGTTGGAGAACCAAGACCAGATCTAAGTAGTATGTATGAGACAATTTTACGATACAAACCTGTGAAAAAAGAAAAAATATGCAAGTTATAGAATATACAGTAAAAGTATACACATATGCAGTTAAGTTGCATTGAGCACTGTGAAGGAGGAACAGATAGTTGATGTCCCTGTTTGTCAAGATAAGATGTGTGTAAAATGCAAGAAACACCAACAACATTTTTGTTGAGCAGATCTGTATTCTCTCTTGTACTCCTGCCCTCTCTGCTATTCCTGCCTCTCTAAAAATCTTGCATTTTCTGATACTTTGAAAAATTAACCCCACCTCTCTGATAATCCCACATGCAGGCTTGATTAAAAAAAGAAATCATTTGATTGCAAATGCACTTGGAGCTTGAATTAGTTGCATTCTTATATGATGGCAGGAATGGTGAATATAGTTTAGCCAATCAGCATTATTTTTCCAACCAACTTTTGCCAACATTTGAAATTTACATGCAAAGTTTCTGTGCCCAAACAGATAAAAGCGTTAGCCTGCTTTTTAAAAGCATGTTTAAAAATTTATCTCGCCTCTATGATCAGTTGTTGACTTACGCTTGGTTACAGTTATATAAAATTTGATTCAAGAAGATTGATGCCATAGGTGCCAGATCTATAAATATAAAGCTGGTAATAAGTTGCTTAGAATTTTCATGTTCTATACACAAATGGAAAAAGATCTGACTCCAATTTGCAGGGTAGCATGAAACAAAGGGCGCTCATAGGTGGGAGGATTGCTCAGTGGTCAGCGTCTGTGGTTCATGTAACTGACATGACAAAACTTTCATTAATTGAAAGGACCAGGGAACTGCCCCATAAGCAGAGCTATTAACTTCCCTAAAAGCTACCTTCAGAAGGTAGGTGGTAATAAAAACACAAATAAAAAGTTAATTTTAGTGACTCACTTTCAAGCTCATCTCTTGTCCTAGCTCTGCTGTCAGTTATCTCTCTCACAATGGGTTGCAGTCTCATTTCAAGGACCCTTCTATGTTCTTCTAAGAAGTCATTTCTATTAGTGTAATTCATATCAAAGTACACTTGCATCTTAATTGTGTCAAGTGCCACATCTTCCTCATCAAGGAGGCGTGCAACACAAATCTGTAAATAGAGTCAAAATAATTTTACCTTTTCATAAAAACATAGCAGAAGCATATAGTATAAAAATTGTTGACAAGTTTTATCTTGATAGCATTGACAAATATGTCACAGATTGTAAAGTTTGGTCTATGCTGGAACACATTCCTAGTGCAATGATTTTCATTCTGATTACAAAGGAAACAAAGAACACAAGATCTCATTGAAAAACTTTGCTACCAATTCTGTGCATGATTTCACAAAAAAACTGTGGATATCTGTAAATATGAATTCTATTGTTCTGGCATTTCTCATGCAGAAAAATACTTTACAGTTCGTAATATCAGAAACAATCAACAGTGTGCTTTGCTGCAGTAGCAACCAAATACTAGTGTGCAACAAACAAATTTCTTACAGCATTATTGAAATAATTAGAAATTTGTACTTGCTGAACAAGATGTTGGGTGTATGTATTGATAATTGTAAAATTTAGTGTAGTTTCAAAATTGTCCATAAAACATGTTGTTATTTTTTTCTTGAGATCTTGCCTGAAGATTTTAGAGTAAAAATTGGAAAAGACGGGTAATTAAAAATTATCATTAATTCATCACCTTAATGAGTCTCTGTACATCATCCTTTGTAAGGGTCCTGTCAACATTAAATCCGTTATCTGGATCCAAAACAGTTGCTTTTACCTACGAAATTAAGTAGCTCAATACAATTTAAAGATTTAGATTTTTTTATCTGATTTTAAGTTTGTTCGTGTTTAAGTATAATCGTTTGTATCCAAGGCAGTATGGTATTTGTAAGCCTAAACAAACTCTTAACTCAACCTTCATTGGCAGCAACACCCTAGCTAAAATAATTACTATTAATTTAATTCTAAAACTGGATTCAGATTTCATAAACATTATTTGACAAGAACAAAGTTCAACAAAATAAGTTGTCGGATACATGGAAAAACTCACAAGGAAGGGAGCGATTCTACACTAGGCCATATCTACATCTAAATGACGAAATTAAACAAAAACACACCATAAAAGCAACGAGTGTTTCCGAAACAACTTGATGTCTGCTGGCACATTCTTGGGCAATTTCCCTGATAATATTTTTAATAACGCTTTCAGCTTGCGCTCTCGACATTTTGCGAAGATGGGTTGGCTTCCATTTGCCTAGCAACTGTTTAGATCTTTTTGGGAAGGAGGTTCCTGTGAATGAGGCTGAGTAAACCCGCGACCAATTTCAAAACAACTGCAGCATCACTAGTGTGGCAGCCAGGCTCTTGCTGACAACTTTTTCTGAAATTTTGTATCTTTATAGATTGTTTTTAGAAAAGAAAGCAAGTCACACATTTTGATTAATCTATCTTAGTAGGCCGGAAGGTTTATCTTGTGGAACCGTTTAAGGGCAACCAAACTGAATAGGTTGGTTGGCCGAGATGTATCATGCGACGAAGCTGAAGAGGTTATATGGAGCTTGAAAATTACAAATGCTATGGAGGATTTTGAAGTATAAGCCAGGACAATGGCACATACGAAAAGATTATCGAGGTCCAACTCGGAGTCAAACTTGTCCGATCGATGCATTCAAAGGATTACACGATCCAAGAGTCTAGGTGATGTGCAATATTCAAGAGCACTGGAGGAACAATGGCGAGAAGAACTTTCTTATCTAAAGGGCAATCTTGATCAAGAACGCCGGAAGATCTCTCAATTACAACGGGAGAATGTTGCAAAGGTTAGCGAAGCACGGAATTTGGAAATCCAGGAATCCATTGCTGCTCAAAATGACCTTGTTTATGAAATGTCGATTGAAAAGGATAAAGAAGTAAAACAAATCAAAGACAGTGCAAGGAATTATATGAATGAAAAGTTAACTGAATTGGAGGAAAGAAAGAATGAAGAAATTAGAAGACAGAGAGAAGAGTTTGCATACGAGAAAGAAGAGCTAATCAACAGCTTAGCTGCAAGATTTCGTGAAGAAGCGCGATCTGAGATAGGCGATGAGTTTGAAATTGCAAAGAGGGATCTAGAAATAGATTACTTCAGATTGGTTTCTGAGAATAAAAAGTTGTATGAAGATTTAAAAATTGCCAAGGATGGTGATAGAAACAAAGCAGAAGAAATTCGTAGGCTTTATAAAGAATATAACCAAATTGTTGCAAACTTGAAAAAAGACGCCTCCCAGGACAGCCGGCGACAGGTAAAAAGTAGCTTGATGCTTTGACCTCACAAGTGGTACCATTGTTTTGGGCTGCGTGTGCTAATAACATGGTTGACCCCAACCATAAGAAATCACACAGTTCATTAAGAGTATCCTTGAAAGATTTGTATTGAACCGTTTAAAAACTTCCCGATTCTGCATTATTCCATATTAATCCATGTCTTTTTTAGATGCTTTAATAATTGGTTACTTATGAAGAAGCAACTAAATGTAAACTATATTCTGAGTTAATATGGAATCAGAAACCGATTTATAAGGTTCGAGAGTAAACTATTTAGAATTGAGCAAAAAAGAAGAGAACTTCCGATTTATAGGCTTACTTTAGTTTTATTTATGCAATTATTCTTCAAACTACTTTAATATTGCTATTCTTGAATACAAATTTTAAGCCCAAACAATCCTTTCACCTAATAAGCTCGAATTACAAACACACTGCCTTTACCAAAAGATAGTATTTTGAGAGGTAGCTGCTTATGTAATTTGATGTCTTACAGCTGATTCCCTTTTTGCCATCACATGTCAAAACATAGAATAGCTATTTCACTGCACAAAGGCAGCCACAGTTACTTTTTGTAACATGTGCACGCATAGGGAAAAATAAACAAACTATATATTAAGGAAAAACATGATAGACTAATAAAATGCTGTGAAGCTCCGTGCCAGTCACGTGTTATCATCATTTTGCTCAACGTTAAATTAAGTAACTAATGAACTATTTAGAAGCCCGAAAGCCGAAACAACCATTTTGCTGATCGAACTATACGACTAGTGCATGCAGTGCTAGCGTATTAGTGGACTAACTGAGTGCGCATGCTCCTGGAATGCATGATTCTTGGATGACATACCACCTCAGTGACCAACAGTTTTTCATTTTCCTTGCTGTTACTGTATCAGCTTAGCCGCCTTTAAAAGAACTCTGGATTTTTTTTTGACCTATCCTGATTTCAGTGTGAGAATGTGAGTAATAAAACGACTGGAGCGAAAGTTATGATTGTTGTGACTAGAACGCGAGAGAGAAGATAGAGAGCCAAAACAGAAGAGGTTACAAAGTTAAGTCGGGAGAAATCGAAGAAAAAAAGAAAATGAATTATCATTTTTATTTGTTTTCGTTCTTGCATGCTTCGTTACATCTGCTATATCCAATAATATAGGTTCCTTTGGTAATACGGTAAAGCTAAGCTGATAATCGCCACAACGGAGTTTACTTCTTCTAATATTATTTCTCTTTCTAAGAATCTTTAAATCTCGACACATATGACACTGATCCTAGATAAAATCTTTATTAGTCACATTAGTAAATAAGAGTGATATTTTCTATGTTTGTGCCCTCTTACAGATGTCCGAGATGCGAGAAATGCAGAAGATAATCGCAGAATTGGAGAAAAAGCTTGGCTTAGAGTCAGGTACTTGTTTAAAATTGCAAATGGAAAAAGAATCTCTGGACGAAGCATTGTCAAGGTTGAGACTTGCTGATTCATGGGACAAACGAATCTCAAGAGCAAATCTTCGAGGAGTTGGTGACATTGAAATCGAGGCTGCATATGGTCCTTTTGTTTCCTCAAGACAAGTGATTTTAACTTGATTTTATTAGATACCGTAATTCCTCGAACCCCCCCCCCCCTCTCGAAAAAGCCCCCCTCCCCGAATAAGACCCCATTTTAGAACTAAAAATTGCCAATAACCCTCTGCCTCGAATAAGCCCTCACTACTGCCAGAAATCCTTGAATCGGCCCCCTCTCGCTTTGTTGATTGTTGGCATCTGAGTTTGCCTTCGGTGTTTTATTGAATTACTACAAAAATTCATACTTATGGTAATAATTAAATAAATGTCCATAAAGAAATTCCTAATGAAAAATACGATGTCTTTTAATATTGTCTTCTTAATGTCCACTATAATTTTATAAGCCCCCCCTCGTATAAGCCCCCCTTTGAATAATCCCCCTTCCAAAAATATCAAAGATAAATAGGCTCCCAGTGGGCTAATTCGATGATTTACGGTAATCTTTCAGCTAGGCAAATCTTTGTGAGATACTATAAAGGCAGTGTGTCCATGAAGATTGTAGTTGCATGCATGATGCTAAGTTCAGCTGTTCAGTGATATGATTGGTTTAGACCAACCATCTTGTATGTTATTTGTTTTAGACCAACCTCTACAACCACCCCCCCCCCTTGAAGCATTTTACTTGCAAAAACAATATCCCGCCAAAATCTCCTCACAGCACCTAAAGCCCTGGCAAAACAAAAAGTTGTAGTCAACTTTTGTTTAACCCTAAACTTAACGTTTCAGCTCTTTTTTTACCATCTTTCCCTTAAAAATTCATCGGTTGTTTTCTTATAACAAGAAAACTGACTGACGAGGTAGTTAGGCAGCAAAAAAGCACTGTTTATGATATCTTACTATCCATACAGAACAGTAATACAAGTTTTAGTAAACCTAGAATATTCAGAAGGAGGTTGAGAAAATGGATAAATTTGACGCCAAAACCATAGTTAATAAATTTTGAAACTTTGGCAATGGCATTGCCTAAATTTATGGAAATTTATCAAAAAGGATACCCTTTCATATTATGGTTTCATTTAGATGTTTCTATCTTGTAGCTCTCCAAGGCACATAATAGCCCAGAAAAAGTGCTGCAACGCAAAGTTCTGGAAATGACGTCACTCATCCGCAGACTAGATGAATCCAACCAACAGCTGGCAGAGCGGAATCAACAACTGGTACGTTTTGTGCTTCCTTCTTTATGTCATCCAAATTCAATATATTTTACTTATACGATAACTGCAAAGCAAGGGAAACATTGTGGTCCTATAGTTGAAGTCCAATGCAAAAGAATACAAAGGAAATTTAAATACAACTCCCAAACCACGCCTTGTTTTCTCTGTTTTCTGAGCAGAGGTATCCACTACTTGAGAAAATTGTGCGGAATAGGAACCAGCACTTTTCTGGGCTTTGACCAACGTCTGTTTAAACCCTGCTTGTTACACAGTCCTCGGGGGGTAAACTACGCCTAATTTTGGACAGGGAAGTGCCATTTTGGTTACAATTTTGGACCCATAATTCCGCAAATGTCTGAAAAAATGTGACCCATAATTCCGCAAACATGACGAAAACTATACCCATAATTCCGCAAATGTCTGAAAAAATGTGACCCATAATTCCGCAAACATGACGAAAACTATACCCATAATTCCGCAAATGTCTGAAAAAATGTGACCCATAATTCCGCAAACATGACGAAAACTATACCCATAATTCCGCAAATGTCTGAAAAAATGTGACCCATAATTCCGCAAACATGACGAAAACTATACCCATAATTCCGCAAATGTCTGAAAAAATGTGACCCATAATTCCGCAAACATGACGAAAACTATACCCATAATTCCGCAAATGTCTGAAAAAATGTGACCCATAATTCCGCAAACATGACGAAAACTATACCCATAATTCCGCAAATGTCTGAAAAAATGTGACCCATAATTCCGCAAACATGACGAAAACTATACCCATAATTCCGCAAATGTCTGAAAAAATGTGACCCATAATTCCGCAAACATGACGAAAACTATACCCATAATTCCGCAAATGTCTGAAAAAATGTGACCCATAATTCCGCAAACATGACGAAAACTATACCCATAATTCCGCAAACATGACGAAAACTATACCCATAATTCTGCAGAGCAAATAAAATTTTCAAAGCACATAGAAAATCATCAACCAAATTTTGCATGTCCTATGCCCAAAAATCTCAATATTACACATATTTCATACTGGACATTCATTTTGTTAAAGCTAAATCTCCCTCCTAATATTGCATTCATGTTTCTTCAAATGGTACCCATAGTTCTGCACAAATTTCAAAAACTGATACCGATAATTCCACACTTTTCAGAAGAAAGGTACCCGTAAATAATAGCACGTCCCCGTACCTCAAACATGTTAAGGAACCCCCCCCCCCCCCCCGAGACACAGCCATTTTACAGACATTTTTCTTAAGATTTGAACCAAATAAACGAAATGATATGCCTGGCTACTAAATCTTTCGAAAAAAAATGAAGTAACGAGAAGATTCATTCTTTATCAGCACACACTGAGTAAAATTTTGTTGACAAGTGGACCGCTTGTATCGATCTGATTGGATATTGGTTTTCAAAGCCAATCAGGCTTTTAATGATTTCGCTATTAGGGATTTCTTTTAAGGCAAACTATATGAAGCAATGAACTCCAGTAGTTGCATAATTTTTCAAAGCAGGTATCAAATTAACTTTCTTTTCTATTTGGCCTATTTTAAAATTCCTGAAAGTACCCTATCATTTGCCCTATTCGGTATTCTGAGTTAATCATTTATCAAAACGTAATGTTACAATAAGCTGAAAATCGTTTCTACGTTTATAAAGTTGAATTGAAGCAAGGAGACAGTCTCCAACATAAGCTTATATTTTGAGTCAACAACTAGAGAAGAAAATCCGAATGTAAGCCTATGTTAGTTTAGGACTCTTTCTTGTTCTTGTGCAGGTTAAGGCGGGAATTCAAGGTCATAAATAATCATTGATGTTTAATGTATTCCTCCTTTGTATCATTATTTGTATAATCCTAAACAAACGTAATCCCACGCAAAGAGAAAAGATACAAATCACACGATAATACTATGCTTATACTTTAACACCATTCACCTTTTCTCTCTTGTGCCTGCACGCCTTGACAGAGTTACTTTTATTGTGCTCCACTCTTCTTTATTTTGACTTTCGTTTTGCTAAAACGATTAAAGTCAGCTTTTGGGAGGAAAAATAGTCTCGAAACTTTAAAGGGATCAATCCGGAAGATGAATCTGCAATATCAAGGAATTTCTTCGTGTCTTCAGCATCGTAAGTAGCTACTGCATACGCCCTTGCAAAGGGGCGGGTTTCCCTACAATTGTGCTGCGTACAAGGGTTTTTTAGTTATCAAAGTCAAGTTTGTTATTGCAGCTACCTGGTGATTTTTACTCTGGATGCAACCTTAAATCGAATTTAAAATTGTTTCATTGTTTCTGCTTAATTTTCTTTATAAAAGATGTTCACTCGTCTAAAGATTTAAATCGTTTGGCAAAGTGTTTCAACATTTGTTTGAATTGTAACCGGATTGAAGTCTTGACATGCTCAAAGTGATTAATTTTCACGGTCATGCTATCAATACAAGTAAAGGTGAACGATATTTATTGTTTAAAAATGATTGCTCTCGCGGTGTTTAAATTCCAAGGATCTCCAATTTCGAACTGCCGAGATGACTTTTTAGCGTTCGATTTCTTTTTCGTGCATTTTGTCATCACCACCCAGTCACCACCCTTGTTTACCCTTTTAATTTTCTAACAAATATATCGATAACCAGTGCCGTGTAACAACATACTAAAAACGTCTGTAATCCTCTTGAACAGCTATAACTAATACGTTGTGAACTCTCATTATCTGGGTTTCTCGCGAGGTTGCCCTTTTGCTTTTAATTCACTGGCGCGTTAAGTTACTAACCTCGAGGGATTTGATTGCGTTTTACCCTTTACAATGTCAACATTGTTTGCGGAAAATGGAAATATAATCTTTTATCAACCACTTTCTCTAGGGACTTAATCCCGTCAATTAAACTTTATGACTGCGCGTTCCTAGATACCGGCCTATTTTCTCGCGAGGATCTCGCGATGAATCTTTCATCTGGAGCTTCTTGCTCTTCAAGCGATCTGGCAAATTATGATTGCTATATTTCGGATAGCTGATAACCCAATTCATGAGATACAGAGAGAGTTTTGTAACGGAGATCAAGGTGCTATTTTGTGCACAGGAATAAGGTATATCAAATCTTTTAAGTGATACATAGCTTTGATCTTATCGTTGTTTTTACGCTTTCATGTTCACTGTTTTCTTGCCTTCTCCGCAACATTTTCACATCACCGTGTTAAATTTGTTACCAACACACATCAATTATTCTAAAAATGCTGAAATTTGTAACGGTTATGCATCTTTCAACTAGCTTTAAAACAAATGTAACTTTTAATATCGGAAATAGCTGGGTGTACAAAGTGTAGTGAAATATTATTGCTTTCGACCTGATATGATAGCTTAAGACACAACAGCGATTTGTTGTGTCGAGGAAATGACAAATCAAACCATAGGTACTGCGTTGTGTCTAGGTAATTTTTTCGAATTCTATGATGAACACGTGGATGTTATTTCATTGTAGATAGATGAAATTGAGAACATGAAAAACGAAAGACAGCCGACGGAACAAAAGGTGAAAAGATTAGGGGCAAAGAACATGGAACTGGTACAAACGAACCGGCGGCAGGAGACAAGACTTGTGGAGCAGCAGGAAGAGATTTTATCCTTGGTAAGGAGATCTTCTGTAAGATCAAAAAATGCTTAGGAAGGAGAAAGGATACAATTTTTTATTTCATTTCTTGCTTATTTGGTTTCGTTTTATTCTATTTCATTGCCTCGAACTGAGAGGTTTAATTGGGACAAGCATGTTACAGCCCCAGTAGCAAATGTTTGAAGCCATCATTACACTCATAGTTTCACGACATATATTTGTTAATTTAAATCATTTCAATATCCTTTTTTAAAGAGTTTTGTTGTAAATCAACGCTTTTTGATTGGATTTTTTTTCATTTCCACACTTCAGCTAAAAGTTAACAAATTTATTTCCAAAACCAATGCTTTATTTTCCCTATAAACAAGATTTTTTCAAACCTTCAATTGTAGCATCCAGTTTTATAAAGCTTCAAATTGATTTCCAGCAAATGCCAGATGTCCCCCTCATTGAGTATTCTAAAGAGCAAATCTCCCTCTTTTTTGTTCCAGGCAACATCAAATGTTTGAAACATCTTCTTTTGCTTTTTACTTTCCTTGAATCAACATATTCACTGAAATAAAGGGTGCATCTGTATCGTTATAGTAGTATTAAAATCCTTGTTTATTGTAATGGTGAAAACGTTTTTATTTTTCTCGTTTGTTCTGAGAAGAAAGCCAAATTGAAGACATATGATGAAGTATTTCACAGAAAAGACAAAGAAATCTCAAAGCTGAAAACGAAAGTTCAGGTTAAAAATGAAATCGAAAACCAAGTGAGTTTTTATTTATTCACAAATTCATTAAATTTTTTTGGCTCATCTTTTTTGAGTTTTTTTCTTTTATTGTATACTTTGACATGTAGCCTTATTCTTTATTCTATAAGAGAATAGTTTGATATTTATATGAAGCTCTCATCTTTGAGCACTTGATCCGTAACTCTAACCCTATCGTTTGTATTCTGACCCTGTTTTTTGTTTTACAAGCATTTCTCTAGCTTTTTCTCTAGCCTTTCTGCTTCAAACTTGATATATTGTACCGTATCAATTGATAACTTCTCCCTTAGCAAGAAGAAATTGAAACGCTACAAGAGGCTGTACAGGAGCAGCTACAGATTATTTATGATTTACGACAGCAGGCCGTTGTAAGTATTCGACGTGTCAAATAGACAATTTTGTATGCATTAGTAACTGTAACTAAGAAACTTGGTTTTACTTAGCATTGATTTTACCTCCTTTTTGCCAGCAGGTTATGAATTTTGCTGAAATGATTGTAATCCCTGCATTATGATTTATAATGCAAAAAAACAGTGTTTTTATATTCAAAGTGTAAGAAGTATGCACATTGTTGGCCACTGGAGCTGTAACCAGGCATGCAAGAATGAAAGCAAATAAAAACGATAATTCAGTTCCTCTTTATCTTCAATATTCCCCTACTTAACTTTATAATATCTTTTGCTACCTTAATAAGAGCGACAACAACTCTCGGTCCAGTCCCTTATTACTCACACACTCACGGAGCCATTCTCTGGAGTCGTTTCATAAAAGTAGCATAAACACTCGAGATTTAATACGTAGTTTTTAAAAATTATTGGAAATATCTATGGACTTCTTGCTTGAATTTCGAAATTACACAAAAAGCAGAAGCACGTTTGCAAAATAATACGTATTTACTCAGACAGTGTGACTAGAGCTATTTCTACACGACAGTTTTTTTACCTTGGTTCACCCAACCCAATCCATTGAACCCAACCCGGTGTAATTTGGTCAAACGTGGGTTCAAACCAGGTTAAAAAAATCCAGCTCGAGACTGGGACTCAACCTATGTTGTACCTAGGTTGAGTTTTTTGTCGAAAAGTATACTTTCATACCATGTGTTAAGTTTCCGTTTTTGTTCCATTTTAAAGTTTTTCTGTACGAAAGGCTTATCTAGAATGTTTACGTAGTCTGTGTAATATAGCGGAATGAGCAGTTTGCCACGAAATTGTATGTACTTGAAAGAAAATGAGTAAGTGTTTTTATTTCAGGAAAAAGATCGTCGTATCGGCGTACTTCGCGAGAGGATGCAAAAGAAACAGTCAAGGAGAAACCGCAAGGTATCATTTGATATCATAAATGTTGCGATAGATGTAATCGCCATTTCGCTGTCCACTTTTACACAAAAAATCCTGGCTTTAATGTTCTGAGCATAGTAGAAAGCTATGAAGAAAGAAGCTGCCCTGTAGATTTCTTAACACATGTAGGGCCTGTACCTATTAAATTGGGCCTATAGCACTTCTAAAGAAGTTAAGCGTTGGATTCATCTGTCTTAAATTTTCTTTGTCGTCCAATACTCTTTCAGGCTTCTTACGTGACCGAAGCCATTTCTTTTTTAGACTTAACTCATATTGCAAAGATGTGATCTACAATGCCTGCCAAATGTACTTGGAACACCCAGCAATTTGTGTTGCATTTGATATCTTTAATTCTTTTCCCGAAAAAAATACTACTTCCGCCTCCTTCCGCCTAAAACAATTTTGATAATTTAGAGAAATATCATAAAAGAAGTGTAAAGGAAGTGCTTTCTAAAACCCTAGCCCGGTTCATAGTAAACCAAAATTGTTCTGTAGGGGAGAGGGGGATGATTGATTTTGACCTTGAAAACTGACGTCAGTGTTCCAAGAAACTTGGCAGGCATTGTAGTTATTCAAGGTTGCATGGAATTTCCCAGAGCGATTTATTAGCTGTTTTTTACTTTAGTAAAATATCGGCCACATGCTCAAGGTGGGATATGGTTTGTGGAAACAGAAGTGATGTTCCTCAAGATTTATTATTCTAATATCAAATTATTGAGACTATCAATTGCCATGCAGGATCGTGGACGAAAATCAACTTCACCCGACAGTCTGGAGAGTATTTCCATGGAAGAAGATGGTTTCTCTACAACTTCTGAGAGCATAAATGATGTCAATGGAAATGATCTTGAGGTGATTTGTGCATTTTTACATGAAGTACTTTTCGAATAGTTATCTATGCAAAAATTCAATGGAATCTCTTGTACTATAAGGGATTTCTCCATTACTTTTATGGAGTGCAAAGAAAGCATAATTCTCAGAATCATTTAATGAGTAAGAATGTAAGCTGTGAGGGGCTGCTTTTTTACCCTTAGACCAAAATAACGTTGTTTTGGGTATCAACATCATGAACAGCATTTGAGTTAAGAAGACACTTGTCTTTCATCCAAAATCTTTTGATCAACCCTAGCAAGATAACAATAGTAAGTTTTTTGGTAAATCAAGTCTTTTTGATCATCCAGACTAGTCTTTGTGTTATTAGATTGCTCAAATCAATCGATAAATCTAATATAATGACAATAAAGGAAATTTGTGTGGATTGATTCTTGTACTGTTTGTTTAACTATAAATGTATTTTACCCTCTTTGTTTAGCTGTGAAATATACTCTTTACAAGTTCTGATTTAAAATCAAAATCTAGATTTCTGCTTCTTTTAAGCTCCTTTCGACACAATTATTCCATTCTGTGACAAGCAATGCTTTCTGTTCTCTAATTTTCCAATAGAGTACCGAAGTGTGACATCATCAAAAAGCTATTTTTAGAATTTCTTAATTTTGATCACATACTCTGAAAGAATTACCAGGTCTTAAAAATATGCGAAGCCAAATCATGCCAGTGAAAAATCCAAAATATGTCAAAAATGAAAACGAGGCTATAGAACAATGACACTTAAAATGGACGCTATAGTGATAAAATCTTTATGACACTTCACTCTTCATTTTTCCCTAAAAAAGAAACCTGATGTTCTCAAAGGAAGGAATCAACCAAAAGGTGCTCCATTAGATCAAAGGAGTTGAAATCAAAGAAATGATAAATGAAGCAGCTGTTTAAAAATTCAAATATTCAGCCAATTTGGAGAATTTTTCAGATAAGTCTTGAAAAAGCCAAATTTTCGAAAAAATCCATATCATATTTTCAAAGCCAAACAAGTTTTCATATACATCCAAATTTGTAGAATTTGGATTAGAAAAATCCAAAGTGGCAACCCTGGAAAGAACAGCATAAAATACTCTCAATTCACAAAATTGGCTAATGTGGCTATTTTTCAGCCAATTTCCAACAAATTCAACTGATTTGGCCGATTTCATAATGTTTTACAGGGTTATAGGATTTTTTGGACTTCATCATTTCGGTACTCAATAGAGCAACTTTTCTCGCGTGTGTCTTGGGCAGCATTCTTTAGAAAGTCTCTTTTGTTATCATTCGAGAGTGAAAAAGCAAAAAAAAGGAATGTGTCATATTTACCAAGAGATAGCCTTATTGTTTGATTGTTTGCTAACACAGCATTACTAACAATTAGCTAATGCTTTATTTTCAGTCAAATGTCAAGTGTTTACATTTTACCGCCAACCTATAACCTGTGTTATTATAAACTGAGTATGTGTTGCGGGCCTAAGTTTCCTCAATTCAAAATGCGAAAATGCGAAGTATATGTAGGATTGTGGTAACGGATGCTGACGAGGTAGGTTAATCCTTTCAGTAGATTTGAGTAATGTGGGCCAAAATACACAGCTAGCAAACTCTAGAGGATATTGTTGCTAGATCACTTTGCTATGAAGCAAAACTAGATCGCCCAAGTTGAAATTATGCTAGATTAGATTGAGCTTTAATCAATCAACGCTTCCTTGAGTTTTGATTATTTAATCTATTAGAAACCCCTTCAAAATAACCAAACTCAATCGACAAATTTTAGGTATCCTTCGATAGCGATGGGAGAAAGCATGTAGAAAATGAAAATTACAACCAACTTATGAAAGAAAGAATGGAAATGGAAAGAGCATATGCGCTATTACAGCAGCAGGTTGGTGGTCACCTAGATCCAGAAAGAACTCAGCTGGTAAGAAATTGTTTTAGCTAATACATATAAAAATACAAATTTTAACTTGTTTATTCTTAGCTTTCTGACCTGCTGAGTTTAATGAATCATAAATTTGCTTTTAGGGAAGCAGAAATTTTAATGCCTACTGAAGCTTTTCGTCTGACACCATTCAGACAAAATCGTCAGAACAGACCAGAACATATTCAGCTTTTGCTAATTCCCCTAAATAGTACATCAGCTATGCAGATTGCTTCTAATAAGGTTTTTTTGCTGAAATATTGACTTTGCTAGGAAGGTCTGAAATGATCAGTCGTAAAAACCTTATAGCAAGAAAAAGCTTTCTCCATAGCCACCGAGTCCGGAAAAACATTAGACCGCCCTGTTTAAATTGTTTTTTGGTTACTTTATGTATTTGTTATTCGTATTATGTAGTTGTTAATATTTAGGTTTGTATTTAGTGTTGAATTGCTTTGTTAAATTTTATGGTCGCAGGGTTGCTATGTATTTCCATGCCCCCCTGCGGCATCGTCTTGTAACCTCCGTATATTTCATGAAAATTTATGGAGTTTATGGTAATAAAAACTAGCAGGCATCCTTAAACTTTTTGGCTGAAAAAGCAATCTTCGAGCCTTGTCATAAGATCTCTTTCCCATTGGAGTAAAATGTTTTCTATTTTCCCTTGACGAATGCTTTTCGATATTTAAATCCGCAGGTTGTCCTTAAAACCTGCTTTCTTTCTTTTAATAATTATTTTCATAACATGACGCAAAGTTACAGGTTGGTATGAAATTTTGAAACATAACAAGATGTTTTATCTACATTACATGACCAGGATTTCCGAAGAAACTTGACAAGGGTATCGACGTTGGGTATAGTCATCTTCCTTATAATCAAGAAATATCCATTATCTTTTTTTCAGTTTATGAGGAAATCGCCTTTCCAACAAAGTTTGCAGTTTGTATTATGACTCCTATTTTTGCTACCGAAAATTTCTTCTTTGCAGCAAATCGACGCAATTCAGTCAGACCTGATTGTTGCTCAAGCGAAAATCCAAGATCTAGAATGGCAGCTCGAAGAGGCTCAGAAAGATGCCCAAGAGGTTTGCGCCATAGATACAATTATTGCAAAAATCTTTATACCCAAAGTGGAGTTCAAGACCTGATATTAAGAACTATCATGCAAATATTACCCGGATTTAAATTATTTTTTTAGCGGGGAGGGGGGGGGGGGGTTGTAAACAATGATCTTTATAGATTAAATAAAACCCTTTTTCTGAACTTTCAATGTCATGCTTTTCAAAGCACGAATATATTTCATATTTTTGCTATTTTCCTGGATGCAAAAGATTGTGATTTATCCTTACGCAATATTTATAATACTTCAAAATCAAAAGCTGCAAAACATAATTTTTCGGCAGTGTTATGTCTTCTGAAAATGTTTCCGGTTAAAGAGTTCTCTGCCACTGCCTCTCATAGTGAATTTTCGAGAGAGGATTTTGTTAGTATAACCTATCAAGGCAATAATTCTATTTTCAAGTGTAAAACATGCCGTTATCTGCTGCTTTCTCTATACCAAGGTGAAGTTACAGCGGCCTGGCAAATTTGTAGATGATTTCAAGGAAGAACGAGAAAGGTTAAGAAATACAAACAAAGTTCTCCACGAAAAGGTTCGTACTGTACTGGAGAGATTGCTTGGGTAGATCTTGCATACTTCTCCTTTTAGCCTGCTGTTTTTAACAAGAGATAGAAAATCTAACTGCAATTGCATGCTAGCAAATCATGACAGAACTGACTGTTGAAAGAGACGATTGGAAAACCAGCAAGGTACTGGAGCTGGCAGACCAGTTTATTAAAACTCCTATCAAATATGGAGTCAATGATCGTTATAGATATAAGTGGCAATGCTATACTCCATTTTATTTTTAATTCAGTGAATCTTTAAAAAAAACCAAATAAATCTCTTGATGAATAACATCTTGTATCTTTAGCTCATCGGTGCTGAGTCGGAAGCTCTCTCTAAGACATTGGAAATAAAGCGTTTGTCTCAGGTAGGTATTACGATTTTGTTGCTCCCAATTTCCTTCCTTTTTTGAAAGTCTACCAAAGGCTATTTGTTTATGCTTAGTCCTCGATACCTCCAGCTTTTTAATGTTATGAGTATTATTAGCATAACGATTAATATCACTATATAGTTCGTGTAACACAACTAAATGAGAATCAAATATGTTTGCTTGCATAGCTTTACATCCGTAGGACCTGGCAGATGTGGAGGAGCAAAGGGACCTTCTTGAATTTAGAGTCGCTGAATTAGAAGAAAAAACAAGGGTAAATATTATTAAAGGAAATTTTCTCGTCAGTTGTTGAGAGCTTTTGTGAATTATGTTACACAAGCTGACGCTGCTGGTAAAATGTTTCCACATAGAGATTATACGCTTATATATTGCCAATCTTCTCTACATTTTTGTCATGTTGGCTGTTTTTTGAATCATTGTTCCTTATTAGAAGCTAACTAGAAAAAGAGATTTCCAGTGATCATAGAAGTATAAGACAAACCTCTTTCTCTTTTAGGCCAAATCTCCTGAATTCGAATCTTGGCAGTTGACTGATGATGACAAACTGAATTTGAACCAGGTGTCACTTATAGAAAATATGTCACTCAAACTGTTTATTAGGAAGTATTTCTGTTGGAGTGCCTCCCAATATATGTATACAGCCTCTTTTTACAGTGACCTTTGGAAAATTTCGTTTGGATGATGCCCTATTTTGATATTTCCTCTAATGACTTTTCTTATAGGCTGCCCCTTTAATAGGGTTATTCTGTCTTTTTTCAGTCAATCTATGGCTTTAATCTTGAACTGTCATCAAATTACATCTTTGGTCGTATTCACCGTATTTATGAGCTTTAGGGTTGGTCAGCTGAAATCGTCAATTGGTCATATCTCGTAATTTTATTTTTTTATTTTTCGCAAGGAATCTGAAGAAATTGACTTTGATGCTGTTTCAATAAGAATTGCATTGAAGGAATTGGAGATAAACAAGGTTTGCTATATCCCCGAATAATGTTAACCACATATTCTTAATGAAATACCTTGATCAATTATTGCATGAAAAAGGTACGCTTGTTGCCTTGAGAGCCTCAGAGTACAGGGGAGGAAAATTGCGCCCCCCTTTTCTTACTTCCTTTGACTTTCTGAGGTTCTGGTACGCAGTATATGAAGGAGTCTGCAATGTTATCAATTAAAACATTATAGCGTCTTTTAAAAAGAACATTTTCATCTGTTTTTCACCATTATCTTTTGGACTAGACTAGTTAATCAGTGAAATTAGGGTTATGGCTAAAATGAGGTTCATTTCCTTTTTTTCTTTCTATTTCGGTGTGGATTTGATTTTAGCAAAGTGTATTTTCAAGAAAAGAGAAGAATACTGTCATTAAAGCCATGGACTTCATTGAAAAAGAAGAAAAGGTAATTGATTTTAACAACCGATATCTGTGTCAACACTTTTCCGTTGAAATTTCAACGTTTGCTTGGAAATCGTTTTAATGTTTTAGCAGCATAACAGCTTTCTTTTGTTTTCCGTTCTGCCATCTATGCTCTACTTTCCATTTTTTCGGTTCAATGATTCACGTGAAATATTACAGCGCAGGGGAGGGGTAGGACCCAGTTAATTTAAAGTGCATTTAAAGTGCATAATTTGAAGTGTTTTTCGTTAGGTCTTATTTGTTAGAGCATCAATTTCTAGAAGATTTCTTGGTAACTATTACTTGACCTTCGTTTATGTCTTAAAATATTTCTTTGTATAGGAACTTCGCTCTTACGAATCCAGTGAGCAGCGTCTTCTGAAAAGAGTGAGCGACCTAGAAGGAAAGGTACATAAAATCTTTTATTTGCCGCAGCAAATAAAACCATGAATTTGATATAAAATTCTATTAAGATTTACAGCTTTCCCTTCCAACAAAAATTTGGTTTGTTGTTTTCTTTTTAATTGTGAAAACCAGAGAACTGTTTAAATTGCTTTCGTTTCTTGCTTTGAACAATGATGGATTTCACACATAAATATAAATAATAATGAGCCTAGCTTTAAATGATTTTCAATCATGATCATTACCCATATTTCACCAGAAGTTTTCATATTGATACAGAGCCTTCGCAGATTGATACAGAGCCTTCGCAGATCGATACAGAGCTGCTTAATTTTGCTTTGTTGAAGGAACGCTGCCTGCACAAGGTTTTTTCGACCACTTATAGCTCCCCATCAGTGAATTGGTCAAGCGTTCATAATTTTATGAACAGAGCTAAAATAAGATCAATCCGTTAGCAAACTTACATCTTTTATCGCCCATAGCTCACCTAGTTTTTGACACATTTAACTGCTTTTGCTTATTTAGAAGTATTTCGTTGCGTTCTTTTAGATTATGTGGTCAAAATTCAAAAACTTATGTCAAATAGATTTTTGAGACGTCGCACTTACGAATTCTGTATCGCTCAAAGCTCTTGTAGTAGTTCTTTTCTGTGTTTTGCCGATTCCTCACCTTATGTTCAATGCCTGTCAGTGCAAATGTTACTCATAATTTTTGCTGCAATTTAGTCTCTAGGATCATAACTTCAAGCGCTTTGCTTTTCAAGATTCCCATATTGTTCTCCTTTGGTTTATGGCATTTCTGTTTTCAATCTTAATTATCAAAATCTAACATCTTTTTTTAATTCTATCAAAGTACAACTCTCTAAAGACGAAAATTGGCGAAAAGGTACGAGGTTATCATTTTTAGGGTTTTAGAATTTGCTCTTCAATTTTAAGCGTATTCGCTATAAGAGGATAAAGCGTAAGGCTTTCGTTATTTGTCATTCTATTGTGACATTTTTGAAAGCAAAGAAGTGAAGCCAAAGTTATAGCGCATGTAAAATCGAATTAAATTTTGTTTTATTGTATATTTAATTCAATCATATCTTCTAATGTTATTTTACAGCTTAACCTGTGCTCTGTCACAGAAATATTTTGCCGACTTACTATTTCCAAGAATTTCAAAACTGCCAATTTGTGGCTTATTGCACTAATCTTGTTAATAATCCGTTAGTTGCGTCTGGTCTCTACATCGCTCATTGGCTTGTAGAATGATCACATTCAAAGAAAAAACACTCCAAAAATGAACATTAAAATTACTGGCAATCTGGATGAAAGTTTTAAAACAAGCTAACTAAAATCAATACATAAAAGAAAGTTGTATTCCGCTAACATTGTCTATTTTATCTTCAAACTACGCATGTTACCATTGAAAAAAAGTTGAACCACCAATGCAAAGACCTTCCATATTCAAAACTAAGTCATTAGATTTAGATATGATTATTTGTTTTGAGTGATACGTTCATCATTCAAAGTACTTCGAGTGCGTGGCCTCGCAGTTTTCCAACTATTTAAACCGATAAAAACAGCTAAAAGGCATGTAATGCATATTCCAAGGATTTTCAGATTGTGACTTATTTTCCACCAAAATCCATTTGCTTTCTCTCTGTCTTAGAATCATCTTTTTAATTTGATTGTGTTTATGTATATTATTTTTATACTACTTTAATGAACCTTGAATTATAAGTCCTGAAAATATTGTTATTTCTGACTTGTCGACGAAAATATTGTTATTGTCTGAAACTGGAAGTTGCAAAACCAAAACACGGCATCAAGCACTATATGACAGACTCTGAAAAGCTGTATTTTTCGTTAAATATCTGGCAAGTTACTTAAATATGAAGAAGATTGTATTCGTTCTCTAATTCTGTTAATTGCATTAGTCAGCTTTTGTTAAATTCCTTGAATTATTCATGCCAAGTCTCAAAAAACTCAATTATTTGTCAGAAATTTCAGTCGGCAAAAGGCTTAAAATTCATCTCCCTGGCGGGTTTGCTACGATATATGTAAAACTGCTAACTTTCTCTTTTTCTCCTTAAGGACAACGAACTTGCCATGCTACGGGCCGAAAAGAGCAAATCAGAAGAGCAAAAGTTGATATCAACAGACGAAGCTTTTGACGGTTGGTTGCTAACTGTTTTATAGCAGAAAGTTATTGTTCCTTAATTCTATTATCATTTTCGTTGTATTGAGACGTCAAGCCTGTGTTTGATCATCTTATAGGCCAGCAACACTTACGTCTGACTCTCTAAGAAGGGTATGTGAACAACTAACTCTATAGGCTTGACAAGAATACTCCAGAGTGAAAATTAACGGATATAATTAACCCTATGGTATTTTAGGAGGACTTTATATTTTAACATGCTGGGCATGTCAAGCTATTGAGCCAAATTTTGACCGACTTTTAAACCAGAACAATCATAAGATTTTTATTCCCCGTTTCAACTCAACAATCAGCAAACAAAGATGCTGGATGATAAGGCTAACTGACTCACTTTTTACTATATTGTTTTTTCTTCCTAATTTCTTCAGCCTTCAGCCTACATTTTATATCGTCCTTTCTGCCTAAATTTTAGTTTGCAAAACCCCAAACATAACCTAGGTTTCAAAGAGGTGCCATGACTTTTCTTTGCACCTTTCTCTTTCATAATGTATCCCCCTTCTTTATTACTTCTGTATCTGCAGACGCTTTAGAAATAGACAGATGAGCCATTAATGATATTTTGTGCTGCCTTATGCTCTAGCTTTGGGGCTCAGCCCCCTACCCCGGAATTTTTAGAGTGAGATCAGTCATTCCTGGTTGCATTCTAACGGAGAATAGATTTTTGGAGAGCAGCAAAATAGCCGTATATTTTCTCATTTAAGAAGGTACAAATTAACTAAAGGTACCCTTAGCAGCCGATTTTTGCTGTCACAGGGACTTTGGTGATACGAACATGCTAAGATGAAAATGGATTGTTAATTATTTGCAAAAGATACAAACTCACTTTAATAAGAATATTATTTTTTTTCTAACTTGATGCCATTCTTGGGAAGATTGAAAGTTTGCATTTATTTTACTGATAGCTGTTATTCATCGATGGATGGAAGCGCCAGCTGTTTACTCGTACAGGTCGCCCTTCGTGGCTAAATGGTTTTAGATCAGCTATATTAAGATTTACGGACAAAATAAACAGCCCAACAGTTAAAACGTATTCAGAAACGAAATGCAAATGAATCTCTCATAATGATAAGAACGAAACGGCGTTGCCTTGTTAAATCAGTCTTTGCAGTTTCTAGGAGCAAGGGTCCTTTAAGGAACAGGGAAGCAAGAGTAAAACACAAAGATGCTGAAAAGGAATAATGACTGAAAAAGCACTGATGTCTTGGAATTAATAAAAATGAAAATCTTTTTGAATTAAATAAAAATGAGATAGAAACCTCCCTATCTATTTGTATGCGCTTAACTGCATAGAGAAATGAGATGAAAGTCTCACGCATTCAGACATGAGAACAGGGTTTTTATTCGTAGGTGAAGCAGAAGAAATGGAAAACGACTGCAATCATGTAGCAGACGATCCTGTAGTGGCATTGGATAAGGCGTTGCAAGTATGTATTACATTGCATTCTATACACACAGTTGTGGTATAATTTTATTTTGTAATTGTTATCGAAACAATTGACCAAAGATTGCTAATGTTTTTATAGCCAGCATCTAGGAATGCTTTGAATAAGAATTTCAGGTCTTTGCTCAATTCATACAGATTTAACAACTTATTCGTTAATATCTACTGCAAGGAACAATTTTCATATCCACAGGCAACTTTTTTTCAGCTTCCTTTGACGGCTTTTCTTTAACTAGCGATTAAGACATAGGTTTACAGGGTTGGTGTACCTAGTTTTTATCATGTGGGATAACCTATAGTTTAAGTACTGAGACGCGAATTGATAATAATCGTATTCCAAATTTCTCAAAATTTTCCAATCATACAAAGCATGCAGCTCTTGCTGTTAATAATTGGGGAATCAAGTCAGGGTTATAACACAGATATCTAAAGCGATAAATTATATAAATATCTGGATATAAAAAAATGAGTGTATACTGAAAATGTTTTTTTAATGATAAAACGAGAAAATCTTGGCGTAAGTATAATCCTGACTTCAACTGTCTCAAATTTTCGCTGAAATGTCAAGTAAGATATGAGCAAGAAGGCAAGCAGTAAACTGGAAGAATATTAATGAATATATTAGAAATTCTATTTTCAAAATATTTGAGGTATCATTAACATAATAACATGAATGATTCGAAAAAAATACGTTAGCGTGTCAGGTTAAATGCATTTTTGAGTACAGGGGCCTAACCCCCTCGCCCTCTTTATGAGTTGATTTTTAAGCAGCAAGAATTCAACGAGAGTCTAAAATGACAACCTTTTTGCTGTTTTTCGTTTCACACTCAAATCGATATAGATTCTCTTTGCAAAACTAGATTGTCGGTACGCATTCATAATAGCTCTACGGTGCCACAAAGATTTAGCACGAAATATGTCGTCTCTTTTTAATAGGCTTATTGTCTTATATCTTCTAGCTTGGATACCAATTACATTTGCTACAGTAGATTGTTTAATCTTGATCACCAGCTTGTTGTATTCTAGTAAAACTTGTTTCATTCCATCGAATGAATCCTACTAGAGAAAAACCTAGCTGTTATCATTCTTTGAAAAAACGCTAAATGTTTACAACTAAATCTGCAAAAAACCACTGAAAAGGGCATTTTCGTGCTGGTAGGCCCATCGTATAGCACAGCATGACAAAATTTGTTATTCCTTTTCTTTTTTCTAATGAAATAACAAATAGGGCAACATTTCACTGCTATACCGCCATTTTGACAATCATACAGCTACATTTCACCGATTCGACGATAGTCCCTTTACTTGGTTTGATACAGGATTTTACCAGAGACTTGAAAAAGAAATATCAACTTTTTGATGATTGCCTTAATTTTGTAAATATTGGTAAACAAGAATCTATCAAAAGAGCTAACGCAGTGCTCTTCTCGAAATTCTGTTAAAATCAGAGATTCTTCATTTATCATATCAGAGATTCAGCATATATCATTCAAGGAAATCATATGCTTTAGTTATTGGTCAGCTGACGAATTCATTCATCTTACAGAAAATTACAGACATGGAGATGAAAAACAGCCTTCTAAAACAGAAACTCGATCGATATGTAAATGAAAAGGTAAACTTGAGTGCTAAAACAATTTCCTAGTATCCATTTAGTTATCTGGCTACAGATAAAATTTCGTAAATGTTAATTCAATAATCTAATTTCATAAGGACAGAATTTACAGCTGGTTTTGCAATCAATTTCTCAGTGAATTAAATCAGAGAATGCGAACCAAATCGTTTTCATCATGCGTAACTTTCTTAGATTTTTCATGACATTTTCCTGACTTGACGTATCGCGATAAATTTGCGAAGTGTCAAATACATTTTGGTAGAAAAGGAACTTTTTTTGAATGCATTATTTTTTTATTGTAAAAAAAGTTGCTGCAGCTACTCGGCAATCTCTTTAAGCGAAATTGCCGTAAAGACTCAAATTTGGATCCTCAATACAAAAGCAAACCAAAGTGAAAATTTACTGTACCATGGCAACTGTACACTGTATGTTTCAAAGCAGTTTGAACGTGAATGAAAATCTTAGACTGCTTTTACTCCCGGCCCTGTACTAAAATGTTTCCATTGACAAAGTAACCGTTAGAAACGACGCCGTAAAAACGTGGTTGTCTAGGAAATATCTCCGTGGGGAACTGTCCTTATAATCTCTCCTGTAATTGGCTTGCATGAATCCAAATGAGTACGCATCGCATAAGAGGCTCGTCGAAATTCCGCTATGAGGCTGTTACATAACTGGCCGTTACGTACATACCTACTTAGTTAAAAACCATTGTTTTTTAGAGTAACTCTTCATTACCTTCGAATATTTGCTGCGATTTCAAGCAAAAACATCAAAAGTATGTGATTAGCGCTTATATGTGAGTGCAAAGTGTGAAAGGAAGAAACGTAAAATTGACACGCTTTACATCATGTGCTTGCAATGTAATCTCGATATGCAACACGGTCCTGTGTAAATTCGCTATTGCTGAAATTCGTTATGGGTTTTTTGCAAATGGCCCACAATTCCTTATGTGAAAGCAGCCTTAACATCTCTGTTAGAGTTTTCATCAGAATTTGGATTAAGATTTCAGTGCTGAGCACACTGTTTTTCTCTGAGTAAAACCTTTTCTTTTACTTCCAGAAAGCTGAGCTATCAGAGGATGATTTAGAAGTGTTGAGGAAGAAAGTCGAAGAATTAGAGGAAGTCAAAACGGTTTGTAGATGATTTTTGTTAACAATCTTTTTTTATCCATACCAATAAATGATTTCGTTGCCTTTTAGAGGTTATATTTCTTCGCATAAATTTACATCGCTGATACTTTTATTGTCAATAGCGTTTGAAAGAAATGGAGAAAGCAAATGCAGAGCTTGAGTACCAAATCGAAGAAGTTCGTATTCAGAAGGTATTTTTCGTTTCATGGGTGATTTTCTTAAAATAAAGTACCTCTAGATGTAAGATTGATTCTTACAGGAGAGGTTTCATGAAATATAAGTGCGTTTGTTAAGCTTTGTTGACAACACTGTGACGAAAAGCTACTGCCTTGTTGCTTTTTGCAGACAACCATTTTAATTTCGTGGATTTCATACTTTTAATCAACTTTGTGGAAACCACGATTACTCGCTTGCTAAATCTAGGCCAAAACCATTCTTTCCCGTTATCGTAATTTTTCTAAATTATTCATAGTTTTTCGGGAAATAACGATTTAGACTGCGATATTCGTTTGCTCCCTGTTATGATATATATTGTAGAAGGGAAAGTATGCAGTTTTTTTTCAGCTGCGCCTCTGTAAGTGCTAATTTTTTTCTACAAATTAGTACGTTCATGCTTGCCAATATTTTTACTATGTTTTTGTTATCCAGAAAATAATCCGGCAGCAAAAACTGGGCAACTGGATTTCATGTTGAAATCAAAGCCCAACGCTTTGTCGGAAGTTTATTCCAAACCTTCCTAGGCCAAAAGATCTCCTTTTGTGAGAGGTTTTTATTCAATACTGAGAGGTTCTTCAGAGGCGTAGCATAGCCCTGGTGTTTTATTTTGTGTTTGTATTTGTTACTACCTAACTTCCGAAGGCATTTTTTTGGATACTGAAAAGCTATGCTTTCTCTCCATGTGACCAAACCTAGTGACTCCTACAGTATGTCAGACTAGCAAGTCTTTGATTATGATTCTCAGACCTCTTTCTGGCATGCTCATTGTAAAAATTGGTTGTACGCTTTCATATATTCACTAAACTTAATGAACGAAAACTAGATCTAGCAGCTTTAGGTCAACTCAGATTCAGTTGATGTATCTTCCACTAATAGAGATTATCTCACTTTACAGAAAGCCAAAGATATTATTGGAGATGTTATGTACAATTTACCCCATTCACTGGAAGCTGTGAGTGTGCCTCAATTGCTTTTTTGTAGAAATAAAGCCAATTTATTAACGTAGATGGCGAGGCTATTTTATCTTGGAATAAAGACAAGCTGAAAACAAACCTATGGATTGTTCTCTGTTGTGAAATTGTCTTATCGATTGCTTGTCAACCAAAGTAAATTAAAATAAAAATAAATATAGAGAAAGTATTGTAAAATTATTTTACCGTTTAAAAGATTTTCGATTTCTCTCTCAATTTCTCATTTTAAAGCAAAGATTTAACATGTAAGTTTGATTGTCAATTATTTTGAAAAGGCTCTATAATTTTCTTTGGAATGACCTTTTGTCAACAAAACTATTACATATCTCTCGCTTAAAGATCGATGTATTTACGTCATATAATGCTAGAAAATACTGCAACGGCGGACAAAGTGACAGCTTTCATTTTTACACAAATTTTAAATTATCTGTATTTTTGGACAATTTTTAAATTCTGTTTCGAAACCGAACGATCAATAAAGGTTTCCAGTGATGTGTCATAATTGCCTTGTCTTCAATAGGAAATTCAAAGCCTTGACGAAGAAAAAAAATTATTATCAGCAGAATTGGAAGAACTACGGACAAGTTCAAAGGTATGAAACTCTAGTTGCTTGTGTCTGTTTTCAGTCTTAGAAGAAATTCTTATTCTATCATAATTGTTAACGATAGCCATGCTCAGAATATGTTTCATTACATACTGTTTTATTTCTGGGTAAAGTAAACGAGGTTTGAATTATTATGAGTTTGAATAATGTACAATTTTCTGGAGTTCAGTTTGAAACTTTTGTGAATCATGCGATCGTGACCTTAGATTTCATGCTGTCTTTCGCATTGGATGTCATTATGACATTTTTCATATCTAGAAGATATGCATTGAAACAGTCAATGGAGTAAAGAGTCAGGACCATGTATTTGTTTTGTTCGTTACCGACCGGTTCGGCGTATTTCTAAAGCATATTAAGATTCACTGGATATGTCCGCATTGAGGACATCAAGTCAATTCTTTAACAATGCTAAGAGAAAAAAAGGAACTAATTATCCATGGGCTCTATAAAAAGGAAGATAGAAGAAAATAAAATTATGCAATTTTGTTTATCGGGAAATCCCCACGAATATAGATTTATAGCAATAAGCTATAAAGCAGAATTAAGTCTCGTGTCCGGTAATGTTCTTTGTTCATGGTAACAGCAATCAGTATTACTGCTTTTTGTTGAAATTAAATAACGATTGTAAGTACAATTCATGGTGGAAAATATTTTTTATTGTGTTCTTTTTCCGCAATGATTGGGACATTAAAATGCAGGTGTTACAGTGAGATTCAAGATTTCCTATACAAACCTCAAAGCTAAATCGGAAAGGCCTATTGGTCAGCTTCAAAATTACCCAGGAATGATTAATGAATAGTATTTGCAATATTACTTGAATAATATCAGGTAGTAATAATTGCCATAGAGCAAATCCAACGAAAGATTTTGATAAATGTACGATATGAAAATGTAGGGGATGAAAACCCACCCGGCTATGAAACCGGGCGCTCGAAGGAAACTTTTCATGCATAAAGTTCTATAGGAATTCTTTTTTGAAATATATATAACCCTCGCATAATGCAATTTTTTATATTTTTGTTCATCAAAACATTTATCGACTAAAGTAAAAGCTTTTTGTCTGCTGTAATGCCTTGTATACATTAAAAAGGTTTCCTACCGAAGAACTCTTGAGAATGTATTGAAAGTTCTTCTTTAAAAAAAATTTGCAGTTTTCATCTAGCTTAAGAATCCTTAATATAATAAACAGATTTCTTGAACATTGTTACAAATTCTTGCTATTTCGGTTTGCACAAGGCCTGAACTTTATATTGCATATCATGGTAATTTAACTAATTAAAATATATAGTGTCTTATGCTTTCCGCGATTGGCTTCTTCTCAGAGTTCAAACCTATATCTTTTGCATATAGTTTGTTTTAAAGTTCAAAGGATCAAAATTGTTTAAGGCTCTCTTTTGAATATTGTTGAATCTAATGCCTTAATCCATCACCCAAAGATAACAGCCACCTCAATTTGTTTGCATTTGTAGTAATCTATATTCTAAACTTAAAGTTATCGTAAACTTCAACATTCCAATTATAAATATCTTCACCTCTTAGTATCATTGTATCTAAGACACTATTCCAGATCAAATAAGGCATTTGTACAATAAGGAAAATTTTTAGCCACCAAAGCAGAGAATTACTCCAAGTGGAAGCAAAATTGCTTAATCCTTTTAAATGTAGCTTATTGAGTTAAAATGACATGAATTGCTGTCTATTTTGTTTATATCTTACTTCAGTTCACATAAAACTGGAAGCAGACTCGTATTACTTCTGTTTTTAGAGCTGGACTCTTCTTTTATCTTGCTTTCCAGTAGGAATTTTGTGCGTGATTTTGTCCGGTCGCAGGAAAGAAATTTTATCATGGCCTGATATGTAGTTTTGTCGCAGTAGATTCCTTCTGAAATTTTGATCATGTAGTGTGAAAATTTGTTAAGTATCTGGCCTGAGGTTGTCACCTGTCGTCCATGGTCCTCTTTAATGTTAGCATTAACTGTAAGAATTTATAAAGACAAAACCCACTTCCTGCAGCACTGATCTGTTAGAAAAAATCACTCAGAAAAACTTCGTTATAGGAAATACAGCCACTGGCCAGAAAGACAGAAATCCAGGTGAAAGAAGAGCGCTCTACACAGACAGACTCTGTTGATGACACGCCATGGCAGTACGTGTTTAGTTGTTTTCCTTCCTTCGTTGCTGATTATCTTTCATGTTCCACGTGCATTATTCTGTTAGGTGCTATTTTCATCTTCAACTTAAGCAGAAATCATGTGCTTGATTGACTGATAACAAATCTCATTGCGAAAAAATTGAGCAACAGTGCTTTGTGTTGTTCCTATTTGTGCTGCGAAAGCCAAGCTTATCAATGCTCTGTCGTCCTGTTAAATAAGGCGGCAACATGTTTAAAGATTTGGCAGCGATATATAAATGAAGCGTGCGTCAGAATTTAAATAATTATTCTGGAAATTCGCTTCTCAACACTTAAGGTTTCTGGTCGCCATTAACTTGAGGTAAAATTGCTATTTTTCTTTTACAAAACTTTGAAAAAATGTTTGTTATTCTAATACTGGAATTATAGATCATGACGGATTTTGAATAACGACATGCAGATTTTCTTTTGTTGCAAAAATACAATTAAAATGCTGCATGTAACTCGTCTTTTGCGTTATTTATTTACTATTTGATAGTTCTATGTTTAAATTTGTCATTAGGCTATGCTTCTATTGTTTAAAGAAGGTTAAACCAAACTACGTTTAACTATCTCATTTTGATTTAATTTCTTGAAAGTTATCGGAGGTCGTGCTCGGCCTAACATTTCAATGAAATAGACGTAATGTTTTTGCGATACACGTTTAATTGCCATACAGTCTGTATGTGATCTCGGTTTCACGTGAAATGGCTCCCAGGATACAGGGTTACGGTGCAATAGCATACCATATATTCCTCCGTTTACACAGTGACACTGATGAATCTGTATGAGACATTAAACCATATTATGTAAAGGACTAGATGCGATACGTTTGGAAACGGATAGACAACTACTACAAAAAATTGAAAATGGTTGTCTGAAGGTCAACTGACGATCAAAATTTCATTATTCACTCATTTTTCGATAAATTTTTAACGGTATTAAAGACTAAAATGTTGCTAGATAAAAAACTTCGATAAAAAACTTCAAAATTTGGATACCTGATATCTGAAACTGGTTTATATCTACCTGATAAATATAATGATTAATCAATACCTTTTAGTAAGTACATGTCCCCTCGATCTGAACGGAGTTTGTCAAGAAACGACAGCGGATTGACACCTAGATCGCAAGTTGATGAAGCTACACAGATGCCAAGAGTACGCGAACCAACCCAAAAACCGGTATGCTTATTGTTCTTGTGGCATCTCTTATTTTACTGTAAACAGAATGTGTAATAATTGTACTTATTATTGGTTACATAAGTAGTTAAAATCATTGCAAACTAGAGATATGATTCGGTAAATGTCCTCTTTTGGATTTTTCAGATTCCAAATATTGATTTGAATACTTTTATTTCCATTCTCTTGATGCGCAATATCAAAAAATCAATTTTGTGCCAGTTTTTTCTATGATTTGTTAGAATACGAAATTTTGTCACTATTTCAAATCTTTTTCCAGGATAAAATAGCGTTTGAAGAGCACTTGAAATCAGCGCCTCATCACAAGGTTTCAGACGATTTTGACTTCGACATCATTCCATCCGCGGACGACAAATATGTTTCAAATTTAACAGAATCCAGCATCAAAACGGAAATGTTTAATTCGTCTGTCGAATCTCTCTTTCAATTCGTCGACCGAATTCTAGAAGAGGCCACGATACGCGCAAAAGAGACTATAAAAGAAGAGTACAGCATGGTTTCCCCAACATTACAATCTCCTGATAATGACCCAGCTGGTTTTCATTTAGCTAATGGACCCGGAGAAATGCTTGATATATATCTGGAGCATTACAATAAGGTCCAGAAGTCACCCATCAATAAAGGACACTCGTCAGTAGAAAATTACCGGTCCGAAGATGCCAGAAATTCACCAGAATACGTCGAGGTTGATATCCCAGAAATCAGGAATTCTTCAACATGTTTCAGTCCTGATTTCGAATTTGACCCTCTTCAAATCGAAACTTCTTCAGTAGATGAAAACTCGTGCCCAAGACAGTCGCCTCCAGAAGGAAGCATAAATTTGCTAGCAGCTCATACCATTAGTTGTGAGCATGAAGAATATAGATTGAATTTAGGTGTCGATGGATCCAGGGTAGAAGATAGCGATTCTCGAAATACAGAAGAAATTAAAAGCGCTTTGCCTAAAAACTCACAGGTGCCAGACATAGCTGATAGTAGGAGAGTACAACATAATCGAACACAGTCTTCGCAAAGTGTTGCGTCAGATGACGTAAACGAATTGCTCGCATATGGTGCTCTGCTGCGGCAAGGAAACGACAATAATGTTTCTGATTCACCAGCAGAAGTTACCCTTGTGAAGGAGCCTGAAGCGGTGTGTGTTGATTATGACGAAAGTTTTGCCGTGGAAAACAGCACTGCTGAAACCAGTGGCGATTTGACAATAACCAACATTAACGTGGATAATGAAGCTTTAAGTAAGAGTGGAACATCTGTACCAGAGAAAGGTGAGTCTCATCGCATGGTTGACTTTTATCGCAAGCTACCAGTTCCAAACTACGACTGTCAACGTTTAGAAAGTAGTAGGAGTTTCGACGATAGTCTCGTTTTCAATGCCAGTAACATTGATGCTGACAGCGATTTTCCTAGCCGTCTAAACCTAACAGACGATGGTAGTTATCTGTCAAACTCAGAGAGGTGTTCTCCGTCTCCCCGCGGAAGAGCCTGCAGGCCTCGCAGCGTTCCAACGACGTACTGCCAATTCTTATCTACGCCTTCAGCTAGACAAAAACGGAGACAATCTCGATTTATAAGCAGTCCATTTTTGGATGACGGTGACGGAACAAGGGAGCAAGAAATGTATAGATCACGGTCTTTCTCACCATCCAGTAGTAAGCGCCTAAGCGATAGAAAGCGCCTAAGGTCTTGGTCGGCTGGGGAGGTACTTTCTGCTGACCGTAAAAGCGGAGGAAACAAACCACCCACGGCGCTGGAGTTATGGGATTCGGAAGCTAAGGAGAACCATTTGCTGTCGTCTAACCGCCATTCAAGCATTAAGCGATCTAAAAGCAATCCAGTTATGTACGAGGGTATCCAAAGTAAGGCCGAAAGAAGTCAAATAGGCACAAGAAGAGCCTTCCCCCCTCCTCCGGTGATGCCAAAGCCGTCAACAAAAAGCCAGCTTCAACGTCAGACTGATCTGCAGACGTCAGACCGATCAAGGAAAGGAGTCTGGGACGAGAGTGATGCATTGAGGAAAGAGCTGAGCATGATGAAAGAAGAATGTGCGTCGTTGGAGCGACAGATCCAGGTTAGTACTTTTCATATCTTGTTTGAGTTTTACGGACAGTTTAATTTAATTGAATTGGCAGTAAATTGGCTCAAATCACGTGTAAACTGAAATAGTGGTTAGATTCAACTTTTGCAAATATTTTAATACTGTTGTTCTGAGAGGACAAATTAATGGTCACAGGTTAAAACAAATATTACAAAAAAATTAAACAGAAAGTTGCAAGTTATACTGACTCGCTGGTGTTATTGCTCAAATGTGTTTTTCTTTTATCGTCAATACTTCTTGGAAGATCTACAATCACGGACAAAATTGTTGAGACAAAATGTAATTTTTGTAATTTTCTACTTTCCGTTGCCTTTGTGAATTCGAACAGCCCCCCTTCCCCCGAATCAATGTTGATTTTGTAGTTCTATCATTTCCCCTTAAAAATCATTCATTCAACATTGAATCGGGGAAGGGCAAAAGTTATTTTTCAAAGGAAAGAGAAAACATCAATTTTTTTTATTAGTCTGAACTATTTCTGTCCGGAGTTGTAGGAGTTGTAGTAATTTGCTTTGATAATCATTGGCAGAACCTTAGCCAGATCAAGAAGGCAGTATTGCACTGATCGGAGATGCTAGTTTAGAGTTCGATGAATAAACAGTCCTACGTTCTGTAAGCAACTGCTTTGCTTCCTCAAAGTGCTCTGATTGTTAAAATGCATGGCAGGGGAATTGCAACGACCAACGCCCCCCTTAACCTAGAAGCCACTAACTTAAAAATGATTAGATTGAGCTTCTCTTTATCCACCTATTTTTTTAAAAAATAAATAGCTTATTTCTAAGTTTGGTTAGAAAATGGATTACAGAATACTGTCACGGCATTGATGAAACCTGAGCCTTCCATTCTGGGGCCTTATCGAGCTCACAGTGGTGATTTAAATGGTTTTCGCTTGTTGAAAAGTTTCCGAAGAAATTCCAAGCACCATGAATTGGCAATGAAAGCCTATGATTAAATTGTGTTTTAAAATTTTTTTAGACTTCATCATCTAAATCCTTGTTTTCTTCATTGACATGTCTGTTTAACCTGCCCACATCTTGGGCTACATTTACGTAGTGTCTATGTGGCTGTTATGATTCCTGGCGCATGCTCCCTGATTGTCTTGTTTGAGAAAAATAATATTTAGTCTTTTCAAATGAGTGCTATCAACCAAATATAATTTCGAAAACTGGCCCTGGGATAGAGACTGTCACATAAAGGTTCAACCCATTCTTGACTATACATCGCGAGCTGCCTCGTAGCGACAACTCGTGAAAAACCTCTAAACCCCCTTTTCAAGCTATATGCATTCTAGTAATAGCCCAAAACAAGCAGCGAATCTTTTGGTAGCTGGTAAAATTGGTTTTTTATGTTTTTTAAGTTTTTTTATAAATTACAGTTTTTTTTGATAACTCTTTCACAGGAAATGCAAATTACCTTAGCAGTATAAATGGCTATACGTCTTTTCTATCTGAGCTTACATTACCGCAAATGATGTTGTAAATCCTGAGAAGTTATCTAACAATTTTGCGAAGTGCGTTGATTGAGAATTGCATTGGTTTTATGGGTATTTCAGTCAGTTTTCTCATTTCATAACAACAATCCTCAAACGTTTAACCACGCCTTTCATTCAGACTTCACGCTTGCAATTTTTACACCGACTACGCCAGCTTTCTGACTAAGTGGAAAGGGAGAGTAGGACAAGACTTAAGTCACAGCCTCATCTTGCAGTATAACTCTATCCTACATAAATACTTTAATATGTAGAACAGGCCAGGTTGCAAATTAGATATGCAACTAGAAATGTTCTGAAACGTGGATTGTTCCACTGTTGGTTTACAATTGGCAAGCAAGTTACCAAATCGGCCATTAATGTAGCAATTATCATGGTATCCAGCTGTCTCTCTTGAAAAATTACTTCGTTATCTCAAAAGTCCCCCATTGACCTTGACTCGCCTTCCCATTCCATTGGTTTAGATCTTTAATCACACATCAACTTTGTCTTTTCACTTTTGATGGACATTTACTATATCCTACTGCGTAACTGCGTGAACTCACAAGTCAAAATCGAAAAAAGAATATTAAGTCAAATAGAAACAATTACAGACGCTTATCCTCTAATGTGAGCCTGTTAGATACTGAAATATTTCAATTTTAAATATTTTACTTGAATCAGAAAGTCATTGCTGATCTCAAAAAGAGCCGGGGAACGGTCCTGCCTTTTACCTGCAACATTTGACTCGAGCTTTTCTTCCATTTCTAGGATTACCTCGTTCCCAGTGCCTGTAATACCTTATCTGCAACCGTCAGGGGTTAAAAAACCTAAAATATTCTCCACTAGGCTTGAATATAACGCTACTGGGTCCAGTTGTGAGATTCAACCCTGAATGTGTTTCAGCCAAGGCCCTACGAGAAAGCGGCAGACACAGAAGGGGAACTAGAAAGACCACGAGTCACTCTTATCACTATAGACCCATTATCAATGCAAAACTCAGCATCCTCAATATGAACGGCATTATAGCGAACGCCCTGTACTGCAAACGCGACAGTGGTGAATTTTTAATGTTGTCTGCAGCTAGTTTTCAAGATTAATGACATTTATTTTAACAATGTTACTCCTTGCATTTTGTCGCATCACAGGTTGCATTGTTGATTTAGGACAAAATATAGATACAATAAAGAGGTAAAATCATTAATTGATGAAACCAATAGACATCCCGATATAGAGGCAATTGGCAATTGTCTAATAAGGAATAAGATTCGGTTAAAAAGGATGAACCATTATGATTGCAGGCCATTCCTATCATGATTAAGATGCACTTTCTTTCAGGAGCATTTTGTTGTAAACCCATTTAAAACTCAAATTTCCAGTCGTTAATTAAGGCAGTCAGTTATCAAGCGACTGTAATTTGTTTCAAATTGCAATTAAAAATAAGATGTTGCCATCCCAGGTGGCCTAAATGGTGTTTCACGTCTGATACCGGTTGGCTTCGAGTAACTCGTAGCGAGCTCCGTCGAAACTTTGAAGGACTGAAATCGATGCGCCGCTGATTTGTTAGTTGTGTTATATCTGCAAAGAAACTTTTCAAGTTCTTCTGCAAGGCATTACGGGGTCAAAGCATCGGGGTATTGCAAAGATCGTCCCAAGCATCGTCGTTGCCATGGGATTCTAATGTAATTTGAATCGAGGCTCGGTAGGGCAACACCCGTTCTCGCCTTTCATTAATTATTCAAGCGCTTCCCTGCCTAATGAAATATTCAAGAGGCATTATTCTAATTTGTTTTGAGTGTGGAACCCATTAGGGTAGTAGAGTATGAGAGTATCCAGTGTAAGCATCCTAAATTCAGGCTCTGCATGGTTTGAGTAGTGGAGAGAAACTAAAAGCCACGTCGGTTTTATTGCTTATACCAAAGCTTGGGTTTTTAGAGCTAGCGCAATGAGTTACAGCACAAGGCGATCACGTTATGGCAGTGCCTCGATGTATGAAGGGGGTTATCTTTCGGATGGTGGATACCATACGCATGGGTCTGATACAAGACTTAATAAAACCCGCTCGATGGAAGACCTTACATCAACTAGAGGTCGTGTTTATGGTCATAGTGCTTCAAATTCAAGATCGACTGGAAATGCCTATGGTGGAACTGGCTCTGGTAGTCGTTATCTTAGCACAAACGATAAACCTAATGTTGGATTTAGGGGAGATAACCGCAGGTTGTATGCATCAAGTGGGTATGGCAGTAGAGACGATCTTACTAGAAGAGGCCTGTATGAGTCCAAAGGTGGCAGCACGGATAATTTAAGTAGTGTACTCAGAGGGAACGCCGGCGATGCTCGTTTCTCTAGTTCCAAACTGTCTGAAGGTTACCGGACACGTGATTCCGGTACAAAAATTGGCGGAATCCTCCACGGAGGAGCCGGGAATCAGTCTGACTCAGAGCAGAATAAAGTGAGATACAGAATCTCTGGAGAAATTGTACGCTCGAATTCGCCACAAGACCGCATGCGAGGCTACAGCAGTGATACTGGTGTCGCCAGTCAAGCTCATGTCGGTGATTCGCGATACAGCAATGAAGCGGTGCGTGGATACAAAGATAGAACGTCCCGCTTTGGGCTTCAAAATCGAAATGATTCAGGCTATAAAGGTTATCAGTGGCGCTCCAAGTCATCAGAGAGGAACGATATAGAATACAGACTTCAAGGAGGTGCTGATAGGCAGGGACTCAATGAGCCTGTACAGTCTACAGGATATCCAGGAGGTCGAGGGGCGGGCCGAATGCCTGAAGATGGCCCGCGCGGACGGTCTCCGGACAGAAGTGACTACAGATTAGACCCCTATAGGGCTCGTTCAAGAAGTGCAAGTCCCATGCATAGACCAACTTCTGGTGCAATGGGTAAAATAGGGTCACCAAGTAGAAAACCGAGAAAAGCCTCGAGTAGTTCTAATCTTGCCCGTGGGGCTAGGCCTAGGATCGATGTAGTCGACCCCGCTTCGTTTCCCGTTTGCAGCAGATGGCCTAACTGCACTGTGTGCTCTATTGACATACCTAGCAGCCAAGTCGTGAGTCATATTTTGTTTTATTTTTTGCCAAAGTTTCGTTTTTGCATTCAGGAATAGGAGTGAAAAAAGAAGAAAATTGTATAAACTAACTACGATAACCTGCTTCAACCCGCATATTTTTTCCTCGCATGTCAATGTAGGACCTTTGTTTTGGACTCTTGCCACATTATGCAGGGCCTCTGACGAGGGGAACGGGGGTTCGGGGGCCATAGCCTTCCACTTTTTTAAAAAAAAATTCAAAATATTTTGTTATGATTGTTAAATTTTCCCTTGCCCTCCCCACCTTTACCTCCCCACCCCCACATTCAAACCTGCGCCGTTGCCCATGTTATGTCAAAATAATCGCGAAAACATGAGCGTTTAAACGTGTATGGAAGAAATTCTTCCACATAAGCTTTTGCGATATATTTTTACTAAAATTTGTGCAATTGTTTGGCGGAATATGACATTTTTTGGTTTTGGGCAAGCCCGGTGATTTGCGAGTATCTTATCTGAGCGGCCTTTCCTCTTCTGTCTCATTATAATCCGTATCCAACTACTGAGATAAACTTTCCGAGTCATGTCGCATTTGGGGAAAGGGGGTGCTGTTGTCGGCAGTCCTGTATTTTTTGCCATTGCACTAGTTGTACATTACCACACAGTCCTGTCTATAAGATGGCAATGCCTTGACTCGACAGCGATCGGTCGGCAATTGAGTCTTAACAGATCAGACGTATTCTTCTCTTTAAAACAGCCTGCTGGCTAGCAAAACAACAGCCTCCCTTGAGCTCTTGACCTCTACCATTTCATCGTAGGAAACCTTAATAGTGTTACCTGCATAGGTTACAAACATGGCTGGAAATGCGACTCGTTGAAAACAATCCTCAGCAAGGAGTATCCTAAATGCCCGTAGTTTCCGACTTGTTTTTTCGGTTCATTCATTTTTTGCCTCGAAATTATTGTCTCTTCAAAAACTCTAATTTAATGCAGGCCCATTCAATTATTACGACACATCTCTTATTCCACGTCAAAAATACGAATCTGTGTGTAAATCTCCATGGATAGGCTTTTCAGCAATAGAGCTTTAATTTTGAGAGAGTAGGGAAGGGGGAGAGGGGGAGGATGAGATCGAAAAAGATTCTCTTAAAAGAAAGAGGCGTGAGGTCCAACGAATGCCTGGTTTGTTCGATATGATCTTTTCCATAACAGATCTACTGGTAACTTTCCCCTAAGTTTACCCGCTGTATCATGCAAGGCATTTGTCTTATTGGCATAGTCGTTCATTTGCTGGTATTTTTGCCACTATTTTTTCCAGAAACTTTGCCAGTATATTTGCCAGTGTTTCATTCACTGACATTAGATTTCGCTAAGCGACAAACAGAAATTTAGGCAGTCAACAGAACTGCATCATTAGACGCTTCTCCAATTGAGCCAAAACTCTTTTTTTTGCCATATTAATTTATTCTACAACCAACATAATTGTCTCCGTATGCAAAAATCTTCGCATATCATAGATTTGGAATCAGTACCGTAGCTGCCATTGTTTTTTTGTGAGCCCTTTGCAACAGCGAACCTTTCGTTTTTTATCAGCGTCACAAATGTTTAAAATCTACGCTACAACTAACAGGGTATTGCAGCAGATGGAAAATTGTGACCTGTAGTTTTTGCCTTTGTACAATAAAAGAGTGATTTTACAAATAGTTTTCCTTTGCTGCACGTCAAACAATCTACTGAAAATCTAATACCCACAATTTTAATGAGTGGGGAAATCGATGTACTGATTTCCCTATACAGACCTTCTTCATCTGCAGCAATCTTATCGAGTGTTGCAATTTAGTTTTAATTTTTTATCTATAGCCGCCCAATTGTTGCTGATGCCTGTGGCTTCCTATCCAAACTTATATCAGCTCTGTTGATAACCATTGCAAACAAACTGAGACTGTGCAATCCCAAACTAGTTAATTTTTAAACCCATTTAATATTTAACTAGAAGTGTCATCTTACACCCTTTTCAGATAACGTTTAGGAAGGATCCTCCTTTCTTTAATCAATCCCTTTGGCATCTCAACAAATAATTGCTGCAGTGAAAATGTGATATCCTAATATTTATTCTGTTATTATCAATATGGAAATACAAGTTTCCATTGATGTGTTTGGTTCTGCACTCAGTATAAACTTGTTTTTGTAAAAACCTTTATCATTCGTTTAAACTTCTGCAATGAGATTGCGGATGGTAATCTCATTTGATTTATAATGAGATGTATCTGTTAAAGGTGTGCCAATGTGTTCATTTTTCGCTTTATGAAATACTGATAAAGAAGCAAGAATCTCATTCATTTGCATGCCTGAGGAAGCCAATCAATACATTATATCAAAATATAAAAACAATATAATTACACTATTATATTTTCATTCTGGTACTAAATTTATTTGCTAACTATATTATCGTTAAGCCAATCAATACTTTGCTAAGAAATAAACTCTAAAATGAAGATAACTAAAATGCTTTTAGTTAGCCCCCAATTAACAATTAAGTTTCGGTTCATTTATCATTAAGAAATACGGAATAACCTCAGTATAACAACTATTAATATGATGCTTCCAGCCATATCCCTGCTTACACACGCTCAATAACGGAAACGCTGCAAACAGCAAGCAAATCACTTTTTTCTTAAACTTCTGCCTGTGATCTTGTAGAAGAAACTATATAATAGTAAACATACCTAAACATATCTCAACAACGGTGTCAGCCATGCTGCACTAATGCCCATCACATTAATATTTAGCTATATTTTTAAGTGATATACTAGCTTTCACTTGATTGGTTATAAACATTTATATGTCTTACAACGTTTATTAGTCTTAAGCCAATACTTGCAGTTTATTTTCTTCTTGATTTTTTTGCGAAGGCTTCCATGAAATTTTCTTCATTTTAGTTACGATGTTAGGACTCTAACTAAAAATCTAACTTATGCAGAAGTTATATCCAACCTTCTACTTGTTTTTTTATTTTTCCAGCTCCAAATAAAATCTATGCTTATATGAATATGTATATTTTTTTCAGAATAAAGACACCATTATGAGAACTATGAAGGTATAAAGATTCTCTTTTTAAATGAATCAAGGAAAGCTATTATAGTTGCGATTTTGGTGAATTTTTCTTCAAAAACTTTGAAAAATATTGACAAAATTACCTAAAATTACCATTATCTTGTTGAAAGTCCAGCTTTTTGATTCCCAGATTTGCCTCTTGAATCAAAATTTTATAGGATTAATATTATAAGTTACTGACGCAAATTTAACGAGGTCTTTGATACTTTTTAATATGCCGTTCAATAGCTAATATTTACCAGTTTATTTTCCAAAGTTTACTTGTGAAATGCCCTTGATACTAAGCAGATCTTATGTATAGATATTTAATCAGAGATCTGTCTGTTGTTATGTATTGCAAATATTTTAGCAGATGATTTGGCTAACACAAAGCAATTATTTTTGTCTTCCAGGCTGAGCTAAAGGAAGAGGTTGAAAACATTGCACTTGTAAGTTATTGAAGAATCCTTCAACCTTCCTTGAATCAGGGGCGGACTGGCCCGGGTGACTAGGTGGCGATTGCCTACCCGGCCCCTCAGAATTTTCAAAAGTGGGCCCTTTTTAAAAGGATAAATTTTTGAATTTTAAGCATAAATTCCGGCCTAAATTCTCTGGTACCGATTGAAGTTATGCAAATTAATATCAATTTCAAGAGTAAGTAAATTAGGTTTTCTAAGAGACCACACCTATTCAAAGCCTGGTCACGCCCTACGGGCCCTGTCCGCCCCTGCCTTGAATATTACCTCGACAAACCAAATTCAAGTTTCTTTGGCTTACTTTAGATCAATATACATGAAGCTACGTAGAGTTGTTTGTTTGTTGGATAGGTCCACCAGACATCAACTAGATTTCAAGGCGTTATATTCCTTCTGAAATGCCATGTATTGCACTTTTCCGTTAGCAAGACAAAATCAATGAGAATGCGGTTTTACCCTCTCAGTTTCATCTTCATGTTCACTGGAATAGCTACAGTGTAGCTGTCTTTTAATACCTGCTTGCTCTTTAAAATGACACTCTGCCGGTACTCTGTAAATTAATCATAGCTAAAAGGAAACATACTCGAAATCAAATGTCAGATCAAAATTACAAAATTGGAAATTGTGAAATACATTGGGTAAAGTTGGGCTAACAGACAATCAGTTGGTCTATCAATATGGCAACAAGACAATCGACCAATTATTGAAAACAATAGATCTTTGAATATTTTATAAAAACCTGTCAGTTTTCAAGCGTCCTTTCACTTGACTAAGTTCCCACAAATATGAGATTTCTCAATGAGAAATAAGCTTCAATCGCTAAAACAACCCTTTACACCAGCAGGGACTGTATCGTTGACCTAGAAACCGCAAATTCCTTAGGTGGCACCCTTAAATGGACACAGATGATTTGAATTGCTTTTCAGCTGCGCAGCTTGCCCTGTTCGCGATCCTCAATGTGTCTAGATTTTTTGCTATTTCATTGTCGGTCTATCTAATCTTTGAGAGAATCCCTCGGTTACAGGGGTAGTGTCTCGTTTTTTTAAAACTAATCGATTCATTGAATCCTAGGGGCTAATTTTCCCAAAACTGCTGTAAGAATGCGGCTTCTTCCATTGGGGGTAACTTAAAGAAGGCATTGTTCAGAAGAACCTAAAATACAGATCATCACACTTAATTACATATAATTATAAAATACCAAACCTCAAAGTGTTGCAAATTTTATCTCGTCATTTAGTAAAATCCCCTTAAAAGAATTTAAGAACAGGTCTTCAATTTTTGGTTGACCAATTGTTCTAGATCACTATTTCAGACTGACAAATCACAAGGTATATGTTCAAGTGCATTGTTCTCTAAACCATTTCTTGTAACAAGACATAGCTATTTCTAAGCTATTTCCAAGCATCTCTAAACAAGGTTATCATCAAAATACCCCTTTTAGATAAGAACTTTGTGTAGCAACCATGGCTCCTGAAATTCTCATACGCATCTTTAAGACTCAACCCAATACCAGCCTTGTTCTAGAAAAAGCATGTTTCTTTTCGCGAGGATTATTTATACGTTGCGTAGACAATGTATCATTTCTTTAGTTGCAATTGAATTTTCATTAACTTCAGACATTGCACTCTAACACGAAACTTGAAATTTATTTGGAAGCTTGCATGGATTTAGGTTAAAACAGGAAAAGATAGATTCAATGCATATTTTTCATTCGACAGCTGTCGAATGCTGACGTATACTTTCATTAAGAAATAGAATAGCGATTTAGCTTTTTATAAAGATAAACTTTCTCAATAACACAAAACTAGTTTATTTACAAGATACACACGAGTATTTGGGATAGGAATGACTAGACACAGGGCCGCCGCCAAAGGGGTTAAGGGGTACGCTGTACCCCCCAATACTTTAACGGATTTTTGTCGGGCGAAAGAAAACTATTTTTCTCACGCTTTGGTATAATTGTAACTTTTTTACAACAATTGTAACGTATTAACATTTTTGTAGCAGCTAAATTTTAAAAATTATTGCATTAAAAATACTTGAAATTGAATTTTTCGAATGTTGTTTATTAAAACCGAAACGTATAAAGCAGCAAATAGAATTCTTTATCTTATGACCACACCCTTAAGGTGTGAGCCACGCCCTTTTTGATGGCAGAAATCATTTATGTACCCTTGTTTGACTTCACTCCTGACTAGACATTAGTTTGAAATAATGATTTTTAAATTTATTGATGAATACGTATAGAACGAGAAGATTATTCGATTCCCAAAACTACTAAACATGCCAGAAGAAGTTTCCATTTTAATGGGGGCAAAATTTTTAATAAGATTTTTCTAGAATCTCTCAGCTTGGGTGAATTAGAGGTTTTAGATTTTGAAGACATGAAATACAAGTAATTTTCTTCTTACTTCTTACCGTCTCCCCTCTCACATTCCTGTGTTTGGTATTTTACTAGCTTTTTTTATCTTTTCGTTGCATTTTTAGTTTTTTGTACTTTACTGAACGTGAGTTTATAACAGCTTTTTGTAAGTTTTAGTGTTTTGATTCAGTTTAGATATTTCTTATGATGAGAAGAATTTACGAATTAATGTGAATTTAGTATTAAAATTGAAATATGATATTAATTTGAATATAATTTGAATATAATGCTTACATTTATTTTATTGCAGCTTGAGAAAAAAGAAAAGATGATTCAAGAAAAAGCAGAAAGCAATGCTCAACTTACTCAAGAACTACAAAGATGCCAGAAAGAGCTAGAGGCAAGGAAGGGAGAGATCAATCGCAAGGATCTAGAGGTAAAGATATTAAAAAGTACAAAATCTCTTTCATTATTTAGTTGTAGCATGAAATCAGTCACGACATCTTTGTGGAGAGTAATAATGTAGGCGGAGGGAAGTTTTAAAGCTTATGTGACCTATGCTTTAATTCTGTAAAGCTTTGACTGTATTTTACCCCGGGTGTTTCTTTTCTTGTTCAGCAAAGAATGGCCGGGTAATAACGTCATATAAATATGTTTACGTAATTGAGGAATCGGGATCATTGGATCTGCAAAAAGACTAAGATACCACGAAATTTTGATAGCATTTGCTAGATTTGTTAGAAATTGACTGAAATATTTTATCTGGCTTTTGTTTCTAAAATTGGTAAACTAATTCAGAACAACAGCAATTCATTAGAAATGCTCAGTTCTTTCATTGATTATTCACTGTAAATGAAATTTGAATGTTTTGTTCCTAGCTACGAAGTGCGTGTTAAAAATTATAATAATCGATGTTTTCGAAGTTATCACTTTATCCACTCTGTTGTAAGGTCGTATCCTTCTCTATGATCACAGTAGCAAACACTGCTGACTCTATTGTCAAACAATGCAAACATATCTCGTATCTAATTAATAAACATCATTCAAATCTGATTACTCGTTATAGTGTCTCAATTTAGTTATTCATCATGGTAAAAATCCCTTTTCAGATATCTCAGCTTAAGTCTGAAGTCAGAAATTTGGAAATTTCTAAGAAGCAAACCGAGCAAAATTTTACTGAAGTGCAGGTAAATATGAATGTGGAGTTAGTAGAGCACTGCTGTACAGGCGCAGTAGCCTTTATCAAATTCTAAGAAATAGTTTTATTAGACGGAAGTAGTTAAAAAGGTCATGAGTATTTTGTTTATTTATCATAGGTGCAAGTGACTGAGTTCCAGGTTATTCAAGAAAAACTCGCTGATGTACAGGAAGAGCATGATAATGTTATGCTGAAGAACAGAGAGCTTATAGAAAGGGTATAACGTCTTTTTGTACCTTCGAAGTTGATGGGCATTTATGCTAATGATTGGTTAAAATCGATTTAGATATGCTAAGTGGTAACAGATTCTAACAAATAATCGTGGACATTACCTTAGGGATTAATGTCAAATTAAGTATAAAGTTCTAAAAGCAAGCTTTTAAATTGATCTTAACCTCAAATTTCGCATACATGAATCTATTCATATAGCTTTTCAGCACACTTCAATTTTCTTTCTAGATAAAACATTTGGAAATCGCAGAAAAGGATTTCATTGATTTGGAGAGAAACGTCATTGATTTGCAGGTTATTTGGCAGTATTCTATATTCCAAATCTACCCGATATTTTCAGATGAATTCTCTTCAATATGAACATTTAATATGAGCATTATGAACATTACAAACATTAAAATAAGAGATAGTAAAAGCAAGAATTAGAAAAAGGGCGAAATTTATTATCCACTAATGCATAGAATGTTTACAACCAACGAGCAATCTCTATTTTACATTACCTCAATTTCCCATTCTGCACAATATGGGTAATTTGCAGAAAGGCTGTGTTGATTTACCTTCTGAGAAATATGTTGCCCTCTAGCATAGAAGACTTCCATGAATTTGCCTATCAATTCTGTTCCGTGTGTATTATAAGGAGGTTTTGGAAACAAATAGTTTATGGCAGTTGGTTTTATACTTTTTTCATCTATTTAGGAGCAACTGCGCGATATGGAAGACATCGAGGCTCATCGTGACGATCTCTTGAGCAAATTCCAAAACTTAAAAAGGCAAAGAGATGAGTTTTTGGAGAAAGGACGAATGGTTGAAGAAGAGAGAAACGATTTCTTGCGAACAAACCAAACTATGGAACAGCGTTTAGAAGAATTTAAGAAAAAATACAACAACATGAGAAAGCAAAATGGAGACCTTAATAGAACGGTGAGAGAAGAAGACTTCTTTATCTAAAGACATTATTGAAGAGTTTATGAGCATCCCTTTTATATTTATCTAACTTTCTTTTTCAATCAGCTGTAATCCACGGACCATTTTTGCGAAAGCCATACCTTCAACTTTGCTTTTAACATGTTGGCTATTATTCGAGCTATGTGAAGTATTTAGCTCTTTATAGTTTACAAGCTATGGCCCTTTCAAACTAATAATCAGATTTTAAAATTGTCTTTACTCCTCATAATTATAGAATACTTATTAATTGATTTTACAAACTGAGCTTCACGACATACATAGCTTTTTACTATTTACAATTTATGCAATTTAATATTTAATTTAACTTGTTTAATTAAATTAATTTAATTTAACTTGATATTGAAAGAATCAATGAATCCGATTCGTTAAAATTTCGGAACGATCCTTCTTTGAACCTCGTTTTTGGCTTGTGTTGGTATTAAATGACAGTGTTTATTGTCCAGCTTGATTTTTGAGCTCAATATAAAAGATCGCTATTGAAATTTTTATAAAGATATATATCGTTAGATTCTGGTTCTCGAGCGAGAGAAAAAAGATTTGGAGCAGAAGATCCTTGATATTCAAAATGATCGCAACATTATGCAGACAGCTCTTGGTAAACTCGAAGTTGAAAGAGACGATTGGGTTAGAGAAGTGAAAGAGGTTACATCCGAACGAAACATTTTGGAGCAGAAGTTAACAGAGATGGACGATATGTTAAGGTATTCTGCTTGGTGCATTTTATTTGTTCTGGGTTTGCTGTTGCCTTATTGAAACAGTGAGGACTCCTTTAAAGAACTTTTGGTCCTTTTGCCTCTTTTAGGATGTAACCTCTTTTAGAAAATGTTTTGCGGTGTTATGTATGGACTTCATGCCTTAATCAGGCTAAATCATACCTTACATTCACTGCCAAAATTACTTGGAACACCAAACACTTTGCGCTGTGCTTTTTCTTGGAACACCCAACCTCCGTCCCCCTTTCCCCCAGAACGATATTGAAAGTATAGAAGAATGAAATACAAGCCACAAGAAAAAACGTACTTCATAACCCCTTTCTTTTTTATAGTAAATTTCCTAGGGGGAGAGGGGGATGACTGAATTTGCCTTTGAAAACTGATATTAGTGTTGCAAAAATTTTGGCAGTGATTGTGGGATACAACCTCATAATTCCAAGGGACACAAAAAGCTTTTCTCTGCTCCTTTTCCTCGAAAATTGTTTGCTCCTTCAAGACTTCTCAACCTCTTTCTCTTGAAGATTGCTTAGCTGTCATCACCTAAATACGATTTCGAATAGCACGTTGCATTAACTGTGTAAAAGGACTTTTCCTATTCAAATTCATCCACACCAATGATACCTCTTCTACATTAATTATATTTCTTTTATCTTTAGCGATCACGACCACCTTGAAGAAGGCTTCCATAGCTTGCGATTGAAGGTGGGTATTTCATTAGTTTTGCAGCAAGCACTTAAAGCAACTGCATTGAGGCTCTCCTGAGCTTCGCATTGTGTGATAACCGTATGCAAAGGCAGTAATGATCTAACGAGTTGAAACTTCTCAATCTCTTCTTTCAGCTTGCTGAAATCACGAGACAGCGCGATGATGCAGAGATGCTCATACCATCTTTAAAGGCAAAAATTGCATTGTTAAAGAAATCATGCAGAGAAAAAGATGAGACAGTGACTCGTTACATGGAGGAACTTAAGCAATTCAAACACCATATGGTAGGAACTAAAGGATCAGTGGTGAAGGGTCGAGTTTACGAACCGGTTCCACAGGTCAGGCTTTTTAACAATGCAAAATTGTTCTAAAATTACACATATACATAGATGTACTTCGTCTTTAAGTTGTGAGATGTAACTTTCAGTTTTGGGTAACGGAGGTGTACTTTGATTCCATTAAAAGATGATTAGGTTGTTATCAAAATCCAAATTCTTAGCGATGGCCTTCATTTGCAATGATTTTGTCGAGGGGCAAATCACTCTAGTTTTGAGAACACCTTTTGTGAAAATCTAATTGTTTTATCTGAAAATCCTCGGAAATCCTTTTGATTTAGGCAAAATTTCGTACGCTATTTGCAAGAGTGAATCGCCCCTCGGATTTTGTACTTAATGTTTCCAAGAACGGTTCATGCACACTTTACTTTCCTTCCATCAGCATGACTCCAGAAACAGAAATACTTCATCATACTTCACAAAAAGTAGACGCGAAGAGAGTTTTGCTACCAAGGTAAGTATAAGGAGAGTTTTGCTACCACGTTAGATAACTCGATCTAAATGTGTGAAATCGTTTTTGCTAGTAATTCAGCATTATGTTCTATTTGGGATTTCTTTGTTATACGTTAGCTAGTATTGTGGATTTCCATGACTATGATAACGTGCAAAATGGCGGATCTGTTGTCAATTCATGTTTTTTGTAGGGCCATAAAGTCGATTATAATTTGTCAGACGAAAGTGTCGTATTGTCCGAAGATGATCGAACAATCACTGATGATGGTAGTCTCGCCGACTATAGAGGGCAGTCCGACAGACGATACCTCACATCGAATCGCACTGTACACGTATACGATAAAAGTATCCGACCTTCAGGTAGACGAAGGACATACAAGGCTCTTTACGACTACGACCCATACAAATCAAGTGGATCCGAGCATCCTGAACGAGAACTGCATTTGAAGGAAGGAGACTATATCACTGTTTATGGAGAAATGGATGTTGCCGGGTACCTGGAAGCAGAGGTTGATGGTGGGTCTTTATCAATTGGAGGCTTTCAAACCAGAAATCTTGCTTACCTGGTCGTGTCACTTGCTTAAGTTTATCGCTGCATATTTTCTAGAATCCTGTTCTGAACTCTCAGAAAACTCAAATTTTTGCATTTCGGATTCAGAATACCAACTGATTCTCTGTTTAATTGTTTAAAGAAAACTTTTTGTGAATAGGGGTATCTGTAAAAAAGCTGTGACTTATACATTTTTGCATCTGACGAAACGAATCTATTTGATCTCAAAAGGCTGACAACTTTGAAGATATGCCATTTGACAATCTCCAAAATGAACATTTTAAAGATTTGTATTAACTGTTTTAGCAAATCAAATTTATGCTTAGCACTGCCAATTGTTTTCTTGGTTTTGTTGAGATCTTTTTTCCATTTACTTTCACGTCAACTTCCCAACATTATGACCGTCTGATGACTTGCTCAATTCTCATTCATCATTATGAAACTAATGTATAAGCTTGAATTTAAGGTGAAACTGGTTTAATACCAAGCATATACGTAGAGGAAATGAGTGACGATGGAAACTTTGCTTCACGAAGAAATGAGGTGAATTTTTGAAGTTGCTTAGATTCTACCTCTATGTCAGTGTAAGGAAAATTATACAGTAAAATAATGTCCCTGGTTTCCATGTGCTGCTGAATCCTTGATTCAAGATATTTTAAGCGTCCTAGCACCATTTGCAAAGTGATTTTTTCTGATACCTAAATGTTACTGAAATCAAAAACCCTTTGTTTACAATAGTTCTTATAACGTGATTTAATCTTGCAAATGCTTCTGATCTTTTATCCCACCAACTTTATGTTAATAAAAATTCTACCTCTACAATGTATACTTTGAGAGTTTTGAGAAGTCTTACCTTACCTTTTAACTTACTCTTGAGTTGGAATACCATTCAGTATTCATATCTTTACAGACAAGAGAAGTTACGTCCAGTGGATCTTACGGAGCTCGCCAACGAAAGTTCGTCTGCGTTTATGACTACGACCCGTACACAATGAATCGGGGCGGTAGACCAGATCAGCAGCTTAGTTTACGAAAGGGTGACGTCATCACTGTTATTGGTGATGTAGATATCGATGGTTACTATTCCGCTGAATTGAACGGTGAGTGTGGTTGTCTGTAGAAATGACTGCAAATGCTACTGCAAACGCTACCGCAAACGCTACCGCAAACGTTACTGCAAACTTCACTGCAATTGCGATCCCAAATGCGACTGTTATACTTTTCATAGATGCTGTATCAATGGCTAATTTTGAATGAACCTGTACACTAATTTGGCCAACATATTAACATTTTTCTTTAACTAAGCTAACTGTAATTTGGTTCTCATTTACAGGGCGTAATGGTTTGGTCCCTGCTACGTACGTACGTCAAATAGGCGCCACGAACACTGGATCTACGAACTTTGGGTCCTCGTCTTACGGAGGGCAGAAAACGTACGACTATCAGACAACGAAATCGTCTGAATACAAGAAAAGCTCTGATGGAAGAAGTGGATCTATTGACATTATACGTGATGATGTGGAAGGTGAGTGTATGATATTGGTAGACTAGAGAGACATGTTTCTTCAATGTTCCTCGATAAAGAGAGTCGTTTAATGAAACGGGTGTTAGGAAAAACAGTTTACAAAGTATTTTCACTGCTTCATGACGACTACTGTATAGGTATGTTAAATCTTGAATTCTCCTTTCATAAAAGTAAATAATCTTCTTCAGTAAAGAGATTTATTATTTCCAAACTGGAAATAGGATTCTTAAGAAAATTCATTCTCCAGAGATTTCTTTTCGGTGGTTCGCCTTCTGAATTTTATTCTGTCCTTAGCATATGCATTAGTTTGTGATAAATAGCAGTCAATATGTTGCCTGGAAAATATGTTAAGGTGATATAAGCAAAGTTTTAGTACAACAGACTTTCGAACATTTTCATGTAGTGAATTATATTAGTTTCAATCTTAACATAGGCCCACCGTTTCCACCTACGAACCTTAAAGTTTCGAGAATAGTTGGAAAAGACTCGTTGATTCTGACCTGGAAAATGCCCCGGATAGACAAAAACGGTAAAAGCAATGGGGCGCTTGTCACTGGATATAAGGTAAACAATTCAAGCCGATAATTTTGCTCCAGTTTACTTCTGCTTATTTTCACTGTACCTTTCTTTTGAATTTTTTTGAGCTATTTTGTCGAATTTCCAGTAATATGTGTGATTCGAAGATAAAATTTAAGCCTAAAATTAAGATAAGCAAGATATTTGCAGTAAAATTTTTTGGTCTTGCTTGTTTGCCAATCTTGGTATTTTTACATGATGTAAATTTACAATGTCAATTTTAAGGCTGATTTTTGCATTTAATACTTGTTAATTTGAAAGGACACTTTAAATTTCTTTCTATAGACACATTAAACGTGTACAGCTCTGTTTGTAAAGCATAAAACATTCTGCAACAGACTGTGTAACAATAACCTTCATTTCTCTTTCCTTAGATTTGGGTTAATGGCAAGCCTGTCCAGGATGTCAAGAAATACCTCATGACCAAGGCGCTCGTTTCTGGTTTGAATCTTCGAGATAATCTTCAATTTGATATACAAACTGTTGCTGAAAACGGACTTTGTTCGGAGAAATGTCACTACAACATATACGGAGCCGATTCGTTGCGGGTACGTGTTAATGTGACATGTAACAAGGCAGGCATATAAGATATGACTTACTTCAAAATTTTTCATACATGAAATGAGGCCAAAGTGATTTTATATCTTTTTTCCTTATCCCATATTTAATGCTGTGTATGGATCCAACAAGGCTTCTTATAATTGCATAAATAATTTGGCCCCTGAGATTTCATTTCAGCTGTCAAAGTCTTGTTCTATTACGTCCAGGAAACAAACACCCCTTTGCAACAGGCAACTTTCTACGACGGGCACCTCTTTGCCACGGACAATTTTCTAGAACGCCTCATTTCAATCATTCACCGCCATGTTTAGCTATTTTTAGGTCTATATTGAATTGTCAATGCTTTTGCTCTAAAGTCACAAGCATCTAAGGCGGCCATAATAGTTACAACGCGATTACAATGAATTGGTTGAAAACAACTAATTTTTGTTATCTTATTTCTTTATCATTATAGAACCCTGATTATGAAGATTTCTTCGTCAAAGCTGCTGGAAATTATCGAACGGTAAGTATGCTTACTAAATTTACGATAATTATTGTAGATTTTTAAACAACAAAGATAAAATTTCTCTATATTTTTGCATAAAATTTTTGGAAAATTATGTACGAGGCTTTAAGAACATTCTTCTCACATATACTATTATTTTTAAATGCCTTACTTAATTTAAATTCAATATATTTTTATTTCAGTTTATTGCATTATTTGACTACGACCCATACAAAAGTTCTCCAAATCAAAACCCGGCTCTTGAACTTCAGTTCAGCGAGGGTGACTTGCTAAAAGTTTATGACACATCAAGAAGTGATGGCTTTTACCATGCTGAGGTGAGTTACTTCGTGTAATAAATTTCAAGTTTCCCACTACTTTATGCATCTGTCATAGAAACGTTCTGTAAAAAATTTTGGTTGTGTCTTTCTATGGAATGGGTCTTGGAAAGTCTTCTTGCAGTGCTAGGAATCTGCGCCAGAACTTTTGGCTCATCATTTCCAATCGAAAACAACATGATTGATATGCCTTCTTTTTTGAACCTCTTTGATCATCCTTAATAGTATTTCAGTTCTACTCTTTTTGAGTATGTTCTTGAATGTTCCCATCATTGCTTGTATAGCAGACTTGAGGCATACTAAGGAATCTATTCTTTGTTCCTTGGACTGTTGCTTGTTCTGTGTTTTATTGTTTGTCACACAATTCCTGGCTATCATAGGTACGTGGAAAGAAAGGTTTGGTCCCTTCGAATTTCATTGAAGAGATCTCAATGCCAGAAAATAGCTATTCTACAACGAGCAACATGTACTCTTCAAGAGGAGGCAGCGAATCCTTTTCGAGGTCGATGCAAACGGGCAGAAGCTCGTATGGACAAACATCATCATCATCACAGCAGCAAGGGCAAGAATACGAGAAGCGGTCCAGCCTTTCATCAACAAATAATGGCCGTAGAAGGGTAAACCATTGATTTTAAGTGCCATATCTAATTTCCAACATACTTTGCTGATTTCACACATTAAGTCGTATTTCGTGATGCTCTTTCAGGCTATGTGATGCAAGTTCTAAAATTATACAAAAGTTTAGTTTCCCACTCTCTCACAATGTGAGCCACTTTAGAACTCAACTAGGTGAAAGGTAGTGTAAGTTATTCTTTAGGCCATTTAAATTTCTCCGTGGCTCACTTCATCTTCTATTCCTGAACAGAAAATGGTAGCTGTATACGACTATGATCCACTGAAGCAGTCACCTTCAAAGGACAAGTCTAAAGAGCTCAATTTGAAAAAGGGGCAATATGTCACCGTTGTTGGAGATATGGTGAGATCAAATTAATAGCTTTATTCATTTAGCTCAATTAACCAATCAAACTGTGTGTTCGGGTTTATCTTGATTAGTAAGTTAGCTCATGATCCTATAGGGAATTTAGTTTTACAACATTATTTTACAGCCTTTACGCCAACATCTTGCTGGAAAATGTAAAGCTTATCGTACAATATTTTAGTTTTAGTCCATGGCATATTTTATCATAATTAACTACCAGATGCCCACTGCACAACCTTTGTACGAATGTTACAAAATACACCTTGCTCTTTTATTGTTTTTTTGCATACCAAGCGCCTCCCCTCCGAACACCCTTCGATTAAACACGCGCTAAACATTGTTTCAACAACTTGATAACTTTTCCTTATGATAGCATTCTAGTAAAAACACGTTCCTCAATTCTAGAGACCTGATGGATTTTATTTTGGGGAGGCCGATGGACGCCAGGGCCTGGTCCCAGGAGATTTCTTAGAACCTTCAAAGGATGATGACATGGTGAGTATTTGATATCCCGTAGCAAATTAACGTGCTTTGAATATTTGACAATTTCAGTCTTTATATCTTGAACAGCATTTTGAAAATTGACGTGTTGAGGGATTGGAAAGGACACTTGCTTGACCCAAATACATTCTCAGACCTCCTTTTTACTGCAAAATATGGTCAGGATGTGGACGTTTCAGTGTACCATTAAGCAATAATGAGTGTTGCATTTAATTTAACTTCATTTTTTTCCCTTTTTGATTTTCTCTCTGCTCCGCTAATGAAGCTTCTCTCTTCACCATGCGTGAATTACCGAAGAACGAACGTGTCAAGCTTAAGAAATCTTGGCCGAAGCAGCCACTTTTTAGTTGATAGTTTCACAATAGCGGACACCGACATATCCTTTTTAGCGAAGTTTAAGCAAATTCCAGTGCTATTATAGAAAAAATCTATTCATCCAGTGGATATTATTTGATAAGCTTCAATGATGGAGCAAATGCTGTTAGTCATTTCTTTCGGTGAGATACAATAACTTATTTCCAATAAGGATTACCCAAGAAAGTTGTCAGTGAAACAACCCTTGCTATCACCCTTTCTTGAGAGAATCCTTTTCGTATCTGCGAGATGGACGGAGGCATCCCTGGCTCAAGCAACAATTTCTATTTACGATTATCAAGTTTGGTTGTGTTGGATACATGTTTGCTAAGCTAGGCTGCTAAATTCATTCAAAAGCTCCACTGCGTACTTTCTGAATCAAAATCTAAATTCAGCAAGTTCGTCCTCGTTTGTAAAAGAATGGAGTCTCGATTTGGGTGATTAGGAATAATTGCCAGGCTTGTAGTTCGTCGACAGTTTGACGTTATTCTTGTCAGGTTTTCGAGGAAACAAGAAAAGCGTAATATTCAAGCAAAAGCCGAGCATCTTCTTATCAAGCTTGTTTCGATCCAGCTTCTTTTATTTTGTAAATATCTTCATGATGAAGAAAGATCGAAGAAATTATTTGCTTTTTTCCCAAATGAATATGTTGTGCCGCTAAAGGATAATTTAAGGCCTACAATCCGAAAAGTTTTACCATTTTTCGCAAAAACTAGCGAAAATTAAGGTATTCTCATAAAAAATTGTGTTCTTAAGATAAATGCTCTGAATTGCAATTTATACAGCGAAGTCTGATCTCGCAATTTTTTGTAAGCGAATTTGATAATCCAGGGTTAAACAATAATTTAATAAGCAGAATGAGCGTCCTTGGCAAGGATCACGTACTTCCCCTGTGATCACTTCGTGTGATTTATGCAGCTTGTGCTTACAGCTGGTCATTTGCAGAGTCTGTGGTCAGTACGATTAACCTCGTGTGTTCAGTCTCAAGTCCGCCAATCGTATTATAGGATAATTATTGTGTTTCAGAGTATTTGGGGTCATGCTCTTCTTTGATCATGATACAGCTTTCAATATTCCCCAAAACTACATGTTTTCACGGAATTATCTAGAATTATAGATGATTTTGTGCTGTCTTAAGTGGTCAGATGAATGTCGTCTATTTTCTATTCATTTGTGTCTCTTTTACTTTTAAAGGATTCAAGACGTGTGCAATTTGCAGCAGGAGATAAGTGAGCTGTAAGTAACGTTGTTTATTGCTCAAGTTAAGCGGTTAGCGTTTAAGCGAGGCATGATAACAATCAGTGATAAAAGGGAAGACAGAAAGGTAGAACCAGTTAAACCAATCATCCAGCTATAGCTAGCACTTGGGCAAAGAAAAATTTACCTGAGCTTATTGCCATTCTGTATGGAACCAAGTTTCATGAAAATTTAGCGAGTTGTTTGAAATGTTCGAAAGTCAAATGATCAGCTCCCATTTGTAATTCGAAGTTTCCATTAAATCGAAGCTGTTCTGCTTTTGATATGGCTAATGTTGCAAGAACGGTTAATGATTTCAGCTATATATATAACAAGGATTACTATTATTGTGTCTTGGGCTTTAAACAAGGTGAGAAAGAACACATAGAGAGAGAACTATATTTCTCTGAGTGATTGTCATTCCAGCCAATTACACACCTTCACATATACATCTATTCTAACTCTAGTGTACTTCTACATAAGCCCAAATGTGGACTGGTGACGAGCCCCCTGGGAAGTTGTACTATGACCTAGGTCAACAGATAAACATGTGATCAATGACATTGAACGCGAGGCCAAAGCATTATTGACACTAATTCACAACAATTATATACAGCACCTAAAAATTCATCAACATGACCTGTCAATAAGCTCATCAACAGGGACGTCTTTTTGCAGTATCCTCACTTATATCTGCAAAGCTGTAAGGAAAAAATTGTCATACATGAGGTTATCAAACATGAATAGACATCCCTTATTTGATAACCATCCTATTCTTGGATATATAAGCTGACCAACACAAGTGACGATACTTATAGTCTCTTGCGCAACCGGCACGTTTAGCGGCAGTTGTCTTGAAACTATGCTTGTATTTTCATGCACTACGATATTAGGCCAGTTGTGCTAGAGCCTTAAAAGGCAATAGAAATAAAGTGATCAATAGCCACTCAGATGTTTATTGATTGGCCAATAGTTTTTTGGCAGATGGCATAGAAGGCACTTTAGAATCTGCCGATTTGCTTTTAAAGGCTGGTTCCCACTTGATTGGCTATCTGCTCGCGCGACTAGGCGAAATCGAATTAACAAGTCAGCGAATCGGCGAACGCGCCCAGTCGCCCAGTAGTTCAACTGAGTGGAACTACTCAGCGAATGGTTGCGCATTCGCAGCGAATAAGGAAGTTCAATTTGCGCATGACCCAATGTGCATTCGCTTAGTCGCTTAGTCGCATTAACTTGTTTGTCTAGGGATTTTCAAAAAATGTTCACAGCGTGTTGCATAGTTCCTTTCTTACCAATTAAATTATCAAAGTTTAGGCGTGTTTGTTTCCTCCTTTTTAAGAGATTATGTATTGTTACTTTTATCTTACCTTTGTCTTTAAAGGTAACAGAAAATTTAAGGCATGGCACATACACTTTGCTTTTCAGTAATTCATTGAGCTAAAATATCGAGTCAATTACTTTATTTTATTCAGTCAATCAATGATACCTTATCATTTTGGTTTTAGGATCCAAAAAACCTTTTCAAAAATCACGATGAGTAATGTCACAGAGAACTGCATTTAGTGTACTTTTGTGTAGATTCTACCAACGAGCAATCTAGACAATATACAACTGAAAATTTTCTGAAAGTATGGAAGTTTAAACATTTTGTTTTTATTACAGTCTGGTTTTTATAATTAAGCGTAGCTGTTACTTGTCGTATGTAAATTTTTTCTATTTAAAGTTGAACCAGTATCTGTTTCCTTTTGTATATTCCTTCACCTTCCATCTTCCTTGTTATCATTTTTGTCTGCATAACTGCACCTCTTTGTGTTCGTTTGTATTGACTTTAGAAACAAGAATTTTGTTATGTTGCCCTAGTGTAAATACAACATCTTGCAGCCAGTTTTATTAAGGTCTGTGAAATGTAATTACCATAGATTTTAGGATCCAGAAAGCATTATGATGTGAATTTCATTTGATAGGAACTGCAAGACATGTTTCCATCTTGGCCGTAAATTTCCAGTCTATAGAATTTGGAGATTTTTGTTTAAAGTGTATTGGTTTAACCACATTTGTTTATGATAAAGCCGTCTGATGGAGGTATGGTGTTTAGGCAGCTCTCACCCTTTAACGCCCATATGCAAATATTGTTTAGAGTTCATGGACCTTGCTGGCAATTTTTATACTGCATGTGAACAAACATTTTCAAAAGAGACCCTATCTCTAGTTACTTCAAAGCATAAATAATAAACAAGCCATTGCTACGAATCAATATTTTACTTGCAAATACTGAAATATCACTAGTATAAACGCAAAGTATTTCGAAAACATTTAATTTTATGCCTGTTTTTAAGTTTTTTCGTTCTCTATCTTGTATTGTTTATAATAGGTAACTAATTTTTGTGGATGTGATACACCATGACTTAAATTATGTAGGATTAATACTCAAATGATATTAGTTTGTGTAGTGTTAGGTTTAGCATTAATTACTGTACGATACACCGAATAATTTATTTATGATGCATTGCCCAATGCTCTTGAGGCATCGATATAAAATACGTCACATAGATTTGCAACGTTATCTCTGCAATGTTATTCCTTGCTTTACGAAGAACTCTTGAAATCTAAGTTTATTTTTGAGCCATATAACAAATTCACTTCCGTCTGGAGCTAGACGCCTCTTCTTAGGCCTCAGGATATTGCATCGCTGCCCAAGTATCACCCTATTGGAAATTTTAAGTTTCGCCAGATGAAAAAGTTTCATTTTTATTCTGGAAATGGTTTAAAATTCTTTTTGGTTCAATCGTGAATTTGAAATTGGAGAAACATCTTTGCTATGAACTGGGAGGAGGGGAGGTTAGACAATGCCCTCCTTGGCGTAGTGACTCGAAATAGTCTTGGAATAGCTAATTGAAAAATCGTAACCTATATAGTTATTGAGGGTGAGTATAGACCTTCGCGGCAGTCCAGAGGCTAAATCTCAGAGTAAGATCAGTTTGTTGGTCAGAAAGCAAAGTTAAACTGAATAGAAATGCGGAAATAGAGGGAAGTCGAATCTGCAATAAATTTAGTACCTCAAGGGGGGAGCTGATATTTCAGACAAAATTGTAACGTTTTATAGACTGCAAAAAGAGACTGTAGGAAGTATTCTGAAATTTTAAGCTAATCTGAAGGGCGTAGTCGAAAAATTTTCTGCCTGCTTTACAATTCCCTCTCGTTATATGGTTTATATAGATAAGTCCTTCGCGTTCTTTGGGAATTCCCGATAAAATAGAAATTGAAATGCTAAAACGCTTAAATTCTATAAAAGCTGGATTCTGAAATGCCTGTCGGGAATTTTGCTGATTTTTTCCAAGGATAACAGACTTAGGTTGAAGTCTTATGCATAATGCTTATTATTTTCAGATATTTTTAGATATTTGCTTATAACTTTGGAAGATCAGTTTTTACACGTAGCGCTTTCTCGCTTTACACAGATCGGAATATACAAATTTTAGGAGAACTTTGAAGGAAATAGACTGTTGTAGAATGGGGTTCAGCTACAAAATGCTACATATCATGGTTGTTGTGTTTGATTAGCCAACCATTACCACGTAAAAAGCCATGGCTTTTTCAAAATCATTTTCAAAATGGCATGCTTTCCCAAGTTCTTAAGGGTGTGTTCAGCAAAAATTGTCCTTTTGCTGTCGGACTCCTCTTTGCCCCTCTAACCTTCTAACCCTGACAACGCCATTGGTCTGGAGCATAAGCTACCTGTACTTGCGCATCGTGTACATTTCGTTTATACTTATAAGAACCAATAATTTCTTCGACACAGTCTCCAGAGAAAAATGAGCAATTCTAAATCTTCCTTAAAAAACCTGATTTCAAGGTTTTTAAGAATAATTTATTAGGTCATTGAAGTTCGAATATTGTGAAATCTAAGAATTAAATACGGATTATAGCCAGGCTCGAATTTCATCGACAATCTTGAGTTTTTTATCTATATGAAGTTTTTGAGCAAACACGAAAGGCATGACTCACGATAGCCAATAGATTCAAGGAACGCGCGTCCGGCTTTGTATTGCGGTTGTTTGTTTCGTTTTCTATACCTTCTTTCATGACGAGGAAAAGAGAGTAGCAATGATTTAAACTCTCGTCTTTAGAATGACTAGAGAATAATCATAGGCCGAGAATCACAAATTTTTAAGAATTTTGAGCTCAGGAAGGTATTCGGTAAATAAAAGGTCTATGTCCAGGCCAGGAGGTTACAGGAAAGCCCAGACGTCTGGTCTCGTTTTCAAGAAGAAATTGTTTCCTTGTTGTTCGTTTTTGTTTTGCATGGCTTTTAGGGAAATGAATCCAATGTGCATCAAATAAAGCTCTAACCATGCACATTTACTTGAAAAATGGTGATCAACAGCGTTGGCTGATAGTTGAACTGATTGATGGACACATGCCAAGATTGTCCGGCTTTTCTCTCAGTCATTCCCAAGTCGCCGAAACACTAGAGCCCGCAATTTGGTTCAAGTTGATGGTCATCGACTCAATAAGCATTGACTGCCAGAAATATGTTGTTAGCTGGAACACAATTTCAACGGGTTTGTGAATATTGTTGTTTGAAGAATTTTTCTGCTGTTTACAGAACATTTTTGCTATTTGTAGGACGTTCATGCATGCAATTTGCGTTCTGTATCAATATACACTCTTTTTTATAAGAACCAGTAAATTTAAGTTCAGGCTGACTGTTCTTAATATTTTCGGAAATCTGAGGCTGGATTGTTTATAATTTGTTCTTAAATTAAGAGGGTGTAAGCAGTGCTATTGCTAGCTTTTTCGCTCTAAGGAGGTGTTCAGGCCTCATTTGCCAACAAAGTGAGTGAGACAGCCTTAATTTGCTGACAATTTGAATATTCACCGAAAAAGCACCCAGACATCGCTAAAAATCCTCAATTTTGAGAAAAAACGTTGTTCACATTTGCATTTTGCAGAAGCTCAGCCTCAGCTTGTTCTTAATTTGTTCTTAACTTTTGACCAGTTTTGAGGCTCGTGTTCTTATAAAATTGTTCTTATAAAAAAAGGAGTGTATTGTATTACCATGGGCTCTGCCACTAGCCTAATTCAAAGCTATTCAAAGGTTTTGGACACATGGCTCAAAACTGCACCTCAAGTTTTTTCCATGCTTTAAAGATTTACTACTTCTCCCTTGCTAACTTTTTGTTATATCTAATAGAAACTGTATATTTATGGTAAGTTACTGCTGTTATGCAGAGTTTGAAAAGAGTTTGACTGGTGAAACAGTTTTTTTTCAAACACATGTATAGAACTTGCACTCTCCTTTCATAGATGCCTCATCTGAAACAAGATACTTGATGTTTGAAGATGAAGACCAAAGTTGCTACGACTTTAATGATGACATTGACGAGCTTTACCACCTAGCTACCTTCCTCATCACTACTAACCCTATGGCAGTGCTAAATGATGTAAGGTTTAGCTCTTTTTGATCAACTACAAAGTGTGTTTGAGGAATTGTTTGCTTTAGATCAGTCTATGTTCATTACTTTTTATTTGTTGTCATGTCTGTTTTCTTTTAGAACTTTTCAAATTTACCTGCCCTCTTCTCTTACAATTTAGACAGAATTTGTAGATTGATAGTTTGATCATTTTGAAAATACATAAAGAAAATACCAAGATTCTGATACCAAGATTTTTTTCCAGAAAGACCGGCAGATTATAATTGAAGATTATGAAAGAAGTGTGTTCCGCATGTTGCATTGCTACATTCTTGGGAAAATAACTTTGAGACCAGAAGACATTGTCCAGGTAGAGAATGCTCTTGAGGCCCAGAACCAAGCAATTCTTTTTTTGGATGATCTCATGCTGATGCACAAAAGAACAGAAGTTCAATTAATGGGTGACATGAGAGAGCTACGGGAGTCGAGAATCTTACCATTTTTTAACAAGCTTTTGACCAATGAAAGCTGTAATAATGGTTTGGTTTCCCTTCTTAAGGAAAATGTAATTAAAGATTTGCAAAGAGTCCGAAATGAGGTAAATTTTTAATCATATTTCAGCAAATTTGACTGTAACATTCTCTGTTCAAATTCTTGTTCATATTACTTATATTGTTTGGGAGATGGTTTCCTGTACTGAACCGTTTTGCTTTTTTTGTTTACCTTGTAATGTCTTTAAGTTCTGTCTATTAATAAATATTTATAATACTAAAAAATATTTATAATATTTTATAATATTAATATTTTGATATTTTTCAATATTCTGTAATATTTTAATATTTTTTAATATTCTATAATATTTTAACATTTATATTATTAATATCTGTAGTTTTTTTTAAAACATTTTATTTAATAAACCTACTTTATCTATTTTTAGAGTATGTATCTCAGATTCTGTTTAAAAAAATATTTTTCTTTTCTGACTTTACAGGAGCAACCAAATGTTAGAACAGAATTTATTTTATTTATTTGTAAATATGTAAATTTTGAATTGGTTATCCTGTAAAAGCATTCATAATAATAATAATAATGATAATAATAAGTTAATGTCCTGCCAATGCCATAAACTATCATAGAACCCTAAAGCAACATTTGCTATTCTCAGATCTGTGTATCAAATAGTAATTTATCAAAATAGGCTCAACAAACTGATCTTTGCTTTAAGAAATGTGTGTCAATTTACCAAATATTTTAGCAGAAAAATATTTTCATTTTGAATAGTGGGTCAAGGATATCGAAGAATGGCTTTGAAAAAAGCAATCATTTTAAATCATAGTAGTGCTTTTCATCTGACACTCAATGATTTTCGTCAGAGTATAAAACACCAGAGCACAGATCAAAATAAAAGGCTAAGAAATATATATACCAAGTTGTGGATTGATCAAGAAATTTAAATAAACTAGTTTATTTGAAATATCTGTACTAGTTCTTGTTTATCAAGAAACTAGAACAGTTTATCAAGAAACTTCATTTTAGTGAAACAGAATTGTTTGTCTCAAAGCCACCTTTTGCTATCTAAGGCACCCAGGTGACATTGATGAATGAATATCAAACCCAATCACATAACCTATTTCTCCATGGCACATTTCAATTCACTGCCAGGCAAAAGTTGTTTTTGGTTTACGATCAACATTACCTATTTTAATATCTGGCAAATAAATTTTTGGTTAGTACATATCTTGCCCTTTGCAATAACATGATTTTTCTTTAACTACAGTTTGATGTGGCACAGAGGCGAGTAGACAGGGTAAAGCTTGAGATGAATCAAGGGGCAACTAGCAGTGAATATTCCTCAGCCCTGGCAAAAGCAAGAGGGAAAAGGGATGTTATTGCAGCAAAAATGTGCCAGCTTTTAGAGTGGAGAGAGATGTTGGATGCTCAAAGTAACATTATTGGAAATTTTGTTTTAAGGGGACCTGTTGAGCCAGTTATTTTAAGATATTTTGAACTTCATGAAAAAGTAAAAGAAGAAAAACATCTGGGTAAACTGGTTTGTGACAAAAAGGTGATTAATTTTGCTTGAAAGTGTTTTGTACATTATGTCATCTTTCAAAGCATCAAGATGAGAATTTATATTTGAGAGGTTACTGTATAGCATACACAAAAGGAAAGGAAATCCCTTAAAGTTTATAAAAGAACATGGATGCACAAAAAAGTCCTGGAAATTTTGAAATTTTATACTGTGATACCCTTATGCAGTTTATGTGAATTCTACTTTTTATTTTTTATCCATATGTTGTTCACAATCTATTCTTTTGATCTCTGTTCTTTTTTGTAGATTTTGGCTTATTAGGCATGTTTTATGTGAACATTTTATTTTTGCAGGTCCGAGCATCCAGCGTGCGTGCATCCATTGAGAGTACTTTAAGAGATTTAAAAGCAGGCATTGAATCGGCTGGTGTAGAAGTTTCAATAAGTGGACAAAAACCAACAGATGGTATGATTTCAAGATTTTATGATATTGCCAACAGCTCTATTTGGAATAATTGGTCTACACATAGACTACATTGATAAGGGTCCCCTAAATTTTATATTTGTTGTTATTGTTGTGTATTTCAAGGGTACAAGACAACTTTCTGCACTACCATAAACCCATTGAATAGTGTGCTTTGGCTCATAGCCTAGTAAAAAAAATTTTCTGGAGGAAGAGATTCAACAAACACTAAACAGCAGGGGCTGTAGCCCCCCCTCCCCCAACCTTTTGGCAATAAAAGGTTAGAAAATTTTTAGTTACTGATATCTTCCTTAATGAGAGTGTTATTGATTTCTTCTCTGAACCTTAAAAGTTACGGTCACATCCTTTTCATCCCCCCACTTTTAGACTGGTGCACAGTGACTGTAACATACACAATGTAAGATTTAACAAAAGGAAAAACATGCTTGGAAACAATGGTAGAACCTCTATGCATGGAATGAATTTCTGCAAAATTGACATTTCTAGTAAGGGCTGTCATAATTGTTGAGTTCTCTAATACCAGGGCTGTTTGCTAAGTAGATTTGGAAAAGTGAGATTATAATCGTACATGGTCGTAGGTTTTCAAAATCCGTAACGTTTTAACAAATAATTGAATAAAGAATAAAGTTTTACATGAAATGAAACAAATAATTTGTCTTAGAATATTAAAAAGTTATTGAGTGTGAAACGTCTAAAGACTGAAACATTTAACAAAATTCGATGATTCGAGCAGAAAGATGGTAAGCGATATTCGAAGCCTTTCCCTCATGGCACTATTTCATGGTTTTCATGTAAACCTTTTTAGTTTTTTATGAAACGTGCAAAGTACTATCATTTCCCCCTCTTGGCGTATACGAAAACATTAACACCTAATCGAACTTTTGTCAACAACAACAGAATAATTTTAGAAGCAACCATGCCTTTCATGGAGAGGTCATTGAAGTTGGACTATATACCAACATCGGCAGCCATGTCTTTTTATCTGTAATGTAATTTGGGTAATTATATTTTGCTGTGCTGCAGGGTCAGTCTTTTAAGAAGTCAATATTGACGTGATTTTGCAATCCAATTTTCATCATGTTTTATCTTTATCAATCGTCCTTTAAATTAGGCAAGCTCTGTCGAATCGGAAACTTAAACTAGCTTTTCATCCAACTTTTGAATGCATGAAAGAGATTGTTTACAGCAGTGATAAAAACAAGCAATTGCATCATTTCTAAAAAAACCTACTTATGACATTTGTCTTGTTTGCATGGTTATAATTCCAAAAGCCGTTATTTTAGGCCAGGGCGAGCAATAATAACCTGCGCTATCTTGTCCAACTATTTACTGTATGAATAGTATTTACTGATATTTTTTAACACTCTTCTTCCCACTTCGTCTCATTTTAAGTCCATCATTGAAACCGCGTGGTTTCCTTAGCAATATTTTAATGCTCAATTTAAACCTCTATTTTTCTTTGCTTTGTCAGTAGTAAATGAGAATGGGCCTACTGCAGAGTGGCAAACCCTTACAGAACGCCTAGCTTCGATTCTATACAATAAAGACCATCCTGTTGGAATGTTGTTCCTGAATACAACAACAGAAATTTCGAGACGATGCAAGGAAGTTTTCAGTACGTACGAACATCTATCAAATACCTCTTCAGACACTGAAGGCTTTGTGGATATGAATAAGGGTAATGTAAATTTTTCTGAGGATCTAGAGTATATAAAATTGACCATTCAAGAACATTTTGAAAAATCATTAGGGTTGTTAATGGAGTGCTTTGACAGAAGAAATCCAATGTTTTGGCAAAAATTGCGACTTGGGTATGAGAAATTCCTTTACCAGGAGGTTGGATCTTGTTTATTGCAACTATATCGTGTAGTCAATGGCAATGTGATGATAAGTCTTGCAGAACGCGTCACGAGACTACGAGATTTTCCTGTCTGTTCGCTTGGTCTGCAGATGAAGCAGGAATGGTGGCTATCGCTGTTCGAACCGGTAGCTGCAAATGCGCCAAATTATGCATCGTGTGCACAGAATGTTTGTTCGTTTGATTCTGATGACAGCACTGACGGACCAGCGCATTGTTATAGGAACATTGATTTGATGCGAGAAAAGCTCCAACTCGGGACGGTCAAAGTTCTTTCGCGATCTTTCAGTGATAACGATATCAATGCTGCAACGGGCAGCAATTTAGTGCGTGCATCAGCCAATGTTATGGTAAAAGAGATAAGTTCAAAAGTAGTCCCGCGAAATTATTACGTACCTCTCAATCTCCTTATTGGAACATTGAGAAAAGAGGAAGATATTCGTATAAATATGTCATCTTCTTCTGACAGTATTTTTCGAACTGCTGTGAGTAGAAGATCTCGCACATTATCGACGCCAAGTTTCGTATCGACCAACAGTCGCTGTAGCTCGCCCGATCAAGGCTATGCCTCGCCCTCTGCTACTTTAACGCGCAAAGACGGTTTTCAAAAGCATTTTGGTGGAGTAATCACACACATCAAGAAAGTGTTTGATGTGAAAACACCCTTAAATAAGATGCAGCTTATAACTGCTTCATTGCGGAAAATTAACGAGAAAGTTGGAGAGCTGCGGAAGAGTAACCCTGATCCCTCTGCAGGCGGGTCTGATGCCGTTACTTATGCAGTTTCTGGTGATGAGCTGCTACCGCTTATTGTTCTGATGTTACTCAAGCTAGAACCATCACAAGTTGGAAAACTCTTTGTAGATATTTGCTATACCTCCGACTTGATGGCTGATTTTCTCTCATACGGTTGTCATTCGTACTCATTGACACAGTTTCAGATGGCATTTCGCGTTTTGAATCAAGTTTGTGAAGAGTTAGAAATTCCTTAAAGGTGGAAGTGGATGGTACCTGGAGCCAACTTGTTGCTCGCTGTTTTTATCAAAGTTGTAAAGTTGGCTATTTTATGCTAATTGTAATTTTATCAAGGTTTTTAGTATTGATGTTTGCAAAGAAACACTAAATTATGCTTCAAAATAACGAAGCGTTGTTTTTACACATACTCTACGTTTTCAGAGCAAGTAGCGTCCCGTCCTAAGTCATCTTAATCAGTAGTTTTTAGAAATTAGTTGTAACTATACAGATATTGTAGATGCTGTAAAGCAAGTTAGAATTTTATACTAGTAGCAGTAGTAGAAGTTGTGAGTCATTTCTTACTAAGCTTAATCAGATATTAAGCATACAAGATTCCGTATTTTTATATATTCATTCACGCCGTTTACTGATGCCGTAAATATTCGCCGGCTATTATGACCATTTATCAGGCTCCAGTGTTTTTATTTTCATTCAATACACTCATGTTTTGTCAAATTTCCTTTTTAAATATTGGCTCAATGTATTAGATGCATGGTTTTCCCTTGTCCCCTAACTTTTGTTTCTTAAGGCAATGCCCTGTTTGTCTACTAAACGTTTAACTAATTCTCTGTCACAGAAGCCTACAAACCCTTCCATCCTTTAACTTCCTCACAATATATCTCCTCCATAAACTTCTCAATGTAAGCCATCTCTTTAAATTCCGTCCTACATTGGCACTCCTTCTTAGTTTCTTTCCAGGCCTCACCCCATTACTAAGTACGTAAGATCTTCCGTATGAGCCTTATTCTTAGCGGAACTATGAATATATCTCTTTTGGACTAATTTATTTTTGCAAAATATATTTTCTTGCTTTATTTATCTTTATAGGTGTCATTTCCTATATCAACCATTTTTAAAGTATAAAGTGAACTGCTGGTTTTAAACTCTATCAGTCTCCAAGGGCTACTTTACCGACTATACAAAATACCCCCAGGTCGCTATACTCAAGAGAGCATATAACAGGGTGCACCCACAAACGGCACTCATAACTACGGAACAGGTTCCCAAACATATTTCTGCGTGTAGAAAGAAACCCTTTTTTGTTAACACCTGACCCAAGTGTGCTGTACTCATAAGTGGCAAGGGGCTGCCTCGAACCAATGACGCCGTAACAACTACATAATACTCTGCCTCCCTTTATATAATTCCAGTTTGAGGCTACAAGCCTGTGTTAGATAGATTTTGTTTTATATGTTTCAATGCTGGGTCTGGTATATTGAATACATCGCCTTTTACAAACGCACCACAAGGCTCTTTGCGAGGACCAGTTCTGTTTGTAACCAGCTTTGAATTTTTTGAATCAAGAATTTCATTCCAGAAAACATTGCCGCCGTATTCCTCGTGCTTTTCAAACACCAAGGCTGTGACAACCCGAAACAAGGACAGCCTTAGCTATGATAGATATTATCATCGAAACTGGAGGTAATTCTTATCTTGCCACTTTGTTATTGCAAACAAACCATGCGGCAGTGGAAAAGCTTTAAAATATAATTGAAACATTAGGGTGAACAAAGAGACATACAACCATACATAATGTGCAAGTTTTGATGATAATTTCCATTTAAGCCAGCCATGATTCATTATTACAAGAATTTGCAAAAAAATTTCGTCGTATAATAACAAAAATGTGATTAAAAAGTTGCATAATCTAATTTATAGGCTTCAACGGCGCCTTTTATGGTTATGTTATTGTCAAACTGATGTCTCGAAATATCATAGTTTGGACGATTGAAACCAAATGATAATATGCTCACAAACAAATTTATGCAATAACGGTTGCTTCCTTACCAAAGGACAGTATATTCTAGGCTGCAGTGGTTATCGAGGGGAAGGGGTAAATTCCGACCCCTGGAATCAAAATTGGCAACTTATCATCAATATTAGCAGTGAATTGGATTATAAAGATGCATGGAAATTTAACTTTCTACAGTAGATGGTAAGTTCGTCATTACTTTTCACTAAGCCATTTTTTTATTCACCGCCACTACTTTCTGTCTTTTGTTAATATAAATATATGGTAGTCCTATTGTCGTTTGTGATCGTTTATTTGTCGACTGCATTGTCTTGCTCGCTTGATTGTTTATGAAAAACTAATCATATTGAAAAATGAACTGAGAATGCTTCAGTATGTTCTGGCTTATTTTCAAATATTGACGTTTGTCCCTTTATGGCATCCTATGTCTGTTTGCTGCAAGTTTATGTGTTTTTCAATCCATGGATGGCACTAATTTACATTAGCATTGTGATAAGGCAAAATAAAATGTAAAGAAAAAGACTGAAAGATTAAAAGAGGACGTTCAATGCATAAAGTTGCTAGATTTCCAACAGGAACACGCAGTTCATTATTGCTTGGACGACCATGGAGAACACGTATGACCCTTAAAATGCAGTACACCATGATAAGAACCCTTTTTAAACCAGTGTATTTTTTATTTGCTGTGAAAGAACTTCATGTAAAATCGTATATAAGATTTTAACTTTCTTGGGAGCAGCTGCCTTTAGATTGTATTTCATTTGAGGCACAGCTGTTTTGCAGTTGTGTCGATCACACGCGTACACAGAAATCACTGAACAATCAAGCTTGCCCTGGGGTCCGCGTGATCAAGTCAGTTTTAATGCCACTCTAATGAATAATTCAATATTTTAACGTGGTGCGAGTCAAAGCACATTGCAAGACGGCGGCTAATGGCAACGTAATGCAACTTCTCGCTAGTTTAAGTTGAAATAAGCTCTTCGATGAAACGATCAAATGCAATAATGTAACAACCGGCTGAGGTGTTGACCTGAACAAGATAAGAAATTGTATTGAAAGACAATGTTTTCTTTTATGGGATACTGGCACCCGAAACAGAAACAGATTCATGTGGGCGTAAACTCGCATTGCGAGCTAATGGAAAGAGGAATCTTTTGAAGAGGAACAGGATGTGCGTAGCCCGATAGCTTCATATAACATATAAGACTATTTTTCGCCGAGGAAAATGACGTTGCTTTAGTCATTGTATCAATTATAAAGACGCTTGATTCAAAGTGAAGTGAAGTCTGTCGAGTATTCAACTGATCTAAGTTAATAAAGATTATCCTGTGTATAAATCAGAATCCTCGCTGATACCTTGGTTGAGGGGCGAGAAGCAAATAGAAGCAGGATCGGCTACAGACATTGGATCACATCATTGGATCACACTGCTTCGCCTCATTGCCAAGCAAAAGACACTTCTGCGAAGAATTTCACGACTGTTCCGTGTCTCACAGCTGAATCAGCAGCTTCAGTGGTTATTCACAACCAATTTTGGTAAATTCTTATCAATCACAAAAAAGTGTTTACATTCTCGCATTAAGAAACCGTGAAAACAAATAAATAGAAACTCATGGGCTTACAGTGATGTTAATTTTGAAAAAATATTTGTTTGTTGGATTTCGGCCTCGTAGATGTGAAAGGGAATTTGATGTAAAGCAGAAAGAGACTTTGTTTTGACTGGATTTGAAAAGGTGAAAGTCTGTTTATGCAACTTTAAATTGTTGGCTTGGGTTGCAGTGCTTTTCTTTCTGATTAAATAGATGCTGCCTGGTGTAATGCCTAAAGAGATAGTCAAGGATTTTGACTTACAAATTTTAGATACAAATTTTAGATTTCGATTTTTATGTTGATATTAAAGTAGGTAGTTCCAAAGTTTGTAATGTTTTATGTGATTAAATTGTTTACGAATCTTCATGATTACGAACCTTTGGAAACTAACTTCTTGATACATTATCAGTATTTTTATTTTGTAAAAATAGCTAACAATCTGATAAAATGGTTGCTTTAACTTTTTTTGCATTGAATTTGAAGATTACCTGGTTTTTACTCAATACAATTTTAGTTGATTTGATATTCAAAGCTTCATTTCCCTTAGATGCACCAGCAAAGATTTAAAAATCGAAAGCGTTCAAATTCCTATGCCTAATGGGTTTATGTTTTTATCCTAGATATCAGGTAGGAAAAGGAGGATTTATATCTAGTGCAGCATAAGAGAGGCTTGCATCCGATATTCCATCAGCTTAAGCGGTTAATTCTTTGCCATTTGTTGTTGCTGATCAGTACAAACCGAGCTGATGGAATGCCTCGATGTCAACATCAAGGTCGATATTTGTAATAAAAGTTACCAGAACACAACCAAAATTCTCTTCAAAATGGACAACTTTAGGAGCCAAGGCCTTTTTTGTGACGTAACTCTAGAGAGTGAGGATGGAAAGTGTTTTGATGCCCATCGGTTGATCCTTGCTGCTGCAAGTCCTTATTTCAGGGCAATGTTTCAAACAGAAATGCTGGAATGCTCACAAAACCACATCACGTTGAGGGGTATCGACTCGAAATCTTTGGAAACCTTGATAAATTACGCCTATAACGGAGAAGTTAAAACAGATATGGAAGACATACTTGACCTGCTCTCGGCTGCTAATATGCTGTGCTTTGAAGAAGTTGAAAAAACCTGTATAGATTTCTTGTGTAAGAACATGAATATAACCAATTGCATTGATATCTGTGCTGTAGCAGAAAGTTTGAATTGCGACGAACTTTGTCGAATGGCTGAAATTTATGTGACAAAGAATTTCAGGTGGCTGGTGAGAAATTCCAAATTTCATACTCTGACACTGAATCAATTGAATTCCGTTATTAGCAGCGAGAAACTTCGCGTTGCATCTGAGACTGAAGTGTACCAAGCTGTAATCACGTGGGTAAAATATAAAGATGTAGAGAGAAAATGCCACCTGCCTGGTTTATTAAAGCATGTACGTCTAACAGCAATGACAAGGAAGTACCTAGTAGACATTATTATGAGGGAACCCTTGGTTATGGATGATCATGAATGTCGAATGCTTGTTCTTGAGACCCTTGACCATTTTTTGCTTCCCGAGAGGCGGAAAGCCACAGGAAGTATTTTGCCAATGCCACGAAAGGCTCAAGGACAATCTTTGTTTGTTGTTGGCGGTAAAGGTAAGTATTGTTGGTAGCATTAATTGAATGAAATGCTCATCATATTTGTTTTCTGAATTTACTTTATCAGCCCTGGGGGCTTATGGTATCTTTTTTACAATTAAATATCCTTTTCGTTATGAATACTTTTCGAGGGGAGCCACCCCACCCCCACCCCCAACGATGTAGTGGTGTTACTAAAAAGAACTTAATGGAGTTGGAGATGAAACGGTTTTAAAACACTTTCAAAATTCCCAAACTTTCAAATAACTGCAAGTTTAGATGAAGGAAAGGATACTTACAATTTTTCTGAAAATGTAGAAGACATTGGATATCTCCGATTAGCTTACTGCGCCAAAACTCTAGGATTTGAGTCAGTGAATTTTACCGGTTCCAAAATTGGTCATTTACCTCGAGATTTGTATTGAAAACTCTTTTGAACATGATATGTTTCCCGCAAAACAATGTGCTCCTCAGACTAATCTGAGCCTATCTTACTACTTAGTAGTCGCTATTCGTAATATCCGATTGGCTACATCATCGTTGTCTTATTATTAAGAAAGAAAGAAACACGCTTAGTCTAGCCATCTTTCAGAAATAGAACACCCATAGAAATAGTATTTCTATGAGAACACCATTTGTTAGCAATCTACAAGGAAACCAAATTGATTTTCTCTTGCGATATCGATTTGTATTACGTCATTGACCGTTACTCCTGAAACTGGGCTTCTTTTTGCTAATTTACCACAGTCTCGTGCCAAACAGCCATCTTTCTCAGTTTTCAGCGATGCTTTTGGTCAGGGTCCATTTCGCCCTACCCCTCCCCCTTAAAGGCTGATCAGTTCCAATTCCGTTGTATAACTGATAGTATCTTTACCAGAAAATAATTTTTCAAAAAGCAAATCTTTCGGGAGGAATAATTTCGACAACTAAGCCATTATCGAGGAGTTTACTCGATAGAACAAACATCGAATATTATTCACCATCTGAATCGAAACATGGTTGAATGAACCCCGCAGCGAGGTCGAAAATTTTTCAAGCTAAGACCAGGGGCTTTGAACCTCTGTGTATCCAACCATAAGAATCAAGATTGATTGTTCAGACATGTGTTCAAGATAATCAAATATCTACCAATAACCGTAAGAAATCTGATAGAGATTCTATCAATTTTGTGACAGATTATTCGGAGAACCATTTTGCTTTAAAGCTTTCTATCTAAGACTCTGGTACTCGGGGTAAAGCAAACCAATACTGGTTGAATAAACCTGTAGAAAGGATAGAACTATTGGGGGAGAGGCACCATTGTTTGAAAACAATAGGTAACAAGTTTACTGTTCGTGGGGAACAAGGCATTCTTTCAGTTTTGGTGGGGGGCATGCACTCTTCCCCCAAACGACAATGATAGCTACGGCCCTGAATTAACAGTTGTGCACTTCTGATTGTCTATTTATTTTATAGAGGTTAACTATACGATCTTTTTCTATAGGTGAAGGAGACAGGCGCGCGTTGTCTTCTGTAGAGCTATATGATTTCGTCGATGAAAGCTGGGCACACCTACCACCCTTGCAGACAGCTAGACGAAATGTTGCTGTTGTCGCACTGGAAGGGATTCTCTATGCTATTGGCGGGATCGATCAAAATAGCAAAGACCTGGCATCGGTAGAAAGATTTAATTTCGATGCTTGTCGCTGGGAGAATGCTGCCTCTCTTTCACATTGCAGAGGTGAGAAAGCCACAGGTTCATTCATAACTGTTTCCTTAATAATTTGCTCGGAAAAATTTAATTGCAAAAGCAGTGGGCCTCGCCAATTGCGGTCACTTTGAAAAAGATTTAGTTTTTTCCATAAAGTTTCCTTATCACTGTCCTTTATTTTTTGTTATCAGGTCTATCAAATTAATATAAACATCCTGAATATGGCGTAAGGAATCAGATATCACAGGACGCACAAGGTCGCGATATGATAAAAGCGACTATGCTAGACTGGTAAATTTAGATGGATGTTAATAAACTTTGTTTTCAGGGCAATATAATTTTAGCAGAGGCTTGGTGATCCTGTATCCAGGACAGCTTGAGGCTCGGAGGCCCTTAATGTTGCTCTTATTTCAAAGTTGATTCATCTACAGCTTTTTGCTATGGATTATCCTACGAAAGTTTTTTCTTTTTCAAAGGAGCGTTAGCTGCTACTGTGGTCGATGGATGGATTTATGCAGTTGGTGGGTCAATTTCAAACGCAGCATTGAAACATGCAGAAAGATACGATCCTGTAACTGACCAGTGGACCTCGGTCCCGAAAATGAGGTTGCAAAGAAGCCATTTTGGATTAGCCTCCCTCGATGGAAAGATATACGCGATTGGTAAGTGTAAGATAAAATGATAAAAGTTTTAGGGTTATATTTCAAGTATTGGGATCCAAGTTTATTTAATATTTTTTTAGAATCATGCTTTTTGTTCATCTCCTTTTTCTTCTTATTCTCTTGTTTTCCTCCTTCACTTTCTTTCATTTCTTATTCTTTATGTCTTTTCCCTTTCGGCCTCTTCTCCATTATCCAGCTACGATTACGAGTCATTTTCACTCTAAGTTTTTTTTAACTTACCATGTTCATCATTGCTCAGCAGCCACGTAGCTGAGGATATCGGCGGGGTTGGCAAATTCGAGCCAGAATCATGCGTCGATGGGGCAGGCTTTAAACAAGAAAGAAGTTCATAGCAGCGAAGGACGCGTTTATTTGGAATACATCAAGCTTACACAGAAATATGAGTTAAAAATAGAATACATCAATACAAAAATTTAAAACAAATTTTGAGGTTTCTGTAACCATTTAACTGAAAATTTCTCGAAAGATATCTCACAAGTTAGGATTTTTCTGCTAGGAATATATGAGCCAAAGCACCCTCACAAACAGGTGTGCTACGTCGCCTTCTTGGTGCATCAATGTACGTCATAGAAGAAAGGACATTCAGCAGTTGCTGAAACATAACTACACACCAGTGCGATTCGGTTTACTGTAATTCGAGAAGCTACTTCATGGCTGAGAATTACATGCTAAAAAACTTTGCAATCGCTTTCTAGATTCGCTTTGTCAATCGGGTAACTTTCTGAGATTTGATTGTACAGGCCTCCTTAGTGTCTCCTTTACGGGAAATGTTGCAAAATAACAATAGCAAAGGTAGAAATTGGCTACTTTTTTGGGATAACAAGGCTGGGGCTAGAGCTACCCTCTTTCTGGTATAGTTCTTTTCAAGTGACTATGCTATCATGGAGCTAAGCTACTTCTTTCTATTCTTTCGCACCCAACCTATAATCCTCACAATTTTAATATCAAATATTGTTAAACAACGAAAATTTTGAAAGTGTCGAGTGAATAGATCTAAGGAACGGATAATAGACTTTCTTGCTTTTCAAAAACGTAGGGTCCCTTCCAAAGCAATAGTCTTACAAAATTATAATTATATAAAAAATCGTTTGATTTGGAGTAACTGTACCCAGAGGGGACTAGTTGTGGAGTAACTGTAGCCAGAGGAGGCAATTTTAATTTGCAGGGGGCACAGCCCCCGTGCTCCTTTGCAGCTGCGTAGCTGGGGCTTAGTAGGTAGGTGCCCAAACCATCTCAATCGAGAATGCTTCACTTTCTCCAATACTCTAAGTCTCTCAGAGTCACTATTCTGATCCTCTGAATTATTTTCATTTCTGTTTTCTCTAACAGGTCTTCTTCTTTTGACTTCATTTCTATGTTTCTATTCCATACATTACTGCAAGTCTAAAGCCTGATTTACAAGAGACGAATTTTTTCGTGCGAAGCGAATTTTTCGCCGCGAATGCGCAAAAAATATGCGCGGAAGTAGAGATTAGAAAATTCGCAGCGAATTCACAGCAAAAAATTCGCTGCGAAAAAGTAGAAACCTTTTCTACTTTTTCGCTGCGAAATTTTTTCCTTGTAAAATAAACCAATCATAAAAGCATTTGAAGACACCTGACTTCTGGCCTACGTCTTTCCGCATTCTTTTTCTCAAACACTCTCGCCTTTAAAACGTGAATAAAATAGGTCAGTTTTTATTCATTTCCTATTCCTCGTACACAATCCATGTAAGTGGATTCATATCAGATTATTATTCAAACTTTTGAATTTCAAATTGACGAAAACAGGCTTGAAAGTTCATCGTTCTACCAATATGTCAGAAATAAAAAATAATAGGCAAGAATTTCTTCAAATTGCTTAATTGTTGGCTGCTAATTGGCATGCTCAACAGCAACAGTTTTAAGCAGATGCAATAACAGGATCTCGCATGCTTGTGCAAGCTTCGATAGCGACCTTTGAAAGTATTTGAAGAAGTTATCCTGGTCTTATAAATGTAAACGTAAATCTCTCTTACCGAAAGATGGAATTCCCCCTTCTGAAGACGTCCTGAATAAATTTTTCTAATCCAGTATCGCTTTTTGCTGTTTTGCTCGCTTTTTTGATAAATTTAAAATTTTAAACTTGCTGATAAGAGCACTCTTCGGACATTCGCTATATTCTTTTGTAATGTTCGCAGCGAATTCGCATAAAAATTTCTGCCAGTGTAAATTGAACTTCGAATTCGAGAGAAAAATTCGCAGCTAAAAAAATCGTGGCGAAAAATTCGTCTCGTGTAAATCAGGCTTAACTCTGGTCTCATTGATTTGCCATCAGTGATCCCTCTACCTTCTTTCTATTATAACACGTCTCCTGGGAGCCTCCTAAAAACCGTCAATGTAAAGAAAATTTCTCTTAATCCCTCTAGCCCGCATTCTGCAGAACATTTTCCTTCACGATTTTGGCTCAACGTGTTTGTTGCAATTGACAGACTTATCTATATTAATGGTCTGAGCTGATATGAACTTTTTATTTAGTGAAAAAGAGGAGAGGCCATGGCCCCCTGCCCCGCCGCCCCCCCCTTTTTTGGTCAGGTATAGATATCTTCCGTCATGTGACGTAGAAAAATCTTAAGTCACGTTGCGTGATTCATGTTGCACGATGACTAGAGGATCTACGATAATGCTGATGATTACTTACAAGTTGTAATGTTTGTATTATGTTGTGTTTGGAAGTTTCAGCATTGCTGTCAACTGTTTGGATCAAAAGTCGTTGTTGTTAAAGATTCTTTCATGCAGACATATCACTAAATATTTAATATATTGGTGTCATAAGAACATTATTTCGTGTACATAATATAATCGGCCTAAATCAGTGGTTGTTCTAAATATTAGGAAATAAAAATACGTGTAGCTATTTATCGTCTAATTGCTTGTTTGGTACACTTGCAGGTGGCTTTTGTGGAATCTCCGAAGTCGAACATTGTGAATACCTTGACCCAGCGTCACTCAAATGGCATGAGATTACATGCATGAACAAATCTCGCAGAAATCACGCGGTAGCCACGCACAATGATCGAATCTATGCAATAGGTGGATCTAACTGTATGATTGGCTCTCTCAATTCAATTGAGAAGTATAATCCAGACTTGAATATGTGGCTCGTTATCAAAAGCTCCTTCTCAGTATGCCCTGGCTTAGTCGTCTGTCATTGCCTTCGAGAAGAAGAAGCGGAAGAGTTGCTTCTTGTTGGAGGTTATGACTCAGAAAGCAAAGAGCACAATGAGATAAGAACTCTTCGTGTAAAATCACCAGATTATGAAATAAAGAAGATCTCAGAAATGAAACGTAAGCGAGCCTTCGCAGGGGCTATTGTGTTATGAAAGAGGTAGTAGTTCTTTATAAGCAAAAAGGCCACAATTATCATTGATGACTGCATCTTATATTTGAACATAATAGATTGATAATATATGAAGAGCAATGTCTTATACACAAAGCAAATATCAACCTCGTATTCATATTTCTTCGCCTAATTGTTCATTATTTCAATTTTTCGCCTAGATTTTGCTGCAAATGTAAAATAGATTTTGTTAATTATTATTCGAATTTCTTTATACTTTGAATAGTTCTGAATGACTAAATTGCTATTGAGAAAATAGTTCATTATGGTACAAGATATTGAGTCTGCTCTTTAAATGAGAATGTTTTTAATAATATTAATGGCCTTCTTATGGATTTGTTGCTGATTAATCGTATTGCCCATAAACGTATGGCATCCGCTATGTTCATGCATGTTTGCGTGCTGCTTCAATCAATATATGTTGCTCAAGTTAACCAGTCATAAAAAAGTCGAAATTATCGCAGAATATTCAACCAATTCCTGAAGAAGTGAGTTAATCTGATAACACAAATGTTGGCGTTGGGATACGAGATTATGCCCTTTTCTAAGCAGATGTTTTACAAATGGAAGTTGCTACATGTCTGTTTTATAAGTAATAAATTTTCCTATTTTGATCATATAATGACTAGCAATTGTTCCTTGAAATGCTCACACTTAATCCGATTGATTCGACTTATTTTGTGCTCCAGTAGGTTTATTGAGAATATTTTAATAATCATGGACGGTTTTTCGCTTTTATTTGAATCTCTGTATATTAAGCAATATATCTAATAAGTCTTCTGGCCAACTGATAACTACGTATAATCTTTGATAGACTCGTTTTTGTTGCATTGATATGACAGATTTTATTGTTTTAGACGTCAGGAATAATCGCCATAATGACCTGAAGCTACGATAGTTAGTTTTTCCGTTGACAGTTCAAGATTGAAAATAACAATTTATTCGAGAAGAAAGTCTTATGTTATTAATAAGGTATGAGCGATGATTTTCTACCTCAACAATTGACAACTAAACTTCACAAAAAGTCATCATTTTGTGTTACTGGGCAATCTTTACTCCTTAAAGCACATTTTTATCTACAGTTTCTTAAATCAAGAAAATTTGCGTGTTTTGCTGTTCCCCTAAACTTTGCCCTTTATCAAAAACCTGCCTTGGCTGGCTGAACCCCCTCTTAATAGTTCTCATGGGGGTTACTTAAGCCCCAACGTACTTGGTATCTAAAATGCCATTACTTATATCTGAAATAAACATACACACATCGCTAAAATTTGTATCTTTGGCGATTTGCCGTTGGCTAGATTTTATGCGACAATAGGCTGGATTAAACCACAATAGGAGTTTCAAAATAGAAGATTCTAGGTACTAAGAGGATCTGTGGGACCCAGCCCCTTTGAAATTTGATAAACTTTATTGTGTTCTTATTTTTGAGATATTTTTTACGCATACATTCCAGAGCCACGGAAGACACTTACAATTCCTTTCAGCAAAGGCTTCTTGGATAGGAATTGACTATCTGTATCACAAAAACCGTCGTTTTCATCGGCGTAAAATGATGTGGTTTTAAAGATAATATATGCTTTAGTGAAAGTCATAATTATGTACACGTAGCTCTTTATAACGGCATCTTTGTAGGAATGAATAATTTAAGTTCACTTGAAGCCGATCATGGAAATATCAGTTTTGCAATAAGGTATTACAGAAAAAAGATACCGTGAAAATGTTGTTTATTAAATTTCTGAAGTGATTCTGATATTGGTCCAAGAAATGACACTTTTCCCCGGGGGTCTCTACCAATCCGTCGCTTTCAAAAGCTTTGAAGAGACATTTTTCTCGAACAAGGAACAGTTTTAGAATGATTCACTTGTATAAACTTTGCGCGTATCAAACGCTTCAGAGATCAATGAAGTATAGAGGTTGATCTTGGGGAGTATTTCTTTTTATTCAAGATTCAAAAATTAGTTTTTGGTACTCTTCTGTGAAATCTCTGAGTTCTCTGTAGTTGCTATCTGTGATGAAAAAGATTTAGAAATATATAGATTCTTGTTGAAATAAGTCTTTGCATTGCATTATTACTCTGTAGAATAAAGCAATAACGGAGAGCAACCATACTTTGCCAAAACGCTTACTTTCATATTTTTGATGCGTAAATCTGATTCTCGTGTCATCGTACAGAGCAATAGATACAGGACAATTCAATTCAACTGACATTGAAGTTCAATACAGAATTATGTAGATAGCATATTGAAGATGATTTGATTATCTGCAGAGATGTGTGCACAACAGAAGAGCAGTTGGGAATGAGTTGGGAACATACAGGTACGAAAAAGCTATTTGGTACTCAAGGAACCAATCGAATGGTTCACAAATTTGTACACGGCCAGTACAGATGTCGAGTAAGCAAAGTGTATCTCAAAATTTTTGAATTTGCTCTGGTCCGTCTTTTATAGCCAAATACAGCTATGAGAGGGAAGTAAAATTGTTTGCCAATTTCTGAAAGGGTGTAGGTTCAAGGAAAGGATGAATTATGAAAATCTGAGACACAATTTGGTAGCTAAGGATCTGCACTTTCTGCTGATATAAGTCAGATTTTATTACTGCAAATGCAAGGGTACAAAATAGCCTTTGAAGATAGTACACTCATTTAAGCAATAAATTTGCCTATTATAAACTATTTTTATATGGTTGGAATCACCACATTCTTGTGCATCGAATGATGTATAGTTTAATCTGATTCCATTAATAGTTTTGCTTTTAGGGAGTGAAAACCAAATATCGTGTCAAAAACGTTTACCGTAACCTCAAAAGCCGCTTTTATTTATTAGTGATAAATGATGACTTTTTTCTACGTGTTCATGAACATGGTAACTTGTAAAGGCTTGCATTGGTCTTTGACCCCGTTTACACGGGATCGATCCCGGCCTGGATCGATCCCAAACCGGTACGGATCGGCCTTTTGTTTACACGGTACGGATCGAACCGCTATCCGTGATCATTCGAGTTCGCTTTGGAAAGCGTTCCAGTTTGGGATCGGTCCAGTTCGGGCAGGGACGCCTGTACATGATCAGGGCAGGAGGGGCAGTGTTGGTGCTGAGGGAAAATCGTAGAATTTTTCTACTAACATGATCTGACTATTCCTGGTTGGGGAGGGTGGGGTAACATAACAAAATATTAACATGCATATGTGACAACCATACAGCTGAGTTGTTCTACCATCAATGATTCTAAACATAGAGAAAATGTTGACGAAAATATCCATACATAAATTGGTATTAAATGACTTTGTCATTATATACAATATTTGGATTTAAAAAACTCATGGCTGTTGAAAATGGGCTGGTTGTACAATTTTGATTGCAAATACCGTTTTATCCTTCTATGATTTCCGGAGTACTTCTGAGGGAACAGGTCTTTTGTTCATCTACTATTATCTTTGCCGCTCTTCCTCTTTTTACCCACCATGTTACAGACAGCCTTTTCAACCTTCGTGTTTGCTTGTTTTTATCATTTTCCTAATATTTTCTAATAGAAATTAACATAACGAGAGCAGTCAAAGTGATCATCAATAATCAATAAGATTCTATGATATTTTTTTTTATTTCAGGGCACTTCTTGCCCCCTCTGCCCCTCTTTGAAGAGGGCAGGAGTGGCAGCTGCCCCTCTAGCCCCCCCCCCGGTGAAGGCACCCCTGAGTTTGGGATCGATCCCGTCTCGTGTAAACGCCCGAAATAGGTAGGATCGATCACAGATTGGCACGGATAGGAAAGGAGGCTAATGAATTCTACAGATTGAGGTGCTTTGAGCACGGTGCTTCGACATTTGATCAGATCTTGCAGTCCCTCTTCGCCCACAATATGGAAAATACAAAACAAGATGGAAAAAGTTTTCAATTTTTTTACGATTATATTGATAAATTTAGCAAACCGGCTCCAACCTATAATATTTTTACTCCAGCGTGATATTCAGGAGTAGGACCCTTTTTTCATCGCTCAAAATAAACATTTTGTTGCTCCTTTTCAAATTTTAAGCCATTTTCCTCTCAGCCTTCCTATAAATTTGGAGGTATTTTCATTGTGTTGTTGATGGCATAAACAATACGCACAAACATTCCATTCAAAAGGGCCTAGAAAGCCTCGCTGTCCGATCTGGGATCGATCCAGTGTAAACACAATATATTTTGGGATCGATCCCGTGTAAACGTCTGCGAAACTCAATTTTTTCCGTGTCTTTGCCTATTGTCTTCCTTTTTTCAAAACATTCTTGAAATGTCTGCGTTCAGATGTATCCGTAACCTGTCAGCCTTTGTGTTTTTATCTACTAAAGTCTTTGTTAAATGATCTGAAATGAAATTATATAATCTTGGTCAGTTTTATTGTAACATGTGGCTTTTAGTGTATTAAGATGTATGACAGGAAAGTCAAACAAAGCTTCTAAAAAAGAGGAATCAACTAAACAAATTCTGTTTTATGACTTTTCTTAATACATATCTTGGTATCTATGTCTTCTTTAGTAAAAATTTTAACATCTGAAGTTTCATTTTCTGTCAACGAAATTTGTTTTGCCAACCCCAAACCTCAAACCCAAATTTTAGACCCCCGTCTATCATCCACAAGACACATAATCACCTGTCTTATCTTCCTCAATAAATGTCGTATGAATTTATTTTTTCTTGGGCATCTAATGACCCCCGTCATCGTTTCTTAGAATTGCTCCTCTGATATTGGCGAATAGCTCAGGAATTGCAATTTGAAGGAATTGCAGCACTGAAACTCGTCGATTGCATAAACAGACTCTGAGAGTCTTTCAGGAAATTTAAACATTGTTGCTGGCGTCTCAGACAAATAACAAGAAAAGTCCTCGAGCGAGAGACTGGGAACAGTTTTGTATTTTGATTTGATTTCCCGCCAAAAAATCGATGACCAATTCGTCCCAGCAAGTAAAGATGGCAGCGAAAACGAAAGTTATTCTTTTTAGCTGTGGAAGTTTCAATCCAATTACTCACATGCATTTACGTCTTTTTGGTAAGTCCATTATCAAAGTTCTTCTTCTCTTTTGAAAATTATGCAAAAGAGATGTTCAACTAGCTACTTTTATCGACAAATGTTTTTATCAACAGTCGGCCTAGGTGCGCTCGGCTTGCAGGTTCTCAGGATTTGGTTACGTCATAAACTGATTATTTTACGAAAATGCTTCAGCAGATCTTGAGTTTCTCAACAATTTTTTAATTTTTAGTTTTTTTACAGTGAATTACTGCAGCTTCACCCCAAACGGTGAAGGGAGTGGATATAGACTCTGTTTTTTTACATTTTTTGTTTTTGCAAAACGGAAGCAGGTCCCTGACCTTTAAAACGAATTATAAAACAAGTTTACTTAGTGCTATTCTTCTTGATATGATAATGGGATTTTGAAGGATTTTGCTTTTTTTAATTAAGTTGGTCAACATCCCCTCTTCCTCAGCTGGTTTTACGACAGGAAAGCTGAGGAGATGTGTTGGCATTCCACACTTCCAACTTTTGCGATTTCAAGTAATCAGATTTGAATAAAACCATTCACTTTCAGACAATTCATCATTGCAATGGGAATTACTGATGTAAATTTTCATTCAATAGCGAATTCCACTTGATGTAATTTATTAACATGAAATATTCATATTGGACGAAAACTGTTTCTAAGTGCGAGTAATTTCGTGTCTTTGGAATCCAAACACTTCCAGGCGATAACGCCTGTTCCTGTCTATTGTCTTTAATTTTTTCCAAGTGCGAAGGAAGTTGTGTAATTATCACAAATTTGATAGTCTGCAGGGTATTATCTGATTCTGCTTTTGATAAAATGATGAACATAATTTCCTTGTATCAATATATTTTTATAAAATACGGATTTGTGAATAATTTCGAATAATTTGAGAAAGAAATTAATTGAAATTCAATATATTTTTGATGAATATTTAGCTTGTTTTCTGTATGGGCTGTTTAAGTGCATGAATTATTAAACATTTAGGTGTTTTCTGAGAAGCTATTCAAAAATGGAGAAAGACAGATCCTGACTCTTATCTTTTACTTTATTGGTGACTGACAATTGTTCACTTCAGATTGAAAGGGTGGCATTTGCCTGGGTGTGGATAGCTTCTATTATGTAGTCTAGTTGGTGCCACTTTCACATTTACACCCATTTGTTTCCTTCCATGTAGGGAGCCTTAAAAGATAAATGAAGTAAAAAATTGAAAAAAACATCAATGAACATCATGTTTTGTATTTTTGCTTAGTGTTGTCAAAAATTTGAAAATCTTGTTCAGATGAATAAAGATATTCTTTTGCATAAGTGTAAAAATAGTCCAAATTTTCATTATATTTAACATAACTAAAAATTTCCTTCCTTCTATAGAATTTCAAATTTTGACAAAGTTGTCTTCGGTAATAACCCTATGTTTCGCACCCCTGATGCTGCATACTATGTACAAAAGATCAATAATCTTATTTATATATTTAGTTGTTTTGCCTTATTGATAAATGTGCTCAAGAAACCCTGTAAGTATTAAATTTCAATGACAGGGCATCAGCAGCCAAATCCATTTGGAGTATACAAACAGAATTCCAATGATGTCGAAAGGGATAAAATAAAGCTACATAGTCTTGAGTTTTGAGAAGTTTTTAATGATAGTGTTTATGACTTTGAGTGAATTTAAAGGCTCTTGTATAACCGGCATGCTTTGCGACTGTAATTCAAAGAACAGGCCTAATATGGTACTTCATGAAAATACTAAGCACAATCGATTCTCAAGACAGCTGCTGCTAACCCACTGGTTGTGCAAGAGCTGTTAATGCTTTTTGCTGCACAACAAAGTTGTGCTTTACTCCATCAAGAATTTAACAGCCCTCATACACTTAGTTATTCTTTTAATGTTATGAGTCATTGTGGAAAGTGTTTCATTTGGTCAAAGTTTCTTTTATTTAAGCAATTACATCATGCATAGCTTTCTCCTTCTTATCCATTCAAATCTGTCAAGTGATGTATTAGGGGGGAGCAACAGTCTGTTCCAGCTCTCTGTAGGTATGCAAATTCTGGGGGTAGAATGTAAGACTATACTGTTGTTAAGTGGCTTTGAGGGAGAATAAAGGCCTGCTGAATATCTTCCGTAAAAAAGTTTGAAAAGAAGCGTTTTTATATTGCAGTAAAACTTGTCCTATGTAACACTTTAGTGCCAAAAGTGCCTGAAACTGCCATTTTTCACTAATAAATGTCAAAGAAAAAACCTAGCACCAACCAATTAATTTCCATTTTTTGTATCTTGCTTGAATTTTAATGTTGTTTGCTGTTTGTAATAAACCTACACAATCATGCAATTTTGTGCAACAATATATAGCTAAAAAGTAGCAAATATGAAACACCGCAATACGCTGAGAATATACAGGCCGGGACGAAATATTAGCCTTTACTGATTTACGTGTTTTTATTGTTGTTTATTCTCGGCGTATTGCGGTGTTTCATATTTGCTTCATTTTTATCAACATTTCGCCGCAAGAACTCCTTGAAGCCCGTCGAGCAGCCGCTGGCCTTTTCTTCATTCACACAATATATAGCTACTTGCTGAAGTGTAGATTTACTTTCAGAAACATGCAGTTGCGTTTCTGTGTCTTGCCCAAGAGTTATTAAAAACAATAAAGTAACCATCAGAGGAAAGGATTTTTTTAACCATAGCCTTCAAAGTCAATGTACCAACTTCCATCTACCAATTTGCTTCTGTCAATTTTTTACCTGATCTGTCAACCTATGTTGCACCTTGTTAGAATATGTCTTTAGCTTACTGCTTTATGCAAATTAAATGTGAAAAAGATCAACACCTATAAAGATTATATTATCTGTTGAGTTGTAAGGCAACATAATTCAACTTTCTGCCAAACTGCTAAATACAACATTCTTCTTGTTTGCAAATTTCTGTTTGCCAATCCATTTCCCTTTTATTTAAAAGCCATTTCTTAAAGTGGCAGATATTAACTGGATATTTTAAATCTTCTACTCTGCCACTTAATTTTTGCAAATAATCATGGAATTTCATACTGTTTTAACCAAAAAAGGTAATCTTCCCTTCATCATTTAACAATCTTACTTGTAATGCTGTTACCATAAAAACCTCCAGCATTACATATTGAACAAAAGGGTCTTCTAAAAACCAAAACCTGATAGCTCATTTTTATCAAATCTAAAGCCCCAACTTTAGCAGTGGCAGATCCAGACTACAACCATTACCGCCATCCTCCATTACCACTCGAGCAGCAATCAGATCATTAAAAACAATTTCACACCAAGCATTCTTCCCTTGAGAGAAGCCTGAAAATGTCATTCAGATAAAACACTTTTGAGTCCTTATTGCTATGGAAATTACGTGATAGGAATTTCGCCTGGACCAAGGGGAACCAGCCTGACGAGAAAAAATAAAAAGCTAGCAGGGAGATGATGTAAGAATGGCTTACTAGCTAGGGGGTTGAGTCGATGTAGAGTGGATTAGAGCTGAACTGAGCCTGCCTAGACCAATAAAAATATCAGAACTCACAGTTTCCCTGGGGAAGGGAGGATGTATACAACGTAAAAATATATTCTATAAGAACATTGAGGCCCAAAACTGCTTAAATTTAAGAATACATCAGGATTAAAAGTTATGCTCACAAAGTTCGCCAAAAGTATGATTCTTTTTTAACCAAAGTCGCTCTCACCGGTTACAACTTTTGTTTGGCTTTTTAAACTTATAATTTAGAATTTATAACATGTCTGATTTTTGTAAATAATTGCGCGACTTAATGCGTGTTCTAAGCGATTTTTCAAAATTTTACCAAAGAGATTTTTTGTTTTCTTATTCAATGGTGTTGCTTAGGCTAAATGCCGTAGGTTTTTAGAATATCCAGCCTCAGAATAATAACAACGATAATTTGTTGCTTCTCAAGCTTGTTGTAAGGATACTTGAAATTTCACAAAAAACGTCGCTTGTGTTATGAAAATGGTCTACATGAATTTTTATAGAAAACATTGTAGAAAACAGGGTGTGATCAGGGAATGGGTTTTGTCGAAACGGTGTGGTCGATCCTCCATCTCATTTCTGCGGTAGTCTTTTTTCTGGCTGGATCCTCCAAGAACCTACGATATGAAAGATTTTCACACCAAATGTTTTTTTCGGAGTCATTGAACTTTTGATCCTAAAAGATCAAAGAACGCTATGGAATACTTCTTAACATGCAAAATCGTTGATCATTCTGAGAATTTGCTGGTGAAAGTTTGCTAAACAGATACCAGTAATTTTCACAAGGTTCCTAACTTAAGAACCATGATCAAGTAACGGTGACTTGACTTGGAGCATGCCTGAGCACATTTGGACATGGGTCATCAAATTTTTATTAGCTTCAACTGCGTTATAACCAGTTACGGTGCCACAGGGGGGGGGCTTGGGGACGTTACCCAAAATTTTCGACAGGATCGATTTTGTATTAAGTTTGAATTCGATGAGAATAGGTTAAGGGAGGGGTAATATTTTGACAATGTTTTTGTGATGTGATCATATGATTTTGAAACTGCATTTATGTAATCAAAGGTTGATTATGGTCCTTCAATATTGGCAAAATTAGCGTTCCTTTTTGGTAAATGGGCCTTTTCTGACAGTAAAATAGGCGTGACCTGAAATTTTTTGTTTTGCCCCTCCCCCCTCCTCAGCGCCAATTGGCTGGCACCGCCCATCGTTGTAGCATAAGGAGTATTTCTTCAAACACTTCCAGTTTTTATGGGCAAAATTGGAAAACCAAGAGCATGTTTAGAAATTTCATCACTTTCCAATTCTATTTTCACTCTCCAGGCTGAGTGATAAAAAAATCACCAACCTGTTCAGCCGTTGTGCAGTTTTCTCAAATCTTATTGCAAAACAAATAGCATTTACTAAGCTTGCCTGGTCAAGCATCAAACTTTCAAATCAAAGTCTGTCAAAATCTCAATGCTGAACCAAAAACGAACTCAGTGCACTTCGCTATCCATGATGCTTTGTGCTATATCTTATTATTTAACAGCCGGATGTTCAATCCACTTGATTTGAAGTCGCCGACGTCACCAGCCAACATATGGTTGTATTTTTGCTAATACCTTTTTGGCAAAGGCTGTTCTGTTTTTCCCAAGTGGATTAAAAACGGCAGAGAGATTAACCATAGTTCACTAGACAAAATTAATTTTTGTTGACCATGTTTAGCTTGAAAAACATAAAAAGGTCGGTACCGATAATCCCCATTTGAGACGCCTCAAATCAAATCAAAATTTCTGTTTGCGATTTCATGCCCGTTATGTGGTCCTACGAGGGCCCTCCAGTTTTATTTTCAGAGTGGTTCTATTGATGACAAGAGCATTATTAGGGCGTTATCATAGATCGCCCGTAACATTTCCTGTTAGCACCCCCTCTGGGCCCTATTCTTTTGATCTTCTAATATTTTCTTTTTCTAGTTTTTGACCTGTCGGCAGTATTGCAAATCACTCCATAATCATGCCTCGTCATCATTATCGCTATCTCTTTCATTGTTATTAATATTATTCATCCTCATCGTCCCAGTCAATTTCCTATTCTGGTCGCCTTGACTGTTCACACAACAAGCCAAAGAACATATATATCCTTTTCTCTTTTAGTAACATCTCATTCCCTTTTCTAGAACCACGCCCTTTTATTAGAACTATATATTTTTGCGCTGCAGTTTCGTTGTCTACGAAAACATTTAGTTTAGAGTGAAATTGCAATAGTTTGAACCGAAGGTTGTCGACTATATATGAACATATGCAGATAAAAATGTAATTGCCAAAACATCTTATACACTGCTAATCAAAAGAGACATGGAATGTTGGTACAATCCTTTTATTTTGTAAAAAACAGCTTAAAAGTGTGTAAATCATTTACCCTTAAAAATTTAAGCACAGATGGCAGATAAACCCAAAGTTGCGCTCTCTTTTCCTTTTCTTTCACTTCTTTGAGATTCTGATCATTCTCTGTTTTCCACAAATGGCGTTTGCTGGAGTTTGCAAAATGGAGAAGCTGTTTTCTAACTTGTTCTTTATCTAGATAGAAGTGGTTGGCATGTTTTCTAGCTCTCGATACATTATAAGCGCAAAATACCTGGCAGAGACATCATTGGAAAAGCTTTCAGTTCAAGGAGCACCATATTAAATAATGTTAAATAAATCGCAGGAAATGTTTCGATATATTACAGTGGAGATGATAATATACTTGATAATTCATTCATTATTAAAGAATACCACTGTTGGAAAACATCTGAGATAGATTTTAACATTTTAGATTAATTTTATTCATTTTCCCGTTAAATTTGAAAGATCTCATAAAAAGAATTCCACCCATCCTTTGATAAATGAGGTATCCTCTTCATTCTGATCTGTTAATAGGACCAAATGTATTTACTTCATCGTCTGTATCGGCGTAATCAAAAGTTGGTCTTTTATTTGCTACCAAGCCCGCTCTCTGAACACTATTTCAAATTATTACTATTTTCGGGTCTTATCTGAAAAACAAGATGTCTATTCCATTCCAATATGCGTCCTAATCTATTGCTATATCTTATGCCAATCGTTATAGATTTTCTGCCCACCATTTCATGTAAGGTTCAGTGAAATTTTCTTATGCTTCATGATGAAATATAAATTAATTCCATCGTTTATTTATTCTGGTGCAATCTTTTATCTGCCTCTTTCCTGTCTTTTATCATAACCCCATACATTCATTATTCATTCATTCATTCATTCATTCATTCATTCATTCATTCATTCATTCATTCATTCATTCATTCATTCATTCATTCATTCATTCATTCATTCATTCATTCATTCATTCATTCATTCATTAATTCATTCATTCATTCATTCATTCATTCATTCATTCATTCATTCATTTCGTCATTCATTCATTGATATATATTCATAATATTTTTATATTTATTAACTGGCACTGTAAAAAAAAGCAAAACGTCACACCACACCGAAAATGCATGTAACCTAGAGCAAGAGACAAGCTCTGTCATCTATATATGCTAAAAATGGACACGAATATTTAAAAATGAATACTTTTGTTGTAATTCCCTTTATGTAAACAAATCATAATTGTTTGTCTTAAGCGGCATGCCTAAGAGACCAATGGGTTGCATCAATAATCATAGGTACCTTGAAATGTTTTGGTAGTTGCAGAAAAAAGGCTTTCTGGACGATAAAGACTTAAAAATGCTTCCTGGAAAGGTCTATCCTAGATAACTGTTGATTGCTTCATATGTATTAGAGAGCTCTTTTTCAAGTTTATTGTTATCATCAATTATACAGAGGTCTACGTGGCTTGCTTTAGAAAGTACATTTTGAAACTTCTGAAATAAATTTTGTTACTGTAAATGTCATCTACGTGCTTGTAAACGCTTAAAAGTGAATTTTCTTTACGTACCTGTTTTGCTTTCATTGAAATACAATCTACTGTTGGCGCAAATACACTCTTGTTCAGTTTTGCGAAAACTGTCAAAAAACAAAAAATTGAAAATCTACGGAATTGTTTCCGAAAAGGCTGTTGGAAATGTAATGGAGTTTGGTTCCACAGAATTTCAAAATATGAAAAGCCCACATACGATTAGCCCTATAATACCTTAGTCAGATTGATTCACCCGATCTTATAAGAGATTCATCAACCACCAACTTATTGAAAAATAGACTAATTTATTGTGAAAACCCTTTTTGCAGAGGTCAGTTTTCTTACAGACATCTCCAAGCAGCAGAAAAATAATTTTATCCCAATATTTAATTTCTATAACCAAAGCTTTCGGTAGCAACATCTTAACAACGAACAATTGTGTAGAATTAACAGTAAATAAATGATAAGTGTCCATGAGTCCGGTCTACCGATGTTAAGCTGCAATAACAAAGAATTGGTCATTTTTATTGTATGTCTATCTAACTAGCTTCCGAAGGTAGTTTTTAAGGACACTGAGAAGCTTTAAGCTCGGCGAGAAGCTCGATGTGACCACACCTTGTGATTCCTAAACCTGGAATTGCGGAGAGTTTTCAACTCTCCTCACTCTAGGTGAAAGTTTGGTTATGTCAGGGGACAGAATAGAAAAAGGATTTTCTCTGTTCTCTGGTCAGAGTCTCGAACCACAGACCCTTGGATCTGCAGTCTGCAAACCAAACTAAACGATTTGTTGTTCATTTTATGTATGCAAAGTTTTATTGCTTGAGATGATGAAAGTTTTGTTTGATATAACATATTTTTAGAACCATTGATTAATCTGTTATGTGAAGTACCAAAGTAAAACCATGTTCTTTTCTTCTAGAGCTTGCTCGAGACGCTTTGAATAAAACTGGTATTTTCGAAGTTATAGCTGGCATCATTTCACCGGTTAATGATGCCTACAACAAGGAGGTATGCCTAGGGTTATTATCACCTTTTTCCTAATTTCTTTGCTAATATCGATAATGTATCTCTGGTTCTAGATTTTGCTATCTTCCTCCTTACGTGGGGCTGTTCAATAATTAGGTCACGTCTTGTGGGTAAATGGCTCTATATGCTTTTCTTGATTTTCTGTGACCTTTATTTGATTCAAGTCCGTAGCATCACGAAAACAGTACTTTAATGTCGGTGAGATTCTAGTGTGGAAAGATATTATTTTCTTCTGCTACTATCCCTTTTATTATCGTTAAATTTCATTTTTGAATGAGAGGAGAGGGGTGTTTTTGTACTGAGCGTGATGTAACACGAGTGGAGTCTTTTGAACGAGCCTGGTGGAGCGTGGTGAAAGGGGATAGGTGGCTCGAAAAGGCAATTTCAGCGTGAAGCTATTATTGAAAAACCCCCATTAGGCATCCTACTTGCATTTTGTTTCTAAATTAAAATGGTTCTAGTGATCAGTATCAATTAAGCCAATTAAAAGACATTGGATAGCAAACAGTTGTTTGGATGATTCGTGAAGATTGATCCTTTGAATTTGAAGGCAAAGCTCCTGCCAGTTTTAGTATGACGGAAGCTCGAAGTACAGTTATCAAAGTCGGCTGTTCAGTAAGGAGTTCCAGATACTGCAAACAGTTCCAGAGCTCCTAGACAGAAAGCAGATTCTGAGTGCACAACGTGCAATGTTTGTTTTTCATTCTCAGTAAATGACAAGAGGCTCAATTTTTTATAGAATTCATAACAACAAAATTAGAATACTACTTATTTCACCAAACAATGATGAATGTGGAAAACCTTAAAGTGCAGAAAATTGTGGAAGAGAATTGGGATTAAACGTTAAATGAATAAGTAAGTTCAAGTCTCTGGCACCTGTCTGTAGCTTTAAGACTCAAAAGGGACACAGCTGTTCATGATAGACAGAAAAATTTACTTTGGATTCTTACCTCTATTCGAGCATGCCTGTGATGACATGGCATACCTTAAATACCGTCTGTCCTGTATCCTGTGCAAGCAAAAAAATAGAGGAGTCTATGGGTGAATTTATCGAGTAAAGATATATATTCTACAAAAATGACAAAAGAGAAAAACACGAAGTACCAATTACTACTTATGGCTACTGCTTATGATTTCTGCTTCTGATTACTGCTTCTGATTACTTCTTCTGATTACTGTTTTAGATTAACGATCATGATTACTACTTCTGATAACTGATTTAGATTAATGATCATGATTACTGCTCATGATTACCACTTATGATAGCTACTTCTATAACTGTTTTGGACTAATGAACATCATTACTGCTCATGATTACCACTTCTGATTACAGTTTATGATTGATGCTCAAGATTACTGCTTAAGATTGATAGCTGCTGCTTGATTACCTACAGGCCCATAAAAACCTTTTCTACTACAATGTGCAAACAATTTGCGTTCTGTCAATTCACCTTAAATCCCAAACTTTTACACTCTGCTAACGTAAACAGTTTTGTATGCAATTTTTTTATCTTTGATTTGAATTTCTTTTTAGGGTTTGATTCATTCAAGACATCGAATAGAAATGGTTCGATCAGCGACCCAAGGATCTGACTGGCTTAGGTTAGTTTTGCATTCTTATGATATTGACCCCGTTGAAGTAAATAATATATTGTGTTACATTTCATCAATGATCTAAAGCCATTTTCAGCTTCACCTTATTGCAAATGTATATCAAGACTATTTCCCTGTTTTATTTTATTTTATTTTATTTTATTTTATTTTATTTTATTTTATTTTATTTTATTTTATTTTATTTTATTTTATTTTATTTTATTTTATTTTATTTTATTTATTTTATTTTATTTTATTTTATTTTATTTTATTTTATTTTATTTTATTTTATTTATTTTATTTTAATTTCCAAATTCTTCATAAAACTCTTTAACAGAAATAACGCACTAGCCAGCGATTAATCATATATATAATAAAACAGCATGTTCCCGCGAGCATCAGACAAAAAACGGTCCATAAAAGAGAACAATCACGGCGTTTTGGGAGAACGAAAATGCCCAAATAAAATGTGATTCGACAATTGGTCAACATTTGCTTTTGACTCCAGAGTCTTCCAAGACGTCTAGTGATGAGAATCTCAAAATCATTGGGCAGGCAAGGTCGCCTTTTCATTTAGGAGTTTTGGAATCTGTTTACATCGAAATAAAGGACCCCGAATTGTGTAGACAGAAAGGGTTCGTTTTCTCTCTTGGACACTCCAATTAGGTGAGAGGTTAGCCGTCGCTGATTGGTCAAAACAAGATAACCAATCAAGCGGGTTTTTCTTCCTCCCACGTTACTTTCGATCCACACCTGGATAAAAATTTATAGCTTATTATCGGTCATTCTCCGACGTTTTTTGATGCATTGAAGAGTATCGGACGAAAATTGCTTTAGTATGCTATGTTTCCTGTATTTCGTGAAATTTTCAAGTTATCAAATTAATAAAATACGTACCGTATTTACTCTAATATTCCCGCTGCGGGATTAGCATTTCAACCTAACAAAAAAAGGCGGGATTATTTGAGAGGCGGGTATATTGGAGAGGCGGGATTATTTTTTTAATGCCTTGAAGTCTAGTTTGAGGATACCGTTTCAACAAAAAGTCTCTTAAACGTGCAAATCAGAGAAAAAAATATGCAATTTCAACATGTATAGGGAGTTAAAATTGAATGGGGGTGGGATATTTATTTTCACAGACAAGACAGAGCAGATATGGTGCTTTATAGACAGTAGTACGAAGTCAAAGAATCAAACGTCTTTTTATGCTGCGAGATTTGGTTGTTCGATAAACGTGCAAAATAAGACAGCTCTCTGCCCTCTCCCGTCTATGACATTATCATGTGATTTAACCCATCCACTCCACGCATAAGTTTCAATCCTTGATTTTCAACCCATACAAAGTGTGTAAAGAATAGCAAATGCCAATTAAAAGTTTCAATCCCGCATGCGGGATTATTGGGGAGGCGTGATTATTCTTACAATCTATGAAATACAAGCGGGATTACTAGAGAGGCGGGAATAAAAGAGAAGCGGGAATATTAGAGTAAATGCGGTATTTTGATAACTGCAAAATCAAATCATGCAAAATCATGATATGGGGAATTTTTTGAAGAGGAAATTCTTCCAGTAGATGAACTAATCGGGAGGAGAGTCCCCCTTTTTTAGCTATGAGAACATGACAGGCGTGATTGTCAAAAATATAAAATTACGTTTGTTTCCATCTGCAAGGTAATGGAATCAGTAAGCAAACAAACTAGCCCTCAACAAAAAGACTCGATTCTTGTATGAATACTTCAAGGAAAATTAAAGTTTTTCTGTATTTAAACAGTTTTAGCATGCATAGTATCTTTATGAACAGTCATCAGTTGATGAAAAGCTTCGAAGTTAATTGTGTTTCTTTTATCAGTAATGGAAACTTTGATCTTAAATTCCCAAAGCTTATTTAACTGATTGCCTCTAGATGAACCTGGCTTTTCAATATTTCTGGAATAAATAATGTGCTTTGTTCATGAACTGTCCGAAATATCTTTCTTAAAATTTGGTTCAAAGTTTAAAAGCAGACGCTAATCTTGAGGACTGCTGGTTTTGTTTGATTAAATTCATGGCTTGGAAATTAATGCATTAATTTTCCAGCCTTGAAATAATACATTTAGATTAAGAGACATCGGTGATTGAATCTGGAAAATATCTCATGCAAATTATAAAACCTAGAGTTAACTAAAGATTGGATAATCCTTGAAACCATTCATTTTGAACTTGATGAGAGATTTTGATTAATAGCTAACATCAAAAAGTTGCATTAACGATGAGCAAGCAGGATTAGTCCGTTCCTTGGAACGGCCCGAGGATTATTATTGTAGCCAAACTTTTTATAGAGCGTTACCTTTTTATCGATTCAGTTGTGATCATCAGCTGCTAAATGAATTCATAAACAGAAGATTCTTAAGAAGAATGTAATTTTCAATCTTTATCAGAAGCAATCTTTCTAAAATCTCAGATTCTTGTGCTATTTCGTTCAACAATAATATGATTTTTTTAAAAAGGTGCCTCAGATGTATTGCTTCCATTAGACATAATTCATAATATTTGAGCCTTTTTAAGTGCATGAATGACGTCATCATCCTATTCTCTACATCCTGGCAGCTGGCAGGGATTTGCAGCTGAATGTCCTTCTTTGCGCTTCAAATAAGGCAGATATCAACAGACTTCTGTAACCTTTTTCCCTGTTCCGAATTATACACGCCATTGGTGGTGTAAACAAGTGGTGAAGGCATTCGGCTCATGAATTGAATGTCGTTGGTCTGAGTGCCGCCGGGATCACTGTCCAGTAGCCTCCGGCCAACACAGCTGTCTATCCTTTCTAGGCCGGTAAATGAGTACTCACAGCATTCCCTCTAGAAAATTTACCCGTGGGCACAAGCCGTAGGTCTATATTTAGCTGCAAGAACTTTAAACTTGCTTGCTTGCGAATACACAAAAGGTGTAAAGTATCTTGCTGCATGTTCGTGAAAAGTTGAGAGAACAGGAGTCATTGTTGATTTTTTTATCTTTGTTTCGTCTGTTTTATTCTATGTTGTTTTCTCTTTGTCAGCTTCTATATTTTCATAATTCTCTGAAGCATGGTTTGATCGGTTAATTGTACTGGTTGCTCAATAATTGCGAGAAGAACGCAGGTAGAGCAGCATGTTGAAAGGATATTTGTTAACACTTTTTTCTTCTCGGATTTGTTAGCAAAATGGTCGTCAGTTCCTTTGGAGGAGACACATATGAAAATATTTTTAAACTCTGATAGTTTTGCACTTTTTCAAACACCCTTCTTATCGCTGCTGTTTTTTGTTTCCATTTTTAATGTAATGACGTCATAGAATTATATCTTTAGAATTTTTTATTTGCATGGTTAACCTGAAAGAACACGTCACAGAATACCTCCTGCTTTTCGGCTGAGATATGTCAAGTTAATGTAAAGTTTACTACGACATAATAGTTGATTGTGCTTGGTTTCTGGAGTTGAGAACCAAGACCAAATTGCAGTGATTTGATAGGAAATGTGTATTACCTCATTTGCTTTTATCTCAGCCACTGTTTGTTAGATTTGACTTTTTCCGTAATTCTTTTTCCACATAATACCTTTTGTGTAATTGCCTTTCAGATCATGTGGTCAAATTTAAAAAACTATAGAAATATATTTTTATGACATAATTAGTTTATCATGCTATTGCAGAAGGATCGAAATGAGAGACATTTAAAGGAAAAGCACTGTTGAAAATGATTGCTTCTTCTTTATTTCTCCAGGGTTATTTGGATCAAGGGTTATAAGGAACTTGTAGTGTGGATCAGATAGTATTGGTAGATAAGTAGCAAGAAAGTTATGATAATCTTGCTGCATTTTTTCAAGGGTTGACGATTGGGAAGCAAAGCAATCGGAATGGCAACGAACAAGGCTTGTGCTTGATAATGCGAAAGAGAAGTTGTCTAAAGGAGAACCACCTTACACAAATTTACGGCTTAACGGATGCTCAGGTAGGTTGATCCAAACTGGGATGCTTACTCCCGTTTTTTGTAAGAAACAAAGCTAAGAATTAGCCACCAATTCTTTAATTTTTACTTATTTCAGTGCTAAAAGTAAAGTTTACTTAAATGCCAAATACTACTTTTAAGAAACACAAAAATATGACAGGAGATAGCGTGAAATAGATTACCCAATAAACGACAAGGAACTCCTCTTCTGATTCATCTAAATCAAATATTATTATTATTATTATTATTATTATTATCTATTTATTTAAAGTAGGCGTATAAAAATAGCTACAAAATAAAAGCTAATTCAAGCCTACTACAAAGTAAAATTGTTTAAAAATGAAAAATAAAAATACATATATATTTAACATAAGAAATAAGTATAAATACATATATACATATTTTACAATGTTTTTACAGCATTTTTGGCATTTACAATACAATACATTTATCTGTTCAAAAACCATGAAAGCCTAATCTTTGTAGAGTTATTTCCAGCCATCTTTTAAAGAAGGATTTTCGAGCAGTTTCGTGAGGTTTAGGGTATTTTCTAGTATGATTTCTTGATTTTTTGGTCACGTTAGGGCTCGGTTATTTATAGATGGTTCTTATGAAATTATGAGTGTAATCAGATGAGTGATTTTACTCACGGATTCATGCCCGATTTAAGATTCACTAGTACTATCCAAGAGTCTGAAACCATGTCTTCAAGCTCACCAAATGGAGCCGACAATCAGTATTCAAAATTGTCGGTCTCTGCTGTCTGTTCCAAGCAGAAAATTAAAAGCTTTACTTTCGGACACTCCCCCAGCTGTGGATTTTGTGTCAATAGTTTTGTTAATTTAATTCTAGCTTAGACGAAATAAAGCTTAAAAAATATACATTTTCTCGCTGGAAGGGGTGTGACAAAATCGATGACATTAGAATGCAGTGGTGATTGAGCTCAGGGTTTTTGCCAATCTGCTGGTGCTTAAGGTTTCCATATTCAAAGTTCATTTCAGTATTCAAAGATAATTTCAGCACTGAAAGCAATTCCTCCAAACTTTCCATAATTGTTCAGCTTAACAATTTATCTGACAGTCAGCTTTCTTTTCTTAAGCAAAGATTAAGCTACTTTGTGGAGCAGATATGTTGGAGTCATTCTCGGTTCCAGATCTTTGGTCAACAGATGACGTAAGTTCAACTTAGTATACTGTTTTTATTCTCTCTGTTCCACCTGTGCCGGATATTGATTTTGCAATTTTTATCAACAGTTACCCAGCAATTTATTTGTTAACTTATTTGAATATTCAAGTGACTTAGAAACTATTACCTTAAAATCAAATAGATTAAATCCGGACTATGAAAAATGCCTTATTAAATTAAGTGTCGGTTGTTTTTCTCCAAAGCTAGTCCTTTTGTTAAGTTAAGTCATTTCCTGCACATTCAGGCTGTTCCGTCGGGTCAAATACATCTCCAATTCCTAGGTTTCCAATGCTTTGCAAAAATCCATTTTGCTATGGTATATCTGTAGGTCATTGAAAGAAATTGAGCCAATGATGTTCTCCTCATAGCCCATGTCAGTGATTCAGAATCCATTTCCCATTTTTACTTATTATTTGCCTCGTTTATTATTTGATTTCAAAATAAGCTGTGTGCCTATTAAACAACGACATGAAATTATTCGTTTGAAGAAAAGTCGGCTGTATGAACATTTTTGAATTTATCTTGGCACGAATTTTTTTTATGGAATGTTGGATTTCTGATTCGATTTTATGGAAGTTGCTAAGAGTTTGTAGATTGATGTAGAATTTAAACCCGCCATCTGTGAGAATGATCGCTTCATGTACGGGTTCGGTTCATTAAAGATTAAAAGTTGTCAGACAGCTGTCGAACGAAGCCTACACATGATGGGTACTATGCATATAGACAGTACCATTTTCATCCGCCTCATGTTAAAGGCAATCTGTCTCGTTGTGGATTGGTTAACGAGAACAATAGCTGGAGCAATAGCTTAAATACGATTCCAGCGCTCCGCCATATTTTTTACAATGCGATAAATTAAAGGGGGACTGGAAACAATAAAAAATCCCTTTGTTCTTATAATCAATCAACGTCGTGACAGATTGCCTTTTAAAGTTGGTTTCAAAACAAGAGCAATTATGTATCGCGCAAAAAACATTCCAATTTTTGGACTAAAAAAACTGTTTACAGGAGAACAGAACGATAAAGCACTATTGTTTCTATTTATACCGGAACACAATCTCTCTGTTTTGTCGTGACCAAATTTAATCTGTCCCACGTTTGTGCCTACAATCTAACAAAAAGTTTAACTATGCGCATGTCTGCATTTTCTGAGCAACAATCTCAAGCAATAGAGACAGTCTGCCAAATGAATAATAGTAATCGTTCCGTTTTACAGACCAGTTCACCTGTTCATGCGGGATATAAATATAACGATTATGTATCGTTCCACTTTTTGTCTTCCTTTTGAGAGCGTTTGAACACAGCCTGAGCACACAACTAGTTGAAGAAATTATACAACTTGGTTTGCACACACTATTCCCTATCCCAGATTTCAAAATCTGCAGACTAATAAAAAACTGCCTTGGATTTGTTACTAGCAAAGATATCAAAATTGAACTTGGGGGAAACGGGACAGAATTTTATATCTCATTAGGTACCTTTTGTCCAATATTACATTGCACTTGGATCTTGAATACTCTCAAGTTCCTAATTGTATGGGGGTTTTAATAAGAAGGGTTGGTATTTTTTGCAAAAACCCTTTAAATGTGTGGTTATAAAGATTGAAATACATAGATTTTCCGAAATTTTGTTTAAATTGGGGGGGGGGGAGGGTGTTTTAATAGGAATTTTGCATGAAATATATAATTAGAAGGGGGTGTTTATAAATAGAAATGGGAATGCAAAATTTCTGAAAAATAGAGTTTACCCTCTCTCCCCCCTACAATTAGAAGCTTGATGGTACACTTGATTTCTAGGTACCTGTCGTCAAAATTCGCCCCACATTGAACACGTGTGTCAAAGACGCCAAAACAATCACGTAGAATGTCTCGACTGTTTACTTACTAAAATTTTGTTTCTTTGCTCAATATTGACACCAAGATAGGCAAATCACGGTCTTGTTTCTTTGAAATACAATTGATGAAGCCAAAAACCTAAAGAGAAACCTCTATTTGCTTTTTGCTATGTGTTCAGGTGTTCATAATTCCAGTTACATATTAAATTCATTTCAAGACATTTCTTCATACTGTGCCTTGTTTTAATAGCTTTCACCAAACATTTTGTAGTATCAAGTTGTTTCGTTTTTTTTTGCAGTTTTCTTGGAAATTTCTTTGAATTCCATTGTAGATTTTTTTATATTGTAAAAGCCTATTAGAAAAGTGGTTTTTCAAAGGTTTTATAGCACGCAAAATTCTAAAGGCCATCAAAGACATGTTTCAAAGCTAGGCACACTGCAGAATACGTTTAAAGATTCCTTTTTTCACCGAATAATGAATTTTTGCTATGCTAACTTCCTTTTTTCATTTTCTGCCCCAAATCTAACAAGCGATCGACTGACGTGAAACCACTTTTGATAAAGTTTAGACAATCTTTTAACAGAAAGTAGTACCTGTTTTTATAAACGGTCTTTGAAGCGTATAGTATTCCCGTAGCTTTGATAAGGTGGCACTGCATCCCGTATAAGATCCACAAGTAGGGGAAGTGCCTGTTAGGTAGAACAACTGTCCTTCGCCAACAGTTTGATATTTGAAATATTTTCGGCAGTTCTAGGCCTTGTAGTTGTTTTGGTCAAGAATTTTTGATCAGGCCATGTTTTGCTTTCCAGAAGGACAGTTTTTTAACATCTATAAAGTTATATAGTATAAAGGTATCTAAAGTCACAGCTACGGGATTTATAAAGTTATCACGTGGTTATACAATGCGGTTAGTATGAATGAATCGTATTATCCAGCTCATATTACTTTGAGCAATAAAATGGATATAATGATAATCATGATCAAACAAAACGTAGTTCATGATGTCTCACATCCTTCACAAATGCGTCAGTGTGGTTGTTTTATCCCCCCCCCCTGCTTTTATTCTCCCAAATACCGTCACCATTAATTTCCGGTGGATAGTAGACGAATCAGTCTTGAACCTAAACTTGAACACGCAGGCAAAAAAATAATCACTTGTTTCTCTTCTCAAATTTAGATGGAAACAATTGCAGGGGATTATGGAATGGTTGTCATAACAAGGGAGGGTTCAAACCCTGAGCGATTTGTCAACGCAACAGAGCTTCTCAGAAGAAGAAAGGTAGCCTCTTTTACCCCTATCTCAAAACCACTTGTCATTCTATTCTTTTGTTGCCATATAAGCCCCATCACACAATATAATTTTGAATGAATATGTTACAAATCCTGTTGTATAAACCATTCGATTTTATGGAGATGCTGCTAAGTAGGGTATTCGTAAAGTCACCTTATAGTGACATATATGATTAACATCATATCATATATGCCACCAGCCAAATGCAAGTTGGATGCGATAAAGGAGCTACTCTTTTAAAACATAAGCCTCTTTTTCGATGCATTTTCAGCTTTTTTCAATATTTTAAACGAGGCCCACATCTGTGTTGTTAACCTGCAAACGCAGACACGCGTGCGTTCATTGGACGTTTCGAAGCATCAATTATTGTTGAATAAACATGTTTATGCTTGTTATTAGGTATGTTGACTTTTTAAAATCTCGTACAATGAGACCCGCTTCACATTATACCAGATTCATTTCTTATCGAATCACTTTTCATATCGGATAGGCCTTCTGTTCACACGATGACGCTTTAATCCGATACACTCTGTATCTTTTTTGCGGAGACAAGCCATTCCGCTATGAAGGTGGAATAGAATCATATCGGATCATTTTTTAACTCGTGTGAACACATGAATCCGATACGGTTTCGCTCCGAAACCTCATTCTCGAAAAGGCAGCTTCGTTTTTTTAAAACAGTTTGGCGCTCTTTTCAAAACAAGTAATGAATATGCTCTTTTCCATTATGATGAGCTCCACAAGATTAATGCAAATTAAAATTAGATTGTTTGAGCTGTTTTCGAGATACTTCTTCTTCAGAAGAAAAGAGCGTGTCAGATATGTTTCGTCAAAGAATACTTTTTATCAGAAAAAGAGCAAAGCTACAAATAACATCTCATTTTGCTATGCAACTGCTTCAAGACAATAGTTTTTTCTGAGCAGTGTTTAAGCGTAGCGTCACCGTGTGAACAGAAGTGAATCCGATACGAAATGAATCCGGTACTGTGTGCCTAGGGCCTAAGATGGAAGTTTTGACGATAAAATCCCAATAGAAGAATCATCATTCGTATTTCATTACTTGAATTCTTGAAAAAAAATTTCATTGTAACACAGGGCCGTAGCGGCTTGGGGAGTCAGGGGGGATGCAGCCCCAAATAATCGATACGTTATAGCGAATAAATTGAAGATATACATTTTGCGGCATGATGATGAAGGATAACATTGTGATGTAAAAACAAAACTACAATTTTCTAAGGCATTTATAAATAGGTGGTCTGTGAAAATTTTTCTGGAGAACTAACCCCTAGATACCTGTTTTTGCCCCTCCCCCGCAGATTTAGCATAATTGTCCTCTCCCTCCCTACTGCCCTGTAAATAGAAGATAGAATTTGAAAGCCATTTTTGGTTCTTTAAAACGTTTCCTTTTATGTAATAAGCTTTATCTTGAGTAAATATTTTTTCTGATTTTGTATTGAACCTTTTCAATATCTTGTAGGATTCAATTCATATCGTTACGGAATGGATTTATAATGAAATTAGCGCCACAAAAATAAGGTATGTTTTCTTTTTCCTCTCCAAAATTATGCTTGCTACTTCAAATACATTACTGTCGACCATTCGCTGAGTAATTCACCCTGAGTAACTGAGCTCGCCGATTCGTTGATACTCGTTGTACTGGATCGCCGATGCGTCGATTCGTTGATTGATCGGTTGATGATGACGTGAGTGGCAACCAGCCTCAACTCATGTTATGAATGAGTCTACCTCGTTTTCGAAAAGCCTTCGAATGACGTCACTCACCTTTGCGCTTGCTCTTTAATGAATCTTTTTTCTTGCACACTGCTCGTCCCTCATGCTAATCAATATTTTATACTACTCTGTATTACAGAGTCTTACAGATTCAGTAAGACAATATTTCAACAGCTTCTCTAAAAGGGCGCTTACTTTCCTAATTTTTTATTCTCTTCCATCACTCTTACCTCCCAGACAATCTTTTCTTTCCGGCTGCTTCTCTTGCAGCCCGTTGCTAGGTTACTTCACCTTTACTGATAATACTGACAGGCATCTTGTGCCATTCGGTCTTCAGGAGAAAAGTTTAAATTTCTGCATGTAAAGTGATTTTTTGAAAATAGTTATTAATAATATTTCCAGTTATTGTTGGAAAAAGTTTTGGCTTGTTTACCCTTAGAACTCTCGCAACATTCTTTGCGGGTCTGAGATGTTTTAGATCTGTTGCGAATGCTAAGCGAAGATACTGTGAAAGATTTTGCACGCCATCAAATCACGAATATTATCCCTAAATAATTAAGGCCCATCCCCAATTGGTGCAAAACCACAATATTCATTATTCATAGTTCTTTCAAACTTAATAGTAAATATCGCTTTGATTTCAATTCGCGGGTATCTCATCTTGTATAATTTATCAAAGAAAGTTCAGTGGCCGGATTTAGGTGATATTTCGCACACTTGATAATCTATTTTACCCTTGCGAAAGCCCTTACACCGTTTTGTTGCTGGAATCGCAAATGCATGGCTATGATGCAACTTTCACCCATCTTGTTAAAAGGCGAGAGTAGAAAATGCGATTTTGTACACAAAAATTGATTTTCTTGTAAATAGGTCATTAGTTCAATACATTGTCGCGGCTGGATAATACCCAGGCTTTTGTTTGCCTTCGTGTTGCTTTATTCATAAGCATACGAATTGTCTTTAGGGTTTTATCGTAAAATCAAGTATTCTAGCAATAGTGCCTAGTCCACTTTCAAGACGCATTGGCCGAGCGAACAGTCGTTTCCAAAGCATTGCGTCTGGTTTTCGTTCGCCCAGAATGAAGCAGAATTTCCTTTCGATTATAAGCTCATTACCCTTGATTGCGACTCAGCAAACAAGGCTGGTGAAGATTTTATTTTTTTGCAAGACATCGTCATTTGTGACAATAAATACTTGGCCCTGTGATGATGTCACATTTGAATAAGTGTAGTCTTCAGCTACATAGCCACTGATATGTTCGTCCTTAGCTACACAACCGTTGTTCAGTGATACTTCATGGTCGAACATTTTTAAATTCGCTGTTTTAGGTAATTCTTTGCTATACCAGTTGTTATCCCTTGCACCGTAACAGCTGCTTTTCGCTGCACATGGTTTCACTTGTAACTGCGATAAGTCCAACCTCTCTTCATGTATTAGACAAATATTGTCAATACCAATTGTAAAAAAGGCACGAAACTCGTGTTAGCGATTGGAGGAATTTTAAATTTTGTCAGGTTTGGCAAACTAGAAATCAGCTTTATCAGCTTACATAGAGTGCGTTCAGAGATGCTTTTACCACAAATTCCATGAAAGAAGGAAAATTTTCAAAGTTGTCTAGCCCCACGGATGCTAGCCCCTTACTAACCGCCCCAGCCCAAGCCACTTTTCCACTATGTTCATTAATAACACTGATTTTTCACGCTCAAGGGTGCTTGATAGAAACAAGTGCTTTTGTGTCAATTCACGACTATTCTTTGTTGGCACTCACAGAAGTTTCCTTGCAGGGGCTTGTCAATGACTTTAACCCAACGACAAAAGAGAACGTATTGTAGAGCAATTTCTATTTCTTAAGATATTTGACATCGAAGTTGTTTCCATTCACGATCGACAAGCTATCAACCAATGTACCAAGCATACCTATCGAAGCTGTCCTGTGACCGAGAATGGTTCAGCATTTTGATGCCCTCGCCTATTCCCTTGTCGTTTCGTCCATGCTCTTGCCTGGGTATTCATTTAAGCTCTAAAAGTGTTATTTCGAAGACGCGTTCCTTAGGAAACAAAAGAACAATGTTTATGTTAGAAAGTCATAGATGAAGGAATGATTATCGATGCAGGTCTTATATGTGCAACTGGCTGCCTCTTAAAATTCTCTATGTTCTCACGCAATTCCTTAAGAACCTGTAGGGTAAAATATCGGTTTCAAGGAGTGAGTCAGATGTTCCTAATCAAAAGTAATCAATTAGCAAGACTTGCGACTACGTTGGCTCAGTCGCTACAGTCGAGATTAAAATTTAGATATTTGCACCTTTAACTAGAGTTTGCACCTTGCGGCCAATCATTTTAACTAATGAATTAATTTCAAACAAAAGTCGCGCTTTTGATTAATGATAGTATTCCACTAACAATTGAAGATTATCACTTAGTGAAAACTCTCTTTTCCTTGGTTACATGAAATATAATAATTGGGTGCACTGCTAAAACTTTCTTTTATGAAGCTATCAAGTGCATTGGCTGCAGATTAACAGTCTGACTGCTGGCTTCAAACTAAAAATCGGGGTTTATTGTTAAATCGCACTTTTTGTGTACGAAGAATGGGTACACTATGTTGTGGGTCGAAGGGAACGCATCTATAATGGAAGCATTTCATTTTCAATTCAACTTAAACTACAATTACAAATCTCACTATTACAAGGTAATTTGCAATTGGCTAGCCTAGTTTTACAAGAAGAAACTATAACAATCGTAAGGTAAAAGGAAAAACTGAGAAATAATAATGATAATAATAATAATAATAATAATAATAATAATAATAATAATAGTAATGGTAATAGTAATAATAATACAAAGAATAATTGCCAAAAGTGCAATATTTAAGAGATACGATCAAAGGATTAACCAGTTCAGACAAAATCGAACATTTAGAGTTGACCAGAAAAAAGTTTACAAGGAATTGAATGGGGGTGAAGCTAGAACAAACTAGGTATCAGATGCTGAGGAGAGTAGAAGGTTTCGGGGTGATATTTGGACAGTGGAGAAGGAACATGCAGAATGGCTGTCTGAGTTAAAGGATGAAGTTAAAGGGAGACACTCACAGGAAAGGCTCACTTTAAGTATTGAGAATATCCAAAAATAAGCTGAGAAAATGCCAAACTGGAAGTCTCTAGGCAAAGATGGTGTCCAAGGATATTGGATCAAAAACCTGACCAACATGCACGACAGAATTTCTGATCAACTAGATAAAATTTTGATGGGAACGGATACCCTTCCCAAATGGTTAACACATGGACGGACACTGTTGTGCCAGAAATCCCAGGAAAGGGAATGCGTTTGAGAACTATAGACCGATAACGTGCCTTCCACTGATGTAGAAACTGATGACAGGAATCATAGCTGATCAAATGTACGTTTACCACCTAGAAAGAGAACATCTACTACCTGATGAACAAAAGGGTTGCAAGCGAAAGAGCGAGCCGGGGTACAAAAGATCAGTTACTGATTGACAAAACAGTCTTGAAGGTTTGCAGGAAAAGGCACACTAATCTGACTATGGCTCGGATAGACTATAAGAAAGCTTATGACTTCGTTCCCCAAAGTTGGATTAGTGAGTGCATGGAAATGTTTGGAATAGCTGGTAACGTGAGAGAGTTTTTACAAAGAAGCATGGTGCAGTGGAAGTTGTCCCTAACTTCCAATGGAGAGGAACTTGACGATGTGGATGTTAGAAGAGGGATATTCCAAGGGGATAGTTTGTCACCATTGTTATTTGTCTTGAGCATGATACCATTATCGTCATTACTCAGAAAGGTAAATGTATGCTATGGGTGGGGGGAAAAGGAGTATAAACTTCTCACCTACTCTTTATGGATGATTTAAACTATATTCAAAGAGTGAAGAACAGATAGACTCCCTACAGTAAATCCCCGCATATAAGAACCTACAAAAATAAGAACCTAGAGGCTGTTTTTCCTAATTTATGTACCTTGTAATTAAGAACTTGTTTCAGTGTGATACAATATGATAGGTTCTTATTCAAAGAGCAAAAAATAGTGTTTTCAAAGGTCCTTGTTTACTCCTAGATTTTATATCACAATCGGTATAAAAATTTTCAGTTGTGCATTTTAAGCATTTTATACACTTTAACGAAAGAGAACTTTCAAATTACTTTGACTTTTTAACATAATTATATATAGCAAAATCCAAAATTTTAAGAATATAAAAAAAAAATAAAAAGTAGGTTCTTATATGTGAGGATTTACTGTAGTACAGACTACTCACATTTTTAGTACTGATATAGGCATGGAATTTGAAATCAAGAAATGTGGGGCTCTAGTTCTAAAAAGAGACAAGATTGTAAGATGTGAAGGCATAGAATTACCGAATGATGAGATAATAAAAGAAGTTTGACAAGTATGTTATACTTATCTGGGTATTGTGGAATTAGATAAGGCGTGGGAGAATGAAATGAAATAGAAAACAATGAAAGAGTATAAGCGACGGCTGAGGTTAATTCTGAAGTCCAAGATGAATGGAAGAAACACGATAACTGCAATTAATACCTGGGCAGTAGCAATATTCAGATATGGAGCAGGAATAATATGCTGGAGAGAGAGTGAACTCAAAGTATCGATAGAAAGACAAGAAAAACCTGACAATGTATGGTGCCATGCACCCAAAGAGTGATGTAGACAGGCTATATATGAAAAGGAAGGAAGGAGGTCGTGGCCTTATCAGTGTGGAGCAATGTGTAAAAGGAGAAGAAAACAGCTTAGGTTTTTATGTGGCAAACTCAGAGGAGTTGTTGATAAGAGGTGTGTGTGCATCAGGAACCATACAGACAGAGGGAAGAATGGAGAAGGAAGAATTCAAAAGGAGGAAGGCAGAAGAGCTCAAACAGAAATGGACAGGAAAGGCAATGCATGGGCAATTCGTTAGAGAGATGCCAGAAAAGGTAGACTGGGTTAAATCTTGGGAATGGCTTTCAAGGAGTGATTTGAAGGTTGGAACGGCAGCTCTCTTATGTGCTGCACAAGAGCAAGCAATAAATACCAACTACGTGAAGCACTATATAGATAAGAGCAGCGACAGTCCACTGTGTAGAATGTGTGGTAAACGAGGTGAAAGCATACAACATATTGTTTCAGAGTGCGATAAATTAGCCCAGAAAGAGTACAAAAGACGTCACGATAACGTGGCAAAGAAAGTACACTGGCATGTGTGCAGGAAGCATGGGCTTGAGCATTCAGATAAGTGGTATGAACACACTCCAGAGGGTGTTGATGAGAACGAGGTCGTGAAAATTCTGTGGGATATGAATGCACAATGTGATAACGTCATTCAGGCAAGGAGACCAGATGTTATAGTAATTCATAAGGAAACCAAAGAGGCTCTAATAGTTGATATTGCTGTACCTGCGGATACGAGGATTGCAGAAAAAGAGTTAGAGAATGTAGAAAAGTACCAAGATCTGAAAAAGGAAGTAAAAAGGTTGTGGGAACTGCGATGTGCAAAAGTTGTTCCAGTAGTGATTGGTGCCCTCGGAAGGGTTACAAAAGATCTTGAATGTTGGATTGAAAATTGTAACTGAAGCTGGAGTACTGCAGAAGACTGCTTTATTGGGGACAGCAAGAATACTGAGAAAAGTGCTGGAACTTTAAAAGGAGAAGGACTCCTGTTAGCCTTTAGTCATTTGCTATGACTCGCCTAACTGGAAGAAAAAAGGCAATAAGACCAGCCAGTGCAGAAATGCTTAAAATCCCACAATAATAATAATAATGATAATAATAAAAATAATAATAATAATAATAATAAAAATATTAATAATAATAATAATAACAATAAAAATAACAACAATAATAACAATAGTAATCATCTTTTAAGGTTGCATCATTTTCAACTTTTAAGGTTGCATCTGCCTCGAATTTTTGGCACTTCTTTATTTAATGTCACTTCGCAGTCAAAAAAGTTCAGAACTAAACAAGCTGTTTCCTGTTGCTTTTTTGTTTTGTTTCCTGTTGCTTTTTTGTTCTGTTTCCTGTTGCGTTCTGATCAAGACCGTGAATGTTCTGGCTTACAACGCTTAGAAATATTTTACAGACGACCAACCCATATTTCCTATAAGTAAAACCTGCTTTGTAGATATGTATTTCTATTAAGTTTTTTACGATTTGGCTTTTATGTTGTCAAAGTGTTCCAGAATTAGACGACACAACATGTGCTCTCTACAGTTTGATAGTTTTAAGGAAAAAATCTAGCGGAAACTTTTCTTCCCTGCTATCTTTTGTAGAATTTTTAGCTTGTAATTTGTCAGAGAAGATCTTCGTCGCTTGCAAGCCTAAGAGCATGGCTAAAAAAGGCTTGTTTTGCAAGCTGCGTCCTTGATGTACATTAAGCTAAAGCAACTCGGTACAGCTGCACTGTAATTAGAATTCATAATTTTATGCTTTCAAATCATCAAAAGAAGACGAACGGTGTTCGGTTTTCATTGCGTTTCGCAATACCTGACTATTTTAAAACTACATGTAGTCTTTTTCAGTGACCGCGTCTCAAAAAATAAGGCAGCTAATCTCAACTGATTTTTGAAATGTTTTTCACTTTTAGGCAAGCACTGCGAAATGGAGACAGCGTAAGATATTTGATTCCGGACCCAGTTATTGAGTACATAAATAAAAATAAACTATACAAATCATAATTTGCAAATTTTTTGTAAGCAATCTAGTTATATTGAAATCATGCTGCCCCTGTTCTGTTTGCAAGGTAGCATTGTCATTGATTATGTCGTGTAATTACGCACATCAGATGTATGCCTTTTCATGCTATTGTGGTCTTATTACGGTCTGCAATTGTTCCACCCATATCTAGTTCTTATCTTACTACGGAATCCAAGAAGTAGAGAAATCAATTGATTGTAGTAAATCCCTTTGTTTTTCAACTGTTATATTTACGAAAAACTGGCTTTGCTTCCTTCAGCTTCGCTACCTGATTGTTTATTTCAACATTCTGTACTGAAATATATGATTCATGGTTTTGGGAGAAGCAGCCTTTAAAGTATCTGTCGTATGTTGTACAATGCAACAATTCAACGATACATGATGCCATGGCTAACACGCTTAAGCTATTTAGGAGAATCCCATTCATTTATATTTTATTTTGTCCCGAAAGGGTTACCGAATGTGAAAGCCTAGGATGTATAGTTCTTGGTCGAGGAGAAAGTTTAAGTTATTTATAAGCAGATTTTTCGAGGTGTTTTCATTCCTACATCAATATTATGTCTAGCGTCTGTACTTGCTTAGTCTCTCCTTGAAAAAACTAAAAGTCAGCACCTTTCGTAGGGTAGAAAATACGTACGGCTACATACATCAAACTGTACATTTTGCAAGAAGTTTGGTGGATGTAGCCTACAGCGGTGCATACTCTGAGAACTAAATTTGCAGGCGGCCAAATGACCCGCTGTAAATATGATAAAGTCGGTGTCCTTTGAGCTCGAAAGGAAGGAAATGAGAGTGGGTCGTTTTGCGCTCTTACTCTCCTCAACTCTGAGCAGGTGCATTTGCATGCGTGGTGAATTTTGGACGTGTTCAAAGCAACTACGTAGGTGAATGAGCGTTTCTGGGAACTAAACGAATAAGCAGGATCAACAAACGTGTTTGTCCTTTGTGCGGTTCATTTACCGATACCTACAAACCTTCCCTAAGTAACAATCGCCTTTTCAACGACGCTGCTTGCGAATGTCATTCGTGTGATCGCTCCGTTTTGGGCTGTGGGAATAAAACCAAACATTTAGAACAGTTAAATCCAGAACCACACTAACATGAAAAGGCAATCTGTGTTTTTATGATTGTTATTTTTAATGATTTCTTACTTGTTTTCATATTTTGAATAGAAATTCAATGCGTGTCTTGGTATTCATTATAATAAGATCTCAGAGTGACCATATTGTCTAAGCCTCCTTTTGATTAAAGAAGTAAGATATTTTCTATCACACTTTGAGCTAAATGAATTCCACGGGCCAAAAGATAATGTAATTCATGCTTTTTGAAGCATCATTCATAATCAAGATGACATTCAAATTCTGTGGCTTGCATACAGGTTGCACTTCTTTTGAAATTTCGTTTCGTATCCTTGCAAAGTTCATCGGCATAGAATTTGAGGATCTAACTTTCAAAGAAAAGTTTCTTTTATGTTAGTACTTCAAGCTAAGACCTGGAGTGCGTCTTGTTGACCACCTTTGAGAATTTGGATTTTTATTAAAAGGAGAACCCATAAAGAGCTTTCGTCAAGGATAAGGCCCTTGTAAAGCCAATCAATGTGCTTGTAATATAGAACCCACGTTATGTTTGTGAACTCGGTATTCTTCGTTTTGCAGTCATTTGAGAATTAGCTTCATTTATTCGATGCCGTCAATTCTTTTAATTTTTCTGAACAAATCGAAGGGATCTGTGTCATCTTTTAAATTGATAGCTCAAGATAAGGTTCTCTTAGTGTAATAAAAATAATTGGACATGGTTTAGAATAATTTGTTGCACTCTATTATACTAATTGTCCTTATCTTAGTGATGTAATTACGGTTTGAATTGTGCATTCTATAAGTCACGAAGTTTTGCATATTTTTATAGCATGCAATAAATATCTTCATTAGTTTTCTTGTTTTATGGAAATGTTCCTCTCTGCTTTTATTTATTATTTTATGTTGTTCATTAAAACAACGGCTGAATGTAATTTTAAGCTTCAGTTGTTGGCGCAAAGGTCATTAGAAAAGCACCACCATTTTGTTACAGAATTAGTGGGCAGGTTGGATCATTGTTAATCAAAGTCACACCTTCTCTGCCACGGGCTGCTACTGCCGTAAATTTGTGTTGTTTTTGAAATAGCTTTTGAATGAAGCTGTCATCTGTTTGAAGCGACAATCAAGCAGCTCAAAGAATTGATCCACGAGGCCTCTTTGTTGGTTTGGTAGGAAGTCGAACTAAACTCTGTTTTAGAAGAGTGGAAACATAATGACCAGAGGTTTGGCTGGGCAGTTTCGATTCAGAAGATCTTGCACAATAGACTAATTCTCAATTGATATCCGAAACTATCTGCATATCATAGCACTTGCTAACCATTTTCTGTTGGGGATGGCCTTGTAGAGCATATCCCACGTTTTATAAACTAGAAAGATTCTGTTTTTGAACTTTTCTCGCGGCGCTTGACAGTGTTTAACTATGCACCTTACGATGAGATGTAATTCCTTTCACCGTTTGACGTCACATGCTCAGACACTTACTAGTTACCATAACCAAAGTCGTGTGGATTTATCAGTATCTGAGGATGAAAAGTAGAGATAGATTGAAAGCTGCTCATTCAAAGAATCTGGTTCAACTAGCCTAAATGGAATTCCTCAAAACAGCTTGTCAAAGCTTGCAATGATTATTTCAATGCTAAAAATGCTGTTTACCGTAATTTCATGTTTACGCAGCTGCTCCCTCCCCCTTTCAAGAATAACAACTCATAGTACAGGATGTTGTCGAGTCTATTACACCACAACATTTATAGTTGTCATCTCCAGAATAAGTGCTTCATGAAGTCAAACGATGATTAAAACGGGAGATAGTTTATTTGTTTTTCTGTGGCCTATGCCAGGATTATAGGCGACGACTTAATTTTGAATCTGATTCTTTCATTTTAATGAACTGGCAAATGAAGGCGAGGGCAATCCGCGATGCACCTGCGTCTAATAGTTACATACACCCAGTATTGTTGAGCCACAACTTAGAACAAAGCCTATTGTTTCTATGTGTAAGACAAATCGATGAGGTGAGTGTGGGCTTGATCTTAAGCGATGTTGCAGGTGCTTTTCGAAAGACCTTTTGGTTGCCAAACGACATGCAATATTATCCTCAATATTTATTCAAATTATCCGAATTTCATAAAAGATAATCATTAATCAGCGGAAGTCTGCAAGCTGGCATATTAATTCTCTACATTTAGCTGAATCAGCTCTACTGGATACGAGGCTCCTTGCCTTAGGCCACCTCGAAAAATGTAGAGTCTTTGTAAAGGTCGATCTCCTACAAAGGAGCTTCTGCTTTAGCCGAACAAAGTGTCATGTAGCAGTTAATAAAACTAGTAACCAATTTAAATTATTCAATGTATTTTGCGAATTTCGCAGTTGAATAAATAGGCCGGTTTCTCTGTATATCTAGCTTGCTATGTCGTTGTAAAGCATGGTTGTTTACTAAGCTTGAATGAGTTATATCAAAAATTTTGGAGATTTTACCGTATTCTCCTTTGAGAGATTTGCACTGCAAAAACTAGTTATTTGCTACAATCAAAGTATAAAGAAGAGTGTCCCAGAAATTAAGAAGGCCATCTAAGTCGATCAAATATTATTATGCAAGAACTGTTGAAAGCTGCAAAGAAAGTACATTTGCAAGCTTCCATGGTAAATTTTTGTGTATCTGGTACCAAAGTGTATTGTCTTTGTCTGGACTAGCAAGCCAGTTGCAAATCATACAGCATAAGAATATGTATTTTAAAAAGGAAATTGTCTGTAAAGTTTTTCTGTCATTTTCAGTTAGTGTCATTTTCTACCTCCTAGGTATGCTATGTTCCCTAGGCCAAAACTCTCTGTCCAGGCTTAAGGTATTTGTAAAATATATTTGTATCGTAGATTAAGCGGAAGGTTTTGTCGATGAAAGTATCACTCAAAATGACTGAGGAACCGAATTTTTTATTTTTATATATATATTCTCATAAAATTTACAACGACAATCAATTACAATACAAAAGCCTAGGGAGCATGGAAATGCATAACAACCCCAAGACTTACACTTAACATAGAGACACAAATATTACAATAATAGGCTACAAAAGTGATTGGAGTGGTGTCGCCCATCGTTCCAATAGCGTTGCAGATATGACAAATACTCACAAAAACCGTATTCCTGTGTAGTAATCGTTACGCTGAAAATATTATGCTCAAAAACGAGACGGCTGTGGTTCGTCACAAATTTCAGCATTCGTCACAAATAGCCAAGTCTTTCATAGATATATTGATAAAGATTGGCGCCAGAACCGAGCCTTGTTGCCATTCGCTATTACCCTTTTTTCCCTCCCACAGTTGAATTGGATGTTGATTAATGTGTATCTCATGATCGTCTTTTGATTCCTTGATGAGATGTGGCTTGTCCTAATGGCATGCGCTGAACTTTTCTTTCGGGTCCAAACCTGTAAGCAGCAGAATGCAAGATTGAACTAAAACAAAATGACAATTTCTAGAAATAACAAATTCTGGAAATGTAAAGTTCAAAATATGACAAGTTCCCTATTGTTATTAATGCTGATGTTTTTAATGCAACCAGCACAAGAACATTGGAAAGCCCCTGTATATACGGTAAACAAGAAGATTTGATGGTCCTAAACACAAAAAAGGCCTAAAATGTTTGTTTTGAATACTTGTTTTATGATGTTTTGATTTCTTGCTTGTTCTTGGCAATATATTTGCAAATGTATATAAATGATAGAATCCAGGTCTTTCCTCTCGATGTCATCATATTCTACTGTACATGTATAGTAAAATGTGCCTTATATATCAAACCAGAAATTCAAAACGCATCACCCCTGAATCTAAGGCTTCTGCCATCGAGTTAAACATTCACACTTTTGATAATTAAGTTGTAATAAATTTTACAAGTGGAATTAATCTCTTTTAAGACCGTCACCAAAAAATGTTGAATGCTCTCAACTGAAGTATGAAGTATTTTTCAAAGGGAAGGGGTTTTTTTTCGTAAATTTCGAGTTGAAATAAGTTTTTTTTTCAAAGTAAAGTCCAAAGTGGTTTTCAACCCAGACTAACTTCAGACACAGCAAGTACTGGAAAATTAAGCACTTTGACTTTTCGGAACTCCGTGTTAAGAAGCTTAGAGATATTATGGAATCTTTGAAATAAGGATCAATGCATTTTGGTTGCCATTAGTCAAGAAAATCCCTTCTTAGATTTCGAAATACAAGAAATTATCTCTTGTCCTTGTTCACCAAGTTTAATCTGTTTTGATTTTGCGGCTCTTTGGGGGAATCCAGGGGATTTTTTATCAACATCACTTGATGATTAATGCTAATATCTGCTACGATCTAAAGTCCCTGTTTTGTGTTTAAAAGAAATATTAATGAAAGGATCCTAATAAAACAATATACCATCTTTAGCGAGATACGAAATTTTAAACTGCGCAAGGGCGGAGTATTTGTCAACCCGGCGCCTATTTTAACATGCTAACTAGGGGTAGACCTTTCAGTCCCAATGACTTTCCAATGTTTTAAACAATAGGCTATTATCCCCCTCTCTATGTAAAGCAAAAAATTGCTCCAGGCTGACTTCCCTTCGAAACATTTATGAGTCAAACTACCCAGTTTTGTCAAGGGTTTTTAAAATAAGTCTGTTTTTGACGAAATTAGTAATTTTTCATGAGATATCCTCAACTGATCTGCAGCAACCAGAAGCAGTATTAGAATTTATGTAAAGGGTTTCATCTCACTGTCTACTGTCAAACCTCGTCGTTGAAGGTCCAGATTTTTTCTTTTTAAGTTGAACCTTTTTGCCAGTGCCTCTCATGGACCTTTTTCACGCTTAAAACCTTGGTACCGAGGGTATCTAATAATCAATGATATTAAACAATTAAGTGGATGAGCCGGCCGTTACATCCAGCTCAGGATGAAGCAATGGTTATTTGCTATAAATCAGAAGCCCGAGCGGAAAGGACAAAAAATTTCAAGTCCTAAGAATATTCGATAACTGCATTATTCAAAAGTTTTTTCTTTCTGTTAATTATTGAAGGGCCCGTTCTCACTTTTGATGGTCACACTGCTGTTAACCGCACTTTAGAACTTAGTTCCAGCAATTTGATCTTGAAAAATTCTCATGAACTCTGGGCCCAATACCGCTACAGACTGCTTTCATGTCTATGTATTGCTTTTTTTGCTCGAAATAGATTCCACGAGGAAAGGACATACGACACAGCTTCTTTTTTTCCTTAAATTCGATTTTTAAGGTCTAAGCTCGATTTTTCACGTTTTACGTTTCCAAATATCAAATTTTTGCTGTTCAGTTAGTGATTGGTTCATTAAAGGCCCGGCTAAACGAATAAAACATCCGTAAAACATTGTCAAACATTTTTGTACCAACATTGTTGGACAATGTTTTATGACTTGGCCAAACGAATCAAACAAATGTTAAGCATCTGTGATGGTCAAGCGCTGCTGCACAGCTTCCTACAGTTACTGCGTTGTATTTGCCGAATTTTAATTTACTGCGCTTGCGTGCGTAAAACAAATGTTTTAAGGGGTGGCTAAACGAACGCAACATTGTTGATCAAACATGAGAACAAAAGAGATGTTTTACGAAATGTTTGATGGAAATCAAATTTTGCAAAACATCATAAAACATCGTAAAACATGGTGGCCAAACGAATAGAACATGTTTTATGCAACAATGTTGGATGATGTTTTTCGCCGATGTTTAATTCGTTTGGCCAGGGCTTTTAACGATTCACTCGAGGCTTCTGATTTGGTCGAACGATCAACGCGCTGCTGTGCTTTACTTTGCGGAATCAAATCTATTCTGTCGCTAAGCAACAGCGCAATCGGTGGGTTTATCATTGGACAGGTGTTCCATGCGTCCTACCGCGTTTCTCATTAATCCTCCTCCGCGATGGACATTAAAATGATTGCGTTTTAGACGATGTTCCAACAGGTTTCAAACACACTTTATTTCAAACAACTCCGCTATTTTTTGTCAAACAAGAGAAGACTGAGAAAAAAGTACCTGAAAAAAATTCAGCTTCATTCCCTGCACCTATTCCATTTAGAGGGCAAGATATAAAGTGGAACTGTAGTTATTTTTTAGAGTGAGGGAGATGAAAATATGAAGGAAACCATAGACAATTACACCACCGTTAATTTTATAGTTAATTCCATTTTAGTTTGTTTTAATTCTTATTACATTATTCCATGCGACCTAAATTCCAAAACGTGCCAATATCTTTGTTTGTGATGGTGAGGTCCCCTTACAAACAATTAGCCACCTTGTTTTAAAACCGTCCAATTTACCATCTAAACTATCGCACAGGAAGATCTCTGTGTGATAACTTTTATGTTGGGCAATCTTTGTTGCGGTTTCAAATGTTTTGTGAGCTCCCACGGACAGGAAATAAGTGCAATCTGAAACTTCTGCCTCTATTACATTCATATATGTATACAAAAGTTTAAGCGTGGTGTTCCCAAGAGGTAGCCTGCCAACTTTCTACAATAAACTGAAAAACTGCAATTAAATATATTTTTCGCATAGCATAGATAATTAAACTCCGCAGGCTACTAGCAGTTTGTAGCACCTTTATGAAAAAGCACACTTTTCTCACAAGTATGCCGTTTTGGTATAACGAAAGTAGAGAGACGTGAATCCTTAATTTCTGCTGCCACTTATGTTTTTCCATATTAAATCGTGGATATCAAAATATCTTTAAAAATGACCAATGCCTTTGCATTCACACTCTTAGAATGTAAGAAAAACAAATATGGCATCAATTACAATCACATATCTTCTTCAATTGTGTATGGAACACCGGACTGTACATGGTTATTGTCTCAAGAGCAATGTCAGCTACTTTCTCGAATATTCCACCGTGAAATATCGAAATGAAGAATCCTTAGTTCTCCCCTTACCTACTTTTTTTAAAAGTTATCCTATGAAACCGCATAGTGAAAATCTTACAAGTCCACCACGTGGTTTTTTGTTATTAGTTGATTGGTAAATTAACAAGGTTGCTTGTGAAAGTTTAAGTAAACGAGAGATTTTCTGATATAGTTTTAAAACTCCCTTACCGCAAGAGCTCAAGTTTACGTTTAACTGACAATTGACATATATAACGTGTCCAGACATCTTCAGGCCACTATTCCTTTTACAACACGAGTCATCTCTTGTTTCCCTCGCTGAAAGCCACGAGCCATTCTTTCAGCCAACGGTCTCAAAGCGCATGCAGCCGACGGTCTCTGTTTGATATCGGCAAATAGGATGTACCCCGTACATTATTCTTGGAAATCGCCTCTCCGTCCCTCCTTGTGCGTTTAATAGCATGTTTTGTACCAACGAGGTAATCTAAAAGACCACGTGATACTGAGCACGTGACCCAAAGCGCGCCCTTTTTTAATGACGACAAAAGGAGTTAGGCCAAGCTGTCCGTTGAACAAAAGCATTGTTTATACGTACATTGTTCTCGTTTCTCGGGCCTGCTTCTGAACACAAAACTTCTGGTGACCAACACGAGGGCTTTCAAATCCCGCAGAACTCGGCGGCGATACGTGGCTTTATCCACCTGCTAGCGAAGTGTGCACAACAAAAAGCGAGACCAGAACAAAAAGATATTGCGAACACTACTTGTGTAGCCGTCCATGACCATGGTCGATTTCGGGCCAACTAGCGTGACGAACACTATTGCCCCTTCCGAATTCGGCTATAATACCCCACTGTTCTTGATGAAAGAAGAGGGGCTCGAAAAGTGTAGTACATCTAGTGAAGTACCAGTAAAAGCAACGCGAGACTTCAAAGACAGAAATACACCAGAAGGAAAAAACTCACCGTCAGAGTTGGTTTTTAAAAGTCCGAATTCAAGTGATAATAAGAGTTTGGACGACTCTAAAGATTCAGACGAGGGTTTCTCCTCGAGTTTTTCACCCTCTAGTGAGCCACAGATGCTACAGCAAGAAGCTTCTGGTGTGAGTAGTGCTTTTTGGGGTACACAGAGAGACGATTTTCTTCATCAGGAACTTCAAATGGGTGTGAGTAGCAGTCCATTGATGTTTAGCAACCCTTCCCCAAGTTCACAGTTATCTTCTAATTCAGGATTGCGAAGAGGGGCAGCACCAGGAACAATGCCAGGATACAGCTCAGGGACAAACCGAAGACCTTTCCCGGCAGTTTCTACTCTTTTGGCCTCAAACAAGGCAGTGGCCAATGCTCTTGGTGTTTCAAATTGGAATGCCAGTCCTTCTCCATCTTCAACTTGGCCAAACCATTCCACGAGCAACACTGTTGGCTCAAACTGGCCTCAAGGTAGACCACAGTTGCCCTTCCCAATTTCAGCTTCAATGCAGACACCATCCTACAATCAAAGTAGAACAAGCAAATTTACGCCGTTTCCTATCGTAAGTTTACCTCAGAAGCCATATAAAGGAACAAGGCCATTGCCGACTTTCAGTTCAAGTTCAACGCCGATTTCTAGCAAAAACTCGTCGCCATTTGGACATCAAAATTCAGTGAATTGTCATTCTAGCCTTGATGCAACAGTTGTAGACGACATAACACAACTGACAAATACTTTCTCCAATTTGACAACATCAAGTGAAATTACCACCAATGGTTTATTCAACAATCAGGTGAGATATCTTTTTATAATTTAATTCCTTTGAATAAAAAGACTTTCTGCAAATGAAGCTTCATTCGTACCCAACTTATCCTTTTTAGAAGCAACATATTCTTCGAAATATCATTGCAGTAATCTTTAGCAAAAAGAGTAAAAATAGTATGAAAGGTGAAGTTTTTGACGTTCAATCTTGGAGAACAGGAAAATATCCCTAAATCATACGATATTTGAGACGCACCTTAAGTTTTGAATGAAAAATTTGCTAGGACATCATTTTTTTATCCCAAGCGAGGAAATAAAACATATGTTTACTTTGTTAGCATAGTTACAATATGCAACCTGTTATAAAAAAATCCTTTACAAACCAAAAGCCATTTCTACTACAAGCAAAGTAAGAAAATTTTGGGAAAACTGGCGTTTTTATTGTGTTTTTCTGATTCTTTTGAAACCTGTTGGGTGTAGTAGGTTTCAATGTACAAGATGGATTCAGAAATTTATCTTTTATTTGTGTTTATTTCAAGCAATGTGTTACCGTAATCAAAATTTCATAGATTCGGCAAAATTTCTTCAAACCACGTAGAGAAGTATGAATCCCGTTGTTTCTTTGAGATCCTTTAATTTTCTCAAGACGCGCGTCTTGTTTCTCGGCAAGATGTACTCAACCATGCATTTCATAGCGCCTTTCAAAATTTGGTTGATCGAAGGTTTTCTTAACTCAGAGAGGAAAAAGAATTTCATTGCTTTCGCTGTAGTTATAGTTTTTTGTTAATATAGCGCAAATCAAAGCTAATGTAATTTGAAATCTTGGTTTCCAACGGCTAGGCCTAATCCTGTTTTTTTCTGAGTCGTAGCCAAATATCGAGTTCATTTATTATTTATACGAAAACAGCTGAGAGAAACTTCATACAAAAATACTCACTGACACTAAAAACTTTTAAAGCAGAACGCCAATTTGGTACTTTAAACAACATTTCTATATTTTCTTAACTTTAGACAGCTTAGAAACAACTTTTTTTGATAAAAAACGCACCCACTATAAAGCTCTTTGATTTACTAGTAGACAGGTATCTTGTCTGAAAGAAATATCTCCAGTCTTTATGCACTGTGTTATATTATATGAGTGGAAAATATTGCCTTCCTAGTGATAGCAGTTTGAGTAACAACGTAAACTTTATTCTCAACAAGAATTTCAGCTGTTTGCTTTCATTTATTTGAATCAAAGAGTTCTGCCTTTATTCCCATGAAGAAACAGGTGGTTTTGATGTCAACTTCTTTGTTAGAATGATCATACCTTCTCCAGTCATACCTGCCTGAGGATTTTGTATTATTAGGATTTGCTTAATAGTTATGAGAACTTGGTTTATAATGATTTGAAACCACTATGTATATTTATGTGAAAAATACATCCACCCTATCTCATCTGATGTAACTTTGTTTGCTTTCGTTGTTGTTTCCGCGGTTTAAGTATGAAAATTTCCCACCAAACCCTTCAAAACATGCTTGCTACTACTTTCATAATTAAAAGATATCCTGAAACAGAGAACACAAGAATTTCCCACGTTTTGTCAGGTTATCTATGATTCTAAACATAGAGGATACTGCAAAAGGTGATGAGGTTGAAGGGTCAAGTTTTTCAAATTGTTTTTGTCAAAAAGTTTATCATTTCCCGTTGTTTTTAGTGATAGCTTTCTAAAATTGTTTGAAAATGTAACTTGATAATGTTAACCTGTAATTTCGAACAGAGCTATATAGATTTCAAAAAGCTGATAATGCTATTCAAAATTTCCCTCCACGGAGGGCCAGACCAGACTAATTAAAATTAACAGAACGTAAATTCAAGATTTTCAGATTTTCCATTCCTTTCCTGGGTCTATCCTCCATCTGATACCTCCATTTTGTCTACCATAAATCATGCCTTGGTAGCAACCTCTCAGCTTAGTTTCTGTATTTGACTTGTTTAAGAAAACATCTTAAACATACATAGATATATTCAGATCATCTGCATAAATGACTGTATTGTAAGAAAATAACTGTCTTGTTTTCAATCGAAAAGTACTGTAATTTGCCACTTGATTGAAAGAGATCCTTACCTATTCTTTCGGAAGCATAAAAAGGATTCTTGTAAGCGTTCTGTTTTCGTAGACATTTGTAGTCTTAGGGAATTTTCTATCAACAATCGTTCCTAAAATCACTACAAAGTACACTGTATTTTCTAAGTTTGTTTTCATCTGGTTCTTGTACAAGGAAGAAAAGAGAAATTTTTTTTGCTAAAGAACACCAAATGAGCGCTTTAATTACTGGACAAACAGAAATCAAAAACAGCTTACTGTTTTTGAAGAACAGGAGATCTTTAACAAAGAAAACAAGTAATTAAGTCTCTGCATGCTATCTTTTAGATGCAATTAAATCTGATGACTTTGCATTTGAAGATTCTCCTCAAAAATGACGTTTTTATGGTAAAATGGATGCTGAAATTTTTCATCAGCATTTTTCTAGTTTATATAGCTTAAAGAAATGGTTCTCACAAAGTGGAGTGCTTGTGTAACTATTCTGATAGGAATTATAATTTAAACGAGGCCTTCTATTTCTTCTTGGACAGGAGAGAAATGATATGATGAAGTACTCTTCACTTGAACCAAGACTACTTGATATGTTCCGGTCTCCTATTGACAACCAGGCAGATCATCTACAAGGTAAGTTCTGTTCCGAAAACAAATTACCATTTTATTTTTGTAACACCAAGTTTTCCTTTCTTTTCTAAATTGTTTATTCGAAGCTTCAAGCAGTATTTAGTGCAATCAAGGCATTAGTTTGTCTGATAATTGCTTCCCTGTTGATGTCTAGCTCAAAATCTTCAGCCTTATTACTTCCTTTTGCCCTTATCTTTCAATCCTTTACTTGCTTTCAATGCAAGGTAAGAAAGATATAGATGTTAGAATAAGCTGAAAATAACAAATCAGTTGATGTCCCATTTATACACTACTTAACCGTCATAGCACATCTTATAAGTTTTGTACAGTTAATGACTTTAACAGGTCAGAAACCAGTTTTTAAAAATGTGAATTTTTCATTGAAAGCTTGAAATAAAAAGAATTCAATTATTTGGTTGAGATGCAGTCGAGTTTCTTCTGTAGTTATAATCCAATAATTAGCAAAAAGTAGATATATATGGAGTGTTTTTCATTTCAAAATTGTAAAGGTGTTTGGATCATCTGAGAATTTACGTAAAATCTAATATGTTAAATATCTAAAAGATATATAATTCATTTTCTTTAAAAAAATTAGAAGCGATGTCCTAGTGCTACACTAAAATTTCCTCGTAGTCTACTTTCCTCTCTTTGTTATCATCGAATATTGTCATATGAAAGTGTACGACAGAGAGTATAGCAAATAGCTCTGCGCAAGAAAGAAATTTCAGTACATTACGATTAAATCTAAAAAATTAAGATTTGGTGAATGAATGAACCATCCAGAGTAAAAACTGGCCAGTTGAAACTATGAAGTCATGACTTATTAATACATTGTGCCGTGGACAAACACCACACGCGCAAATTTCTTCAACATTTTGGTACAGAATATGGATTAATGACCCTCTCCTTTGGCTCATCATTTGTTTTATCTCGGAATCTGTATCGCTATTCTCATTTGTTCGATATCTTGAGTTGATTTTGCCACATCTGCCAACCTTTCTGCCATTTTGAGCAATAAATTATCCATCAATGCAGAACACAATCGTCAAACGAAGTTGCAAGCAGCTGCTTTCTTGAAAAAAGGTTCATGTTACTGACATAGAGACCTTTTCGGACCTTATAAGACCTTATCGAACTTTACCTGTTTAGTTGTAACCTGCCATAGAGCAGCTATAAAACCATGTTTAAGCATAAAGCTATGTTCATGAGCAAAAAGACGCGAGGATTGAAGTGAAATGAGCACTGTTGACTTCTAAATTATAATGGATCTACTGCTATATATGCAAAGATTTTGCTTGACCATAGCAAGAAATGTTTTCACCTCTTTTAAAGTTAACAGATGCTGAGAGAGGTTGTCCAACTCCTCCTAGCTATCCCTTCATATTTTGCCGATGCTAAATCACTATAAGGAATATTGCATAGTGATTCTCATTGAAGAGAATAGCTATGACACTATAAAATGCTAATGAAAATGTAGTTGAAGAATTGAAATGACACAAAACTAAATAGAATACATTGCTCACAATCTCTTTTTTTTCTCATGTGTTACAACAGTGCCTTATTCGCAGAAGGCTTTTCTAATATCTTATGATCCAAGACCCTCTGTCAGTTTATGATAAAATTAATTTCTCTTTCTCTTTAAAGCCTTCAGGTATCAGTTGCAAAAGAAAGGATTTCCACACCAACGTGATGGTATGCTGTTTTCCTTTATATTTTTCTTCAAAGTGTTTTTTTGCTTGGCAAGTTTTTTTACGATCAGCTGCTCTTGGTTTCAATTGCCAGGGAGCACCGTTTCTCTACAAAGAAGGTTTTCATTATCAACGAACATCTCTTTCATTCAAAAATGCTTTTTTATGACAAGCCTTTTGAAACTTTGTCATTCAAAAGAATTTACAATATTCTGTTTAATTTGTTATTTGTCCTGTTTGGCAAATCTTATTCATTGATAAAGCCTGTCTTCATTGCCAAATTTTGTCAAAACCATGCAAAAAGGAGTCTTGTTTATCTCAATATTCCATTGATAAGTATGTCAATAAGTACAAGATCTATGCAGCGAGACACATAAGCCCTTCAAGGCTGTTAGAATGAGCGAAATTTGCAATCAAATTTAGCCTTGACCTCACAGCTTAAGACAAAATCAATCAAACTTGGACGTCCGACCTACTTGAGTTGCAACTTTCGAATTGTTTGATAAACATCTTTTAGAAGAACTACTTTAATTCAAACCGAATTGGACTGGTTTAGCCTTGTCTAGCGAATAGCTGCGCTACTATCTTCAGCCAATCATATTATTTATAGCCAACCAATCTAGCATGGTCGCGCATTCTCTGCCCAGACGCCTTAAAACATTTATGACTAGTTCTTAAATTTGCACTATTTGCTCTCTTCGCAATAGATCTTTTCAACTTAATCACTATGGATTTTCGTCCATTTTGTTTGCCCTGTTCAAATAGGGCATATCTTTGTTAAATGCGCTGAAAGGAATGCTGGCAGTAGACCGATTTTCAAACACGCAGCTGCTTCATGTGCTCAGTAAAGCGATAAGTTCGATCTGCATGCGGAGATAAATACATAGCATGAAAACAGATTTTCTGATGAATTCCATTTTCTTTCTTATCTAAGTCGAGGCCTTAAGGATCTTCATACACCTGGTATTTTCAGTTCGATATATTTAAAGCAATCCTGATAAATAACAAGACCCAGTAATTGAATAAATATTCTATGTCATCTGCCTTAAATGAAAACGTAACTGATCTTTGCATTGAATTGAATCTTGCTTTGGCTTCTAAATGAGTCCGACTGATAAAATAACGGTTTAAAATATGAATAAACAGTTAAAACATAATTTTTTGCTTGGGTAGTTGTATAATTCTGCGAATACCCTCTCTGACATAGAGATTTTCTTAGTGCATTATTTCAGCAGGCTAAGTGGAAAACATTCACTCTACAGTATGATAATAACTGTTATATCATATGTTTGTCACGATTTTAAAGCCCAGTCAAAAATCGATTTGAAGTAGCAAAGCCGGGTAGCGATTTTTGAAGTAATCGTTTGCGAACTTTTCTTCTACAATTCCGATCATATAATTCCGATATCAAATCTATTTCTCGACTATTTTAATGCTGAAATAACAAAAAATGTACAAATGGAAAGCTAAAACAAAGAATTGAAAAAGTAACGTAATGTAAAGTAAGATCCATTAAAATAGGTCAATGTCATCAGAGGTACGGTCAAATGTTCATATTTTCTAATTAATTTTTGTTTACAGTTTGCTTCATCCCTTTTGGCTTGCACGGCTTCCTTTAATGTCAGCTGATCATTAATGAAACATTAGAAATGATCTGCATTAGACTTGAGACACGGCAGATTGTGCTCTGTTTTTTCTCTTGTCGAAATTTCTAAACATTTCCATTCAGAATATGCTCAAAAAGACAAACTAAACTTCTCTTTCATTCGAAAAGTCTTTTTCAATCACCGGTCGGTTTGGCAATGTTTTGTCTTTTCAATATAGTTTTTCTTGCTTCTTTTTTGTCCGGTCAACAACATTTCTTGGGGAATACTCATGTTCTGTTAGAATTTTAGATTGACTGCATCTGTTTCAATCAAAATTATTTGAATATTAATGACGTAGTTTATAAAATATGCTTTATGATAGGCACAAGTGTTTAATTGGGCTCTCGTTTTGTAGGTTATTTTTCAATTATTAAACTAGGTCTGGCTTCCAATCCAACCAATTGAATAAAAAGATTTTAATCACTCTAACTTTACTGCCTTCTCACTGTAAGAAGAGTGATTTTTCTCGAGTTAAAACGTTTTATCCATTATATCAATTGAGTCATTAAGACTCAGCTGCATCGGTGCTTCACTACTGAAGAAAAACATTTCATCCTCACATTTTGTGTAGAGGTTTCTTTAAGTGACCAAGTTGATTTTGCCCAGAAATCAATTCAACAATTTCTGGTACAACGTAGTACAACATAAAATACTATCTATCTTCCTCCTTTTTGCTTTACTAGATGATTAAAAACAACAACAAAATTTTTTTAAAATTATTTTCTAACATCTGTTAAACACATTGAGACTTCTTTTGAAGAACAAGTCTAAATTGAGGAAAAATGATGTGGTCCTAGAATTTCTTTTCTGTTGACAAAGCTGTCTTCTACTCCAGGCAACTGCCCCCTCCCTTCAACAAATGCTAACTCTGGTCCGCTTTCAGTGTATTCTTACATTTCATATACGTATGAATCTTACCTAAAAGTAAGCAAAGTTCGGTAATTTTTTGAACTTTTTCATGAGTTTATAGTTCAGCTTTATAATATCTTTAAGTGACTGTTCAAATCTACCTAAAGTGAGTCGAATTTGATCGATGAATTATTTCTAATCTTATCTGTTTTCCGTTCATATCAACTATGTACGTGCTAGTTGGTTTATCATGCACATGCAAGAAGCAAGATTTCCGATTATCTTTCATTCATCTTGCTGCACCTTCGTATTTTAGCTGACCAGATTGTGCCTTCATTCAATTCCTCTCTGAATGGGTCTCCGAGATCAGATTTGGATCTCATGGAAAGATACTCAAGAAAAGTGTTTGTCGGTGGACTTCCTCCTGATATTGATGAAGGTAAGGCTGTTATTTGTTTTGCCTTGCCTGCAACACCTGCGTTTCAAAGCATTGTTTTTTGTATAATGAAATGATGCAGCTGCAATTTCAGCACTGAATTTTCAAGACCAGCAAGTTTGGCCACACTTAAGCCTTTCTCAGATTTCGTAGTGCGCATGTTTATCAATGACTTTAAACTGAATATCTTTTGTCCACAAAACATTTCATCGCCAAAATGCCCCCTGATTCATACCAAAAGTCGTATTTATAAACTTTGTGATGGCTGAATGCTTAAAAAGGTCTTGACTCAATAATTTACCCAAAAATTTTACCCTTGCATTTGGGATAAGATTTTAAAAACCTACTTAGAAGATGTTATGTCCTTGGTTTGAATGTTAACACATATGATAACAGGAAACTAAAAAACAGAGCATATATGGTCTTCTAAGGACTGCTGCAGTTGTTTATGGTGTAAAAGCATGATTTTCAGATTTTGGTTCAGCTCAAGAGGGATATAGTGTTATTAAGATATTATCATTAGACTGTGAAACAATTGCTTAAGTAATTGATTGATGATTTGTTTTCTAATTCAATTTGTTTTTCATCAGATGAAATTCATGCAAGTTTCTGCCGTTTTGGTCATCTGACCGTGGACTGGCCCCACAAAGCAGAGAGCAAATCTTACTTCCCACCCAAAGGTCAGTATGGATAACCCTATAATTAGACTACTGCTCGTCTTAATGGCTGGTGGCTAGGGCCTATGCTGCAGTGAAATGTTTTCCCGTCCTTTCCTGAAGATTTGCAAATTCATCCCCTTCTAATCATATATCAACGATTAAGTATGTTTTTGAAGTTTTTAAGTCTTTCCATTTCTAACTATAAATATTCGTTTTGACAGGGTACGCATTTTTGCTTTACAAGGAGGAAATTTCAGTTCAAAGGCTAATGGATGCTTGCATGGTGCAAGATGGAAAGTTCTACTTATGTGTCTCTAGTCCTACTATCAAGGACAAGCCAGTTAGTAAATTATTTATTGAATATGCACTGCCTTATAAACCATTTCTAGGCCTTTTCTGGCCATGTAAACCTTTAATTTCAATTTTTCTTTAAAAATCTATCGTTATTTAGTCTTATTCATATTTTATTTGCTTCTTGAATTGCTAATGGAGAAAAAACCGTGTTTGGAAAACTAAAGTTATTACCTCATTTAAAGGTGCAAATTCGTCCTTGGAATCTTGCTGATGCTGATTTTGTGATGGACAGCTCTCAGCCTTTAGATCCCAGAAAAACAATATTCGTTGGTGGTGTACCTCGACCTTTACGAGCAGGTAAGTTGAAATACTCTCTTTAGAACCCCCAATTAATTTATTTGCAAGAGCTGAGATGGACAAATAGGTATTCGGCCACTTATTAAGAACACCCGAAAATTGGGACTTTCAAGTGTTCAACAGTGTTTTTTTTTCTTTGCTAGCATGTGGGTTTACGGATGTCTTTTCTCGTCGGTTTTGTGTTTCTTAACAGCAATAAAAGAACTTTACTAAGGATAAGCCAGATGCCAATATAACCTTACCTCTTGGAGGGAAAAAGATTAAACCAAAATTATATTGAGATTTGCTTGTTGTCATTGGTAGAATATTAATAAAACTAACAGGTACCATTGCACCTTATCACACAACGTAAAACGGTCTGAGACAGGTATCGTTTGATCAAATTCCACGAAAACAATTCAATGACGTATCTTTAGTTGGCCTAGTGAAATATCTTCCCAAACGGCCTTCCGTATGTCATAGTTTATTCGCAGTTCTCATAAGCTGCATTTTAAACCGCGATCGGTACTCAGTCGCACAGTCACTAAACACAGCCTTCCGTTCTAAATTTTGTACAATAACAAGTTTTTACTATAACGAATGCTGTTGTTTATTGTCAAGCAAGGCATTATATACTTTAGCAGCTGCATTCTCGTAACGTCATTTATAAACAATATTGGTTTGATTTTAAACAATTTTTTTAATTTTCCAGTTGAGTTGGCAATGATCATGGACCGCCTTTACGGAGGGGTCTGTTACGCAGGCATTGATGTCGATCCGGAATTGAAATATCCGAAAGGTAAAATTTGCTGACTATGTTTCGCTAAAACATAATTGTATGCCAAATATCTCCCTAATTCGTCTTCTTTGCGATAGATGTTATCATAATGGATGTTATCTTTTCTCCCAGGTGCTGGTCGAGTTGCTTTCTCAAATCAACAAAGCTACATTGCAGCAATAAGTGCTAGGTTTATCCAGCTGCAGCATGGTGATATCGACAAAAGGGTCAGTACATATGTCAACAAGATGTTCATCAGCAATTGCCTAGGCCAACAAGCATCAATCAATAAAAGCTTTTTTTGTTTCAAAATAAATGTCTCTTGACTAGACATTACCTGCACCCCTTGCAAATTAGAAATGTTTTTTGTGCCCATCAAATAAACGAGTTTGCTATTTCTGATTGTAATGTGCTACAGCTTTTTGAGATAAAAAAGACCATCTCACTCCACCTCAAACGCCTTTTCATCCAACATTTCCTCTTATCTAGGTCGAGGTGAAGCCTTATGTCCTTGATGATCAAATGTGCGATGAGTGCCACGGAGTCCGCTGCAATGGAAAATTTGCCCCTTTCTTCTGTTCCAATATCACTTGTCTTTTGTACTACTGTGAGCAATGCTGGGCAATTGTCCACTCAAGACCTGGCCGTGAGTTTCACAAGCCATTGGTCAAAGAAGGAGGTGATAGGCCGCGCCAGTCTCCAATGAATTTCCGCTGGTAACCAGGTAATCCAAGATTCATTCTACAATGGTTAATCAATTCATGGTTAATCGTTGTGTATTATTAAGATTTAATTATTTAGAAAGTTCAGATGTGTTTTACGAAAGATTCAATATTTTGTCAGTTGATGTTTGATGTGCCACTGTTTGTACTTTTCATAAAACTAGCTGCGAAAAGATCTTTAGAAGCAGCCATTTTAAACGTATTAATTTGTTTCATTTTAAGATACTTTGTACTCAGAACTCATGAGATAAAACCATACTTTTTACTTAAACTTCGACTGAGCACATGACAAGCATGAAAATACAAAATATTGACTGTTGCTTTGTAAAATGCAGTTTTATCATTTTACCCAATCTTATGTCTATTTGAAATAATAAACTTTATACGTTTTCACAATGATTTTTTCAGGTGATTTGTTGTCTAGAATATTTTACCAAGTTTTAGAATCGATTTTTTTGCAAGGCAGTCTTATATTTACATGGTTATTATCATAATACTTTAACTTTATCATATTTGAAGCTTTTTAACTTATATAATCGTTATATCTTCATCAAATTATGTACGTTCTACTCATTGCACTTAACAGTGAAAGATATTCTCTTGTTTATTTTTCTTATTTTCCCAGCAATATTCCTTTTCAAATTCAAATATAGGTTTCCCTTTCTTAAAGATATATTTACATAAAACCTCTCCCTGCCATTCAGAATTTTGTATCACACCCACTTGTGAATATTCTTTCATTGTTTGATAAAGTTTGCTTTCATCTCTACCATTTCTGTAGAACGTAGATATTTGCTGTTGAGCGTAGGAGTTGCTGTAGAATGTAGTTGTTAGTTGCCTTATATTTTGCTCGTTTTCAACTTTTGGAGACGCGCAATCCCTGCTTGTTCGGCGCTAGAACTTTCTTATTCAGCAGGTTCATATATAGCTGACTGATTAGTAATGTATTGATGAAAAAGATTTTGGAATTTTTTGCTGTAAGTTAATATACCTTCATAGATGGCGTGTACGCTAGCAGTTGACTGTTTAGAATGGAGTTTTATAGAAGCTTCATTAACTTCAATTATAAAGAGAGCTAATATTATCTTGACATATTTAATTGTTCAACATATAATCTAATGAATCTCAAAGTTTTATTTATAAGAAATTGAATTATCGTCAGAGAGGCTTAATATATAAGTTCTATTGATTATTAAGAGGCATATGATATAACTTGCACGCATATTTCGTTTAGAATTCGGAGTTCATAGAATTCAAGTTTGTAGGTGAAGTTTTAATATATAAGCATTTTATCTTGTATAAGGCATGGGTTACAAATTTATTAATTGCTGGAAGTGGTGTATTGCTAGGCTGAAGGTCCGTTTCTGAAAAAGGGCAACAATCTCTACGCTGATGTCAATTAAATCTAACAGAGAGATAGCAAGACATTTATTATTTAAACTGGTCTCCTCATTTTTACGAGCTATCTTCACTGTTTACAAACCAGCTGTCAGATGTTCAAGAACCACGCTGTAGGATAATTATACCATTTGCATTTTTAAGAAAAATTTTAAAAAGTTGCCCTTTTTCAGTTTTCCAGAAGTGATTGGAGTGTCTTAGTATTTTAAATGTAGATTATCCCTTTTATTTCCAACAATAAACTTCCCCTATAATCAGAATTTGGTACGTTTTGCTTCTTGTTGTTAAAAGCGTGTGGAACGTTTTTGGCTTCAAAAGCTTTTTCTACGAAAACATATACTGTCCAGTTAGCATTTTGCGACTCTAACCCTCATCTCCGTTGCATTTGGCTTTGTCATGCGTTATTGATACCTAAAGTTAAATTGATCTTTACAAATTTCCCCTGCTCCCCTTATACTGAATAGGAAGTCGTCCTGAGGCTAGCAATGTTGATCATTTTCTACAACAATTAAACCAAATACTTCTGATACAATAACAAACGAGGTTTTTGCCTAAAGTAGGAATAACCCTTGTAGCATGCCTTTTTCCCATCAAACCTGTTATTACAGAAACTCAATATTCGTACATTTTATGCCAATTTCTACTTCTGCTCTCATCTCAATACCTTGAACTATATCTTAAATGTATAGTCCAGTTCATAATCGGAATTTTGCGCCATTTATCCTACTTAGTGGAATCAAATTCAACTAATATTTTTCTCCATTTTTACTCGTTTGCAATTTTTCTCATTATTCGTAGCATTGCTGTAAATGTTTTATAGCTCGTTTAGATTTATCATTTTGACACAAAACTGTGGGAAATTTATTTTTTTTGCCTGTCATTATTTTGTGTTGACCGGTTTCGCAATTAATAGCGCGTCAATATATATGTTGATAACGTGTTGTTTTAGTATACATTTTAACTTTGTAAAGGGAATTTTGACCAGGGTTTTCAAGAGCCTATGTTTTGTAACTAAATGCCTAGTTTTGGTAGCTTTTTCTTGGTTATATTTTCTGCTTTTTTCTTCACTGACGTTATTTTGGTATATCGTACAATGCTCTTTAATATTAATATTATTTTCGTCTTGTTTTTCATATTTTCGTCGTTTATTATCGAAGAGGACAGTGCGTTTTCACCTGAGTAATGACAGCGTCATTTTTAGTCGCTGTAGTTGGTTGACATAATTTTCAAGCATTGTTATAATTATGACCCTACATATATTAATGCCAAGGAACTAAAGCGTGCCAAATTCATTGTAAGAAAAATTTCAAATGAACACCCATTTCCAGTGTTGGAGAACGTTAAAGAAATTCTGCAATGTGTCACGGCAGATTATAATTGACTACATATCGATAAGACTAAGAGACACGTTTTTGAGAATAATTTCCCAAGCAACTGATCCTCAACTGCTGTAAACTACCTTTAAATGAAATGTAGTGACTGCTTTTTGAAAAGGCTATTTATCTGCTTTCAATAGAAAATATATCCTGTCCTTTATTGACCCAGCCAATTCATTAGGCTACAGAAGTTTTACACTTTGCTAAGAGAGAGCAAATAAACAGACTTTGCAATAGAATCCCTTTTTAAACCATTTAAGAAATCAAATAAGATATACTTTTTTTGAAATATTACAATGAATTTGACACAGACGATCGTATTAAGATTGGTTTCAAGGAGTCAAGTCTTAAGGTATCAAATACTAAATAGTGTTATGGAATGTTTATCTGCAATTTAAGTGTGCAATAAATTCATAGCAATGTTGCTTGTCTTATTCGTGGCACTGCTTTGTCAAATTTACCATTACCTAAAGTGAAATTGGAGACGGGGGGAGGAACGGGGGAGAGGATTGAAACATTTGATGAATGTTTGAAATTCACCAAATAAAAGAAATTTACAGAAACCTTAACAAAATTCCACAAATTTTTCCTCAAAATTAGTTTCCTGCGACGCAATGCTTGCAAAATCTTTTGATAACGGACACCCATTACATGGGATTTCTAGCAAGCACATCCAAAAATTTATTCAAAAAGGAATCGAGACGAACAATTGAAGAATGAAGTCTAACAGGCCTTCCACTCTTGGACCCCACTCTTCCATTGAGGCTCTAGCACCAAAGTATCTCTTTATTACTGGCTTTACGTCACTGAAATGCCTCTTTTGTCTAAGTAAAAGCACCTGTTATTCATTTGCCTGAAATTCCACTCTTTCATAAAAGTCAAGTCCCATCAATTGATGCGGAAAAGAAGAAACGATACCATCTCCATAGAATTTTGTGAGCATTTCGTTTGACAATCCCTGGTATAGATAAAAAATCTCACGAAAAAGCCACAGACTTCTCAGTATCTCTCAACAGGAACTGGAGGTTTGCCCACTACAGAGTTGTTATTATTTTGGAATGGCAAGTTACCCTCAAGATTATTTCAAGACAATTATAGAGTTTATTTCCAGAAACTTTTAACATTTTTAAACAATGTTGAGATTTCCCACCTAAATTTTAGTCCAGATACAATTTTTGCGGTGTTTTGTGTATTATAAATTCTACGTTTGTATAAATGTTGAAAGCTTAGAAGAGATTTCAGACTTTCCAGGCTCTGTTGCAATCTAATCACGGTAAGATTCCTTATAAATTAGACCATTTCGGAGTTCGCGAAGCCATAATGGAGTCCTAATCTTCAAAAGCCAGTTAAAATCACTCAGGTGGGACAAACAAGCGGAAAAATCATAGTGGGTAGAGGTTGCTCTTCCATAATTTGGTCGTAAAACGTCTTTAACATCTTAATTCCGTTGGTTAACAAGGTGTCTCGTTTAAGTTACAGAAGAATTTACAAATCTTCATGATATAGGCCGCCATTGTATATATTGCGGTTTCCACCCAGCTTGAGTCCTGGCCTCGCGAACTTCGAGATAAACATAAGAGGTAAAAAAAACTAGTAAAAGAGCTTTGAGGTGTTTCTCGAGACAAGGTTCTAAATTTATTTGGTGTACTGAGGATATTGGGCCAACATGCATATTTGCACCAGTTTTTGTTCCAAAGGTTAAAAAGACATCTCCTCGGCAACGAAATGATAAAAATGACTTCACTGTTTTTGCTTGAAATGCAGCTCTCAAGTGAAAATTGTCTACTTGCCTTTTTTCTGTAGTTTAGCTCGTCTACATTCGCTTGTAAAGAGAAACTGTGATAGATTTCATGTTCGAAAAGGAAAATTGGTTGAATCTGAAAATAAAAGCATGATAGCATTTTATTGTACACTATTTAATAGTTAATGCAAAAATTTTAAGAAACCGCATATTGTCTTCTTAAAAGAAAAAATTGGGTCCTTTTTAGCGAGCTGCAATTTTTGTATTTAGAAGGATGGAGCCATAAAACTCAGATTTGTTCTTAAAAGTGAACTATGAATGGAATTTAATTTAAGTGTAAGTTTGGTAGACTCCTTCTCCCCTTTTCCATTTGTCAACAGAGACTTTACGGATATGGCTAAACTTTGGTGCCAGTAAGAGCGCCTAAAAATTGTTTTGTGTTCGCCAGGTTTCAATGTACTTCACCCTTTCTGAAGCTTATACAGTCTTGTTAACCGCCATTCTAAACATTACATCCTAATTTAAAATGACACGATATTAACGCTATAAGGTGCAGGGAACGCGAAAGCAAGGACGTAACGGGGGCTTTAGCCCCCCCCCCTCTCCCCTATCAATTTCCAAAATGTGCATAAAACCGTACAGAAATCACCGCTTGTAGCATCTTTAGTCTCCCCCAAAACGCTGTCCTTGATAAGTTGTATAGAACAAGGTGGTTCTAAGCTGCTATTCCAAGTTTCACACTTAATACGATCACCAGGCAACAGTGATGTAAAGCTATGTAAACACCCGATGCACTCATGATTCCCTCAGGGGTTCATGCACGGGGGAAGTTTAATTAAGTGTGCACTCATCCCTTTGAAAAACGTACTGATTAGATATTCAAAAATTATTGCTGTTTATCCGCCTTTCGTGATACAAAAGCATTTCTATTGAACGTTTCGCAGACGCAAATGTGTTGATTTTTTAGGCCTACTTGTTTTGTCGATGTTCTTTGTTTTGTCAGACTTAGCCTACTTGGTCTAGATAAGCATGTACAGTTAACACACTCAATTTCAAACCAAAGTTTGGAGTGAACATGGAAAACTGCATCGCTTGGACGTCCTAAACCTTTACCGAAAGTATTCTTGTGCACAGTAAAGCGATTTAATGTTATTTAAAAGAAGATGTACCCAATGAAGGAAAGGTATGTGGGAGCATTTTTCGTAGTATTGCACATTACATACGTAAATACCTTTTTAAATTTAGATATTTATTTGAACTATAGGATTTTGATTTCGTTACTTCAGATTTTGGAAATTTCTCATAGCTTACCTCTCGTTGAGGTTCAACGTGACATGGCAGTTGAAAGATGAATTTTATGGCGGCATTTCGTGATGCTTTTCGCTTGTATGTTAGCAAGGTTTCACATGAAATTCGGAGCTTTATCCTTGCAAAGTTGTCGACTTTTAAAGCACACTTGTTCATAAAAAGACCTATTTTGATCCTTCAAATGTTTGGTCGCTCCTACGAGTATGTCTTTACAAGCTTACTACAAACACCATCTTTTAATTCTAGTTAGTCTACCTTTCAATATTTTTGACGAAAGCTACGGTCATAGACTCACGAAATACTTATGTTGTCGGCAGAAAGAATTTTCAAAATATATTTTCTTTTAAAAACAGGTTTATTTGCTTCTATATGATCAGAAAAAATACTAGAATTCTATTTAGTTTGAGAATGAATGTCATTATTTGGAGGGGTCGATTTTTAACAAAAAAATGCCCGCGAAGTATTGTTGAAATTTTCCGAAAGATTTTCCTTTAGCAAACTAAAGTACCCAACACGTATACTCAAAAAATAAGCATTGAAATTTGTTTTAAATGAGTG